TCAGAGGTGTGCTGCCCCAACCCTGGACTGCAAAAGCCTCTTCATAGCGTGCGATACCTACAGGGCCGGTCAAGAGACTCTTTCACAAGAATACCATCAATAATCAATATTGAAAGAGTCTAAATATTGACGCTGAGTGCGTGCTGCACGGACAGCACGTCCTCAACCCTGGCGATCTCAGATGGCTGCTCGATGTAAAGAGATGTGCCCATCAAGGAGGGGCACCCACGCTGTGCAGCAAATTGACACCCCAATTCTGTCGCTTGTGGCACATTTGATTGATACACATCGCGTGCGTGTACCATAGCGTGGGTGCCGGCAAGATAAGGGCATCACCTTTGCGCCATCTGATGTGACATGCCGTGTGTCTTTATGCAGCGACCAAGAAGTGCGATGATGCTGAGAAGAATCTTGTAGCAATTCTTCCACGTTCAACATTCTATGTGAGTGGATTTCGACACCGACATCGTAGAGAAACAGCAAGAACGAGCCAGGCTGCTCAATGACAGATGGGGTTAATAATATTATAAGATAGGCTCAGGGGATTTATTTTCTTGCCCTCCACCGCCACTACCTTGTGGCGGTCAGCAGCAGTGCTCTGTCTTCAAGCAGAAGTGCTCCATCCCACTGGCCACTTCAGATTCGAAGGTTGAGCATGTGAGGCAACCGGGAGCAGAATTACCTTACAGATTGTTACATGCATGATATCTGGTTACCGTCATGATTGTTGCGCACATGTGCAGAGAGGGACAAGTGAGTGACTAATATTAGTTGCGTAGAGCGCATGGATGTGCAACGCCTTGTAGTGAGGCAGACTTGGTCACAACCTACTACAGTCCTCATTGCAATATCAAATTTAGGACATAAAAAAAATTGATGCTACATTTGCGTCATGCTCACACGCCAATTCTGACTAAGCTTGAAACTGACTTAGCTTGAAAGTGCAAAGATCACATTGCAAGTCACTCTCCAGCCGCCGGTGGGCGCCTCAGAAAGCGAAGGCACCTCTCGGGAACTGCCACCATCTGATTGCCCCCAATTGCTTCCAAGGGTGTTCTGCCTGCTCTGACTTCATCTGTGTCGCTCAACCATGCCTTCTGGTGTCCAGCCCCAGTTGCGTCTGTGATGGTGAGCCCGCAAATAACACCAAACCCCTCAAGCTCAGCACCGTGGAACCGTGTGCCAGGCCCAATATGCACCACCTCTGCCGTCCCCACTATCCTCCTGTCATCTGTTAGGACATAGACTGTGTCATCTGGCAGAATCTGCACGTCACTGTGCGCGCTCGAATGGCCTCTGGCTTGCGGCGAGGGGTTCAGCTGACATGCCAGCCCTGCGATGACACCCATTGCAGCTTCCATGTTGATCCCAGGGGAGGAAACTTCCAGGGACGGTCGACCTGCGCGCACCAACACACAGCTGCTTACAATCCGCGATTATTACCGCATTCAAGCAATATCTTCCCTAGTGTCTTGCTAGGATGTCAAGCTCAAATTTATTCCTGTTGTTAGTATTACCCAGATGACCCTTAGGTGCGGCACTCTACCACATCATATGTAGCAGGGTGCGTGAGTGACAGGCATGACTCAGGCAAAGGGGCAAGCACAGCATGTGGAGCAGGGTGCGTGAAAGACAGGCATGGCTCAGGCAAAGGGGCAAGCAGACACTTCAGCATTGAGAGACAAGACATGAACAAATCAACTACACCAGCGTATGAGAGCAGTCAGTTGACAAGTTCACAGGAATGACAGAGCAGGATTTTGTACATGCCTGCTGGGCCATCTGCAGAGCGGTAGGAGGAAGCTGGCTCCTCATCGGCAGCGAGCTCCAGAGCAGGATCAAAGAAGACCATGGCGCCAGACAGCGGTGACTGCTCCAAGGCTGACTGCGACTGCTCCGCTGCCGTAGCACTCCCACCTAGACAACACATGCCTGTCGTCAGCTTATTGCTGACAATTACCTGTCGATAAACCTTCGGGGTATGATTCGCATGGCATTATAACTTAGAAACTCACTGTGAGTGGAATCATATAAGCCAGGACAAAGAGAGCCATGATGGCTCCTCACCTTCTCCGGCGCGCGCCGCATTCTGCTCCTCAGCCAGCAACATTGCCAGCGCCACACCAGTTGCAGCCTCTTCGACGTTCATGGGCGAGCTCCCGGCAGCGCCTCCGAGAGCCACCTTCAGCCGTTTTGGATGACAGAGGGCCGCTGCAATGTGCCGGTAGTCGATCACCAGCACAGCCATTTTGGCCGGCGATGCGGCATGCCCCTGCATGCTCAGCCGCACGTTGGGGACTGGCACAGGCTGCGGCGACTCATCTGCCAGCAAGCAGCCGTGCAACGGCGACTGGCTCGCACAAGCTGTGGGCTGCGGCGGCACTTCGCTGGCCTCAGGCAGGACACCCTCTGCCTGCCCTTCTGGCTCTGCTGGGTCACTGTGCTGCTGCGCTGGCTGGTCATCCGCATCTGACTCAGAGAAGAGGTTCCCAACCTCGTCTTCGTCGCCCTCAGTGGGGGGACCCCAAAACTCTGCGGCTCTGGCGGTTGGGCGCCTGAGCCTGCCTCGGCTGCCCCTTCTGGGCCGATTGCTGCCACGCGCCCCGCCTGTGCCGCGGCGGCCACGCTTCCTGCCCCGACCCCGCCCATGCCCTTCCTGCACGCCCCCACCGGTGGCTGCCTCTCCTGCACCCCGTCCCTCCACATCTGCGCGTGCCCCACCGCCTTCCCCTGCCACCGCTGCCTCGGGCTCCCCCTGGCTATCTGTCTGCACGCGCGCCTCGAGGAACCATATCTCCATATGCAGCTGGGTGCCATCGCTGCCTGGCTGCACAGCGCGCACCAAACCAACAGGAGCCTTGGCAGCACGACCCAACTGGGACAAGTTGCGTGCTGGGAACTCCCCGTCGCGGTGCAGCGTGCTTGTGACGGCCCAGAGAGCGACACCAATCGAGGGAGTGCTCTCCCCCAACTGCGGCAGGTAGTGGCACTTGTCGAAGGTCCAGAGCAACTCGTCAATCTGCTTGAGTTTGACCACGGGCAGGCCGCTGCTCACTCCTGCAAACATGTGAGCGCCTCAATTGACTGGCTATCATTCCCTTCCATCAAATCTGCAGAAGTTAAAGCCTTCTCGGGTGTGCAACAGTCACCAGGTGATCAGAGCTTCCAGCTGAGAGCGCCCACTCACCCTTGTTAACAATGGACTTGGCCGCTTCCATCTGAAGCTGTGACTTCTTCGGCGCCTGTAACAACAATAACTTACAATCAGTGTGTTCAGCCAAACTCGCTTTCACTGCACCAGCAGCTTGACAGATGAGAGGCGTTCACAAAGCACATGCAAACATAAGGATCCTCAACAAGATGCCCACCTTCTGCCTTGCTGGTCTTTGCCGTGCCGGTTGGGCTGCGGCCTCAACAGCGGCTGTGATCTCTTCAACCGCCGCCGCACTCGGCTCCAGTCCACCTGCATGACAGCATCCATTAGCTGCCAGCGCATAAGATGTCCAGAGGAAATGGTGAGGACATGTTATTAATTTGCCAGGCATAAGATGTGTAGGCGCTGATCGTTACAGCCATCATGGATAGCTACCTTCTGGATGCTCAAATCTAAGCAGCCCTTCCACCCTGGCGAGCAGCGCGCTTCTGGTGAAGATCACTGGCCGCTGGCCTCTGTCAAGCAGGAACCGCTTCAGCTCTGCAACGGTGGATGAGGCCTTGAGGCTGAACGCAAGCCACCGTTGGACGATGTCCTGCTCGGCTCCCTGAGCGCTGAGCTGCCTGCGGCTGATCCCTGGCTGTGGCGCTTGCGAAGGTCCTGCAGCTTCTGCCTCTGGGGCTGCGGGACCCTGCATGCCGCCTGCTGCAGCTGTGGCGCCCCTCTGCGCCTGTCCTTGGGCTGTCTGGCCTGCCTGAAGTCCACTGGCCTGGAGATACGAGGCTGCCATCACTGTCCTGTTCAGGTTGGGCACTGCTGCCAGCAATCTGCTGGCGCTCTTGCTGAAGCTGACTTTCTGATTGAGGTGTCTCGTTGCAAAGATGGCGGTCGAAGTCGTCCCATTGTCTTCGAGGCGAGCCTGCTGACCACCAATGATGCCTCGAATCTTGCTTGATCGCCTATCGGCTCTCTTCCTCTCCAAGTCGCCGGTCTCTGCCTCTGAACGCAACGCAAAAGTCAGAGTTAGTTACTCTGTGTCAAGGTCATGGGGAGATTCAAAACATAGGTGTTCCCAACCTTCAAAGATGGAGTGCTTATTGAGACCTACCAATCACTCCTTGATGCATGATAAAATTCAACTTATCCTCATTGAGATCCTTGCCCCTGGTTTGGGCTGCAATGACGCAGTCCTCACAGCATTTGTGGGTAATATTTCTGAGCTCTGGATACTTTTCGCTCTCAATCTTCCCGCGAATAGAATAGTAGCCATTAGCTCTGGACAATGCTGAAGGTTCATCTCGGCCAAGGCAGCTCTGATGGAAATATCTGACCCCTGAGTCCACGGCATTGCAACGTTGCAATGGCACCCTTGCCTCTTGTTTGAAGACCCAGTCGGCAACAGCGTCGTGGCCGTATTCGTCCTTTGTCAGACCTTCTGAATAGAATCTGATAATATAATCACAACCTACACAGCGAGTCAAGCGTTCTGAACTTGCGCAGTTCGGATGAAGCTTCTCCTTGTCACTGCCACACTTGTAACACGGGATCCTAGCAATAATAAGTGACATGCTCGGTACAGAAACACATCACTGATCATTCTCCATGCTTACTGACGAAAGGCCTAATTTTTATTACCAAAATGGCATGCTATGGAATGTGTTACCAGGTGGCATGGCCCCTGATTGCCAATAATCCACCACATTAGTAGCGTTTACATCCACTAAAGTAGTGGATTTTGATTACTCGGGTGCCCTGTTTGATGATCGAGAAAGCCATCATGATCGCTTTGATAAAACTGAATTTATGAAAGGCTTGGTGCAGATGTTCAAAATTAAAGCAGTAGTACCTCACATCTGATCTAATCAGGATACTTGAAGTGCAATTATTCGGACTGTAAAAATGCTGGCCCTCGAGCAGAGCCATGGTTGCACAAGCCGTGCATATTACGCCTTCCAAAGACATGCATCAATACGCAGACCTTCTCTAAACGCTCACAGGGCTGCTTCCTGCCTGCCACAGTGCGTTTCCTCCTAAAATACGCTGACTTGGTCAACAGGAGTATAATCGTGTCGTTGCTGACAAACTAGTACCAGATCATCACCACAGTGTGGAATCGCGAACTAGAAACCTGACTTAACAACGCTCAAATCTTCCACGAACGCAGGAGGCTGGCGTGCAGACTCAGTGTCCCTCAGGGGGCCAGCACACAGCAGCACTCATCGAGCCCAACTCATGCTGGGTGTCAACAGCAATCAGGCAAACGTGCCTCTTCTTGTACAGCCACTGGTCTCAGCCTGCATGAGAGCGCCAGCGGCCAGCTGAGATCTCCTGCACTGCTAGCAGCAGTGCTGGTGCCCCTCCTGCAGCAGGGGTGGGCCAGAGCAGACACTCTAGAGGCCGCAGATGCGAGTAGCGCTGTGCCCACTGACTACCTCATCACCGGCATCTTCACCGTCGTCATTCTGGCTCTTGTCATAGTGACTGTCGGGGTGGGTGGAGACCTGACCCCTTTTCAGAATTGAAGAATTCGTTGTTGTTGAAGAGGATCGATTTTGACCTTTCCTTGGGCTAGAACCATCGCTATATCAGTGACTGGGTGCTCTCGCAGGTCGCGTACCTCTCCCTTTCGTCCTTTTTCGACAGCAGAGCGGAGGAGGAGGACAAGAAGAAGTTTGAGGTTGCACAACGAGACAGGTGACTGCCTCTCGTTGCTCCTCAGAGTTTTGACCCTTCTTGGGTGAGTTCATTTTGGGTGGATGCACGCCCAGAACCTGCCTTCAAATTGAGGCATTAACTGTTGCCTCAGCTATGTCCCCGGCTGGCAAGGGGCGGTATAACTACCGAGCACCTTGCCCATGGTAGATCGGGTCTTGCTTGGATCTGGCGAGTCCAGCAAGGGGTAGGAATCTGGCAGCTTTTACATGCAGCTTGTCTGCAGAGGCACCTTGCCTTCGGCAGGAAAAGCGTGTAATGATAATAATCATAAAGATGTATGCCTGGCATGCCTGTGCTGCAGGGATTTGCAGGCGTTGGGAGTGCAGCGGCCGAAGCGCAAGCGTGCGCCAGATGAGGCGATCAGAGGGGGAGGCAAGGGATTTGGGAGCTGAGGAGGATCTGCTGCCAACACACAGTGCCAATTTTGAGTATCTTTGGTACAGGACATGCCATGCTGCGTAGTGTGCTGGGCACAGTGTTTTGTACAAGAATCTTGAGCGATGTGTCTGATATGGACATTGTCTACAAATTTGAGCAGGGAATCTGGTAGATGCTGCACAATTACAAGAGCGATCAGTGCGAAATTGCATCTTGTGCTGATAAGTCAATGTCCACGGGTGGCTGTGCAAGTCAGTACCAATCGCTGCAAGACCCTTTTACACCTTGCAGAGTCAGATTCTGCAAGTCAGAATTTCTGACTCAGAAACCATGAGTTGATTGTAGCATGCACAGTCTGACTTTAGAGAGCAGTCTACAGTCGAACAGCAAGAATCCCTATGTGGCAGTCGCTAGAAAATCCAATGCATTCCGAGGACGCATAAAAAGCATGACGATCACTCTTTCTACCTCCTGCATCAATCCCGGATGGGGTGGGCCGCTGCCTTCTCGTTGAGGCTACATGTATACACACTAGCACTGGGAGTACAACCATTTGCTTGCTTCCATCTGCTACTTTACACTCAGCAACATTCACAAGGGGGTCCTGTACAAAAGTCTACATGTCTCCTTTGCTAGCGTACACATCCTTGCAGCCCAATCGAGCATCAGGTTCAGCTCTAGCCTGCACAGCGCTTCGATGCCTGGCAAAACGCCTTCTGCCATAGAGGCATCATACTTTATAAAAAAACGCATGATACAGCAGACAAACAGAACTAAGGACGAGACAACACAGGCAGAATTGAGCCAGTGTGTGCAAGATCAGTGGGTGTGGCGGCTGCCATGAAGGTGATGGTGGCCCCTTTGATGGCTGTGATCGTGGTGGCTGGAGTCCTCGGGGGTGGGCTGCCAGAAGGTGATGAGGCCTTCTTTGTTGGCGGAGACCAGGGGCGTTCCCTGGGGGCTCCAGCATGCCGCCTGCACGATCTGCGCGCTGCCCTGCTCCCTCAGCGTCTTCACCAGGTTCCCCTTCTCCGTCTGGAATATGACACACAAAGATCTTTCAAGCATGCTGATTTGGATTAACCCACCAGGGCAACACATGGAATGGAAGCCCAGTTTAAACAGAGTGAGCTGCACCCAGTCCCACAGAGCATAAGGAGACGTGCGACACATGATGACAGGTATATTAAACTGCTAGTTGCATGTGTAGGCTCCCACACAATGTGGAGACACTCCGGTATGCTATATTTTATAAAGCGAGCCGGCAGCCCGGGCGCATGCCAGCCGCAGCAGCCACCCCTTACCTGATAGGAAGAGCGCGCATGCAAGAATGAAGGGAACTTGCTTGAATTATGATCCCCTGATGAGTGAGTGTGGGGAAGGGGATGCGGAGGGGGTGGGGGTGGGGGTGGGGCGTACCCCCCAGACAAAGACTGAGCCGGTGGAGGATCCTGCGGCGCAGTGGCGCTCGTCGGGGCCCAGGCAGGCCTTGCTCCATACGCCGCCCACGGCAAAGCCCGGCGCGGCCATGGACGGCTGCACCTGGAAGCTGCGCGCGTCCGTCACCTTCACCACGTTGTCCTTACCGCACGTCAGCACCGAGCCTGCGCAGCCGCCACGATGAGTTCTTTTCGCAGATTTATCTGCAGTCTTTCCTGGGAGCTATGCGACGGCTCGAATGATATGAAATAGACTTTGAGCTGCTAGGTTCAAGCCTTTCAGGAGATGGTGACTGAAGCCACATTGATGCAGACAAGTCCCGATACTTTAACCAGTTGAATCCCCTGCTCGTCCACCATTTTGGGGAGGTGACTAGTCAGAATATCAAAACCTGGAGGAGCATCCATGTCAGTGGTGCCCGTGCCTCCTGAAAAGCAGGCTTCAAGGACTTGTCAGGCCTGATGTTGAGCATGCACAAAGAGACTGTCCCCGTTCTCACCTTTAAACAAATCAAAATCGCCCGCCTGCATGATGCGCCTTTTGCAGCATGTCCGACAGTGTGCTAAGAGCCAGGGTGAATAAGGGGTAGGCGCGGCGCGCACCGGTGCGGAGGCCGATGGAGACAGAGGTGATCTGCTGCGTGTGCAGGCCGGCCACCTCGTTGGCAAGCTTGCCCGAGCGCAGATCCCAGAAGCGCAGCGCGCCGTCAAAGTGGCCGGACACCACCGCGAAGCCGTCCATGGTCAGCCTCACGCTGTTCACGCTGGAGTGGCAGATCAACGTGCTCGTGCAGTACCCCCTTCCCAAGTCCCACACCTGCGCCACCGCCCTTTGTAATTCCTATCCAGCAGATTATCATTTAGATCCAGGACCCATCAAGTGATGAGCCCGAAAATAAAGGAGACCATAATTTACGTTCAGCAGACCACAAATGATGCCAAGGACTGAAGGATAAGCTGCACAGAGCAGCACGCAGTCTGCATTGCTATAAGCTTCAGGTGAACCAACCACGCACATTGGTCCACACTGCCAAATTCTTTCTTCGATGCACAGCCAGAGCAGGCCGACTGCACTACAGAAAAGAGCACAGGCCTGGGCGGTAGGCCGTTACCTTGATGCAGCGGTCCGTGCCGGCAGTGACGGCCCGATTGGGCTCCAGCGGGCTGCAGTCCACGCTGGACACCTGCAGAGAGCATTTCACCTCCCAGTCAGCCGCAACCTCCGTGACTCAGTGCTCCGCATGAGGATGATGGTGACCCGATGCAGGAACCCCCCCCAAGTCCAGAACGCTGCTCTGGCCATTCCCCTGCCGCTTGGTCAGCAATGGACGTGGTCGGGCAAAGGCAGCCAGACTCCTCTTGTAAACACCTCCTAGAGACTGGAAGCGCTGGAAGGCGAGCTTAATTTGCAGATTGGGCACAAAGAGAGCAGCAGCAGACCTTCTGGCTGTGGCCAGTGAGGGTGTGGCGAACGCGGCCGGACGCGAGGTCCCACATGCGCACGGCCTTGTCAGCGCCGGAAGCCAGCAGGTGCTTCTGGTCGCAGGTGAAGGCCACCTCTGTGACTGATTCTGTCATGCCCAGCAGCGTGCCCGTCTGGTGCCCGCTGCATGCGTCCCACAGCCGCACCACTTTGTCTGCTCCCCCACTCGCCATGCGCTGCCCCGACCTGCCAGCCCAGCTCCATAAGATACTCGTTCCAGCAGATGTAACTTTGGTCCTGGAGACACTGGGTATGTAAACAGACATTGTGTGCACTAACCATACTAAAAATTGTCCCAAGCTTAAGAAGACTGTCTGGAACGTGAAGGAGAAGCAAAGAGTGCCCGGCCCTTGTGTCCATAGCACCGCGATTGCATGAATGCACCGTTTGTCTCCTGACATGGCAGTGTCATGATGCACCATCGGCTGTTTAGCAATCAAGTTCGGATAATTGTCGGGATCACCTGTCAAAGGCGAGCGTGTAGCAGCCGCCCTCATGTGCAGGCACCGAGCGCAGAGGAGCGTCGGGGACGAGTGACTCGATGGCCCCGTGCATGACGCCCTTCGTCTTTGCCATGATGCCATTCACCATGCCCTGCACCGTCAATTGTCCAATTTCATGTGAGTATGAGTGACAATGACTTCAATTACATGCGCAAAAGACTCAGATCTGCTGGTAACCCGTTCACTATTATGTGTCAGGCAGACATGCTACCTTGTAGCCACTCTCCACAGTACAGCAAAGCACTTCAACAGAAGAAGTCAGGGATCACCGTGAGGCTGCCGGCGGGAAGAGAGTGGAAGCGGCCGACTTGGGACGAGGAAGCGGAGCTAGCCGCCGCGGCTCGCTCCATGTTGCGCGCATTGGTCATCATTTCCTCGCACATCCTATTCACCTGCAGCAGCACAGCAACCCCAGATCTCAGAAATATGTTGAAGAACGGTGGTCTTGAAATGACAAAGACCGCAAGTTGCCATTTCTATTGGCCAAACGACAGTTTTCAACGGAGCAAAGACATCTGAGCCTTCGACAGACAGGTTGCTTGCAGATCGAAGGAAGAAGTCACCTCATTCATGCGTTCAATCTCGCTCATTTTCAGGTCGACCAGCCGCTTGGAGAGCTCAGCCTGCTCGTTCTCAAGCTTTGCTGCCCTCTTCTCTGCCGCCTCCTTCTCCTCCAGGCGCGACTGGATGGCAGCACAAACGTTTATCAAGCACACAGGGTTGTTACTCACAGCAAACCAGCCTGCCAATGCACATCATTTTTATGCAGACCCCTGCATCTGATGGAGGTTCCAGCAAACAGCTTCTGCCAGAGGGCTGCACCTGCAGTTCAGCTGTGGCCAGGCTGGTGGCAGCCTGCTCCTTCTCAAGGGCGTCGGATAGCTCCTTGATGCGGGCGCGCATGTCTCGGCCCTTCGCCGCCAGATCAATTAGCTCTCGGGCCTGCGCCTCATTGCTGTCCCGCACGATCTGCAGCTGCCGCGAAGCTGCCACCAGCTCCTCTGCCAGCCGCGACTTCTCCTTGTACACCCCCGTCAGCTCCTCCTGCAGCTCTTTGGCCCTGCTTTCTGCAACCGCCACCTGCATAATCCAAAGCAATACAGCAACTCCATCGCACATCCGAGCCTCAGTGCCCTGACCTCTCTACATCGCACATTTTGCACTGCATCTAGCCCGAAGCTGAAGACCGGGCATGAAAAGAAACTGTTTCTTTGAGGAAATAATGATGCAAGTCACAACACACCTTCTCGTTGCTCACTGCGGCATGCGCAGAATGCTCCACAGCTTGTTGCAGGGTCGCGTTCTCGGCACGCAGCTCAAGAGCCTCCTTTTCAAGTTGCGTGTTGCGGATCTGTACCAACCAAAGTGAGCCACCCATCATACCAGAGCAACACCACTTGTTTGCTAAGCAAACATGTACATTCGATGGCTAGCAGACACATGGACGTACCTTTGATTCTTTGCATCTCCTTAGAAGATTTTGATAGTCTGCAACGACATCCACGAAGCCAGAGGTGAAGGCATTCCGCTGCTGAAATTGGAGTACTGTGTTTTGCACTATGGTTGGACTGATGTCAACCTCCATGGCAAATGGCATCAAATTCAAAAAGCTTCTCACAAGTACATTAATGTGAGCTCTGACGTACGTCTGCCAAAATTACATTTGAGGAAAGGATGTCCTTGTAAGGATTCAGATGAGATGGTAGCAATATCACGGGTCACAGAACAAAGCTCCTATATAGATACAGCTTGGCTTCCGACTTCTTCTGCTTCTAGATCGCTTGTTGTATTACAGGTTTCGTCGGATCTGAAGAGCAGCTTCTTTGTCCTCCTCACTATTAGTGACTCACCGCTTGCTAATCGTGCTCCGGAACTCTTGCTCTTGCTTTTGCTCAAGAACAGAAACGGTCCACCACAACACTCCTTACTGTGATCTGGATCTAAAAGTCATCAGCGAACAGACCTGCTTCTGTTGACATCTTGTGCCTGTTCCTTGAAAATTGGACATTTGCAGATCATGGGCATACCGCTGTAGTTTGGTGAATCGACTAGCAATCAGCGCTCACTTAGTATGGTTGAGGACGGCAGTAAGAACAAGAGGAATGAGCCCATCTTGACCGATCCTGGCTCGGGTGACACGACAGGAACAACGACACGAAAGAAGAAAGATGCAGAGGTGGCGGCCATTTCTGTCTGCAAACACATGCTATAATTATCATGCAAGTATAATTCAATACATTTTGCCAGTTCTCGGTTTTCAAGCCTGCACTTGGTTTTTTCTGGGGGAGCTTGCTCCTTGCTCCAGCCTACCAGAAACGAAAAATATCTGTGTGAACGTATCAGGATGCACCCTCAAAGCAGAGGGATTCGGCAGCAGAGACAACAGGAAATGGAGCTGCAAGCGAGGCCAGCAATCCAAAGGAACAGGCTGCAAGGGTGAAAAGGAAGGGCGGAGAAGTGGATGAGCTCTTTGGAAAGCTTAAAAAGGCGTCGAAACCTAAAACAGCTGAGGTAGTACCATCCGTCATGATGACCATGCCTTTCAGGTTGCACAAGATAATTGTGAGAGGCAGGTGGTGTTCATGATCACTTAAGCCATGATCCTTGTTCCAGGCGCCTGGAAAAAAGCCAGCAAAGCGGAAAAAAGCTGTTGGCAGCAAGGAGGACATTTTTGGGAGTGGTTCAGGGAAGGCGCGCAGGTGAGTGTTTGCTTATGATGTGCCTTAGCCGCATGCTTGCCCACAGTCAAACAAAACCAAAGCTAGTACAGCATGCCGTTCCACCAGGAATTTATGCACCATGCTTAATCAGCAGTGTCAAGGCGATCTCATAAAGGAGGCGATCTCATGAAAGGATGTTGAACCTGTGCAGGAAAGATGCTGATGGACTGACTATCTACACAGAAGATGATCTAAAAGTTGGCAAGGGCGGCAATACGCCCTTGTGCCCTTTTGACTGCGAGTGTTGTTTCTGACTGGACAATGCTTGTACAGGCGCGCTGAGACTTCTCCTTTGAAGAAACAATGTGTCTGTTGCAATTGCTTGACAAATAATTATAATATCGACAAGGTCACCCTCCAGCCTGGGTGCTCTTGTGTATTCAACAGGGACGTAGTCAAACATGATCTTGTTGATTGCTCGGTCTGGCTTGGTCAGTGATCAAATTAAGGTCCTTACATTGTGCACACGCATGCTTATCAGCATGACCACGTGGACATCATTTGCATTGTGTCCTCCACTGCTGTGCTCCACATCTGGGAACTGTACTCGATGGGAGCAAATTTTTAAAGAATGTGGCAATGGCAGTGCTGCTATCCAGCTCAGCATGCTGGATCTTCCCAGTATAAACTTGCTACCTTGCTGCCTCCCCGCATATTGTACAAAGGCAGGGACTTTTGGCATGAAGCTGGACTCGGCTTCCAAATGTAGGATGCACTGGTCCAACTTCCAGATATAAGTACATCCCTACATGATGAAAAGAATGGCAGTTCTTGACAAGAATGGCAGTTCTTGACAACACTCTTGATTACGCGCACATGCTGCATCTCCTTTCTGCAGCCTCTAAACTTTAATGGTGACAACTCAATCTGTCAACTCAACACTGTTTCTGCTTGCTTCCTTGCAATCATTTCATCAGACTGTGCTGCATATTGAACGCGTTCTTGCCGGTACCTGCGTGAAAACCCAAAATAAAATAACATTATAAGGCCACCTTGAGATTTACTTCAAACATTGCACGGTATATGCTGAAGCCATAGTATTTCATACCCTGCATCAGTGGCCCATCTGGCATAGTCCTTTGCGAGTGATCGGATGAACACTTTCTGCATAGCACAAATGATGTTGGGCGCTGTGCACAAGACGCCGACAAATCAGGCAGCAAGTGCAAAATTTCAAGTGAAGTTTATCTGGCAAGACCTTCCTGCTGGCACCATTACCTGGAGTGTTGAGAGTGAAGCATAGAGCCCTGCGTTGCCCACTGCTTGCAGCACAACATCTGGAACAAATGCAAATGGCCCTGGAGGTTCTACTGTGGCACTGATTTCGGATTCTGACAATATCTCTGGCGAATCTGCAAACACACATCAGACATCAAAGTCCACCAAATGATCTGCAGATCCTGGGCTGATTATTGGAGCATAGCAGAAGCGGGGAAGTACCTGGGCCTTGCTGGCACTTGAAGCAGGTGCGTACATCAAATTGGACTCTGTCCTGCAAGCGTAATCTTGATACAGCAGGACTGCCGTCCAGTATGCATTCCACGCATTGGATGTCTACTCGCAGCGGCATTTCCAGCAACCTGTCCGTGAACATGACCACGCCGCTGGGTGGGTCATGTATTCCTTGCAGCTAACAAGCTAAAAATTCATCAGTTCTTGGCAGGCATCTTAACATTCTTGGGCTCAGGGGGCAATCAACGCACCTGACAATGCATCGCACACGTGGCTGCACCCAGATGTCAAAGAATTGGACAGGGGAAACCACCACCTCAAACAAATCATCCGCCACTCGTTTCAAGAACCCTCCCATAGGTACCTGTCACAGATTCAACACAGTTGATGTCGAGCTCAATTGATGAGAGTCACCTTGAGGCTGTCGAGGCTGAGAAGCACCAAGTTGGACCTACCTCAATAAGGACGTATTGGGAGACAGGAAGCCTAAAATAGGCCTCGAGAGTTTGCCCCTCATCGTGGCTGGTAGTGACGGGGACTGTCACTCTGTACATATACATACTCAATCAATCAGTCGATGCATACGAGATCCAGAGCATGACCTTGGCCAAGGTTTCGACCCACGACAAGACGCACCGATCTGATGTCCCCAACTTGACGAGACGCTTACTGCTAACTTCAGATACCTGCTGCGCGAATACAAGCACGGATTTCCTGTTGATCTGCCTTGTTCCAAACCTTGTACTGTGAGTCCGAGACCTGATGAGAGGAAATTTTACACAATCAAAAGTGGTCAGCACATGATTTGGACGCATTGACATCAGTAACATGCAAATTCAATCGACATCCCAAATTACGATTTGCACTGAATCTTTACTTCATCCCTCAATGTCGGTACTGGTGATGAGTCATCTGTACTAACATCCAGCTTCCAACAGCTTCGCAGGCCTTCAGCCGAGAGCGAGTGGTGATTTAGTTTTCAGAATAAAAAAGCTGGAAGGAATGAGACTGACTGACCAACACCTGAAATATATGGGAGCAAATGATTGCCGCGCTAGCCCGGGGCCGGCGCCATCATGATCATGGTGATCATGACTCATCGGATGCCATCGAGTGCACTGCAGCTGCCATTAGATGCGGCACTCAGCTGAACTCAGCTTCTCCTGACAGGTCTTAAGCTCCCTGGCAGCAACTTATTCTAACCAGCAACGATTATATGTCTGCAGAGATCTTGATATTTGCAGGTGCATCATGTACATGATGCATCACATGTGATCATGCATGATACCGTCCTCCGAGGTCTGTTCAATGAGTCGTTTTAAGCTGCAAGATGCCACTCAAGAGCATGCAGATATTTTGACTAATGCAATACACATGTCTCATCGAATGCCTCACCGGAAGGTTCATGTCACGAAAGTTAGTAAGCTCCCATGTGAGCATGCGCATGCGAAATTGTCAATCTCTGGCGTAGCACTATTAATAAGATATTGGCAATTAGACTTTTCTTAGCTCTCAGTAAGTCCTGCAATTGGCCCCAAAAGAATTCTACAGCTTACTAGGCCACTCAAATCGAGTCAGTTCTACCTAAATAGCTGGAACCAGCTGAAAGTGCTTTTTAATGTTGTCAAGCAAATCAATCATTGACAGTGCTAATGTCATCACACTCCATCAGTCACAGACCGCTCAACAATGTGTCAGGGCTACGCCCTACAGAGTTTCAGATTAGCTCTTACAGGTGGTGGCCCCTATCAACTCTCGTATGCTGCACTGAAACTGGAGTGTACCAGAAATGATCTCTGGAGTACTTCAGCGAAAGCCTCAAGTGCCAGAATCAAAGGGGCCTTCATTTTGCTTTGCGGGCAGTGATCAAGTTGAACTTCACAAGGCCAATGGAGAAGCCGCGAGCCATAAGGGGCATGACCAGAGCACCCTGCACCAGTTGATACATCCATCTCTCAAAAACACTGCTCTGTGATTTTCTTGACAGTTATTAGCAGGTTTTCAGCTGGAGTATCAAAGCTTGCCTTGATAGTGGACCATCCAGCCTTAAACAGGCCTGTGAAGCCGTCAGTGCTGAGTGCAGAGCGAATGACAGCGCCCCAGAATGGCGCCACCTCCTCAGACCAGTCAGCTGTCTTAATATCCTGCAAACATAAGTGGCAGTATTGATTCCGCTGGTTTGCAAACATTGACAGCTAGATGCGAGATCTGCGATGCGGTTGTGCTGAGGGGTTGATGCCTTTACCTGCAAGCCCTGCGCCTCAAATATGCGGCGGTAGTCATTAAGGGAACACCACTGCGGTAGGTAGTAGGCTTTGCAGATGAGGTCGAGCAGGGACTTCTCGTTCGGCTTCAGCCCTGTCTCTCCCTCCTCCAGGTTCCTGAGACAGCCAGCACATTCGGCCTTGCTCCCCACGGGAATTTGATTCTGTGTGGGTGCCATTCCAGGCATGGGGCAACACAGATCTGTCAGTCGTCGCCATGTTGTGGTGTGCAATGCTCCGTCACACACCCTTAACAAGCGTGGTCAGTGTCCTTGACTGTGCAAAGCTACCCACCTGTGGCACCAGGTGACTATGATGATATGGCCCCCAGGAGCACAAACGCGCGCCAGCTCGCCAACAAAGCGCTCCTTGTCGGGCATGTGCTCCCCACTCTCCAGGCTCCATATCAGGTCAAAAGAGGCGTCTGGGAAGGGCTGCTGCAGCGCGTCTGCCACCTGGAACGAAACACGGTCCGCCAGGCCCTGCTGCTCTGCCAAAGCATTCGCCCTCCCAGCCTACATTCCAGGCGCAATTGTGACTTGACCTGCCCAAGCGAATGGCACGGCAAATGCGATCCCTTCGCTTGTGCAAGCAAAAGGATAGCATTGGGGTGCTGGGACAGCAGTTGCTGCGTGTTGAGGCAAACCTGCACAGGGCTGAGGGTAATGCCCTTTGCTGAGCACCCAAATTTCCTGGCAATGTGCCGACTGCTGCCGCCGATGCCGCAGCCAACATCCACCATCTGCAGGTTGCATCACAGCTGAAATTTAAAGCAAAGGTTTGACACCTTGTGAAGCAGAGATTTTCCCGTTGTGCAAGATTGGTGGAGGTGGAAGACCTTGGATGCTTCTGTGACGCCTGCCCAACTCAAGACTTCTTCGATCATGTCTATCTGCGCTTCCTGATTGCTCTTCTTGGGTCCGCCTTGTGGATAGTAGCCGTGGTGCATGTGCTCGCCCCACATTTGCTCCCAGAGCCCGGAGGACTCGTCATAAAATGATGCTATTCCTTTGTTCAACTCTTCCTGCGAGACGGAGAATATATCAGATGAAATTCTGTATGTTTGCAATATCGCAAAGGCTCACTATGCACCAGCTCTACAGCCTGATCGACTGAAGCAGCCCTTGTATGTGATCTACACAAAGAAGAGCCATCACTTGCCTTGGTTATCCTTTCCTCTGTTACTGCTGCTCGGGTGTGCACAGGCCTTTGGCGTTGATTTATTTGAGAAGTAAATGACACTTTAGTGGTAGGCACCGAGATGCATCTCAAGTCATGAACGCCGGTGATCCTATAATGGAGGGCCATGCCACTCATCGTAAAACACTGTCTGTTGTGAATTAGAGAGGTGATTTGTATCACTTAAACAATCTTTTGAAATACAATTATAATTCTCAATTGCTATTCATGTTTCAACTTTGTGTGTCGGAGGATTGTTGGACTTCCTCGACCTGCTTATTATACTCTGCCGCATGTGGAATTTGAGGGAGAGCAGAAAGAGTTTTCAAGTCATTTTGCAGTTTTGAATAACTGTGAATAAATCTCTAAGAAAGTAGTGTCGTGAGTCTGGTGGTGAGTGCAAACATGATTCCAACACTCGGTGTGGGCTGATCACGGTTGTCGACTTGTGATGGAGAGCAGTCTCCCAGTGCGCGATCCTGTGGCCAACTATGAGAAAATTAAGAGGATTGGCGAAGGGACATATGGTGTCGTATGTAAGTACAACATTTTAAGCTGGTTCTTTAGACTCCACTATTGCATCAATGGTCAACACACCTCACGTCCCTTGTGGCATTGCAGATAAAGCCAGAGATCGGACAACTGGTGAAATCGTGGCTCTCAAAAAGGTCCGCATGGAGCGAGAGCGAGACGGTAGCAGCCACGCACCACCATCCCTTGAACAGCTTCATGCAGGAGGACCCTAGTGCTTGCCTGAGAATTTCCTAGCTTGCCTGAGGAGCCCAGCTGAACTGCTGCAGGTGTACCAGTCACATCCATGCGTGAGATCAGGGTGTTGCAGACCTGCCAACACCCCAACATTGTGCACTTGAAGAAGGTCGTGACAGGCAGCAAGCCTGATTCTATCTTCCTCGTGTTTGAGTACTGCTCGCATGATCTTGGGCGTCTGGTGGACATGATGCCACGTCCTTTCAGCCAGTCTGAAGTCAAGTGTCTCATGCTGCAGGTGTCTCTTTGCTCACTCTTGTCCTTATCCCCCGATTCCTGCATACTTTATATTGGATCGCAAGAGAGCAAATGTACCCCTGCTTTCTCACCCTCGGTGTGGCTCATCAAGCTTTCTGGGCATTTTGCAGTTGTTGGAGGCGGTGGATTTCTTGCACTCCCATTGGATCATGTCGCGGGATCTGAAACTGCCGAACCTGCTGCTCACGCATGATGGGCGCCTGAAGATCTGCGATTTTGGCCTCGCACGCTACTTCCATGCGCATGAGGAAGCCTACACACCCCGTGTCGTCACTCTGTGGTACAGGTGAGACATCCTCCTCTCCTTCTTCATTCTCTGGGTCAGCAAACCTTCTCCAGTGTGCTGCTCTTACTGATCACAGTACGGATTTATCATGATTGCCATGATTTGGCTATCTGGATGTGCTCCTTCATCTCCAGGGCACCAGAGATTATATTGGGCCAGGAGACGTACACAGAGGCGGTGGACATGTGGGCGGTGGGCTGCATATTTGCTGAGCTGCTGCGGAATGAGCCCTTATTCCCAGCCAAGAGCGAGCTGGAAACTCTGCTACTCATGACAAACATGTTGGGCGCCCCGAACGAGCGCATCTGGCCAGTGAGCTCATATGCACATATAAAATGTTTTTGCAGTGGAACCTGAAGCTTTGCACCAGATCCAAGGATTAAGGGGGAATCTCCTGTTGACAGTGCACATGCTGCCACACAGGGCTTTTCAAAGCTGCCGCACACTGCCACGACAAAGTTCCCCGACCAGCCCTACAACTATGTTGAAAAGGTGATCACATCATGCATTGGCTCTGCTTGTCTACCACTGCATCTGCTCGTACGACTGCTGCACTGAGTCCTTATTTATAGAATCTTTTTACTTCTTTCTATCTATTATATTTATGTACTCATGCATGCATGATTTGCAGGAGTTCCCCAATGTTTCAGTGGCGGGGCTGTCTCTCCTGAACCAGCTGCTGACGTATGACCCAGACAAGCGCGCCACGGCTCGCCAGGCGCTGAAGCACTCCTACTTCCAAGAGCAGCCGCTGCCCAAGAACCCCTCCAACATGCCCACCTTCCCCTCTGCCCACGACGCCGACGCGCACCAATCGCGCTGGCACAACCGCAGGCATGCATTTTCTGTCACATGTCCGTTCATCCTCAATATACCACTGGTGCATCGGCGCCGATATAAATACTGTGGCATTGCACAGCATGGCATGGCATGAAAATACCATCAGCCTGATGTTTATAGTGCGAGCATTGAGCATGGTGAGCGCAATAAAAGGCATTCTTAGCACGAGCTCTTTCGGAGCTGTTTCGGATAATGCTGCAATGACGGCATCTGCAAGTCAGGCTGAATGTTGTGGAGATTGCTGGCTTGCAAGGGCTGTTCTAATTGCGCATGTGCTGTGGGACAGGGCGGAGATGGAGCAGGAGGAAGACAAGAGCAGACATCAGTCTGCGATGAAGCAAGGCCGAGCCCAGCAAGAGCTGGACTCTCGCTTTGGGGATGCATTCGGGCCTAGCAGGCAGCCGCACCACAACAAACGCAGCAGGCGATAGCAAAGGGTGTTTATATGACACAAATCAGAGAATCCATTGAACACAGCAGCTAGCAATGCAGGAACATGGTTAACAGCATCCAAAACTCGTCAGGCTTGGAACAATATTGTCTATGAATATATATTGAAATTTGCCGCAGCTAGTATCAATTGAAGGCTGACAAGCATAAGTCTTGACATGCTCCAGAGCCAATATCTTCTTTTCAAGTGGCTCATAAGATACACAAAATGGTTTCATGTTGCACAGCTTCAAAGCACAGCTTGGCTTCATGTGACAGCTTGGTGAAGGACATTGGCGCACACAAGCAGGGACAGTATTAGAAAATGCAGTAGCGTCCTTTGCTGAATTGGCCTTACCAACATCATGGCGTTCAGAACGCCTGGAAAGCCCAGCGCTGCTGTACACGTACAGTATCTGTCATGTTAGTCATTGTGACGGGCCAGGCCCGCGCACATCATTCAAATTCTGCTCTATTCAGGCGGATTTCTGCATGGCGGGGTAGTTGGGAATGACGTGCATGTCTGCCAGCTCCTTGAACCAGCGGTGGAACACCTCCTCCGTGTACATCTTCTGCGCCCCAAAAGACACAGACACAGCCTTGTCTCAGTAATTATATTAAGCCTGATCCCAACCATGCTCATAGAAACAGGATATCTGGCGCAGGCTAGATCTAGAGGCTTTGCAGCATGCTCGACGCACAAGAAATCAGAATTGTGACAGCTGACATGCGCATGAACCCTGTGACATACACCCAAGGGGCGCCAGACCGCAGAAGCAGAGTTGTAGCAGACTGTGAGAGATGGGGCCAGATGGGAGCAACCTGGCCCTCGAAGCCGTCCTTGCGCAGCTTGGTGGTGTCGCTGTACTGGTCTCCTGGAGTGCTCAGCGTGTTGTCGGCGAACTCCCACTGAACCAGCTGCATCAAACCGAATGCCCAAGTTGGAATTTTCTATTATTATTGCTTGCCAGAGGCGAGGTTCGTCTTCTGACAAGCTGCAGGCAAAGGCTGCCAAAAGCATACCAATTGTTGAACTTGCCAGATCCAAGCAAGACCAAATCAACCCTGGGCACGGTGCTCAGACATAAGAACCTAATATTGGAATATCCAGGTGTTGGAACATAGCGAGCGCAAAGCGGTGTCCTGTTCACTACAACAACCGGTGCATCCCTGCATGCCAGAATTGCGGCATCTGACTACAACCAAGAAAAGCGTTGAATGCGGCATCATGGTATGACTGGGGTGCACCTTGTCGAAGGGGATGTCGTTGAGGTTGTGCTTCTTGACGATGGATTCCCACAGGTCCTTGTGGTGCGGCATGAACTTGGCCAGGGGGATGCTCGCCGTTGTTGACGACGTCTTGACGTCAACTTGACGTCGTAGGCGGTGTTCTGAGCGTGGGAGTTCTTGAACAGCCAGATCTGGAAATCTGTCAGCAGGTTGACATCAGCGCAGTCCAGCAGCGCATGATAACCTCTCGGCGACCCGGGCTACCTAACACATACAATGAGTCATGGCAGTTCTGCATGTTTTCAGCGGTTTTTGGTGGGCAGAGTCATGGTAACAAACAAGGGAAAAGTTCAAGTAAGCAATCTGACCTCTGATGCCAGCAACTCCGAAGCACCATAGACGATGCTCAAAGCCGCATATTGAAAGCACACTCTACGGTCCATCAGAACCAGGCGGCATCAGAGATGGGCACGACTGTCAGGGATCAGGAAAGCACCTCATGGGCAGATTCAATTACTTGCAGACGGTCCCATACACTGCAAACTCCATCAGCCAGTTCATGTAGCTTATGCAATGCAGCACACAAGCCTTTGAGCTTTCCAGTTGTTTATGATTTCCGAAGCATGCCGCAACAATCTTTCCCTTTGGTGTGCAAGAACACCATTTCCTGGTGAATTCCACGTGGAGTGCAGAACACACCGCGGCTGTATCCGATGACGGATCCCGGCATGTAAGTGTTCCTGCAACAGGCAGACCATAATTCACTGGCAGGGCTTCAGTTGACGCACTTTGGGGACAGCTAATTGCTGAAACTGTGCGACCAGGACAAATGAGGAGCTTTCTACAGCAATCGCATGCAACCCCTAATTGGAAGCACTGGCTGGAGCATAACCAGAGAGGAAAATGCCCAGATTACCAGTTCCATTCGGCGCCCTTCTTCTTGCGCTCAATGCATTAGTCCTGCACACAGGCAGCAAAGTTCACCTCTGCATCCTTGCGCTGATCAGGGTTGCGGTGCTATCGTTCTCACATACTCTGGTTTGTGCTCCTCTCTGCACAGGCAGACAAATAGTTTTATGTCATTGTTAATGCATAGCAGGTGGGGATTGATGGGGGGGCCGATCACACCATTAAGTCATAGTAGAACATGGGCGGCAAGTGACTGCGCCAACAAGAAGCGGCTTAGATCACTGTCAACATCCAGCAAAATGCGCAGAGTGGCTATCTAGGGAATATCCTTATTGGAGGAAGGGACGATAGAGCAGGCAAGATTACCAAGGATCTGTCTCGCGGAAAGGAGTTTTGGGCTCGCCAGGTTCTTGTGCCAGGTGCACACCTGCATCAGCGCACCAATCTTTATCAGGTTGCTTGTGTGTTGGGAGTTTAGGTCACAAGCATTCCACACAAAGGCAGCCAAAACAGCTGTTGTTTGGTACTATAGAAGGATATGGGAGAACAGGCAGGCATGTCAAATCCAGGAATGATTGCTTTAAAATGACCTGTACTCCATAGGATTGACATGCCATTGAGAACGTGCCAAGACACGGAAGGTTGCTGCAAGGCACCTAGCCCTGATCAGGGTCGGGCTCATGAGGGCGTGTACTAACCAAAATAATTTGGAAATGCGCTTGACTTGGACTCGTAATCAAGAGGTGATCTGCTGACTGCGTATACCTTGGACCAGTCATCCGAAGCATCCAGCGTCTTCACCAAACAACGACCTGGCACAGTGCATGTTGATGAGTCAGATGGCCGCTGTGAGATACTCACGGCCGTGGCCGAGAGAACGTTGTCAAAAACAATGATCAGGCATGAATTGTGGCGCCAATATCTCAGTGTCGTCACATGAAATATGTGAAGTCGATGTAAGGCATTTGCCCGATCTTGTGGATACGCATACTCACCTTGAATGCCGGATGCGCCGGTGATCAACGCCACCTTCCCCATCCCTGATATCGATCTCTCAAGTATGTTTTACGTTTTTTAGACTGTCCAATCTCAATTTATTCTTGATTTCTTCTAAAGTACGTTCCTTGTATATTCCTACAAAGCTATTTTTGGCCTGGCTGAATTGAAGCTGTTCGACGGCGCTGGAAGCAGCGGCGGTGCCGTGCGAAAGAAAATGTTCCGAGATGCTTTGTGCTCACGACTTTGAATGTATATTTACATTGCTTGCATGATTTCAACGATCTGAGGTCCCTGAAAGTTTAGGCATGGCGCGGCATAAAGTTGTCAGCATGAAAGGCAAAAGCAACAAAGGCAAAAAGTTGGCAGAGAAGGATGAGCTTCCATCAGACGACGAGATCGAAAAATTCCACAAGCTCAAGGATAAGATGAGCCTCAACCCATCAGACGATGATAGCAGCGCCGAGGAGGAAGGCAATTCGGAGGAGGAGGCTGTGTACAATCTGAGTGAGGAAAGTGAGGACGATGACGAAGAAGAAGACGAGGATGACGAGGATGCTACAGGACGCCTTGCGGAACGTGTGTGCTCCCTTACCCAAGACGGCAGCATTTAGATTTATCAATGCATGAGCCATCGTTGGTTTTACTAGGCCATTTCCTTGTGCACTCTGGGCCCTTGAAGGGAGTGAAGTATGTTTTTGATCGATACAAAGAGTAGATTATAATTTTAGCGGACACTCTGACCGTGTCATGTGCATGAGGCAGTCAAGAAGCAGGAGAAGCGGCTGCGGGCTAAGCTGCAGCTGCAGCAAGGCGAAGACGAGGACCTGGATGATCAGGATGAGGAGGCAGAGGAGGATGAGAGGCTGTGGGGCGCCAAGAAGAGAGCCTACTACGATGCTGACGAACAGGTCACACCTACCTCTTTCCTCCACCCTCAAGTTTCCTTGTCTGTTACGCTTGTGCATGGGGGCTCGCTCTGATATCAAGTACATTCATCAGACCATACACACTGCATCATGCCATTGTGGGTTTCTGACCACGTGGTAGCGTTGGCAATTCAGACACAACGCTCTACACAAGCTAGGGACTGCTGCATGTTGATGTCTTCGACGAGCTGGAGTTGTCCTCTGAGAGACATGATCTGTGGGGGCTGCAGACGGATGATGAGGATGCTCTGAGGGATGAGGGCGAGGAGGCGCTGCGGCTGCAGAGGCAGGCGGCAGAAGCCCTGCAGGCCGAGGACTTTGAGCAGGTCAGCGAGCCAGAGACCAGCGACGAAGAGGAGGAAGATGACGGCATCGAGACCCTCGGCAAGATGGCGGCCAATGGGGTGAGTAGCCCCGCCGCATTCACAAGGACCATGCTCCCTCCGATGTTTGCAGTCTGTTCAGCAATTCAATTTGATTGAACTTGCCTGGACAGAGAGTCCCTTGAATGGCAAATGCATATCCTTATATCAATCTGTTTACTGCTGAGCAGTGAAAGCGCGGTCATGCTGGCTTGTCATTCAGTAATCTAGGCAGTCACCAGGCTTGCTGGTTCTGAACAGGCCTGAGCAGTCCTTTGTGAACTGAGAAGAATTCATTGCCAGGGTTCCTGCTTGGGAAGTTATCGAGCGGTGCGATTGTGTCGGCGCAGGCGCAGAGGGGCGCGGTGCAGGTGGAGGAGGTGGAGAAGGATTTGGGGGCGCTGACGACGGAGCAGCAGCGCGCGGCGGTGATGGCCGACGCGCCCGAGCTGGCAGCGCTGCTGGCCGACCTGCAGTCCAGCCTCGCCGAAGTGCGCAGCCGCGTCGGGCCCCTGCTCAAGGAGGTGCACAACCCTTCCCTCTGACGAATTTTGAAGGTGCATGTAGACCTAATAATCGGAGTTCACAAAGGTGCGAGCCAAGGGGAAGCAGCCGTCAGGAAGTGCACACTCACTTGCGCCCCTTCATCTGTGCTCTGCTTGCTCACCACGAGACACAAGGGTGGAAGACGCCAAGGGCGTGATTGTTTGAGGTGCTCGTCGCTTGCTGTGCTTGCATAGATGAAGGGTCTGTCGCTTACCACGATACATTTAGCAAGGGCAGAAAACGCCAAAGGGATCATTGTGAAGCAGTACTTTGCAGGACCGTCAGCCCTTTGTTTCCATGATAAAGTCATCACACGGTGTGTTATTCTCTGTGTTAAAGATTCAGTGACGGTGGTTGGAGCAGGTGAGGGCGGGGCAACTGGCGACGGTGGAGGGTGTCTCCTATCTGGAGGCCAAGCACCTGCTGCTGCTGCACTACTGCATCCACCTGGTCTTCTACTTCCTGCTCAAGGCGGAGGGACGCCCCGTGGCGGACCACCCCGTCATCGGCCGCCTCGTGGAGATCCGCGCCTTCCTCGACCGCGCGCGGCCCATCGACAAGCGCCTCCGCTACCAGATGGACAAGCTCCTCGCCGCCGCCTCCGCCATCCAGGTGGCTAGCTGCGTCCTGTGTCCTCATGTCCCTAAGCTTTGCTGCTACATCCTGGGCAGGTGTCGTTCCTGCAAGTAGCTGCCATGTACACATATCAATTGGGTGCTGAACTGGCGCCATTAAGTGCTTGCTGTCTGATGCAGCATGTAAGAGCAAAGAGAGTCTTTTGCATTTATGTGTGCCTGATGTTGTGTATATTTTTGTGGCAGTCCACAAAGGATGCCGGCGAGGATAAGGGGGCGGAGGACGACCCGCTGCGCTACGGACCGCGTCCGGAGGACCTCGTGCCGCGCGTCGGCGCCGCAGGCGCCGCGGCCGGCGACGGTGTCTACCGGCCGCCCAAGCTCAACCCCGCAGCCATGCAGGTAGCCCACCACACCTTTGTATTGACTTTATTTTTATCGGCATGCACACAGTGGAGCATCCAGGCAGCATTCGTAATGAGGATGAAGAGTTGATGAGAGGTGAGGTGCTGAGGAGGAATTGTGCTGCTGCGCAGGAGGACCCGGACAAGAACTATGGGCGCAAGGAGCGCAGGCGCGCGGAGGAGATCAACCGGCGCGCGGCTCGCAGCGAGCTCTTTCAGGAGCTCGTGCAGGAGGTGGAGGGCGCCCCAGAGGAGGTACGCCCCCGTCCTGGCCCCTTCCCCTTTGACCCCTGAATATTTATTCTTTTGCATAATGATACTCCATGTACATATCTGCCCCCAAGCTCATGCCAATCTGTTTCCTGCCTGTTTTGCGGTCAGGCTCTCATGATGTGCAATAGTATGCTGCTACCAAGATCAAAATGTTCCTGCCTGTTTCCTTTCCTGAATTGCCATACTCAACTTTTTGGGTGATGTCTGAGACTTGATTTGTGTGCTGTGCAGCTGCGGGCGTCGGTGCTGCCGGGAGAGGACACGGCGGCGATGAAGCGGCAGAGGGCGCATCTGAGCGCGCGTGCAGCGGTAGAGGAGGACATGATGCAGCGCGTGCAGCTGAGCAAGGAGGAGCGCCGGCGGCTGAAGGGCGCGCGCCGATCCGCGCTCTCCGGCGGCGCCATGCTCGATGACCTCGCCGACGACGTCGCCGGCATCGTGCAGGCGCGCTCTTTTCTATTGTCAATGCTGCAATGGTCTAGACACTTCTCAGGCGCAGGTGTGGATGGGGAAGAGCCTGCGCTGCACCATGGTCTGTCCTATCTACACCCAACCCAAGAGAGCTTTGTTTCTTATCTTCCAGAAGACACTTGTGGCTGGATGTTATGAGACCGGGAGCATAAACTTGCATCTGGGAAGTATATTCAATCCTGTTATCTTCTTGTATGAACGGAATGAGAACGTGCAGCATCAGCAATCACCCTTGTGATCATGAATGGTGTAAGTGACGCTGTTGGGATGCCTGCACAGGCGGCGGATGGCATTGATCCCGCCTTCCAGAGCGCGCGCGTTTCGCAGAAGTTCGGCGCTGACCTGTCGGCCGCCGCCGGTCGCAGCGTGCGATCCGGGGACGCTGACCTGCCTGTCAAGGCCCCGCTGCACGAGCGCCGCGCCCGCCTGGACACTGTGAGCCCTCGGCTTGGCCCCTGCATTCGTTCATTCACCAGCACGTTTGCCTCTTGTGACGTAACAATGAATGTCTTCCTGGGCATTCTTTGGGGAAGACATCAGCATGATATGGAAAGACATTTGACCATGTGAGTGGTGTTCATTGCTCTGGCAACAGAGTTCAAACGCATGTGTGCCAGCTGTTCTGCTTGAACGAGAGGGCAATTGATGTCTGCAGCCCAGACTCCTTATGCTGAGGTTCCCATGTCATTTGTGAAGGTGCGGGCCAAGCAAGCGGCGACCAGGGACATGGACATGGATGAGGACGATGACATGCCGGCAGAGTTCGTGAGTGGCGGTGCCGCCAAGAAGCGCGGGCGCCAGGAGGAGGATGTCGACGAAGATGAAGATGACGGCTTCTATGCGCAGGCCGCCGCCGCTGCGCAGCAAAAGAAGGCGGCGCGCAAGGACAAGTGCGTGGCAGTGAATTCCCACTAGAGATCACTTGTTGTACATCCATGGCATGGATGTGCATGAAATATGATGGCTCTTAGCCCGCCAAGATGTGGACCTTCTGCAGAAGGTCATGTGCTCTGTATTGCTTGCTGTGATGGCTGTGATGCCCTGATGCGCGATGGGTGGTTGGGTGGCTGGTGGTCGATTTTTTTTCGCAATGGGTGCGTAAGATTTGATCGCACTGCATGCAGGTATGCGGCCGCGGCGTCATTCCCGCCACTGCCGGATGAGACTGTGGAGGGCGCTCGCCCCATCAATCGCAGCGTGGAGAAGAACCGCGGCCTCACGCCCCACAGGTGCTCTCTCAGCCCACCTCTGTTACAGAGTTTGCAGACTTTTCTTGTGAAGCTCGTGGCTCCTTCAACACTGCATGTGCACGATGTCATGCTTCGCATTTGGGCTGTCTATCAATTTTCCATTGCAACTAAATGGTGCTGTGCTGTGGTGCCTTACGGGGTCACCTGTTGGGGGCTGCAGAAGTGTTGTGAGGTTTATAGCTCTGTTGTGGCTGCAGGCGCAAGGACATCAAGAACCCGCGCGTCAGGCAGAAGAAGCGGTTCGACAAGAAGAGCAAGGCGCGGCGTGGGCAGGTGCAGGAGGGCCGCGCGCAGGTGGGCTCCTACGGCGGAGAGGCCACCGGCATCAAGGCAGGCGTCTCCAAGAGCCGGCGCTTCTGAGCTGGCTGCTGAGGGGGTCGTTGAGAATCTGCATGCGCTTAGAACTTTCTGGTGGTGTTCTGCAGCTGTGTTTGTCAGGAATGCCTGCATGAGTGTGAACAGCGTGCAGCCACTCCCTGAGAAGGCTGACGTATTCATAAGTAGTGAAGTGTAAGGTGGCTGAGTGCTTTTTGAGCAGCTCATCATTTGTTGGTGTGAAAAGATTAACAGTCAGTGAACGACAGCATCTCCATCAAGAATCACAATGCGGTGCATCTATAAGCACATGCATGTGGTTCTACAAGAAGAAATGCCCAGTTGTTGGTTGGCAAGGAATGTCAGTGAGAACATGCAGCACTATTTGTTGATTCCTGGTCGAAAATATGAGGAAGTTGCTGATGGAAAGACTCGTTACAGCTTTCACTGCGATCATATCCATCAAACGCCCTCATTCAGGGGATCAAGCACGCTCACAGGCACATCTGCCTAACCACGCAAAAGCTGCTCCTCAGCCATGTTCCGCAGCCACAGTGCAACGTCTGTCAGGTTGTCACCTCTGCGGGACACACAGGACCCAAGCGGTCAATTCCCACTAATAAATACCGGACAACACCCAAATGCACGCCCAACAGTTTCGCCACCCCAGGAAAACAAAACCATCAAGACAATGACAAGGAGGAAGGTTGTTCTTAGTATGAAAATTTCAGTAATTGATGGAAAATGGGCTCACGTTCTTGAGGTACTCCTGGACGATGGAGAGGCCGGCAGTCTCCTCGCCATAGTCAGTCACCACGACGGAAGAGCAGCCCACAACCTTGCGCGCCTCGCCCTCAGCATCGATCTTGCACAGCTGCACACACGCACCAGGATCCATTAGCCCAATCCTTGCCCCTTGACAGTGACGATTCCCTTGTGGTGCTTAAAAAGGATAGACACAATCGTCCTTATCTGCAGCGCTGACTCTGCAGAGCGCTCAATTGGATAGTGTGCGAGGGAGAAGGTGCAAAGAAGGCTGAGCAGAAGAGGTTTGCTCACCCCAGCCCACTGGCCCAGCTGCTTGGCCTCGGGCACAGAGAGCAGGCTGACGCCGTGCTCCGCGCACAGGGCCTCCACCAGCTTCTTGTAGTCGGGCTGGTTGCAGTCCTCCGCCAGCACACACAGCTGGGCCTGCATCACACTCACCCCATCAGCTCAACGTGAACACCAGTGCTCAGAACCCTCAGAACAAGACATCATCACACCGCAGCTAAGCAACTTGACCCAGGTGATGTGCCCACCAGCGATGTGACTAAATTCCTGCAACAGACTCGCAAAGGCAGTTGCAAGGTCTGATTTTGTGCAGCCTAAGTACTCATGCCGCAAGGTGGCACAGCACCAAAGGATGAATTTTGCACCTCGCCGCGGTCGAGAGCGCGGGCAGTCTCGTGCAGACCGCGAGCAAGGCCATCGTGGGCGAGTGCCTTCTTGAGCACCATCTGGAGCGCCGTGTTCACATCCATGGGCTCATCGGGGGCAGGGGCGGCGGCCGGCTTGACCTCGGCGGCCTCCTCTCCCACAGCCACAACTTCTTCCTCTCTGCAAGATTCATGTACTCCATATTGGTTGCTTGTCAAAATAAGACAGGTAAGCAATCCTCCATGCTGTTGCGGCAACTATATGCAGGAAGGAATCAAGACGATTTCCAAGCAAACACTCGCACTTCATTTCTTTGATCAGATGACTCGACCGGAGCAATGGATGTCACGACGGCTTGCACTGTGGAACATAGATAGGATGCAAGGTCGAACGCAGCATGATAAGGCGCACCCGTCAGACATCTTAGGTCCTCGACAGTAGTCTACTGTCTCCCTGTGTCTGGTTGTCCTCGAGGATGAGTCTGCATGCCCAACAAAAAGCTAGTTTAGAGCATGAGCACTTGATGAGACAGAAAATAAAAATTTTGGATTAGCAAAAGGGCGCCCAACACCGAGCTGAGGTCCATCATCGCACCTGGCTGAAAAATATTTTGTGTCGATCAACGCTTTATAATGATCTAGGCCAGAGCACAAAGCTGGCGGCTTGGTAGAGGTCCCCGTGTTCGAACGGCGTTCCTGCAGAGAGCTCAGTCACCGCTCAGTCACCAAATCGGAGGTGCTAGTGACTTGGCTCGCAAGCTTTCGTGCAAGGCTTTCGTACAAGGCTCATCAAGAAGGTAGCAGATTTGGTGATTTGGGTCAAAGGAAGAGAAATTTGATCAAAGGAGGAACTTTGCCCAAGTTTTATCTATTGTGCTCAGCAGGGCCAGAAAAATGGGAGACAACTGGACAACAATAGGTATGGAATCACCTTTTATATCTGATTGAGATATCTATATTGTAATTTGCCAGTGCCAACGAGTTGCTTCAACGGTGAGGCTCGAAATGTATTCTTGATTCGGCGCAGAATCGGACCCAGGCGTCTTCACGGAGCTGATGACGGAGATGGGCGTGCAAGGGGTACAGGTATGTGTGAACTGAGTACTTTTGTTGCAAGCGTGTGCGCTCATGGCTTTCTACCAATATTGAGCCTATCCTGATCTGGAATTTCACTGCGTGCAGATGGAGGAGCTTTATGCTTTGGACAGCGAGTCCCTGCACGCAATCAGGTGCGTAATACTGCGTGTCAGCTCATTGAGATTATAATTCCCATTGTAAAGCTTCGAACTGCAGTATTCGACTGGTTTTGATAATTTTACCACCTGATTGCATTCTTTTATCGTGGTCAGTGTTGATTTATGCACGGGTCACTATGATGTTGCGTGCGTTCTCGCAGTCCTGTGTATGGGCTCATCTTCCTCTTCAAGTGGCGGAGCGAGCAGGACAATAGACCAGCGGTGAGCGAGGCAGACTACCTGGGCAAGGTGTTCTTTGCAAAGCAGGTGATCACCAACGCGTGTGCTACGCAAGCAATACTGTCGGTGCTCCTCAACAGGCCCGACATACAATTGGGCGCTGAGCTCACCAATCTGAAGGATTTTACTGCGGACTTTCCTCCAGAATACAAAGGTGAGCCCTGGTCATCCATCACCACACTTGGGAAGTTTGCTAATTTGCAGCTCAGGAACTTGTTGTTATTATTCTGTTGCTTGTGAGGTGTGCATGGCAGTGATCTCCATCTCGGAAGAGAGAAAGCAGTCACTCATTAATAGTTAATAGTATGAGCCATGCAGGCCTGGCAATCAGCAATAGCGAGAGCATTCGGCGAGCGCACAACAGCTTCTCGCCGCCGCAGCCGATCGTGCCGGAGGAGAGCCGACTGGCCGACAAGGATGACGAGGTGTACCACTTCATCTCCTATGTCCCAGTAGACGGCGCCCTCTATGAGCTGGATGGCCTCAAGCCTGGGCCCATCCGCCTCTGTGAAGCCACCGAGGTTTGCATCCCCACTCGCCCACCTAATGAGTGTGACATGGCTCAGTGGCTGTGAAGCCAGTCAGGTTCGCCGGGTTCCTGCACAGCCAGCTGTGTGAGATGGTTGCAGATGCCAGAAGCTTTGCTGTCAGGTCTTGATGGGTGCTCTAGCCCAGGTCCTGATGGTTATGATAGCCCAGATTCTGGATCAGAAGGTGGCCAATGCATAGTTACTCACTCTGCCAGAGAAGCAGCATTCTGTGCAGTCCCCTCCCTAGTTATTTTATCTGCATTGGTGTATGCGTGTCATGTGATGGACGAACATAGGATTGATTTGCTCTGCGCGCAGGACAACTGGTTGGAGAAGGTGGGGCCATTCATTCAGAGCAGGATCGAGCGGTACGCGCAGAGCGAGATCCGCTTCAACCTCATGGCAGTGATCCGCAACCGCTCGGATGTCATTGCAGAGGAGCTGGCCTCTCTGGAGGATCGCAGAGCGGCCCTTCTCTCCACATCCGAAGGTGCTGTTGCTGGACCTGTCGCATGTGCACGCTGCTTCAAGTCTTTTTCAATTGTTGATTTATTGTTGGCATATGGATGATTTGGACTGACTGGCAGGAGTGTGGTGTGTGCAGAGGGAGACCAGATGCAGGTTGACGGCAAAGGGAGCGAGACACCGCAGGATCTAGCCTCGATAGAGAATGAGATAGTCAGGTGAGTGTGAAGGCCACATTGCAAGATTGTGCTGTCGTGCCAGCTTGTGTCCTGTTGTAATGGTCCCACGTTGGAGATGTGTATGACATGAGGCATTCTCATGGTTGCAGGGTGCAAGAGGGCCTGCATCAGGAGGCTGCAAAGAAGAAGCGGTGGCATGATGAGAACGTCAGAAGGAAGACAAATTATGTGCCGTTCATTTTCCATTTTCTCAAACTGCTTGCGGAGAAGGGTCAGCTGAAGCCCATCATAGAGAGGGCCAAGACAATGCCAGCAAAGGAGCGCCAATGAGGAAACCATCTGTGCAGTTGAGATTGTGCAAGGAGGCAGAGCGCATGCCTGGTTCCTCCTAACCTTGGACTCAAGAGAATGAGACAAGTAAAGACATTTTTAAATGCAATATTGAAAAGAATGCTTGCTGTGTGGATACTGTGTTGCAACTCATCCGCATACTAGGACAAGCACTGTTGTGCACATGTGCATCTCCTATTGGCATCTCCTATACACACAGCTGCAGCATCGGCCCCAAGTCAAGATCAAGCACTCCTTAGACAGTCAATACAAACTCCGCAATAGCATGAGTAGTTGTCAATCATGCGACAGTCTGGAGGGCACTGAACTACAGTTTCACGGCACTCTGCACTTGCGCTCCAGGGGCGGCCGCACGCAGTCCAAGCCGAACACAGATGCAACATGGACGGCCCTTCTAGATGGGCGTAATTTAGGGTTGCAATTGGAACATGTTTTGCAAACCATTCAAGATCTTCAAATATAAGCCCTAACTCTTCACTGCTGCCAAAATTAGCTTCCTGCCACGCTACTCTAGCTGGGACCTTTACATACACCAGTCTGCCGCCAAGGTAGAAATCTGGCACGTGGCGGAGACCTTCAAGAGAAAGGTACGCTTCAGGAGTACCCAACTGATCTACCTGGACTACCACAGTCTTTATATGATGCAGCGCACCGAAGAAGGTGGGGAGCGTATCAACAACTTTTAGTACAATGTTGTCAAAATCATATGTGCAAATCTTGTCAAGTACAGTGTCCCATTGTGAAAGCGAGAAATCAACCGTTTCCAGGCCCCTGAGGTGCAACCAGCAACTGCTTGGCAGATGTAAGGCAGCTGGACGGATGCAATTCAGCGCAACAGAGTACAAGCAAGGCATGTTTCCTAAATCTAAGCGTGGTGTTTCCACCAATATCTCATCCGAACTATGCAAGCAAAGGGTCTCCAACTTTTCTGCATGTCGGATGCCGGCGAACAGATTGCCTAGATCCGTGGTCACATCTAACAGAAGGTGCTTCAGCTGTGACAGCGGTGGAAACCAGGGAATTTTATCAAGGCAGGCATGCAGCAGCCTCAGATTTGTAGCACTCGCCAGAAGCCACAGAACTGACATCACGTGCGCCATTACTTCCTCATGGGTCTCTTGATTGCTTCCAATGATCTTTACCTCCTGGAGGTTGGTCAGCCTATTGAGATCCTGCCCTAACGCGTCCACAAGGCGTTGCCAGTGCTGCGCATACAGCTCCAATGTGCTTGCGGACCTAAGCCTCTTGCTGACCCACTCCACCCCTGAACATGCCCAAGCAAGGTGTTACCCCTATGCGAACTTGTTGCTTTCAGCAGCTGCCAGCTACGCAAATCCCCCTCAAGATAGGAAGCCAATTGGCTTGTTGGCGGGTATTACAAAACGTCCAAGGTACAACAGAGCAATCTGCATGAAGACTCACCGGGTGGTTGAAGGTCGTGTGGAATATATACATCGCGCATTTGCAGACTGTATGTTGTGCGGCAGGCTCCTGATGCCTTAGCCCACTCTATAAGCGACAGATAGCTGGCAATTTGCGCCCACACTGACTCTGGCAGCTCTACTGAACTTGCAGACTGCTGAGCGGTAGTGCCAGTCTTGATTCTGGGTGGCATCCTTCACAGACACGCAGCATTCTTAGCATGCGGCTCCATACCATGTTTCACATTCTTAGAAAAGCAGAACTTTCCATCCTGCACGATCAAGGGCTTGCAGAATGACAATCGTTGCATCACACAGCAAACGGGAGGATCCAGGAGGACTTTTGGTGTAAGAGCGCTTACCTTTCCTACAGTTGAGCTCCTCAATAGATGCCAGATATAGCGCTCTTCAGGATGGGCCCAAGACTGCTATTTTGTTCTTAATTAATATTTGCAATCCTCTCATCAGGTGAGAATTTTTCCTACAGAAACTCTCTGAAATTCATGCAGCTGACATATATCTAGGAATTTGCTACGATGAGAACATTGTCACATCATTCAGGATGGATCTGCCATAGACAAGTACCGGTCAGCTTCCTGCAGGCTGGCTGCATGTATTTCACGAAGGGACAAGCAGTAACACCTTCAAGTCGCTCTGCGATCTACGACTATTGTGAACTAGAAAACCAGACCGATACGAAATCGAAGATTTAGATACGTTTGGTGATGAGAATCCCAAATTTGTTGGGGTCTGCGCCAGACGTCCAGATTGGCGCCAAAAGAATCATATTGGACCCCTTTTGAGGGTTTGAAGCCATACCTGCAACACCCTTTGAACAGTTTCGAATCTCAGTAAATTTATATAAGGAACATGGTATCAGGTTGAACTCTTAGGTGACACCACATACCGCAGGGGTGCAGACACATCATGTTCACTGCAAAATGTGCTCTTGATGACTTCACAACCTGGCCTGCATGCGCCATATGCCGGCATGCTGTGCGCACATGCATCTGAGCATCTGCACTATGCGCCCATTCAATGCAGAAGTTCTGCATGTCATCCTATCCTCTTCCTCTTACACATGAATGATTGCCTCTGCGCACCGCATTTACTGCCGCCCACTGGGCAACCTGGCATTTGCGTGTCCTAGGAACCTTTTTCAGTGGAGGGGTGGATTTATTTGGACCCGGGTGGAAAGCCGAATGAGCCATGCGATTTATGGTTGCAGCTTCAACCCACACAATTGTTGCTCATCGTCATGAACAAGACCATATCACTGGGCCAACCATTATTAGGATATCATCAAGGAATCCATCGTACAGTGCAGACGCGTTTTTTATGCACACTCTTGCTGGAGCGCCACTGCCATGTACCAAACGCATGAAAACATTCAGTACAAAACACATCATCGTATTTCATTTGTCATGTGAGATGCGAATTTTCTGCCAGAAGCAGCGGATGCTACACTACAATTCTATGTTTCCTGCAGTATCTAGCTGCATTTCCAAGTCAATTTCTTTTGAAAGGATCGTTGGATTTGATGCTGACGGGCGTATTTTATGGATGTCTCTAGGTAGCTATAGGTCCTATATGCTAGCAATCAGAATTTTTCTGTCACCTCAACAGGATCTGCTCTACATGTTATCGCCGAGCTCTTTACGGATGCATTCCACTGTACAGACGATGCTCTCATTCTCTGAGCAGAGAGAGGCTCAGCGGTCGTCGTTCAGCTGCAGCCGAGCCAGCAGGGTCTGGGCAGCGGTGGGATCACACCGGGCGCGCATGTTGCGGCCGGCCGGCGGCGGCAGCAGCTCCAAGCGCTTGCGCGACAGAGGCGGCAGCCCCCGGCGGCCCTTGTAGCCGCTGCGGCCGCTGCCCTGCTGCCAGTCGGACGTCTCATCCAGGCTGCACAGCTGCTCCCCTGGCTCGACAGAAGCCGGGGCTGATGCGCGCGGCGTACATGGGTCAGGGCTCTGGCTGCTGAGCGAGTGCGACGGCTCAAAGGGAGATGCGAAGCTGCAGTCCAACCCCCTCTGCGCGCCTGGGGTCTGCAGGTCCAGAGCACGCCGCACCCTGCAATAAATGACTTTCCTGAGTAACACATCGAAGGCTCACCCATTGGTGCAGGGCTGCTCTTGTGATGTCCTCTATTTTCTGTCTTACAGGAGCGATGTGCATACCTGACTCGAGGGTGAGAGTTCCCTGCTGCATGGCGCCGTGCGCTGTCCTGTGCTCGGCCAGGGCATGACTGCATGCATGGGGGCATTCCTGCACATGCGTCAAATCCTTGACCAGAATTTGCAGACCAAAGACTTTGGGCTGACACCAGAGTTGAGCACATCCTGCTTATTCACATGATCTGCAGCAGGAGACCAGGACTGCACACCTGTGTTGAACTTCAACGTTCTGCATGGCTCATTGAACGGGCTGACAGGCTTCTTGGGAGCTATTGGAAGGTCCCGCAGGACCGAAGAAGAAGACCTGGCCCAGTGCAGCAGAGAGCTTCATATACAGAAATTACATGTAATATTGCAAGACGCGGGCTGTTGCGCAATGTTCATTTCACCTGGGCATTGGGGTGTTGCCAGGGCTGCTGCCATACACAGTGGCGAACATAGGTCTCTTTGACGGAGGAGAAGAAGGATCCCCCATCGAGCTCCTTCTTCTACCTGTGGGCTGCAGAAAACAAGCCAACAACCTATCAGTGCCGCCAATGCTGTCATTCGCAATTGCATGAAGGTTGGCATTGCATGACATACTTCATCTCCAGATGTGGGCTGCATGTACATGGGCATTTCAGGAGGGATTGCGCACTGTGCTAGGTGCAGGCATATCTGTTATGGCGGTAGAAGTCTGAGCAGCGGCAGCCTCCAAGGCCTGATTGAAGCCCGAGTAGCTTGGTTGCCGGATGTCATCCATACCTCCTTGGTATGTGCCATGGTCCTCTGAAGCAATCTAAAGAGAAGAACAGGAGCACGATTGCCAGATAAGAACATTAAACCATCAGCGCTGAGCAAATAGCCTTGCCAGAAACCAACAATGTCCGCTTCAATAGCCAGCCAGCACACACTCACCCGCTCCCTCTTGTCCTTTTGTGAAATATAATGCCCATTTCCATCAAACCCTGTAGTAATACCATCCGAGAAGATTCAGGAGAGTGTTGTATTTCTCAGATCCTCGCTTTAGCATCAACGTTCATTTTCTGGGAATAGCTCGCATTGAGCCCGAGGCATGCACGTACTCTCAGGCGCACAGCTTTGTAGACTTATAGGATCCGGTGGCTTGTGGCTTTGCAGGCTCAAGAGGCTAATCTGGTGAGGCCTGTTCTCCTTCTCAGTGTCTGGTGTGCTGTCTGTCCACCAGGCGTGGCGCACAGGAAGTGCATATGGAGTAGCTTCCATGTTATTGGAAGAACAAAGTACTCAATATAATCGTATTGGATTGTCTGTCAAAATGCAGTGAGGCTCTGTCATCTCACAAGTCCTCACAACACCATGGACTTAACGCCTGACCCCAGGCAAAGACTTTTGGTACTTACTACATTGACATCAGAGCCATGTAAAGTGTGTTGCCGTGCTGTCCTTGCAGCGGTCAAGGAGGACTGTTGCGGGCCGCGACAGCCAGCGACAGCCAAATTGAAGAATGGGAGCTACGCGCCCTCGGCTTCACCTCTGGAATCTGTTCTTGGCGGAAAGGGGCAAAGCACGAAGCACAAGCAAGCACAAAGCACGGATGACACCAAAAGAAATCATTCACACTGATCAGGATGGATCCTCCTGATGAGAACAAGTTTGTTTCCTACAGACTCACCAATCTATCACAGACAGACATCTTGCTCCATCTCCCACTCCCAACTATTCCTGCCAATGTGAGGGCTGACAGGAGCAGTAATACTTTTTTGGATCAAGAGGAGCTTTGCAAGGATTCTGTACTGATGTCGCAGCTCGAAAACATGCTACAAGCTGCGGACGTCTCTACCATGTAAGTATACAAGATTGGATGTCTTTTGCTGAGGCTGGAAGGGGAATGCGCATGATCGTTTGGCTGGCACGCAGATCCTTGAGAAATCAAAACAATCCGACAGCAGACAACGAATGTCCCTTGCAACGGCAGTTATTGCTCAGGAATTTAGACATCTTTAATTGCACCTCTGCACGTGAGTTCACTCCTAGAGTTCTTGATAGGAATTGCATTCAAGCTCTAATGCTTTTTATATCTATTATGACACAATGTGAAGATAAATGTTCCGTAGAAAATGCCATCTTGACTGTAGGCACACCAGTGGCAGGGCCAACCTCAACTCCTGCAGCAGCGCAGAACACGCCGAAACCGTCATGTCAGACTGTGAGACGCTTCTTGCTACAAGTCTTTGGCTCACTGAACGGCAAAGAATCGACATGCATTGCTGGAACTTTCCACTCCTATCAGCTCCTTGGCGTTCTTAGGTTTCTTGAGGGGCAGGGGTGTGGTTGTTGCAATAGGAGCACAAAGAGCCTGAAGAAGCATCTGTAGCGACGCCTCCACACCCAAAGAGGAGGCGAACAACCAGATCAAGGGTTCCCGAGCAGGCTCCTGCGGTCATCTCCAGCACTGACATTGCCAGTGAGGAGCCTCATCGCTTCCATTATGACAGCTATGTCTTTGCTGCCACTCTACAGCTTGATTACTATTGCTTGCTCTAGGTCAAGACCAAGCGTCCATGCAGAAGTGAAACGTTCAATGTGTGTGTTGCAGAGGAGCTCGAGAAAAGCATCAGAGCCTTTCTGGCGATGCATGGGAAGCAGCAGTCAGCAGAAGGGAATGGTGCAGCGGATGGACGTGCACAGTCAGACAGCGAGGGCGAGGATGGTGATGAGGAAAGGGGGCATCAGAAACCCATGCTGCAGCATCTGAGGCGTCTGTCAGAAGCCTTGTTGAAGGGACAGGCCGCAGCAGCAATGCCCCTCATTCCCTTGGAGCAGCACCTGCACCTCTTGAAGGCTCTCGGCACCTACCTGCTGCAGGGCAGGGACAAGGTGGTGTATCCAGATGAGGAGGTCAGTTCTGCAACACTCTGTGCATTTCCTGCAATCTCTTGTTCTCACATGCATTAGATGGCCTTTGAGAGCCAAAAAGTCTAAGGAGGGGCAGACATGACATGACATGGCATGACGCAGTGTTTGTGAGCAGTGAGAAACCTTTACTGATATGTGCTTGATCAGGATTCCTCGGAGGATTCCATGGCCATCTTGGTGGCGACTGAAGCCAGCGTAGCCTGCCTCTACATGCTCACTTCCCCAGACATGCCGAAGCAGGTCTACCAGGAAGACATCATCGAGGCCATCATGGACAGCGCCAAGTTCAATCTCCTTTCAAATGTGCTGTCATTCCACGATGCACGCATCTGTGCTGCACACCGGCCCCAGATGGCTTCCGGGGCAGGTACGCCGCTGCTTCTCCATCACATGCATCTCATGCGTCTCTCAATGGGATGCACAGCAGCATGCGTTCTTTCCAATTCTGCTGCATGGGTGCTGCTGGTGAGAGTCTGAATGCTCTGTCTGATATGAACAGATGAAGATGCTGATGTGGGGCGCACCTCGGCCAAAAAGCCCAAGAGCGCCGCCAAGTCTGCTACCAAAGCAGCCAGGAGGAAAGCTGCAAGGTGTGGAACATGTGCACTGTGCACAGATCAATCATGCACAATGAAATATGTCATACATGCATGTCCACCCACTCAATGTGCTTCCACTGGGTGGTTGGTTTCTATGGTGGTGCGTGTGGACAGGATCCCGGAGGCTGTGGGCGTGTTGGCAGGCCGGCTGGAGTCAGTGGTGGAGCTGCTGGGGAAGCTGCTGGGAGTGGTGCAGCTGCAGCCCAACATGGTGCTGCCGCTGCTGCGCACTGCATGCCAGGTCCTCACCGTGGAGGACCTGCATGTTCTGCAGATCAAGTCTGTAGGTGCGCAGCTGCTCCCAAGCCCTGCCCTGCTCTGCTCTGCTCTCCTGCATGACGCGCATTCTGACTGTTTTTCCCTCTAGGTGGAGGATATTAGTGCATTGCCAGATACATGATATAGAGGTCTATGAGAAATTACAGGGCTGCTGGTGGCTGGGTTCAAGCGCTTCAAGGAGCAGCGGCAGGCGCTGCTGGATGAGGTCATGACCGGCGTCCTGCCAAACCTTCCCACGGGCCGCTCATCCAGGACATTTGTCATTGGGGACCACAGCGATGCAGCCATCCTTACGGTGTCGGCATTGCTGATCTACTTCATGCAGGCACGTGGCCACCCTCATGCCTGCTCTTCATGCGCTGTCCTCATCAAGCCTTTCCTGTGTGTGATGTCGCGCCTTTCACTGTACATATTATGACTGATGGGTTCTTGCTGCAGGTCTCTGTTGAGCTGCCATCTCTGGAGGTGGAGGCCGGGGCCCTGCGCAACTGCTACGCTCCAGTCATGCACTGGGCAGACGTCTTCTGGACGACCTGCCTCAGCAGGTGCTCTGCCAGAAACTCTGTCCACTTCAGACTTCTTTTATGCCAATAGTGGTTGTCCTCAGCTGAACATTTAGAGACACTTTGCTTCAATGAATGTCACCAGCATGCAATGATATGCTTGTGCAGGCTGGGCGGCGTGCGCGCGCACAAGGCTGATGGGGATGCGGACATCAAGTACATAGTGGAGCAGATTGCGACCGATGTCTTCCTGGTGCACTGCACGCCGGAGTGGCCGGCCGCTCTGCCGATGCTGCTGCGGCTGATCACCGCGCTGCACAGCAAGGCCGGCATGCACTGCGCGGACAACGCTGTCCGCCAGATCGCTGTTGACCTGCTGGGCTTCATTGCCTCGCAGCTGTGCTATGAGGCCAGGCGCGCCGACCTTGACATGCCCGCCGTCGAGGAGATCCTGCAAGAGGCCGGTATGTCCCCTAATGGCCGCACGCCTACCTACCCCAAGCAATCTCAGCATCTCCTTTGCTCACTGCAGTTTACTCTGGTACTTTGCATGTAGTCCCTGAAAATGGATCCTTATGTTACTCATGCCATGCGATGCTGCAGTTCCTTTTGTCTTGCTCGACATGCTTAATTGGTGGCAATGGTCTTTAGTGTTGTGCGCAGGCCCTTCAAGCACCGGCGCTGATCCGGCAAAGCAGCTGCTGCTGGGCTACCTTGCGGACCGGAGGCGGGGTGATGCAGAGCTGTGCGCGAGCGCGCGAGAATTCATGCTGTGCCAGGCCTTTGCTGATGAAGTCACAGACCTGCAGAAGGCTGACGCGTCCGACGAGGACCTGATCTTTGCGCTTGTCAAGAGCCGTGAGACTTGCGACGTCCTAAAGCGGGGCTCATCCAATGACCTGTCAGCTGGTGAGCACCCATCTCCGAGTCCCAGACATGGAGAATTCAGCGGTTTCTTTCCTTGATCATGCATGCACGCCAAATGTGCTGCTGAGTAACATGCATGCAATAAGCTGGAGAATGTCAGTATGCACATGGCAAACATGGAAGTAGTATCGACAATGTGCATGTGGCGTGCACAGAGGATGCATGCATGCTGGTGCGCTGGGTGGTCCAGTCAGGCCCTCTGGGCAAGGGGCGCGTGCCGCTGCTGAAGAGACTGGCGGACGCTGTGGATCCCACCAAGCAGACTGCTGCCATCCGGGCCAAAGCTATCAAGGCCATCACGGCCGCGGTGAAAATGGACACCAGCGTCCTGGGCCTCTCAGAGATTGAGCAATGCGTCAACAGAGCCCTGAAGGTGCATCAGTAGTATTCCGCTTCCCTTAGGAATGCAGAATGCCACTTCTTTCTTTTTGGCGCTTGTAGTATCGCACTGCGGAAGGGAACTCTAGCTGTTGATGTAGCATGTGGGTCTGTGTTCCATATAATGACACATGGTTTGTTGCAGGATGATGCACCCTCAGTGCGGCAGGCTGCTGTGGATCTCTTGGGCGGCCACATCGGGAATGACGTGAAATTGGCATCTGCTTACTTCGACACCCTTGTCACTGTCTCTCGAGACACCTCCACCTCGGTGCGGCACCTTTGTCGATGACGGCTAAAGGGATTTTGTGATTTTGATTGTCAACTGACTCACAGCCTTTAAAGAGCCTCAATGCCCTGCAAAAGCCTTGTAAATGGAAAGCAAGAGCACATGCTGACAAGTTGCGAGTGTCTGGCAGGTGCGGAAGGCGGCTGTGAAGATACTGTGGGAGTCATGCATCAGTGTGCCAGACTTCCCTCGCGCCTCAGAAGCCTGTGTGGCTGTGCTGCACCGAGTGGCAGACAATGAGGAGTCCATCCTCGAGCTCGTGGCCAAGATCTTCCATGGCCTCTGGTTTGCAGGTGAGCCATGCATCATCATCCTGTGGGGCACAAAGCAGACGCATACTCCCGAATCAGGGATGCAATCAGGCTATGCAATGGTCTGCAAAGACTGTGCTGTTTCCAGCCAAATGTGCTGCACCACTGTGTTGTTAGAGCACACTTGCTTATTGCTGTTTGGGCCACACATGACAGATAAGGTGCATGTGTTTTGCAGGCTCGCAGAATGCATCAGCGCCAACGCCTGCAGCCAGAGCGCAGCAGCTGGCGGATGTGTCGCTGTTTGTGTATGAGGCCGGCGGGTCCACCATCCATCTGCCACTTGAACCAAGCCACGCACTGGTGGCCGTCCTCAAGAAGGCGCTGGAACGCGAGGCCAAGGAGCGGCCTGGCAAGGAGTGGCTGGTGAGGCACCCCCCAGTGTGCCTCATATTGCTGTTAGGGACACTTAGGGTATGCCAGTTGGTCGGAAGGGGCTGTATGACGCAGAAGTGACTGTGTGGGGGATGACAAATGCAAGACTGGTGCGGGGCAGGCTGGAAGAGAGCTGGCGAGCGCCCTTCTGGAGGGGCTGCTCAAGGTGGGCGAGGGTGCTGAGGATGCGGCTGAGCAGAAGACATTCCCCTTCCTCGTGGTAGGATGCATTCAACTTGTTCTGTTATTGTCAAATGCTCAAGTATCATGAGCCCTCTTCTCCCACTCTCGAGGCTGCCTTGAATTCAGCAGGGCCGGCATTGAGGTCCATGTATGCATGCCTGTCTAGGGGTGTCATCAAGATAAATGTGCCATGCTGCAGGGGCTGCATGCGCTGTGCCTCACGGATGTGTCCCTGTGCACGCCGGCAGACGATGCATCCAAGTACATCCGCTGCCTGGCGCCCTACCTCAAAGTGGGGCCCTCTAGCAAGAATGCTCAGTGCCCCAAGAAGCAGGCAGCAGAGCGGCGGGAGGCCGAGTGCCTCCTCTGCATACTGGTGCGGAGCCCAGCAGACACACTACAGGAAATGAGCTGATCTTGACATATGCACTTTAGGAGAATCACCTGCCTGACATAGAAGCAAAATGCCTCAAGTACAACATTGAAGCAGAGAAAGTGTGCAGGCTGTGGTGGACAGCATCTTGGGAGAGATAATGAGCGTCAACAAAGCGCTGGTCACAGAACTGCAGAATGATCTCTTTGTGCTCATCAGCAAGCACCCCTTCATCCAGGTCAGCTATTCTTCCAGTACACAACCTTCTCCATCTGAAGACGTGTGGAAAGAGCCTTGTATCCTGTACTTGCAGAACCTGACCATGATGTGTATGTCTTGAGCAGGTCGTGAGTGCTGCGTGCAAGACACTGGCCACGCTGGCAAGGCATGCACCCAGCGCAGGGATGCTCATGACCAGCCTTGCTCAGCATTGTCTCTCTATCCTGCAGCAGAAGGAGCCTTGCAAGGCTAGTCCGGGCATATGCTCCAGGCAAGCGTCCTGTTCGGCATGCCTTCAGCCCTTCGAGGGCTCCATGCAAGCTGTTTCCTGCTCTTGTCACAACGGCTATATTTAATGCATGCTTGGAAATTTGTGTGCATATGAGGTGGGGCATGGTGCAGGTTTTTATTTGTTCTTGGGCAGTTGCTGAGGTATGGCACTGATGCAATCGAGGCGACCCACTTGCCAAATGGGAAACCCGTCACCGTGTCAGACTGCCAGACCACTTGCCTCTCCTTCTTCAACTCCTCAGTCGGTGCGCAATTTAAGTGCCTCCTACAGCCTGCCCCTGCCATAAATTAAACATGGGCCTTCTCCCTGCATCTGTGTCCGAGGAGCTTTGGAACATGCAAACTTCTGTTCAGACATGTTATGGACGAAGGGTTACGCATGGAAACGACGGCTGAAGTACCTGGATCGCTGTGCAGGGGATCTGAAGGTGCGCGAGTCTGCGCTGCAAGCGCTGGGCTGCCTGGGGATAGCGCGGCCGTCCACGCTGCTGGCACCCCAGGCGCAGGCCATCATGAAGGCCGCTCTGCAGCCCTCAGCGCCCACCATCATCAAGACCCGCGCCCTCAACAACCTCACCGAGCTGCTCAAGGTGCCCTGCCTCTTCCCTTGCTTTCAGTCTTCCTTTCTAGCCAACATAGGCGCCAGGCAGTGATGTGCTGGCTAACCTAGAGGGGCTTGCATGTGGACCTGGAATCACGTTTGAAACACAACTTAAACTGTATACTTTGTTGATTCGTGAGGTTGCTGTTGCTGTGAACTCTCCAGCCAGAGCCTGTGCATCTTTGAAATCAATCTGGCAGGCTACAAACCCTGGACACATATTGCCAAGAACCTATGTAGTACTGGAAGAGTCCATGCGCATGTTGCGGTGGCTGAGTATGGTTGTGTGGGTGCAGGCGGAGGAGGAGAGGCTAGAGAGCGCGCAGCTGGCGTCCGATGAGAAGCAACGGCTGGGGCGGCTGGGGGTGGCAGAACCTGCGCAGCCGCTGCCCACCCAGAACGGCGAATCAGACAGCCTCTCCATCAACAACAGCATTCTGCAGGTCATTCAGCCCCTTGCATGCATAGCAGAAGCAACTTCAGAGCAATGCAGCAATGCCTCCTGTGCTCTAAGCGTGTGGGTGGCCGCTCAAATGAACGCTGTCATCTGTGCTAAATTGGAGACCCCCAACCAGCCTTGTGCCTCTCTTCCACCACCAAACTCATCTCAATAGCTGATGCTTTTTCCCTCCTATCTCCCACTCGCATGAAGTCAAGTTATCCGAGTGGTTTCCTAGGCTAATCTAAAAGTTTGAGGTAATATAAGTTATTGTTGTACAGTTATGAGTAATAAAATAATGAGTGATTATTATTTTGGGCTGATACGGTTTTAACCACCTGTGCTCTGGCAGACGCACTGGGATCTGGTGCTGGGCCTGGCGACGGACGCAACGCCTCCGCAGACGCGCGCGGGCGCCAGCGCGGATCCGGGGGACGCGCTGAACGCGAGTGTGCGGCGTCACGCGGTGGCCGTCATGGACGCCGTAGACCGCAACGGCCTCGTCGCCCCCTGGACCGCCCTACCCCACCTCTTCGCCCTCACCACCGACCCCAACACGTGCGCCCTGTCTTGAGCCATGCCTCCTTTGACCCTTGGCCCAAGTGACTTGTGTAATTCTCTTGCCCTCTAGTAACCAGATGACCTCTAGGTGGGGTTACCTATACAGCATGCATATCAGGTATGTGCGGAAGGGAAGCCTGGCTCGGTGGTCAAAGGGGCAGCACAGTCATTTGAGTAATGAAAGAAAAGGCGTGCATATCAGGTATGTGCGGAAGGGAAGCCTGGCTCGGTGGTCAAAGGGGCAGCACAGTCATTTGAGTAATGAAAGAAAAGGCGTGCACTGCTCTGAGAAGCTGTGGAAACAGTGGATCAGACCTGGCCCATCAGCGTAAGTGCTAGCAGACTGCCAGGGCTTTTTACGAGCATTGAATTAAAACCTGCATTCTTCAGGGCAGGATGTCTTTCTTTCCATTCTTCCTGTGCAGCCATGCACGACGGCGCTTGCCTCAACAGCGTGTTGAAGAGCAACCGCGCAAAATAGACCTGCGAAAATAAGCATGAAGCTAAGGGGGCCGGTGTGTGCAGCGAGGTGTCGGCGCGGGCGCTGCGCATAATGCGGCGCGTGGCGGAGAAGCAGCCGGAGATGTTCCAGACCTGCCTGGCCAGCGGCCTCAAGGTCACCGCCGACTTCCACGAACGCATCCGCTCCAACTACCGCGCCTCCACCTCACACTCCGCCGGTAATAATGCCTCCTGCATTGCACTCCAACACCATGCGTGCTTGAAGGGCACACTTCCGGCTCTGCGCCTTGGATTGTCGCCAATTTTGTGGCTTGCACCCCAATGCCATGTATGTTTGAAGTGAACGTTTGCGACCCTGCATCCTGGACGTACCCGCCATAATTTGTGTCCTGCTCACCTGGGAACCCGCAGAGATGGAGCAGCGTAGCACAGCATTTTTCAGTGCGTATGCTGACTTCTTCTTGACAAGCTGCTGTGCAGGCAACGCGGTAATATCCCTGCTGGCGTGAGAGAAGTGAGTTTGCTGCAGGTGTGTCGGAGGAGGCAGTGCGTGGCTTGGGTGCGCTTTACATGGAGCTGGTGCAGCCCAGCCGCCCCCACCGCACCACCTTCCTCGCCAATCTCCTCAAGCCCTTCGACGCAGCCGCCACGCTCCACTTCCCGTCCTCCGCCTCCTCCGACCTCAGGTGCTCCCACCCAACTCCTGAGAGCATTGCAAGGACTAAGGCATGGCAAGAAATCTCTCATAATATGCCATCCTTTTGTTACTTGCTGGACCAACATATCAAATGGAGATCACAGGGGGTGTCTTTCCCATGTCTGCAAAAGTGAACATGTGCTCATGCCCAGCAATCAATTTGTAACTAGAGAGGGTTTGTTGGTCCCCATTACTATTGCTACTAGACGCTTTTCCTGCCAGAGGCAAGGTGCGTTTGCAGACAAGCTGCAGGTAATGGCTACCAAAATCCCACCCCTTGTTGGACTTCGCAAAACCAAACAATACCCAATCAACCGTGGGCACAGTGCTCATAATTTATGCGGCCCCCGCCAGTCTGGGCCCCTTTATGGACACTAGAAATAAAGTACTGTATTAGGGAAGGAGGGCGCAGATGCAATACACCAGACAGGATACCCAAAGCTGACATGGGTGGTGTGGTCAGGCTGCTGGCGCTGTGCGCGCATGTGGCGGCGACGCTGCCGTACAAGCGCGCGGATGAGCCGCTGGTGGTCGTCTACCACGTCAACCTGGTGGTCTCCCGCAGGGGCGAGGACGTCCTCTCCGCCCTCAAAACCTCCCTCGCCAACGGCGGCGCAGCCGCTGCACAGGTGCGCTCCTCTCTGTCTTTACTGTCCCAATCTACACCAGGCACAGAGTGCATTTCTCCTCAACGTACAATTCCTCCTTACATCAGATGTGCTGCAGGCCTCTCAAACATCAGCTGAAGCAGGTCTCATGTACCGTATGTGGGACTGCACTCCGAGGACGCATGTGCTGGCTTGACGACTTATAACACATGATGCAATGCTTATTTGCCCAGACCTGAGAGCACCTGGTGGCGGTTGTGCAGGAGGGGGATGTTGAGAGGGAGTGCAGAGCTTCGCTGGCGCTCTCCATGCTGCTGCTGCTCAAGCACCACCTCAAAAGCACCTATGGCCTCACAACCGACCGCATCGCTAACTTCAACCCAGGTGCGCTCACAAGCCATCTGCCAAATATCCAGCCTCAGAGTATGTTTTTCAGGAATACAGCATCCCAGAACTTGGTTCAATGGAAGGTCAAGCCAATTTGCTTGCATGCGAGGAGAGACAGGGCGCTCACACTGTGTTTCTGTCATTGCAGGCACAGCAGACACCAGGAAGCATGAAGAGACGAGGAGCCTGGGCCAGATACCAATAAAGCCACTGGACCTCGATCGGCTGAACCTGGATGCTGCCTCTGAATCTGCGCTCCTGCAGGAGCAATACGTCGTGAGCTGCTTCCCACACCACTGTCCTCCCTCCATTCGAAGAATAGTACTTGACTGCACAGACAATTGGAGTGTGCATTGACTCGCCCAGCAGCGTCAGAGCATTGAGAGTGTGAAGTCAGAGTTCAGATTTATCAAAAAAGTGATCAGCACTGACGCGGGGGGCGGCCATTGCAGGTGTTCAAAGCGTTGATGAAGGCCGACTCGAGCGACTACGGCGACGGTGTCCAACTTCTGGGCCGCAGGAAGTCGTCCAAGGCGGTTGCTGCACCTGCGGAAGATAATGCAGACGAGGATGCAGGGGAAGCGGGGGGTGCCACTCCTGCACTTGCAAATGGGAACGGCCGGATGGACCACATGCACGGCTCTGCCGGGCCCTCCACTGCAGGCAAGCCCGCCTGTCAGCCAGCCAGGATCACGATCAATTCTCAATGCTGCATGGCGTCCCTGATAAGGTCTTTCCAGATCCCTGTCGTGCAGTACCGTGCTCTTTTTGCGGTACTCCCCATCATTTTAAGCGTGCAAATAGGAGTAAAGCTGAGACCCAAGTTGGTTCTAGAACTGCCAAGTGTGCAAGCTTCTGATTGAACCACCTCAATATTGGAATATTAACATGCCACACTCTGTGCTGAGTGGCAGTAAGCACTGCTGATTTTGTGATAAGAAAGGACTCGCTGATTCTGTGTATCCTGTCCTCAGCACCGTGCCTGTGCCAATGGAAATACCGATGTTATGGAGCAGGCATGGAGGGCAAGCGCAGCGGCAGGACAGCGAAAGGCCGAGGTGGACGCAGCGCGAGCCGGCTGGGCACGGATGCGCGGTGCACGGTCACCAAGCGCCGTGGCGGCAGCACGGGCGGCAAGAGTGGCCGCAGAAAGGCGGGGCGCGTGCAGATATCCGACAGTGAAGATAATGACGGTGGCGGCTCGGACGACGGCGAAGAGCAGTACTTGGCTGCAAGGAAGGGAGCCGCTCGCAGGCGGCTGGAGCCCATGCTTGTGGACTGAGCCGGGCATGTCTTGAATGGCTGGGATGAATACGCCACAGAGAATTCCTGGAACGAATGGATGAAACTGAACTGTTTCTTGTGTACAGAATTTGATTTGGAGCAATTGCTGTCGTATTCTCCTTTGCTGCATGCATAACATATGGCAAGCCTTGGGTAATGTCTCCCTCGATAGGTGTTATAATTGCTGTGATATAGTGTGGGCACCTGCTGCTCAACACCACATGAATGTTCTGCGGGTTCTTGTGATGTTCCAGTGTAAAGTTTAATCAGAAACATTTGGACGTTGAGGTCTCCCGCCTTCTCTCATGCATCATCTTATGCTGTGTCACTGGAATGATACTGCCGGCAGGTGCACCACGTGATGCAAAAGTCAACATGTGTCCTTGGGATCGGTGACAGCTGTAAGAAAATGACAGAATGCATGAAGATATTGGTGGCATTAACAGGTAGACAAAGCATGTAGATGTCAAACTCCAAATTGATCGATCAAGCGACTTCGCAGAATGTCAGATTTAAACTACAATTTGGAATTCGAAATTTCAATTGCAAGGCTTCGCCCACATGTGGGCAAGGAGAGCCAATCTCTGCGGACCAAGGCTATTCAAATCATCACACAAATACATCTGTTGCTAGACACACGTTGACACCATTGATGTCAACGTCAAGTCAATTGGAATTTGCTCAAGCAAATTGGACAAAAGAAGTAAGCAGGCTGACAGCGCATGCACAATCTCAGTTATTGCAAAACATCCCAGCGTTTCAAATTCAAACAGGTAAGCAGCAGACATCAAGTGTGTTTGATACATACGGTGTTGCAAGCGGGGCACCTCAACCTGAGGCAACTTCACGGTCTCATGGCATATTATGCAAGACCTAGGTGGCATGACTGAACCACTCCCAACTACTTAGACGCAGGTCAAAGAATCTGCCACTCCTGCTCAGCCACCTCGCTGCCCTCTGCTGTGCTGTGCCGTGTGAGAGCTTTGACAGGCGTCACTGGCCGCGATGCTGCATCCCCTTTGGACACAAGCACAGTGCTCGCACTGAGGCCGTCTGCAGCACTGTTTGGCGATAGGAGCACTCCAGAACTGCACGCAATTTTGCACACCTTGCTCAACTAGTACCAAGTAATGCGGCTCAAGACATGCATGGACATGGAGGCAGAAGAGGCTGCAATGCCATGCGGTACAGTTCAGGAAGTGCCAGGGGAATTACCAACATGCTTTGAGTATGCCACGTCAGTGTGCTTGCTGCCGAACCTGGCGAGGGAGGATGGCTGCTCGGCAGGCGTGGCTGCGTCATGGGTGTCACTGCTCTGCAGCGATGCGCGCAGCTCTCCTGGCTCATTCCTGGAGTGCCTTATCGGAGGAGATGGAGACGGCGACCTGCCATCACGACGCCAATCTAATAAGCCTCCCACTGACTCCAGCTTTCTTGTCACCGCTCAAGGTTCTCACACAGTCATTGAACCACCCTTGCAGCTCGGATGGGCATGCCCAGAAGAAGGTGAGTTGTACAAGCCTTGGAAGGATGTGCGAGGCAGCGGCGTGCCCTGTGCCCTACATCCTATTTAAGAATTAGCAAAATAGAAAGAGAGAGAGAGAGGGAACGCCGCGCACCTAGAGCGCTTGGGGCCGGGGCCGTGCGGCGAGCCGTGGCCGTCGGCGTCAAACTGTGTCGGGCGGCGCCGCGGCCGCTCCTCGGACCGCGCATCGCAGCCGACGGTGGTGGCGGTGGAGAGCGCGCTGCGGCTGCGGCTGCGCGGGTGCAGGGCGATCTGCAGCCAGGGATGCTGCAGCATCTCTGCCGCCGTCGCGCGCCGCTCCGGCACATACTCCAGCATCGGCTGCAGGAAGTCCGACAGCAGCTGCGCCTGCAGACAGGCAGATACACGTGAGCATTGTGCACACGGCAAGCAGAGCAATCATCTTGCAAGGTCCCTGGTTGAAAGGAATACACTGTTGGGCGATGCTGTTCAGTTTCTATTTACGTCTCATCCCAGCGGAGCTGGTCGACAGTACAACATGCATTAATTTTGGTTTGATCATCATCACAGCAGCCCCGACACCCCTTCTCAACACAAATTGCAACAGGCACATTACGGCCCACTGACATTGAAATACATTCAGGAACCAGCAATTCCGCACAGTCCTTGCTCTTACAGATAACACTAAAATCGGCATCATGTATCAGGCAGCAATGCAAAGGAAACAGGAGAGCCGTCCCACCTCGGCCTCGCGCATGTCATATTTCTCGCGCAGCACGGCTTCCAGCGGCCAGTAGCGCAGCTTCTTGATGTGCCTGAGCTCGCCATGGCGGTTGAAGAAGTCTTTGGCGTACTTGCCCGTCGCCGCAACCTTGCGCGGCATCTTCCCCAGCAGCTCCATGAACAGCGCCAGGTGGTCCTCGTCCCTGACCCACACATCTCCCATCAATCAAAACTCTTGCAGAATAGCAGCGCAGTCCATGTGTGTGTGTACCGTTATGACCAAACTCCAAGGATTCCTCAGAAAAATGTCAGGACTCCTGCTGATCAGCAGCACAATTATGCAGACACAACCACATGCATGGTAGTGCTCATCTCAGGCAAGAGTGCATTTCGGCGGATTTGACCTTCTTGACTTGCTGCCATGCACTCTGCGCACTCAAAGAGTGAGTCTGCACAGGTCTGCAATCAAAACCTTCTCAAGCGCAGACTTTTCTGAAATTTCTCATGCACAGCCTGGTGGTGACCTTTTGTTGGAGAAGAAAGAGAGACTCACCGGTCGTAGTCCTTGCCAGATCGAGGGTCAAAGAGGAGGTCGCCGGTGACCAGCTCAAACACCATGCATGCCAGGGACCACATGTCCGCTGGCGTCGAGTACTTGGCGCCCAGGAGCACCTGGACATTGCAGAGAGAATTTCGGGCAACGTGTCTTGAATCATACATAAATGTTTTTGCACATGGGAAGATCTGTCGGTGCAGAAAAAGTAGTGCTAAAGAGAATGGGCTTCTCAGTGCACGTCGCAAGCTACCGATTCTGGTATTGGCTGCGTTTACGAAGGCAGCAGTCATGAGTGAGTCATGCTGCCCAGATACCGACAGCCGGCAGGTGCCAGATTACGCTTGGTATTACTATCAAACGGGCGCACCTCAGGGCAGCGATACTGCCGAGTTTGGATGTCACTGGTGAATTGCTTGTGTGTCCAGCAGGCATTACCAAAGTCCACCACCTTGGCACTGGCTGCCAATACCCGCTCCTCCAAGCCAGCATTCGCTGATGCAGGTTCCTCTTCATCGCTGCCCCTGTCAAGAGGGCAAAACAATTCAGAACTGTCGCACATTTGACATCCGACGATTTACGTTTGGTGCGCGCCACATGATACACAGCACAGCATTTGCAAGAACAGGCCAGCTGCAAGAATAAGCCAGAAATGCACCTGCCATCATATTCGTCTCCTGCTTGTGCTTGGCTGTCAGGCTCTGCTCCATCTTCACAGGTGTCCTGGCCATTCCTAAGTCCTGCTTCCCACAGACATGCACACCACATCTCATGAGCCCTGTGCTCAAGCCATGTCGACATGACTAGAAGATGCATTGGAAGGCTGAAGCACCTGCCATTAAAAGAAAGCAGCCATTCAATGGGAAAACTTGACCCTCCATTTGTTTAGATCATGGAGGGCGCCTTGCCTGACTCTGCAGAAGCTGTGACTGCTGCGCCGGATGTGACATCTGAGTCGTGCCCTGTCTGCTGTGAGTCTGCCTCCGAGTCAGTTGGCGCACTGCCAACCTTCTTCAGCTTCTTCTTCAGCTTCTTCTTCTGGTTCTTCGTCAGTGCCACGCCGGCCGCCGCAGCCGCCGCCAGGTGCCCCTCCGGATTGGCGCTGTTCGCTGCAGAAACTGCACCAAGCACATTTTTCACCTCACCAACTGCAAGCCCTGTTTCTGGCGCCACTATCAAGCTTGAATCAGAGTCTCTCAACAGCCCCACCAGCAAAGGTTCCCTAAACAGCAAAATGCAGCAGCACCAGCAAAGATCCTTTGCTAGACCCAGTGACTGTGTAAGTACCTGCAGAGGCCGGCTCAGCAGCGGAAGCTGGGGCAGGCGTGGAGGCAGTGTTGACAGGCTGCAGCCACTTGCGCGGACGGATGGCTTCGGTGAGCATCACATTCTCGGGCTTGAGGTCAGTGTGGATGATGCTGAGCTTGGTGTGCATGTAGTCAATGCCCACCAGCACCTGCTTAGTGATGTGCTTCACCAGCGGCAGAGGGATCCCCCGGTAATTGTACACCTTTATGAGCGACAGCAAGTTGTCTCCCAGCACCTGTGCATATCCACTCCCAAATATCAGGTACTGCTCACCAATCTCCTAGCCAAATCATGCCGGTTGCATGTCTGGAAGTGATTGCGATGGAGTCACCCCTAACAAAAAGAAATGACAGGCTGGGATGTTATAGTGATTTTGAGAGAGGTCATCACAGGTGTGCACTTTAGGAAGCTGCACCTCAAAGACCATGCAGATGTGGCGGCCATTGGCACCGCTGTGCTCAAACCAGTCATATAGCCGCACGCAGTGCTTCTCGTTCTCAGGATCGCCATCCTTGATCTGTGTCAGCAGCGTGACCTCATCCCTGGCAGCCTCCGTGTAATGCTGAGCACTCTTCTGCACCTGTAAATAGCACTCTAGCTGTTGGTGCAAGCAACGATACAAATTGAGTGAGATAGTGGCTGGAGAATGCTTGTCAAACATCCATGTCAATAGGTCTGGCCGTGTGGCTCTGGTCACCTTTAGCGCTGCCTCCACTCCTGTCTTTATGTCCTGTACAAGCCACACTGTGGAGAAATGCCCCCACCCTAATTTGCGCAGCACGACATACCGTCCATCCTTGTACTTCTCTCCAATGCGTACAGGATGGTATCCCCCTGGGCAACAGGACGAGACGTCAGCTGGGTTGCTCCTGCAATTGTCAAGCAAGGCTGGCAGCAATAGAAGTAGCAAGCAACCACGTTGTCCCCACCTTTCCTGTATCCCTCGACTCCCTCGTCCTCGCTCTCGTCGTCGCTCCCTGCGCTCTCTGAGCCAGAGTCGTGCCTGTGTGAAGATTGGTTGGACAGCGGACCTACACACTCCAGGTCAACTTATTAAGAAAGCCTCTGAGAGCATCACCTAGGTGCAATGAGAATCAACGCATGCTTTTCCTGTTCGACTAGTAAGTGTTCAGCTGTATCAGTTGTGGCTGCAGTGGACTCATAGGCCAGGGTAGGCTAGCCTTCACACCTTTTCGCAAAGCTTTCTTCGGCTTGCGCCGCACAACCTTCGAAGAGTTTGGAGCTGTACGGGGACCTACAGAACAGTAAATTTGAGTCCATAGTAGAAGCGCCCTTCCTAGAAGCTGAAACAGCTAAAAACAACAACATGCAGCCTGTGCTGATTGCATTTTCAAGCACCTGGGGCAGGCAGTTTCTGCATTGCTCCACAAGTCTACATTCCCTTACTATAACATCCCTTGCAGGAAGAGATTTGGATATCAGTTCTGGTTGAGATGGGCCGGCACGCAGCCTCCTTTGAGGGGGAGCGTATCCAGTCATAGACAAGGCGAAGCTACGGCCTACGAACGAAGCAATTTGGTTGAAACTCTGGTCTTTTTCCCAGACGCTTTGACTGTTTTGTATGTCTTGTACTCGATCATCAGTTGAAGTACTACATGATTGCATGCAATTTCCTGTAGCCCGCTTTTTACTGGGCCGCAAATCAGTACTGAAATGCAGCTTTTCAATCTGGAAATTGCAATTCTACCTCCAAGATTCACGCCTCTTCCTTGCAAGGAGCCTGAGGCCATGCAACAAGCAATTAGCACAGCAACATTTTCCTTCAAATTTGACGCTAATGTCACAGCTGCTGATATCAGGATGCTGAGCGGCCTGTTATTATAATTACGTAATGGACGAGAGTGTACTGGATTTGGATATGGGTGGGTGCACACTGGCAGGAAGGCAGAGCCACATCAAAGGTTGCCATAAAGGTACTTCTTCACACTGTAAAGCTACCGTCGCCATCATGGCACCGACTTGCAAGTGCTCTGAAGCTCATCGCCTGTATACTGCGCTGATTCCCTCGAGAGGTCTCCGATCAGGTCTCCACAAACAGGATTTCTTTCAGCTTTTGGCCTTAGTGTGCGAGAAGCTACTTAGGCATTTGCAACTGGGATGGGCTCCAGATCATCCGGCATCTGAGCCTTGAATCCCAGCACAGTGCCGTAGAAGAAGAACTCCCCATCAAGGGATCTCCTGATGGCCTTAGCTGACCTGAAGCCATGCTGCTCCCCCTCAAACATCACCAGCGCAGTCGGCGTCCCCTTTGCCTTGATGGCATCATACATGATCTGCGCCTGGTTGGGAGGTACAATCTCGTCCTCAAGGCCCTGCGCATGCATTACACCACTCTCAGGAGACAATGCTCTCACCAACGTTCTCTATCGGAGATGTCATGCAGAAGAGTCTATCAAGTGAGAGACTGGTAGAATGGCAGGTACAATGATGGGCGGCTTGCCTGGAAGAAGGCAGTGGGTGTTGACCAGGACTCCAGGGAGTTGATGGGCGACCGTTCCTTGTACACAGCCATGGCTGCTGGATAAGGCCTGCGTTATCACACCAATGCCACTTGACATGCGCACATTGCTACATGGCCGGAAGCATCTGTGACAGTGATCAGCAAGACAATGGATACGCACCCGATCAAGGAGTCCAGGTAGCGTGACTCAAACTTGTGGGTCTCCTGTGCCAGCAGCTCACAGTCCGCGACGCCATAGTGCGATGCACCCGCAGAGAACACCTTCCTGCAAGTAGAAAGCATCCCCTTGCTACGACCTCCAGATCTACTTCCAAACTCCCAACCCCGGAATTAAATTCATCAATGACTTTATCTCAAAACTGCCTGGCAACAGGCCTGATAGCACACACTGTGGCAAAGGAGATGGCTCCCACCTGAAAGCCAGGCAGGCCAGGGTTGTGTAGCCGCCAGCGGAGCCGCCGCTGATGCAGAGGCGCTGCTCGTCAGCCTTGCCTTCAGAGGCCAGGTGCTTGGCGGCATTGCAGCAGTCGTCCACGTCCACGATGCCCCAGTTGCCGCGCAGCCTGTTGCGATACTCCCGCCCGTAGCCCGTAGAACCCCCATAGTTCACGTCCGCAATGCCGTATCCTGCGTAAGGGGCCAAGGATGATAGATGTGCAAGACCTCCTGATTGAGAGGATCCTGTTGCTCAACACACTGCAGAAAGGAGGAAATTCATACCAACAGAGGGGTGAGGTGTGTCTAGCAGGTGATGGGAGGGTGGAGAAAGGAGCACCTCTGCTGGTCCAGTACTGGATGCCCAGGCTGAAGGCAGTGGACGCTTGAGAGGTGGGCCCGCCATGAATCTTGATCAGCAGTGGTGGCTGCTCGCCAGACGGCAGGTGGAAATCCTGTGCTCGCAATAATCCAACCTCAGCGTCTATGATTTGGATGTTAATCAATTTTAAGGAACACTTTCAGTGGAGGAGCCATTTTCTAAATCGTGTTGCCAGATGCGCCATGACAAAAGCATTGAGCCAAGTGCCACAGAGGAGGGTGGTTGCACACCTTGTTGCGGGGGGCGTAGAAGTTCATGTGCGCGGTGAGGCCGCCCTCTGTTGGGAACTCGACAGCCTCCGGTGCTGAGAGGTATCCCTCGTCAATCTGCATGTAAGTTTAATTGCTTATCTACCGAAACAGACTTCACACTGCATGAAAGTGTCTCTATAAAGGCTTGTTGCAAGAAATGAGCGTTTCCAGTGGTATTTTCAGCCAGGTCCTTTCTGAAAATTGGCCATCAGGGTCATGGCGGTTATCCTTGGCCCCATGCAACATTCTTCTTATTCCGCACCTCCACGTTGCTGGATTTGCGCAGGGTCTGCCACTGGGATGCCTTGGCTGCTATGAGCGCATCCACGCTATCTGCCACAATCACTGCCGCCTCGCTGCTGCGTGTCGGGGACCCGCCAACCGTGCCAAGCGCCACTTTGCTGCCGATGCTGGCAACTGACAGGCTGCCAAATGAGGAGTAGGGGGTGCTCAGCGGGAACAGCTCTTCGCCATCCAGCACAGCCAGAGTGCTGCCGGCCACCTTGGCATCGGAGAATGTCACCAGCAGCCTGCAGATACACATCGTTGGATCCCAAAAACAAATCAGACGGGCGCAAAAAAGTGCAAGTGCAAAAGGTGAAGTTGTGGTAAGATGGCTGACCTGCCGTCTGGTAGGATCTGGTAGGAGCGCATGCCAAACACCCATGCAGGCCCGCCAAATTCGGTGTCCTTTTTAAGCAGGGCAGATATGCTGCCGTCCTTGGCCTCGTTGTAGAGATTCCAGAAGCCGGATCTGTCACTGATGAAAACAAGCTCCCCTGACGCTGTCCACAGAGGTTGCATCACTGACTCATCCTTGCCGCCCGCAACCTGTTCATATCAATTATAAACCATCACGATGGCCCTGAAGGCAGTATGCACACCCCTTCTTGGGACATTTAACATTGTCCGGTAAAGTTTCCTGGAAATAAGTGGTGCAGCAGCATCACTCACCTTTTTGTGGCCAGACAGAGAGCCATCCTCAGCAATGTCGGCAATCCACAGCTCGGTGTCATCCCAGGGCATGTTTGGGTGGTTCCATGTGACCCAGGCGAGCTTGCTGCCGTCCGGGCTCACGCGCGGGGACGAGTAGAAGTCATTGCCCCCCACCAGGACTGTGCTTGCTCCATCGGACAGGGCTGCAGCAACCCAAATGCCCTGAATGCTTGCCAAGTCACCATTGCCATGGTAGTGCTCGTAATACCCAGGGGCTCACCCACAGCTGCAATGGAGTTCACGGCTTCGCCAGATCCGCTGTGGTCCTCTTGCACGGTGATGATGCGGCTGCGCTTGGCATCCACGACGCCGTCTGCAAACCTGAGCTTGCCCTCCGGCGTCAAAACCTCTGGCGCCTGGATGCTGGGTGACACAGCTTGCTTGTACAGCCTCTGGTCCCTGCACCACATATTGCAGTCAGATGCCATTCAGAACATGTGCATGTGCCTGCACTAGTCCAATGTTGCAAGATGCTGTGTGCTGCGGCAGCATGTGTGGGCAAAGAGAACAGTATTGGCTTACTTGAAGTTTGAGAAATACAGTACTCCCTCGCCGAGAATGTACTCGCCGCCACCATACTCGTGCACGCGCGTGCGCACATTCAGGCCAGTTTCTGGACCTGGCGTGACATCCTCAATCTTGCCATCCTCCGTCCTGCAGCAGACAGGATTCCTTGACCCTAGAGTCTAGCCTTGAAGGAAGTTCCCAGCAATGTGCGTGCATCAGTCGGACTTCTGGTTGTCAAGATGCTTCCTTGGCATGGTAGGATTATCTCACCGCCTCACAAGGACTTGGCGGCCTCCTTCCTTCGGCCTGCCCTCTATCCAATACACGTTGCCATCTGAACTTATGGTGGGCGCGCCCAGTCTGATGCTCTGGCTTGTGATGACTTCACTAGAAATGGGGCTGACCCAATCTCCGACTGGCGCCTGCTGGGATGCCATTGCTTTGCAGAGCTTCCTGTCTCTAGATCGGGTACTAGGACCTGATGCCAACCTTGACCTGCAACGGAGAGGCAGCATAAACACAAGAAAATCCGAATAGAAAAAACAACGAATAAGTAGAGCCAACGAATTCGGTAATTTGCTGCATTGATAGAGCGTATGGAAATTTTGGATGCCATCGGTGCATGTGAACGAAGATACACGACATTTTTGATTGCGATCTCAAATTTTACGCTGTGTTCACGCACAAATGTACCCAGAGCTGACCTTGGACAGATGTCCCGCACGGGGAGAGCCTGGATCCAGACCTTTGGATATCTCCACACACAGTGTGAAGACGTTGTAGCTCTCGTGGGCAAGCGGAAGTATACCCCGTTAACAGCACACCTAAGGAGCATTACAATATTCTAAGTATCACCAAATGTACTCCTTTGTGCCTCTTCCGACCAAACCATCCAAGGAAGTGATGTGTCATGTGACCCGCAGCGTCATGACCAGCTGATCAGCTGAACCTGCAGGGAACCTCCTCATGCATCGAAAGCTTGACCGGCAGAACTTCGCAACGGCTAAAGTCAACTTCTTTGCTTCTTGTCTGTGAATCATGTAACAGTCAAATTGCTTCTTGTGGAGCAACATGTACAAGATTATTCTTTTGTCGGATTCATCAAGTTCATGTAAAGTAATACACGCAGCAGGGTGCTTGCAATCGCGACGGAGACATGCTTTTTGTTCTCAATCGACCCAATCGAAGCTAAATCAGGACCTGGCAGTGAATCCCATAAGGTGAGCCTGCTGTGTGTTTCCCAGCGTTTTTAAGTTTTGGCCTAAACTTTGTGCTCGTGCTTTTGTATTTATAACCAAATCAATCTTTTGTTGAGCGCAGGTCTGTCGGCCAGCAACAGGTAGACTCAGGGCAGCTCAGTATTTCAACAACTCCCGTAATAAGACCTAGACTGGGCACTATGGCCCAGACGCAGGGGACAGCTGTGACAGCAGCAGCTGCTGTTGGAATTCACAGTCTAAGGGCCCGAGAATCAGAAAATGGGGTTCCTCTGGAGCATAGGAGCGATCTACTTCTTCTTGCCAGCTGTGTTCTGGACTGTGTGAGATATGCACAGACAGCACAGCTGGTTGTTGCTGCTGCACTGCTCCATCGACAGTGGGCAAATGCTGCAGGTCAGTCTTGTTCATCCTATCAAAAAATGTGTGTTCCAATTGCTACCTTGAAAGCAGAAGCTAAGGTATAAGCTTGTGTTGCAGGTGCACCGCAATTTCCAGGCTTGCCCCATCTAGAAGACAAGGTGAGGCCCTTGTGTGTGTGTGTAGTGTGAAGTTGACACTAGCTTGTGTGCATTGATTGTGGTATTCAGGATCAATGCTGTGGCGGTTTGGGTAGCATTCATTGAAGAAATCACGGTGTTCACAGGTGACACCAACTCAGACAGTACGTGTGAGGAGACTGCCCCTCCTGACTACGGAGCTGAGGTCCAGAGTTGCAGCAGCGCTTGCACAAACAGCAGCCACGCAGCAGGCCCTTGCTGGGACACTTGAGAAAGTGCAGGTGTGTGGGGCTTAATAATTGCCAGCCAACGTGAAGAAAACCCCGCACTTGTATCCAGCAAGATGCCCACTCTTTGCAAGGCTATTGCTGATGTGTGTGTGATCTCAGGCAGCGGGAGAGCGCATAAAGAGCCTCCAGGAAGGCAACAAGTCCTTGAGGACTGAGATCGGCGGGGAACAGATAAAGCTGCAAGCCGCTGCACAAGTATTGCTGGTAAATTTTCCTGGATCATGACACACCATGCTCATTGCGGCAGTCAATTCTGTCCTTTTGGAGCCTGAATCACTCTAATTGGTCTATAACCAGGCTAAGCAAGAGGACTTGCTGGACATGTGCTCACATCTTGAGGATGCACTTAACCTCTGCGAAGGACGTTCTTCAGATCTCTCACGGGTGGGCCACTGCCCATTAAAATTCCGGTACTCATTCCAGTAGCTGGTGGTTCCTTTCTTTCCTGCACTTGGCAGAAACATCTGCATGAAGCCCCCTGAGTCAAGATTTGCAATGACAGGAGCAGGAGGGTCCATCGGCCATTTATGAGGAGCTGCTCAGCAATCTGCAGGACAGCAGAGCCGAGGCGCAGGCCTTCATGCGAGTCTCACACTTCATCATGGACGAGGCCCTCTCCAGAAAGGAGAGCTTGAACGCTCACACATGACCCACAATGACAACCCACGACTGTTTCTAGAATGCATGCCATCCTATTTCAAAGAAGTAAAGGAAGCCCCAACCTTCCAGCGATGCTGGGCCATTCATCAAGGAGAGGCCTCCTTGACTGGCCAGCCTTCCCCGCGTACTCTCACGTCCATCAGCAATGATGGCAGGCAAGTGTTCTCGACGTATATGCAGGGCGCCTGGCAGCAGACCAGATGTCCACACCTGCAGTTCTGGTTTTGGGTGTCAGAAATAAGCATTTCTAAAAGCGACTGTGATTGTGAATTCATCATGTCCTGTTGTACTTTTTAAATTGACGTGGCACTGTTGCCTGATGTCATCTTGTCCAAACACCAACGCAGACTGTCTCAGATGTCCATGTGTTGGCAATGGTTGTCGCCACTGTGGGCATGATGTCCTCTGTACAACCAGAATTGACCTGTTCTTGGGTCTCATTGGCAAGGGGACCCCGGACCCCGGGGGTCCCAACACCCTAGACTGCCACACGTGTGTTGTCTTATTGGTTGCAAGACTTTTGTTGCTGTCTGATTTTTTGTTCTCAGACATCTGTGAGCATGGTGCGTGCCTCTTGTTCAACAAGTTCGTACGACTTGAAGTGTTCCATGGTTGGTCGGCTGGCGTGCCAGCTGAAGTGCCAGCTGGCGTTGTCTTTATATATTTGACTACTCACTCCAGCTGATGATCAGCTGCTGAGAATAATTTACTTTAATTGGATGGATATACTGATCAGGATTGATCATTATCCTTGACAATTGTTGCAACCGCTACGTGCACACATTTGCATGGTATGTGCCAGCAGAATGTGACTTAGGTGACTTTGTCAGCATTGCTGTAGCGCTGTCATTACTAGCAGATACTATCAATCATACCGACTGCTCGAACGGCTCAGAAATATCGTATCACAGCTTACTATTAGTAATTGAGCTGGCTTCAAGCGCAGCGGCGCCGAAGACTTCACATATTCCACTTCCTGCCTTGTTCTAAGCACAATTTGAGCACTTTCTTAGTCTTGTGTTGCGCCTGTTTTGGTTGAACTGTTCAATTGTGCCATGCTGGTGGGTCAACCCTCTGCATGCAAAATTGAGCAGTTCAATCACATGAGTACACTAGTGCACGTGATGCCCAGTGGGCACAAAGGATACCTAGCGTCCTGCAAACATTTTCTTGGAACCAGTGTACATGAGCAGTTATTGCGTTGTATGTATCTCATTCACTGAGTCGCACATCGCCATTTTCAACGTGTGTTGCACGCCGATCTGACTAGCACATGTCAGGCATCAAAACGATCAAAAAGTAATTAGACTCGGCATTACTTTACTATCAAGAAGAGGTAACGAATGCGACTTTCAAAGATGATGGATTCCTCCTGTTTGAGTTTTTTTGCTCTCTTCACTATTGTGACATAAGATGTTCAAAGGCGAGGGTTTCACCCTCTTGCAGTGACGTTTGCATTGCTTGATTGATGCAGGTAGTAGCATTGCATGGTCACGTCCAGATCCATGTCCCTCGCAGGCATCGGAGCAGCAGCCCTTGGAGTTGCAGCATACAGCTTGCGCCCTTCCTCACGCCTGTGGCACATGCACCGGAGGGCAGTCACTGCTGCAACCTCCAGCCCTCCCAAGATGACTCCCACTCCTGAAGCCAAAAAGGTGGTGCTGGCTCTGCCTGCCTCTGGACCATGGCTCTGCCGAGCACCTGCACCAAGGTTTTTTGTCCTAACCTCTCCGGTGCACAGGTGAAAATTGCGCTGTGCCAGCTCGCCACCTCCGTAGACAAGGATGAGAACATCAAGATTGCGACCAGCGCAATCAAGGTCAGGATCTCCTGCCACGCTTGGTGTACCTGCTTCCCGTCACCGTCCACTATCCAAATATGCTGGCCAAAGACTCCTGGAACAATAGTTGCTCAGGAGGACATGTAGTGCTATGTACCGGAAATTGCAAACAAGGCCTTGCAATGTATGAGTCATGATGACATGCACGCAGGAAGCTGCAGCGGCCGGAGCGAGCCTGGTGGTGCTGCCAGAGATGTGGAACTGCCCCTACTCGAATGACTCCTTCCCCACGTACGCAGAGGACATCGATGGGGGCGCGTCCCCCAGCGCAGATGCTCTCTCTGCAGCCGCTGCGGCCAACGCTGTGACGCTCGTGGGGGGGTCCATCCCTGAGAGGAGCACAGACCGCCTGTACAACACCTGCCTGGTGTTCAGCCGGGAGGGCGCCCTGCTGGCCAAGCACAGAAAGGTGTGGTAATCTCATTTTGTGCGTCCCGGGGCTTCAGGCAAGATCAGCTCTCTACAAGGCTCATCTACAGATGGACTGCACATGCCAATGAGCAGTGAGGGTGGGACCATTTGGCAGTACTCTTCGTGTAAATGCCCTCTCTATCCTTCCTGGGAGGCGGGTGCTAAACAAAAAGACAGAGAGACGAATATACGTCAAGATTTTATTTATCTCTGCAATCTGCTCGCCGACGGGCTTTCCTGCATGCAGGTTATCACCTCCAATGTAGCTTACCGCTATTGTGTGCATGCTCTGACCAGGTGCATTTGTTTGACATAGACATCCCGGGGGGAGTGACCTTCAAGGAGTCGGAGACGCTGTCGCCCGGGGAGGCCATAACCGTGGTGGACACTGACGCCGGCCGCCTGGGCATCGGCATCTGCTACGACATCCGTTTCCCAGAACTCGCGCAGATCTATGCGCAGCGAGGCGCCCAGCTCATCGTCTACCCCGGTGCGTGGCAGGGGATGTTGTTGTGATGTGCTTTGGTAAGCGAAAATGGTGAAAAATAAATGTGAAAAAGCACCCTAATCTGAAAGTAGTAAATGTTCCCCTGCAGACTGTACCTGCAGCGTAGTCTCAGATGTCTGGTGGTATGGCCTGAGAGGCACCTTGTCAAGGGTTGTCAGATGATATCGCCTGATTTGTGGGAAACACGCTATACGCGCTGCCTGAAAATGGTAGAGCAATGACAGCAATGACAAACTTTCCTCTTAAGGCCTTCTTTATGGTCAACCAACGCAGCTTTATTCTGCTGCAGGTGCCTTCAACACGACGACGGGGCCGGAGCACTGGGAGTTGCTGCAGAGGGCGCGAGCGGTGGACAACCAGCTGTTTGTGGCAGCCTGCTCGCCTGCGCGCAACCCCAAAGCATCCTACCAGGCTTGGGGGCACTCCACAGTCGTCAGCCCCTGGGGAAAGGTGCTGCTCTCTTCCCGGGGTCAGGCTTATAAAATTTGACACTTGCTTTTGTTCTCCCAGTAACAAGTTTTGGATTGCCATGCATGAGTGGTAAGAAAGTCATGTTGTTGATTCACGCCTGCTGTTGAACCGTGCTGTTGCTGTGCAGATCCTGGGCACGACAGATGAGACGGCAAGCTTCGTGTATGCAGAGCTGGACTATGCAGAGATGGAGATCCGTCGGCTCAACATGCCACTCACACAGCAGAAACGATATGACTTGTATTCTTTGGTGGACAAGACTTGATTTTTTACCAAGTGTACCTACTGTACATTATACCTAGGTCAGCATGGTGTCTGGATCTGCAGAGGCGGATATTGAAAGCACCTTTGAGGACTGTCCGCATATGGGCATTGTGTGTGTTTCCTTCTACTGGATTCTTGCATGCATAGAGGGCATTATTTTTCACACAGGAAGCAATATTAATGGAATGGGAGGTTAAGCAACCCATCTGGACTTGTGCGCATTCAACTGTAAAATCGAATGTTGCATAATTGTAACTTCCTCGGAAAATCTGTGTTTATATATATATATATATTTCAATACTTTTTGGCGCATGTCAATCAACCTTGCCTGTTCTGTTCACCACAACCTGACCAACACAGCGGCCCAAGTTAAGCAATGGTTATGCTGCCCTCATGGACGCACGGTTCAAATTCAAATAACTTCCTTTTATACACTCATTACCGCTAGCGCGTCTGATCGCTGCAACGCGGCCCTGGGGCCATCCGGCTCAACTGGGTATTGAATCTGTCAGTGCTCTCTCAGTGGCTCATCCTGGCCACCATGCCGTTGCTGTCCGGCATGTCACTCCTGCCCCTTGTGCTTGGGGCCACACCGCTGGCCGCCTGCACAAGGTCCTTCAGGTGCCCCTTCAGCTGCTTCACATTCTTCTCTGCGCCCTCCAAATCCTGCACCAGCGCCTCCTGAGAACAGACAGGCTTTCAGTCAATATTTTAGTCTGGAATGCACCAAAATTTTGCAAATGATACAATGCTAAATGTTTAACCTCTTCCACTTTCTCGCTGGTCACTGACTCCTTACATCTTTTTATATGCCTGCAGAGGGTAAATACATCTTTGGGGAAGCCCTTGCTGAACGCTCCGTTGCGCCATCATACTAGCTCCCCCTGTAAAGTCCAGGCAGTGGATGAGGTGACAGGGGAATCGGCGCGTTCAGCAAGGGCACCATCAAGTTCTGTGAAAGCACCTGCAGCGCGGGGCTGAGCTGCAGCTGAGGCAGCACGCGCGCGCGCAGGAAGGCCGGCAGCTCGCCGTCGCAGCGGGCGGCGCAGTCCATGAGCAGGCCGGCCACCTCCGTCAGCAGCGCCGAGACGGCAGCGTCGCGCGCGTCGAGGTCCCCCCGGGCCAAGCCCCCCAGGCAGACGCCCCCCGCGCAGCGCTCCATCAGGAATTGCCGCATCTGCGCGCCCGCCGGCCCCTGCCCGCCGCTCAGCTCTGCCACCAGCCGCCGCAGCACCTGCGCGCATCACGCTGGCACATCATGCTGCCATCCCCGCGCACAATCATCATTCCAGGAATGCTGAGAGCAGCAGCTTTAATCAAGGCAATGCTTTATCCACATGCCTCTCGCACTGCTAACTGCGCTGTGGATGCATCTTGTGGCTTGCTATTAGCAGGATGATGGTGTGCCAGGGATCGGCAAGATGCGCACTTGCACACATGTCTTGCGGGTGGCGGGGTCGATGTGGCTCTCCGCGCCGCGCAGCAGCGCCTCCAAAGCCACATCCAGCGTCCCACCCTGCAAACATCCCAGTATTCACATTCGAACCCCCCAACTCACATCATTTAATCATGCAGACAGAGGGCCAGTGGATCTCCAACGAGGTGTATATCAATATCATTCCTCTGCGGACAGCAGGGAGCATGACAGGATCAAAATAAGCAGTGGAACCCCATGCCATAGAAGGTGAAAGCCCTGTAGTCTTGGCCCTTCAAGGATCCCCTCCCCCCTCTCCCTGCGAGCATGACACTAAGGAAGCATGGTGCACCTGGAGGGATCGGATGAGCTGGTTCTGGCAGAGGGCGTTGAGGAAGCCGTAGTATGAGCGCTGCAGGTCGGCCTGTTCGCGCGCCTCCTCGCTGGCGCTGCCCCGGCCGCCCGCGCCGCTCCAGTCCCAGTCGCCCGCCAGCAGCGCATGCACGCGGCCCACAACCTCCGGCACCACCTGCACGTTCACACCACCCAATTTAAAGAGACACATCTTGTTCCCTACACAGCTGTAGCTATAAGAGTATATTCTAGGCCATGCCAGGTCGATCACGATGGCAAAAAGGAAGGCTGGAAGCGGTATGGAGATGAAACAATGATGTGAGGCCGGCCTTGCTGCTTCCTGGCTATTCGAAATGTACGATTTTCCAGGCTCAGTGGCAAGTTACACCTTCATATCAAGTGGCAACCGCTGCTTCCTCTCCCATCAATGCTGTGCATCATGCCTCGAGCAGGTTGTTTATTGTCCTTTCATGGGCAGCAATTTGGACCTTCAGTGCACATGGTAAGGAAGAGGGCAGAGCAAAACGCCCACCTTGGCAAGGAGGGGCTGCAGGGCGGCCTTGTAGCGCATGGCCAGCTGAGACAGCAGCGCATGCACGTCCGACACGTCCGTGGCGTCGGCCGTCACCGGCAGTAGCGCGGCAAGAGCGGCCGGCAGGAAGGGCAGCAGGCGGTCGCCCAGGCACTCCACCAGGCGGTGCAGGAAACTGATCACTCGGCCGCGCAGCACCTTGTTCCCCGGCACCACCTGTTGGGGACAACCTACTCGTCACTCCACAACACCACGTCCAGGTCACGTGATCACTCGTTTGTAGAACCTATTCCAATCTTACCCTCCTCTGCTTATATCCCATTCTCCAAGGGCACTTAATCAACAATGGCAGCAAAATGCAGAGCCCAACGGGTGTGAGGCCCTTGTCCTCTGGCTTCTGAAGACACCAGGCACCTGGTTGGTGATAGTATCTGTCGTCAGAAGCGGGCGTGCTCCAGCCATGCCAAGACTACTGTGTCGTGATATTCTGAGCCTCAATTACAAACGGGGCTCAACAAGGACCTCATGTTGCTGAAGCTCGCAGAATGATGGAGGCATGCCTGGGGGATGTGGATGGCGGCGCGCAGGGGCGGTGCGAGGAGATCACCAATGGCGGGGCGCGTCTGAGTGCACAGCTGGAGGCTGAACCCCTTGCTGGCGCGCGACACCGCCTCCAGTGCCTGCTGCACCAGCGCTTCCGTCCGCCGCCGCTCCTCCGACCCTGCACCGCAAATATTTCTGCTCTCACCCACACCCATCGCATTTATTGAACACCAGACATCTTCCTGTGCACAATCTGCTTGTATTGTCAATGCATATGCTTACAGCTCCCTAGTTGATCGCACCGCATTGTGAGTCTTGCATTCTAATGTTCCTTCAATCCTCCACACGATAGAGCGATTAGCAAACCCCTAGATGAAGGTTACTCGGCAACAGGTGTGGAGAATCATGTGTGTTGTTAGCAATTTGGCAGCGAATAGTGGCAACGCTGTGTAGAACGTTTCAAGGGATGCACATACCCGCGGCGGCTTTGCCAGCGGCCGCGAGCTGCTCCTCCATCTGCGCGAGGAGCGGCCGCAGCAGCGCGCTGACGGCCTCCCTCTGCTCCTCGGCCGGCAGGTCTTCCATTCCCAGCAGCAGCCCCGCCGCCTCAAACGCGTACAGCCGGTCGTCGCTCGCAGCAGCCGCCGCAGGCGTTCCCCTTCCTTTCATCCCTACCGCAACAACACAGCTCCTGCTCAGCTTGTTGCCCATGCCACGACAGCAAGCTCAGTGACAGGCCTGCACTTGCCTGTGGCCTCAAAAGGACATCTCTGTTACTGAGCCTCCTTAACCAAAGGAACTGTCAAAGTTTGCCTGGAACAGTGTCTCTTTAAGCGGAGTGACTCATCAATCTGATAGCTCAAAGCAAGTGACTGTTGACAGAGAGCGTGCGCACCCTGTGCTGATTTGGTAGGTGGGGTTTCGGGCAAGGGGGCAGACACAATATGTGCCAGGTGGGGCTGCAGTCGGAGCAGCAGGTCTGGCAGCAGTGGCAGCAGGTTCTGGCGCAGTCCCTTGACCAGCCGGCTGAACAGATAGCATGCTCGCATGCCCACCATCTGCAAAGCAGCATTTAGCTTCCTGTCAAGAATTGAGGCCTTCTTCTTTTGCTCAACACAAAACCACTGATGCTGCGTGTAAAGAGTAACGTTGACTGCTTTACGTTTGCTGGCTTTGCCTTTGCTTGGTAGAGTAAGACACAGACAGATTTCACCTTATCAGGATGGCCGATGCCCTTGCTCCCAGTGAAGACATCCAGTACGTGTGGCAAATGCTGAGTGCTCTGCTGCAACACCCTGTGGATGAAGAATCACTCATCAAGCTCCAATATCAAGTCACAGCAGGCTGTCTATGTGCAGGCAGGAGCCACTACATTCAAAGTGCATGACAAGAGATAGATCACCTGCTGTACCGGACATATGTCTCCATAAGGGCAAGGGCAACCAGGCGGTGCCCCGATGCAGGCACATCCGTTTGCATCAGACCTGCACCAACCAACACCATCATAAGAACAGAACACAGTGATGCCGGTCTAGATCCTCTGATAAGTGGGCATCACAGCTTTCAACGAGCAATATTTCTGCTGTCAATAGGAAAATTGGAGTAACGCACCCAATGCCAGCTGACCCAGGGCGCCGCTGCCAGGCTTCAGCGCCTCTTCCGATGCCCCTTCCCCCAATTCATACAGCAGCGACACAGCCAGCTCCGAGTCCTGCAGCAAAAATGGTAAATTGTCGTCTCCTCACCACTTGTGGACTTATCGAGTCACTTCTGGAGGCAGTCTGGCAATCTTGAAGCAGTTCATTCAGTTGGATCTCCCCATGCCAGATATTGCAATCACTCTTACGCATATCAACGCTCGTTTCTCCCATTTCATTATCTATTAGTCACTTGCATGATGGCAGCTACAGAGGACAGTGGCGCTCTTTTAGAGGCCTCATTCCTGGGGTCTGGATGGGCTGATGAACTATATGATCAAAATGGGAGTGCTGCAAGAAGACCCCTCAGCGACGAAAACGAGCGGAAGAAGGAGGCATGCCTGAAAGCCGGTGGACGGCTCCAACACGAGGCGCTGCAGCAGCAGGCCAGCGATAGCATAGCCCTCCTCGGGCGCCACCTTGGCGGCATTACGGAACAGCACAAAGAGCTCCGCGCGGCGCTCGGCGGCGGCCGCCTCCGCTTCAGCCGCCTCAAGCGCCTCGGGATCGGCCGCGTCGCCTGCGCCGTCTAGCGCCTCGGCCGATGAGGACTCCGGGTAGTGTGCGCTCTCGGCCACCGCCTCGAGTATCCCCCGGATGTGCTGCCGGTGCACCTGGGGCGCAGCATGCATGTGTCACTACACATCGTCCAGAAAGCACAGGGCAGACTTCCTTGTCTCATTACTATGTTCTACTGAAATGACCCTCGCAAGGAATGTGCTTGCCTGCACCAAAGTTGTACATGGTGCACTTAGTGGACACATACGTGAAACATCTTTCTGCTGATTGTACAAGTCACAAAGTTTGAGGCATCCGTGGAGAAGACTGCAGCAGGGGCAGGGGCGGAACCTGGCTGAGGGCGCCGCGCTTGAGGCTGTTTTTTAGCTTGGAGGTGTAGGACTGCAGGAAGGGGACGAGGCAGGCGGCGACCTCGTCATCTTCGCTGCCCAGCGTGGCCAGCACGGCAGGGAACAGCGCGGAGATCAGGCCCTGCGCCGTGCTGCACGCCGCGCCCGCCTCCCCGGCCGCCTCCGAATCGATTGCCAGTCCCACCGCCGTGAAACTCACCACGCTGTTCTCCACCTTCTTCCACGCCTCCAGCACCTCTGTACGCAAAGAGGCGTTTGACAAAAAATTAATCATCACTCCTTTTGCATGGTAGTCACATGCTTCTATTGCTATCCCTCACGCGGTTTGTTACTCTTCTGCAGTCATTCTTTGCCTACCTCCGACAAATGGCGCATATCAAAGCAGGCATGCTGATACCTGGGACTCAGAATACCTTCCACATAGGCGAGAGAAGTAAGAATGCATGTCTCGTGAGACAATTTTCGCGGTGCTCAAAATCAAAGACGTGTGCATGAGCTGGATGCTTGCTTGGAGCATGGTTGCCGGGCGCACCAGTGACCAGGGCAGCCAGCAGCCGCGCGCACTGTGGCCCCACATCCTCCGCAGCACTGGGATTCCGCAGCTGATTGTCCGCCCACGCCGCTATCAGCGGGCCTAGCCCCAGCTGCTGCACTAACCTGCATAGGTAGACCGCCAACCAGGTCACGACACACTTGATGGAATATCCGTGCGTACTACAAATGCATCTATTCCTCAGCTACTGGAGCCAGGAACTCACATGCAAGCAGGATGGCACAGAATGCGCGACAGGCATAATAGAGGGCATGCTGCACCTGAGCTTGGCTGCAGGGTCCATGCGCTTCAGCACAATCTCTGCCAGCACATCTGCTGCAGCGCCTGCCAGCCCACTCGACGCTCCGCTCAGCAGCGCCACCAGCACCGGCACAAACCTGCACATTACGACATTAGTACATACAATGCTTGCATCAGTCAGAATAGCTTCGAGGCCAAAAGCGGCAACAGTGCATTATCCAGCACAATGTGCAGACAAAACCATGGCCAAGCGGACTAGCATCTGAGAACCCAGCCACTTGATCCAAAACGTGCTGCAGATCGTGCTAGGCACTCGAAGGCCCAGGCGTCGAGCCCCAGTTATTGTGGCAGACTGAAGCGAGGCACCTGTCATTGGCGACAAGGCCGATGTCGATCCAGGACACATAGCGCTTGACCACGGACAGCACCGCCTCTGCCAGGCCTGGATTGCTATCGCTGTAGGTCACCACCAGATTGTACCAGATGCTGGCCAGCTCGTTCAGGCAGTGCTCCCGCATCGTGTCCTGCGCAACACCTCCAATGTTCGCCACACTCGGTCTACAAATATCCTGCAACGCTTGTGTATGGCGTGCATCAGGGCTGCCGCCCCGCCATGAAGCTAAGAAGCACTGGCTTGGACAATCCATGTCTGTTTGAATGCACAAAAGAGAGAAGACAGGAGACCTTGAGCTCCATGCTGGCTCTGACACCATCCTGGCCGCGGGGGATATCCAGGCTGATGACGTCCTCATCTAGGGACACCAGGATGCGGCAGAACATGTCTGCCGCACCAGACCCCTCCCCAAGCATCCCCACCAGCACCTGCCACTGCTCTTGGAAATCCGCCTGTGCATACATAGCCACCGGTTCCTGAGCTAACAGCTGACTGGAAGCTTCTCACTGCAGAAAAGGTCAGCAGAAGATAAAGTGCTCTGCATGCACCATGTGGATCTGTGCTCCCCAGGGTTTGTGAACAGATCAGAGGTGAGACTCACCTGCAGGATGAACCCCGCATTCTGCGCTATTTTGTTCTTCAGGAAGGGCTGCAAAGCATTCTGAGCCGCTCCGCGCACCCATGACCATATGGTCTGCTTGACCTGTCACAGGCAGCAAGATCAGCCAATCGTCCTGGTTCGTCTCAGCAGCCACGGCGAATGAGATACATTGAGTGTGCAACACAAGATGTGTGAGATCCAACACATACCAGGGATTGCTGCTGAGGCTCAAATGACTTCCAATTCTTCTGTAGAAACTGCATCAACAAATTATATTATTGACGAGATCGGCTCTGTGCGATTGATACGCACATCCTGCTCATCCTCGGCATGGCATTGACCAACTAGCCACAACAGGATAGGCTTGCAAACTCACGCACCTCGTGGAGTGTTTGGAGGCACCAGAACCTGACTTCGATGTAAGCGCTACTTGCAAAGCGGGTCAGGCAGAGTTGCAAGCAGCTTGAAGACGCTTTGACCTCATCACAATACGCTACAGCCCGTGCCTGGCGCAACAAGCCCATAGCTCATAAGCTGCAGGCTGCTGCACTTTGGGGACGCAATGCCGAGAGATGCGATCCAATAGAAACGTATAGCCATTTCTCGCGAGCAACAAGAGCTTTCCATACAGGCAACAAGCGCAGATAAGTACTTTCCCTGGCAGCTATTAGTTTGCAAGGAAAAGCAAATCAAGAATGCTGGACTATGTTACCTTCAAATTACTATCAACCAAGCCATTCTGCGCGAATGTTATGAGAATGGCCTTCTCAAAATCGTCAACTTCCTCTCCCGACATCCGTCCCTGCTAGGACTCTCTCTCTGATCACCTTCCCAGAGGAGTGTTTGCAGCCAAACAAAAGAAGCCCTGTCTCATACATAAGTGGCAATACCTCTATTCAGGACATTTCTGATATCATGCAAAGTCCTCTGTCTAGCCATTCACGTTAACTATGATCAGTTTTTGCAAGTGCCGGCCAGAAGCCGAGTCATTGATCAAGCAGCTGCAGCTGCCCGATTCGGGCACACTGGGGCAGGTGAAATGGGAGGTGAAATTTGGCATTCTTTGAAACAGCAGCTCTAAGAGACATGCGCTTAGTATCACTAGACAGTTCAGGAGAGGGGCGATCGTTCCCAGTGATCCCAACTCCTTCTTTAGATCTGTACCTGGATTCATGCTTGTCTTCAGGGGCTGAGCCCAGCTGGCATTCGTGAACGTTGTCCATCACATTATAAGATTCACAAACTGGTATCTTTTCTGATATGATCGATGTAAGTTTTGAGTTGTCCAGCATGCAGCACTTCATGCAGTAAGGCATGCAATTGTCAACGTCCTGAAAAATGGCCTCTGACGACGAAGATGAGTACGTCTCCTTCGGCACTCCTCTCCAGGAGGAGGAAGAAAGCAGGGCTGGTCAAAGGCGGAAGGACGTGAAGGATCCTGCATTGACGAAGCAGCTGCCCTTGCATAAGCAGGTACAGCATCTGTGCTCAAGATATGTCTTGTGCATCATTGAAATCGGCTGTATGAATCGTCTTCAACAGCACTTTACAAGATCTAATGAATTTAATGCAGGAGGTAACCGATGCAGAGGGCAGGAGGCGCTTCCATGGTGCCTTCACTGGCGGGTACAGCGCTGGCTACTACAACACCGTGGGCTCACTGGAGGGATGGGCACCCTCAACCTTCAAATCCTCCCGAGAGGACCGCGGCTCCGCCAAGTATCTTGCTATCATGCCATGCTCACATACCTGGAATCCCCATTCATGCTCATCCACCTTGTATGGCACAGCATGTGCCTGCCTATATTGCCGGCAGGATTGTACGTCAGCGGCTGTGCCAGCTGTGGAAGAACAGCATTGGGTGAGCAGAACAACCTCTCTCAACTCTTGAGCGTTTAATGTCGGCTGCAGGGCACAGAAGGTGGAGGACTTCCTGGACGAGGATGAGCTGGAGGACATGCGCAAGTCTGGGCTGCAGGTGCGCGCAGAGTATGACACTTTCGGCACCACCGCGGCGGAGCATGCGCGGCGGGCAGCCAACGCAGAGGCCAGCACCAGGGACAGGGGCCACCTCAGCTTTGTGCCCGACGCCATCATCACTCCGGTCGCCGACTCCATGGGTGAGGAGTCCATGCTCACTCTCTGCAAGAATACTTGTGTGAATACTTGTGTGCGCCTCAAGGAGCATACCAGCAGGGCTCTTATTTCCATTGCATGGATGCCCTTTCTCAGGTTTGCGCCCTGTTGGCTGAGTTCAATAAGCTGCAAGTAAGTTGCAGGAGGGCAAGCATGGTGGGTTCAGAGAGTTCGGCTAGTGTCTCCCTTGCACTAAGCGGAGGGTAGCCAACATGATGGCACGAGGAAGTAATGAATAGGGGAGATGGCTTCCAAAATTGAGAGCAACCCGTCAATATTGGTCACATATGCGCCACAGGCATCAGGTTGCTGCAGAGCATGGGGTGGCGGCAGGGCAAGGGCGTGGGTCCTGCGGTAGCGCCAGACAAGCCACAGAAGACGGGCAGACGCTGGGGCCCCGAGGCTGGCGTCGGTCCAGACAATACACCCATCTATGCGCTCGCCCCCAAGACCGACCAGCATGGCCTTGGCTTCGACCCTTTCAAGGTAAAGATATATGCCTTGATGGTCTCCTTATAGAAGAGTGCTTGCATCCTGTGGTTACCACATATCGTTGCCATCGTTGCCCTGCCCCTAGTCCCCGAGCGTTACTTATCAAAGACGACACAAATGACTCAATACTGCTCAGAAGATATGGCAAATTTTTGCTGCCTCACAGCTTTGCTGCACAGCAGGCCCATACTGGATGTGCATGGTGCAGGGCGCAGAGGAGTTCAGGAATGCAAAGAGGGAGAGGCCAGGCGAGCAGGGTCGGCAAACAGAGCAGGCGGATCCAAGGAAGCGGCAGCGCGGCGTTGCATTCGGGTCCGGCACCGGTGAGGAGACAGACACCTTCGGCTACATGGATGACTATGTCAGCCATGGCGGCCAAGCCCGCGGGGGAGAGTTCAACTTTGAGATCGCCTCCGATGAGGAAGACACTGACATGGCACATCTAAGGCATGCCCTCCACCACTCTCACACACCCTCCTGCTGGATCACGCGGATGTCGGAGACTCCGTCAATTGCTCAGTCTGCTTACAAGAAGGGCGCATTGCTCGTCAATCATGCAAAAGGGCGAGAGCGCATGCGTGATTGAATGGTTGTGTGGGTGTGCTGCAAGTAGGGGTGGCAAGCTGGACCCAAATTTCATGCTGCCAGGGAAGGCAACGCCGCTGAGCATTCTGGCGGCAGGCATGGCTCCGCAGAAAGACATCATTCCGGGATTTGTCAGGGCGGCCGAGACAGTCTCGCCCAAGCTGTATTCGCCGCCCAAGATCCCTGCCAGCTACCAGCCGCACCACGACTTCCCAGATGATGCGCTGCCAGGTGACCTGTTGTTATACCAGCCACAGAAATAACCTTGGGACAATGTCCTGGATCCCTTGAAGCTGGCGAAGAAGCTGGCGGACACAACAAGGGGGACAAGTAGCTCACATCAGCATTTCAAGCACTGCCCGATAACCTGCGTATTGAGGAAGAACATGAAGCACCGGCGGGCAAGTGTGTGAAGTGAAAGTCCTCTAAATCTGGCATTTGATCTTCACTTCTGGAGATGGGCAGGCCATAAACAACTAATGTCAAGGAAGAAGGAATTGACCTCACAGACCTGTCCAATTGTCCTTAGGACATTTTTAGTATTTGCTTCCTTGCAGTAGTGATTCATCAGTCAGGATAGCAAGGCCCCCGAAGCTGACAGCATGGTGTGGGGAATGCAGGGTCGTCTGCCACGGGTGAGGACAAGCCAGCGCGTGAGGTGCCGCCGCCAGATGACCCAGAGCTGCGCAGGACGATCGACGCAATGGCGCCCTTCGTTGCGCGCAACGGGCCGGCCTTCGAGGCGGTTGCTGTCAAGGCCAACGCCAAGAGCCAGAAGTTCAGCTTCCTCGCGGGCGGCGCCGGCGCAGAGTACTACAGATGGCGCGTGCAGGTGGCTGCTCGGCTCCTGACTTGAGAGCGCGATCCCTATTTGGCTACTCCCTCACCTCATCTAAGCTGTCTTGTCCCTGCACTCCCTTGCAGAACTGCATGCCTCCATCCGCCTAGCCTGTGTGAAGCTGTCAGGAAGGGGCTGTCTAATCTCTCAGGCTCAAGAGGGGAGGCCATCACAATAGAGGAAACTGCTGCCAAATGAGGGGGTTATCAGGGAGGCTGATATGTTAGCGGGTCTTGGCAGGTGGCCAAGGCAGAGGCGAAGGGGTCAGGGGCTTCCGTGGCGCAGCGCCGCGCGCCGCTGTCTGCGGATGACAGAGGAGCGCTGCTAGGTGAGGCACAACTGGCAGCGGCTGCTGCAGCGTCGAGCGCAGCCGCCGCGCCTGCAGGCCCGCATGCTGCAGGCCCCAACATTTCTGGCATCGCAGGTATGTGTTTGAAACTTGTGCACATGCCAAATTGGTCGAATCACAAAATGCAGCTGCAATGTGACATGAACTCTACAGGCTCTTGTAGAGATGTGTGATGTCCTTCACTGCTAGTAGAATTCCCAACTTACAGAAGGTGCGGGCATTGACGGGCACTGGGCACGTGTTGCAGACACCGACAGGAGGCGGCTGCAGGACACGCTGGCGGGCAGCTTTGCCAGTGCAACAGAGCAGGACATGGGTTTTGGGTCCCGCCCGATTGGCCTACACCAGCCCGTGCCCGGGCAGGCAGTGAGCGCTCCGCCACCCAGCTCTGCGGCCGCTGCCTTCCTCGGCTCCATCGGTGGCCGCTTTGCCAGCGGCGGAACGTTCCAACCGGAAGCTGCTGCAGGCCTGCAGGCGGGCGTTACCGCCTCTTCAGAATCAAATGCTCAGCAGGCATGATGCAATCCTCGTGCTTTCTTTATAATGCAGCATAAGCAAGGTCCATCAAGGGGTAGGAATTCGGCAGCCTTTACTGCAGCTTGTCTGCAGACGCACCTTGCCACCGGCAGGAAAAGCGTGTAATAATAATAAGCAAGATATTGGATCTCCTCAAATCTTAGCAGCCGCTCATATTGCTGGTGCACCAGAGCAGCCACGCTGGTAGCCAGTACCTGAACGATGGTGGGAAAGGTGCTGCGAGAATTGCAAGCTTGAAGCAATCCTTGACTAATCTCAATTTGGTGCGTGCAGGCCGCTCCGAAGCGGCCACAGCGCAGCGTGCACGAGTGGCGGCCAGAGCCGCTGCTGTGCAAGCGCTTCAACGTGCCCGACCCCTTCAAGGGCCGCCCAGCAGCGCCTGTCAACGATGTGCCACGCTTCATGTCCGATCGCCTCGCGCTGCCCGACACCGCCGCAGCCGCCGGCTCCGTGCTGGAAGTTGCGCCGGCAGCCGCCCTGCAGCTACCAGGACCTCCTCCGATCCCCCAGCAGGTGCCCCTCAGTCCCCGTTGGCACCACACAGATTGTTGCCTACAAGCCATAAACCCCTTTAGAATTCGTTGATCGCTTCCTCCTGGCAGTGTCCTCAGAGGAAATGCATGGAGAAGCAGCTGAGGTACTGGTGGATGGGGTTGCAGGGTACAGCTGCTCGGCAGCTGCCCGGCCCCCCACCGCTGGCGCCTCCCTCATCTGACAGCCGATCATTGGCGGATGCTTTCCTGGACTCTCTTGGCGCCGAGGATAATGGAGCACCGCCTGTGGCTGGGACCCTGCCAGGTACACTCTACACCAGCTAACAAATGTGTCGCACACATCCGCCGACAACTATCCTCCTGGCATACTTGCAAAATGCACAGGGTATAGGCTGACTGTGACTCTTTTGTCAAAAACTTGTGCAACTCTGACAGCTCGAATGGTGACCGATGCAGCGCTGCCGCCGCCTCCAGGGCTGCCGCCGCCACCGGGCCTGCCAGCAGACGAGCCGGGCGCGGCGCCAATGCCATATGTTGAGAAGCCCATCGACCTGTTCAAGGCCATCTTCGAGGCCGATGACTCCTCTGATGAAGAGGAGGAAGAGCAACCGGCACCAAAGTCTGCCCCTGCCACGGCAGCACCGCAGCCAGAAGGTAGCAAGCCTGCTCTCCCACCTCCTTGGCAGTACAGTAGCAGGAGTTGTAGGGTGTGGTACACCCAGATTTCACTTACTGTCTGCAGACGCGGCGACCATGTGTAGAGCATTTGTTGACCAGTCAGCATGTGCTTCCAGGCCAGAAGGATGAGCTGGCAGCTGCTAGGGAGGCTGCGCTCGCCGCAAGAGCCGCACAGACACCGAGCCAGACGGCAAGCGCAGGACCGTCCGCCTCTGTGCAAACCAAGGACGCCACTGCTTGGCTGAAACCAACGGAGCAGAGTGGCGCGGCCCCGTCGCAGAATGGAGGCCTTGCAGAGGCGCTGGAAAGGGCACAGCAGCTGGCCGGTGAGAAGGTCAGGGAGCGGCTGCGAGCAGAGCAGGAAGAGGAGAGAGGGAACAGCAGCCGTGCCCCGCCTGCAGGGACCTCCATAGATACCGACAAGGCGCCAGGTGCATCATTGTCAATGTGATAGGAGTTTAAGTTTCACATGTCTGTTCTGTTTAGCAGCATTAGCAGGATGATAACATAATATGGTAGGAGACTTGCGTTTTGCCGATGCTCTGCGCACAATCAGCTTTGGGCAGTGCCAAGGGAAGGTACTTGTCTTCCGTGGGGCTTCATGCGTCCAAAGTGAGATGTATGTAATGTGTGGGTGCAGGTCAGCTGGGTGACGCAAGCAATGGTGGGGTTTCTGAGGAGCAGAGGCAGGCAATTGAGATGCTTCTGAAGACCCACAAGCACTCCAAGAAGAAGAAGAAGGAGCGTGACAAGGGGACGCGTAAGAAGGACAAGGCAAAGAAGGACAGAAAAGACGATAAGAAGAAAAGGTCCTCTAAAAAAGAGGGCAAGAAGAAGAGCAGCAAAAAGACCGACACGCGTAGTGATGAATCAGATGACAGCGACTCAGATGTATCAGATTGATACAGATTGCTCAAATTGTTTGCGTTATGATGCAAGAAACCAGTTCTGAATTGCTTGAGGTTTCTCTCACAACAGAGGGTAACATAAATCTGAAAACGTGTTGCATGCGTAGCAAGGGTTAAACACCCGCACAGAGTAAAGCTTGGTGAGCTGCACTCCTACTTGTGACCTATCAGAAAGAGATCCTCGTAGGCACATGCATGTGGATTGCTGCTCCTGTGCAACCCCAATCTACATTTTACATTAGCACTTTTGAGGCATCCTAACACTGCCATCTGAGGTGAGCTGAGGTTTATCAAATTGAAGGAACACTACAGTGTACCGTCTTTGACAGTGAGACTCTGTACTGCAAGCTCACGTCCACACATACTAACTATTTGATTACGGTATCTGGTCAGCAAATTGTCGCTCATTATTGAGATCTCAGTAGAGATATCAATAGATCTCTAGAGTAATCCTTGAATGCAGTAGAGGATCCCTCTCACTGAAAGAACAAATGTCGCCTGTACAGCAATCTACTGACACCCGTCAATGAACACAAGCTGCAGTTCGAGCGCCTCAACAACTTCAAAGCCACTCTTCTCACAGCGCCAGCATCATCAGGACCCTTTCGCCTCATATGAGACCTGGGCCACTACACCTGGCTCGCTCGAAGCTGTACACATGTGAGAAACCACCTTGTAAATTTGGCTTCTGCAGTAAGTTTATTCAGGCAGCATGGCTGCCTGTTGCGTACACAGCACTGACGGCGCATGCCATCAGCTCTGCAAAACAGAACGTGCATCAACAGCAGCTGCGCCACTGTCTGTGGGTCCGGCGGTAGTGGTGCAGGGCTGCTGTTGTTGGCCATGGACCCCTCCAGGACCATTGGGAACAGATGATTGAGGGTTTACTGCAGCAACAGGAGCGGCAGAAGCTGTGGGAGGCCTGAATTGGGGCATTGCCGCAGAAGCTTGCAGTACAACCTGGCGCAGAAAAACGTGACAGAATCAGCAAGCTTACTAATGATGTGATGTCTTAGAAAACCAAGATTGCATGAAGCAAACATAAGCATATACGAGATATTGGTTATACTGTGCACAAGAGGGCATTGTATGAGCCATGTCTCGGTAGGCAGCAACAGATGTGCACAGAAGGAGCACCTGTGGGATGCTGGCAGGATTGCCAAGGTTGCTGGGGAATGGCGGCCGCTGCATCACACCCGGACGCGGCACCCCCATCTGGCCTCCGCCTGCTTCAAAACAACACACTCGTCACTACACAGGACACCAGCCTCCTCTCAGGCGCACATCTGTGCTTTGTGACTTCTGCCAAACGATCAGTAGATGGCAGCGGCTAGTGCGATGCCGGACCTGCATTGGGGGCCGCTCCAGGTCGAGGCATGCTGTTCCAGGACGGCGGCGGCTGGTTGACTGGAGGTCCGCTCAGAGCGGCGGCCGGCACAGGCGGCGGCTGCGGCCCAGCGGAGGATGTGGGGGCCACTGCAGCGGCAGCCGCCGCCGGCGCGGATGGGCCGGCTGCCGCGCTGGCCATGAGGGCCGTCCAAGAGATGTCCTCTGGCCTCAGCTGCGCTGTCCCCAACATTGACGGCCCGGCCTGTGTGCATACATACCACATATCAAGCCAGCGCTCCCTAAGCCTCCCGGTCAACACACACTGACAGAGCGCAAGAGACAGAGCCATGACCCAGGGTGCACAGGGCCAGACCAAGAGGATCATACCATGGGATTCTCGGACACGAGGTGAAGGCATACCGGTGCGAGCGATGAGGGCAGGGGAGCAGAGGCGCCGGGCAGGGTGGCAGGGCGGGTGGATGATGGGCCTCCGGGGGGTGGATAATAGGGGAGCGGGGGGACCATGGAGGCGACGCTATTGGCCGAGGGCAGCGTCGCGTCGTAGTAGGGCGATATGAGCGGCGCCCCCGACATGTGCAGCGACCCGTTGCGGCCTGCGCATGTTCCTGGCGCATGTCAGTGCTTTGCAGGCTTGCAGTTTGCGCAACAGTCATATCATTGATTAACAACGCATTCATAAAAATATATGTATGCGATCTGGAACGTGCGTCAACTGAGGTGTCCCCCAGATGACAACAAATTCCACCTAGGGGATATTTGCCATGATTTGGGCAAGGCGCCATCTCGCCAGAGAGTCAGGACAGGTGGAGTATGTGCAAGTAGGTGTGATCGGCGCACCGAGGGCGGTGGCGGCTTCATTGCTGGCCTCTGCAGCATCGGCCATGGCCATGAGGCCAGGGCTGGCCATGGTGCTGGTGAAGGGCTGCGCGGGTGCAGGCAGCGCTATGCTGAGGCCCGGCTTGGCCCCCCGTGCGCCCTCCTCCCCACCCTGGGGCCTCAGCAGGTCCAGGCTGCCCGGCGACTGCAGTAGCGAGTTTGGTGACGTGCCCTGCACACAGACACGCTGAGTGAATGGTTGTGTCTGCTCTGTGACTTGGCAAGCACGAGACAGCGCATCAACAGTGAATGAGCTTCCGTTGGATAGATAGGACACGCATGTCCAGCAGGATGGCCAGGTGCAAGGGAGTAACTGTGCAATCGCCACCCTTGGAGGCCCTTCAGGGGGATCCGCACATGACGTTAGGTGAAGATCACCCTGGGCCCTTAATGCTCATGTGAGAGCACCATAAATCCAAGTGCTAGGAGATTATTGGCGTGTGTAAGGCTGGCAGGGAGGGGCGCACGGATGGGTCGCTGTGGGCGACGTCGGCTTCGGCCTGGAGAGCTTGGAAAAGGACGTCGAACTCGTGGGAGATTCGCGTGTATGCGCGCTCGCTCTTGGGCGACAGCGGGAACTTGGCGCCCTCGCCCAGGCCCAGCGGCTTCAGAATGTCCGTCGCGCCTTGCGCCAGGAAGCTGCGACTGGCCACGCGCCACATCAGCGCGCATGCTAAACATGACTCACAGCAAACACAGTGCCATGCGTGCCGTAAGAGAAAGCATGTCCTAACCACAGCAGGGGATGTCAGGCAGTCTGTGCGGCTGTTGACGTTGCATCGCGCATGCTGGTGTGACTCCCAGCAACAAATCAGATGCATGCTGATCGCCAAGCATGCTGCTATCAAGCCATGGATGTCCACAAGAAAGGCGGCTGTTGACGGTGCAGTGCAGTTTGGGGTGCACACCTGCCATCTGACAGCGAGGAGATCTCTCCGTCAGATCCTTCCCGCCTCCGCCGGTGCCCCGTCCCCTCTGTGCCGTTTGCCCTCTGCCTTGCAGCAACGACAGCCATCAAGGCACCATTCAAGCTCGCCTTTCCTTCCAATGCAAAGACAATTTATGAGAGTATGGGCTGCTCTGCAACGGAGGGAGCACCTGGCGCTTGTTCCTGCCGGAGCCATCCTTGCCATCGTCCTCACCGTCTGCTGTCGCCTCACCATCCTCATCCTCTTCCCCTGCAAAATGCTGTTTGAAGAGCTGCAGCCACAGCACACAATGATCAGGTTTGATGGTGTCTCTTTGCGAGGAAAGTCCCCCATGCATGTAGAACAAAGATTATGCTCGGGCGTGTGGAGGGAGGGCTGATCGGGGCAGGAGCCTCACATCCTGGTTGTTTCTGACTTCGTGGGGCTGATTGCACATCTTGGAGTAGCGCTGGAGGATGGCATCCATGTCCGTGCTGGAGTACTGGAAGAGCTTGGAGTTGGAGTTGAAGATAACCAGCGCGATATCACAGCCACAGAGCACGCTGAGCTCCATGGCTTTCTTCATCAGGCCATTCTTGCGCTTGGTGAAGGTCACCTGCACCATCACATGACATTGCATGGAATTTGAAGGACGTTGAAATTTCAGAAACGAGACCCACCCAGGCAAAAGTTGATACCCCAGAGGCCCACCCTGAGTACTGCACACACCTGTCGGTTCCTCTCGTCCCCTATCTTCTCGATCCTGATCTTCTTGCGACCCACTGCCAACATGAAAGAAAAGTTTAGGTGAGCATGCAAAAGAAACGCAGAAGAAAGAATAGCAGATATGCAAGCATAAGATGCAGATCAGGAACGCTAAGAGTGCCTGGTGGTGCCTCATTTTTGCGGGACGCACTTGTGACACGTTACAATATGTAGTCCGAGGGTGCAGTCAACTAGCAATGCCCGCCAAGGAAGCAGGACAGCGCAGCTTGGTAGAAACCCAAACGCTGGTAAGGGCTGCTAGAAATGGGGAATGAGTCTTTACAACAGCTGTTCCGATCAGTACTAGGTCAGCCTTTCACAAGTATGCGTTCTGATGACGCAATGCAGCAGTACGCGGGCCCTGGGCGCTAAAACCTTGCCCTCGACAGCCAACGGCTCTCGACGAGGGCAACTCTGCTTCCACCAGCTCAGTCGCCACGAAAATGGTGGAGTCCTTGTGTCACGGCAGTCAGTTGGTCAACCAAGCAAACGGATCGCCCCCTGTCTGCACTGCTCTGGGCGGGCTCAATCCTTTTCTATCTTTAGCCACTGGAATGCCACCGGGCGCACTGGGTTAATAGGTTGGTTCACTCGTTGGCTGCTGACATCAAAACTCCCAGCAGGGTTTTAGTTTGAAGGGTATTTGGAGACCACTCTTTCTCGATCTCAATCCTTGATTCCTTGGTTCAATTTGGTATCAGAAGAGTCTCTAAGTATCAGTTCGCGCTTTCTTGGATACAGGTCATGGTGAGATCTGTTGCATCTTAATTCAGTATGAAGGGATCCGTTCACTCGATGTGTGATGCCCTGGACTTTGTGACCCTTTTTCCTTTGGAAGACAAGCTTGGCCATTGACAGCTCCGTTTCTTTTTAGAAACTTTTAATCTGGTCATCCAGACATTTTTACTGAATATTTCTTCATGCGGACTGTGGATCTGCCAGCATGTTCAGCAGGCTCTTTGACGACGCAACATTGCATCCGCGCTTATCTCATTAGGCATTTCTACTGCATTCCAAACAGTATACAGCTAACTCGAAGGGATCCGGCATGGTCGGGACGAATCCGTGGTCTTGGACATGGCCACTCACGACCACAGGCGCAATCTCGGGAAGACTCACCGTCAAATGAAATTTCAGAACCGCTCTCATTACCTCAGCATCAGGAGCAGTGGCTGGATCACCTGCTCCAGGGGGTGGAAATATTCCTGGTCATGACAGTTGCTGCAGCACAGATCCCTGCCCTGGGGACCATATGGCAGGAGCTGCAAGAGAGCAGTCAAGAGAAGGAGCACACTCATGCAAAGGTAAAGGGGCAATGACTGCCTCCTGTCGGACAACAAAGACCCATTCATCAGTCCAAAGACGGACCCACTCAAAACACTCTTTCTCTGTGCAGGGACAAGTGCAATTTGTTCTGGAGCAGCAACCATCCGTGCAGCAGGCATCTTTCATTCAGCTGAGCTCCGTTCTAGCTATCAGTGCTGCTGTACTGATCAACTGGATTCTGCGCAGACGCATCAGCAGCAGGTAAGCATGTAGCTTTCGATTTCCGCTCCGGTTGTTATCAAGCGCAGAATTTTTCTCACAGGGATGCCGACAATGTATAAATCTGCATGCAGGCAGCAGAAGAGCGCAGTCGCTGCTGGAACCTCAGCAGGTGCGCGGTTGCTGAGGCTGGAACTGCTCGCCACGCGCCAGTCGCAGGCTCTCATCGCTGCTGAGAGGCAGATCACCAAGCTGAATACTCGCGCCCGACTGCTGGGGCGTGACCTGCAGCCACCCTTACGCCAGGTCAGAGCTGCATGTTGCTACACAGCCTGCGTTTACAAATTTGGCGTGTAGAATGTAGGGGTACCTTTGTGCACAGGAGCATGATAGCATTGCGCATCTATGTGTGCGTCCACAGGTGCAAGCTGAGAATGTTCAGCAAGCAGAGGCCCTGGTGAGAATAAGCAACAAGCTGGAGACCTTGGACACCGATCTGAAAGACACTCAGCAGCTGATCGGCGCGTTGCATGGTGAGACCCTTCTTTTTTGCATGATGCAAGACAACTAATGAGGAATTCTTTGTTCTGAGTGCGAGATTAATCGTGACCTAAGGCAATCTTTTGCGCAGGCGCAACAGCAAAGCAACTGCAGCTGGTCTTGCAAGCGCTGCAGCTCTCACAAGCTGCCAAAGCTCTGGCACAGAGTGTTGCAGCAGCAGTTGAGCAGGAGAGGAAAGCAGGCACTGGACTTCCCTTGCAGGTAATCCCCCAGAGGGATAAGCATGATAGTCCCCTGCACTATCTTGTGTTGTGCATACATGCGCAAGTGCATAGGGAATCAATTGAAACGTTGACAAACATGCTTCCAATGCAAGGGTCCAGGCCACGCAAAGCCGGAGGTCCTCCACAGCGCCTGAGGAAGCGAGCAGCCTTGAATGCGCGCAACGCACATCTGGATCACTGATCCATGCCACCCGCGAGAACGCTCATTCATCGGACCGTAGCGAAAGGGATATACTCTCAGATGTCAGCGCACCATCCCATGTCAGGCAGCTATCACAGCCGAGCGTGACCCCCAGTACCCCGTCAGCACATCAGTTGAACGGGCAACCTATGCAGTTGGTGGCGGAGAGCAGTGGGTTGGATTGCAAGGAGAAAGTGAGCATGAGCGTTTCTGGGGAGGGGTCTGTCAGTAATGGGTTGACAAAGCAGACGCATGCAGAAGATGTACCAGAACCTGAAGAGACGCAAGTTGGCAAGCCATCTGGCACCTGTATAAATGGCAATGGGATCAGGGAACATGCTGGTGAGATTGTTGGCGAATATGTATTATACCGCTTTGGTTAATTTTGTACATTCATGTCTTTGGAATACATTATATTGCTTGATCCCACATTGATTGAGACAATCTGTTTTACAAGGAAGAGTAAGACTTAAGCGTTATTGCAATGGTGGCATTTACTCACCGAAGTACTAAAAGCGCAGTTTATTAGACTTAGAGCAAATAAAACATTCTTCTCAAGTTGGTCTAAAGATTGATCTCTGCTTTGTTACTGTGATCACTTGAGGGTTTGTGTACACATGTGAAAGATCATCCTGCAGTGATCACTAGCTTCTCACTCCGCTGCAGCAGCCAGATGTCCTTCTCAATCTGCTGCAGCTGCGCTTCGTACATTTCCTTTCTCTTCTTCTTGGATGGCGTGTCCAGGGAGAAGGGCAGCTTCAGAAAGTCGCTGTTGAGCTGCTGCCACTTTGTTTTCAACAGCCGCACCAGCAGATCCTTCTCTTCCTTGGGCAATTCCCGTGCCTGCTCAACTTGTTCCTATTACATCACACATATGCTCAGTGTCAGCATTCTTTTGACCTTGTGTCAGCATTGTGTGACCTCAAGTGTGGCTCGCGAGGCTGATCAGTGATAGGACGTCTGATTCATTTCAAAAGACACACCAAAATTCAGTACCTGCTCTGCAAGGTAGGCATCCATCTTTGCTTTCTCCTCAGCTATTTGCCTCTTTGTATGCTTCAAGTAGCCTGGCACCTTCCCAAAAGATGGCTTTGACGTGTACCAGTACTCTTCTTGATCCACCAGGGGAGGCCGGGCCTTGATGTTCTCCAGGGCATTGAGTGTCACAAAGTCTTTTGAAGACCTGTCCTGGATGATGGGGCGCTCGGCGCGCAGTGGCACTGGACCCTTACGGACCATCTTGACCCATCTTGTGTCGTGGCCTGTGCACAGCAGTCAATATCAGGGTACCAGTCCTTGGGAAGACTCCCTTGGGATTATCCTTTAAGGTGTCTTGGGAAGATGTGCCTCTGAAAAGGGAAGTTACGTGTGGCCCACCTCGACTAAATGTTGATGATTTATCAGCGTGCGCTCTCTGGTAAGTTGCAGGGTCTATGGTGAGGGTGCCGCTGGCCACTCCCATCGTTGCAGATAGCCTTGGCTGTCTGACGCCCATCTCGAAGTCCCTGGGGTTTGCGGTGCCATCGTACTGCAACACAGAGGCTCTTAGGTAAATATTCTCTTTGAGTTGAATGCTTTGGGGACTGAAAGCTCAATGTGTCACTGAAATTGACGCAGCGACATCCAACAAAGTACCTTGGAGTGGTAAAGTGGGGCTTTCGGTGTGATAATCACGGGATGTGGTAGCAGCTCGTAGATTGACTCGTCCATAATCAATCGTATTCAAATGTATGTCTCCCAGAGGCAATCCTAGGGCTCACTTTGTGGCAACCGGTACGGATACTGCGAAAGCAAGGTCGCCTCTAGGCTTCATCGCGCATACAAGTCGACCAAAGATCAGATGAGACACAAGATCGAATTTTGATACTCAATGATGATCACCACGACGGAAAGGGCTCTCCTACTGGTTTCTTAAAAATAGCACCCTAATCTACCGGGAACACCCTCGGATTGGCGCCGTTCTGCATGGATGGGACTCCAACCTACCGTTCAGATCGATATAAGCAGAGAAGTAACATTTGATTCATTACGGCTTAATATTGTTGTAAACATGGCGGATCTAACCTCTTCTTTCTGTTCACCTCGCCCTAGGCTGCCGATCCGCTCAGTGAACAGAACGAACGGTGCATTGAGGTACCGTTCCGATAGTCCTTGACACCCAATTGCAGTCAAATCGTTAGAATGGATTTTTGTTTGGTATCCTTTTTCTCAATCTGCATCTGTTCCCTTGCAGGTCTAGATGCTGCAAAGTACGATGCGTGGCTGCTCCTGCACAAGAAGGTACTTTCTTTGCTGGATTCACACGTACTTTGCTTGTTGAACAAGGCATATAATGCAGCAGTCTTCTTACTCGCCTGTGGATGTTACTGCAGCCGTGACAACTGGTGTCAAGCGGAACGAGAATATTCAGAAGCTGCAGGCAGGCTACCTGTTTCCAGAGGTACGCAGCTCCTAGGTACCAACAGATCGCATCCTCCAAATGTTTATACACTATGAACTGCGTAACTGCGTAATTTGCCGCGTGGTAAGACCAGTGCAAAATTGTTTCTAGTGTCCTGGCAAGTTACTGACACTTGGCTAATGTCACCAGATCGCAAGGCGGCGAAGGGCGCACCAGGAGAAGAACCCGGATGCGAAGATCATCAGCCTGGGCATTGGTGACACCACAGAGCCGGTGCCCAAGTCCATTGCGGACGCCATGCAGAAGGCCGCAGCAGGCTTGGCCACACTGGAAGGCTACAGCGGGTGTGTTGAGCTGTCCTGTGCGTGGAAGTCAGATTAATGAGGCCAATCCATGTGTCAACACCTTTAGAACACCAGCAACTTCATGTGAGTAGTGCGTAGTACTACCTACGGTGAATATGTATTCACCGTAGCAAAGAACAGTGGTACATGGGTGCAGGTACGGTGCTGAGCAGGGTAGAGGGGAGGTTCGGCAGGCCATCTGCGACAGGTTTTATTCCCACGTCGGCCGCAAGGCAACTGAGATCTTTGTGTCAGACGGATCAAAGTGCGACATCGGCCGGCTACAGATGATGTTTGGCGCCAGTACCTCAGTGGCTGTTCAGGTCAGAGCCTCAATGTGGATGTGCTGTGCATGTGCACTGGGGCCAAGGGTCCTCATATCACACACAGGGGTCCCCTTGGGCTCAAAAGAAATTCATTACCTTGTGCAACACCGTGTTTAAGTCCATGTTCAAGACCCCAAAGCACCTATTGACAATGTGGGGGATGGCATACCTCACTGCATCATGTGCATGCAGGACTGTCTTTGCCTGGGGATGGCTTGCAGAGTGCTGACATTTCAATGCTCACTGCAATTGCTGCTTGTGCTCGGAGTTGAGATTCTTTTGTGGAACTGCAGGACCCTTCTTACCCAGTGTACGTAGACTCATCTGTCATCATGGGCATGACTGATGGATATGACGAGAGCAGCAAGGGCTTCGGCAGATTGGAGTACATGGTGTGCCGGCCAGAGAACGACTTCTTCCCAGATCTATCCAAGGTAACAGGTCGTTCACAATCTTGTGGCCTATACCAGTGGCTCAGCGCTACCTCAAAGGCAATCCCAGACCTTACTGCTTGTCCCATCAGGCATCCATCATCTCTGTGAAGGCTCCTGGCAGGTTGCTGAGGTATTTTGAGTGCAGGTGCGGCCGACAGACCTGATATTCTTCTGCAACCCCAACAACCCAACGGGCGCTGCGGCCACGCGCAAGCAGCTGGAGGAGCTCGTTGCGTTTGCACGCAAGAACGGGTCCATCATCATCTATGACGCTGCCTACGCCATCTACATCTCCGACCCCGAGAGGCCGCAGTCCATCTTTGAGATCCCAGGTGGGGCATGCAACCTCATTCCCGTTTTACCCGGTTCGAGCTTCAAGTGAGTATTTGTGGACAGTCAAGCAAGTAGAAGTGTGCAGTCCTGCGCTCAGCCAAGCAATCCCCATAAGCCTTCCTGTGGTGCTGCACGCGCTCTAAATGGGCATTAGTGTGGACTTATTGCAGCTGCATCCTTTCGTTCTCCTATAGTGCATGCAGCACCAGACTGCTGCTGGTGCTCAGACAGAGGAGTTTGGTGGCTCATCATGCGCAGTGAAGCATACCTCGCAATCAGAGAAGTCATGTCCCGTGTCAGACAAAGTCCAATTTTCTCACCATATGTGTGTCGCACTTCTAATGCACAGGGGCAGAGTTTTATGATATTTTTGTAATTATTGGGGTGCCAATCCGCAGACGCACCTTGCCTTTTGGCAGGAGAATTGTGTAATGAATGTAGTAATAATTAAATCATGATAATCATCATGATTCGCAGGTGCGGAGGAGTGTGCGCTGGAGACTTGCTCGTTCAGCAAGTACGCTGGCTTCACGGGGGTGCGTCTGGGATGGACGGTGGTGCCGGAGCAGCTGCGCTACTCGGACGGCACACCGGTCATCACCGACTTCAACCGCATCATGACCACCATCTTCAACGGCGCCTCCGTCGTCGCCCAGGCCGGCGGCCTCGCCTGCCTGCAGGTCCGGCCTCCTTCTCCCACAGCGCTGATTATCTGTAGTTCGCAGTCGTGAGCCAGTTCCACAACAAGGTAGTGCATTCACGGGTTTAGGCTTGGTACAGGGGCGGTTTTTTAGGGATTCACGGGGAGATATGGAAGGAGGCTCAGTGATGATGCAGATGGAAGGCTGCACCAAGAGCATCTGTGACATGATTGTGTGCTGCCAGTCTTTGCTGGCTGCATCTGTCCTGTGTAGACCCATTATCTCCAAGGACGATGGGTGCCCTGATTGCATCATGAAAGATTGGCATCCCAACTCAGTGTTTGGGTCACCGTGCACAGCTGAGCACTCATTGGTTGCAAAGGGGGTCTGCTGATGCGTTGCATTGTGCACAGGACGAGGGGTTCAAGGAGATGCAGGAGCTTGTTTCCTTCTACAAGGAGAACGCCGCCATCCTGCGCACAACCTTCAAGGACCTGGGCTTTTCTGTGTTCGGCGGGGAGGACGCGCCATATGTCTGGGTCGGCTTCCCTGGTAAGCCGTCCTGGGACGTGTTTGCAGAGATCCTGGAGCGCTGCAACATCGTCACCACCCCAGGCAGCGGCTTCGGCCCTGCAGGCGAGGGCTTCGTGCGTGCCAGCGCGTTCGGTCACAGGTGACTTTCTCCTTCATAATTTTGCAGTCAAGATTGCAAGTTCTGTTCCATTCTTGTGCTGGCACAGTGCATTCCATGCCAACCAAAGCTATGCCACAAATTAGCTCACTTGTGCAAGGACAGTTTACTGTGGGAACTGAGGAGGGTGTTGCATGCACAGGGAAGACATCTTGGAGGCTGTGGAGAGGTTCAAGAAGGAGTTTGGGGGCCGATGATCAGGGCAGGAGCATGCAACCCCTTCTGGGTTTGCGCGCATGTCTTATCGTCAGTGCTTCATCATGATGATCATGAATGATTCTGTTTGGGCAACAAGTCAATAACAAGTCTCGCATTGCCGGGATTGCTGTAGCTACCCGGTGCACCATTGCGTTGTTTGGTTGGCTGGTGACCTGTTTTCAGCCTGTGTCTGGGTAAATTCAGCCTCTGCGGTTGAAATCTAAGACTCCTTCCCTCAGCTTCCAATTGGCTTCACCCATGCGCCAAAACAAGCGTATGTCCAAAGATGTCCAAAAATAGACCATTTATGTAAAATTTCTCGTAAAGAAAGGACCTTTCTCGGACATCTACCGAGTCATACCTGTCAAAACAAAGAGAAACACAACACGATGCATTCGGTGGATCCAGCAAAGGAGGCTCGGAAGCCAACGGCGACCAGCGATTATCCGGATCAGCTCTCCGACACAACTGTGGCTCTCGCAGCTGCAAAGGTACTTGAGATATTATCTTGTTTCACTTACTCGGTATATTGGTACAGGTTCACATGCAATTGCCCTTCCGTGAAAGTGTCACGGAACGCTCGAAGCCCATGCATGGTGCTCAAGCCATCCTTTTCAATAAGGCCCTGTAATCAGCATGAATGCTTTAGTGCGCCTCTCCATCGGACGCTCTTATTTCTGTCGAAATTATCCAGTGTTTCTGTGCAGGTGATTCCTGACGTTGTCAGCAGAGTCACTGACACCGCTACACTCACCATCGAGTATGATGGGAAGCCAGTCCGCAATGGAGATCATCTGAAGCCATCAGAGACCCAGGCATTCCCTCCCTGACTACCCCGCCTCATCATGATTCTGATCACAATTGATGCATGCATGCATCCCTGTTTCTCACCAATGCATACCCCGATATCTGGTTTGAACATGCCTGAAACACACCTGCTCGCTGCCAGGAGGAGCCGACTATCACAATTGCTGGCACTGACACCTACACCCTGGTCATGGTGGACCCTGACGCCCCCTCTCCGGATCACCCCAAGTACAGGTGTGCGATTTATAATATGTGCCTTCTGTCCTTTGTCGTGAACTGATCCCGGTTCCAAGTGGGAGCAGTATCATCCAGGGGATGGATGATGACTGATGGACTCAATTTTGCAACATGTCTGGCCTTTTTATACAGTCCTGCACAGGCTCTGACAAGCGTAGACAGAATTATTGTTGCTGTTGTGCAGGTTCTTCTTGCACTGGTTGGTGGTCAATATCCCAGGAGTTGATGTGAACCGCGGAGAGGTGGTCACTGCCTACATGGGCCCGGTGAGCCTCCTACACCAGTGCAGCACATCTTTTGAAAATTGCCAGCATCACAAAAGAAGGCACCAGGACAAAGTTTCCTCGCTTGGGTACTTCTGACAGGGAGACTGACATGCTGGAGAGACGCCATCCACTTGCCAGCAGTCTGAGTGGAGGCCCTCGGGGCCACGCTCAGAGGCCAGATTCAAGATCACCTGGGCCCACACTGAGCCTCAGGAATTATTGGCTGCGCAGAGCCCTCCAAAAGGGACGCACCGCTATGTCTTCCTGCTGTACAAGCAGAATGGCCGGGTGTCTGCCAAGAACCCCCACTCGCGCCAGAACTTCACGCTGCACCAGTTCACGAAGGTCAGAACAGGACTCATCTGTGCTTTTGCTGTTGTACCTGTACAGTGGAAAGGCTTTCAGCAGGACTGTTTGAGGCTGCTCCCATGGCTGGGTTGCTACTATTCCAGGAGCACAGTTTGGGGGATCCGGCAGCCGCTGTTTTCTTCTATAGCGCCCCCGAGGAGTGAGGGTGTGAGACATGGAGATAGGAGGGACCTCTGTGCATGCATAAGCTTCCCAGGGACGGGATCAACAGCCTGAACAACAGCGCATGAGTTGGATTGATCAATTGCCAGAAGCCAGTCTGCAGCTGGTAAGTGTGTGTAGCATATGTATATCAGTACCCATGATGGCTATCGAGTCGGTGACTGCATTGAAACCTTGTTTTGTGTCCTGCTGCTTAACGAACGCCCAAAGTCTGTCTCTCGATAAAAATTTCAAATGTTGGCAATGTTTCATTATATCATCATGCAATTTGCATGTCTAGTGTCTTTTCTGTAGTCTCCAGAATGACTGCAAAATATGCTACAATACTGATCGCATTGCTGAGGAGTTGCTGAAGAATTGCAGAATACTAAAATTTGCATGGGCCATACCAATTGTCAAATATTAGCATGGTGCTCCTCCGGATCATTGACAATGTACTTGTCCAAAGCGCTCATGAAGCAGCCACCTTGGCAACATCACGCTCTCTGATGTGAGTAAGCAGGCCCTCGCAGGCGTCGTCTAGAAGATCAAGTACCTGCCATAGACATCTGGAATCAACATGTGCGCATGCAAAATAGCCATCGATGGCGGTGGCCTGCAAGAAATTTTGCAGGCCACACTGTGAGGGCGGCAAATTTGTTAGGTATGGACTCTCAATAGAAAAGTCATCAGCAGTGCATGCATCAGGAGAGCAGATACTCACCAGCTCAAAACCTTTGGTACCACCATAGTAAGGATCCGGCACTTCTGTGATGCCCTTGAAGGCTCCATCTTTGTCAAGGTACTTGCACATCAATTGCACCTGAAGCAAAAAGCACGCAGGTCATGGATTGCCTTCCTGCAGCTACTGCCCCTTGAAAAGCCCTGCACATGCAGTGCATCAGTGGAGCCCTACCTTTGATCTGTAATCCTTTGGGACGGTCTTGCCCTTTGATGCCCAGTAGTCTGCAGCCACTTGAATGGCCGCAATGTTCTCATAGTCCATGCCCAAGATGTAGTCAAAGTTCTGCAGGTCCTCAGGAGTGAGCGGCCGGGACCGGGATGTGAGATGGACATTGCGCTTGCTGGCAGATGCAATCATGCGCCTGTCCGATGGATCGCCGGTGTGGTATGACCACGACTTATACCTGAAACATGCATTCAACAACATGCTTCCACAAATACCAGGTGCTGTGAGAAGTCAGAGCAAACACGTGTATGGGGTGCATGGTTTGCCGAAATGCCAAGAGTAGAGAATGGTGCACGTACCAGTCAGGATTGCCACCCCCTGTCCCACAGGAATCGATCAAGAACTGATCTTGCTCGTTTGCCTGCTCCACTACCTTCTTGAAGACTGCCTCTGCAGTGGGGCTCCGGCAGATGTTGCCTGACAAGGTTTTATTCAAGCTAAGACGTGATCAAGCTTTGCATCCATAGCAAATTCTTGTAATCCAGGAAAATTACGATTCCTCACCGAGACAGACGAACAGGACACTGCACTTCTTGCTGGCTCCATTGGTACTAGGCATGGCCTGAAGGGCAAGACATTGATAATGTACGTCAGGAAGTCATGTACCCTCACAAACTAGGAAAGCGAAGCTTCGCATACCTCCTGAAGCAAGGATCGCGTTGCAAGACTTCTGAATTTAGCAGATCGATTTCCGGTATTCTTGTCCTCTTTGAAATCTCCTGACTTTGTTCTGCGGCGGGTCAAATTTGAATGTGCCCTAAGCTGTCTTTGAGTAGAGCATCCAATCAGATGCTGATGGGTCTGATTGCCAATCAGGAGCGCACTGTGAGGAAACAAAGGAAGGCAAGGCATCTGCACTGCACGCAGCTCGCTTTCAAGAAAAAATGGAGTCTCTCCCCCTTTCTATACATACATAATACCTGAACGTCATCAAAATGAAGAAAGGCTTCATATACTGCTCGTATCGTGAGCATTGGATCGATGACCTGGCAGTCCACGGCAGCTGATTTTCCCAGCCTTCCTGTCGACCCTGATCTGTTCAGAGCTGTGGATTCCTGGGCTGCTCTTTACATGTGTGTCTTACATCTCTCACAGGCAAGTGGCCCTTGATGATTGTTGGGATGCCATAACCCGTAATGTTAAGAATTGGGCTTGGGCCTTCATGCGGGGCTTGCGCCGAATTGGGTATGAGTTTGTTATTCGGTTTGACACCCTTGTTCCTGTGGAAGTTGATGCTGTGATGCAGCTGCTAGATGCGCAAGCACTGCAGGTTTGGGATGACATTGACATTTGCCCTAGGACCTGCCCGTCCAGCAATGCCACCTTGTGTACATATCACAGATGGTTTGCTAGGCCAGCTTGTGTGCGCCACCCTTGCCAGCTCTTACAGCAGCCTTTGAGTGCCCGTTGCTTGCGTATACTGTTGAAGTTCAGGATGGGTTGTCATAGTCTGCCCAATGTCTCGGGCCGCTGGGCAAGGATTCCCCGGCCCCAGCGTTTGTGCATGCGTTGTGCCCAGCAGGTTATTGGGGATGAGCGCCACCTTGTGTTTGAGTGCCCTGCCTTGCAATCTGTTCGGGACAGATATCCTGGGCTGTTTGGTGCAGCCATTGTGACGATGCAGCAATTCATGTGGCAGTTGGACATTGTTGGTGTTGCACATTTTGTGATGGATTGTTTTGATTATTTGGATGCTGCCAGTTCATCCAATCAGCCCTAGGCGGCTGGAGTGATGTAATCTTCCTTCCTTCCTTCTCTCTTGTCTTAGTATGGTTCATAGATGCCCATGCATCTGGATCAGCCATTGTCAACACAGTGCCACAATGTCCAGCATTGGCGCACCGCTCATCGATGAAGCTGCCCTGCAGCTCTACTAGAGCTCTACTAGTAGTACTGGCCCATGGGCTCAAGGCTAAAATGCTGCAACCACTAATGATACACTGGAGTCAACACTCCAGACTGCCGCAGGATAAGCCAGGTTGAAATTGCACTCCCTGCAGAAGAATATCAGTGCTGCACGTTTCGAGGGGTTGGGACGCCGACAAGACCCGCCAAGGACGGCTATTCTGTCACAACTTCGAACCCGGCACAACATATGCAATGACAACACAGATGTCATCCATCTTCCCGCCGATGTCCATGTGGCCCAGCGCCCGAGCTCCGAGTGCAAATGGAGACACATATGTCGGATCGGCAGCCCTGCATGCATCCCCCACATGCAGGCCGTCAGACACACCCCACATATGGTATGACCTTTCACCACACTTGGGAGGTAAACTGTCAAACTCTTCTCAAATGGTCCGGACAAATCTGCGCATTTGAAGGTCAAGCTACTAGCTAGATAATATCAGGAGGGGCTGAGCAAATTCTCACCGCATGTGCGCGAAGCGTGCCAGGTTTTCGGCGACCTGCGCTGGTGACTGCCCCTGAGTAGACGCGGTGGTGACTAGTGAGGCAATGTCGGGAGAGTACATGTTGTCCCACACGCCGTCTGTTGCCGCCACCAGGATATCCCCACTCTTGACTTGGACCGAAGACAACTGCAACGCAGGAACCATTGAGTGAATCCATGAATATGTCAGTATATGAGACCTGCTTAATAGAATCATGGAAGATATGTCCCAGTCATCAACCTTTCAAACACCAAAAAAAACAGTGGGCATCCGGCAACATCCAATTCATCAAGAGGCTAGATGAGGGGTGAGAGGCGCACGTCGGCAGCAATCGGGGGGTCAAAAACGCCGTTGCCGCCTCTGCCCAGCTGGTAGGGGAAGTTGAACGAGTGCTGCTGCGTGCGCGACTTGAACACAATGCTGTCCCCGCGGATCACCATGAACCCGCTGTCGCCCAGATTGGCTGCATGCAGCATGTTGCCCTCCAACACCACCACACAAGCAGTGCACGACCCCTGCACACAGCACAGAACATTTTGTTTACATGCCTTGTTGTGCATAAAGGATGCGAGCCTTCCCCTCTTTGCACAAACATATGTCTTGCAGACATTGCAATCTTCCGAGTCTGTTTAGCTTTCGAAGGGCCGAGGAGATGCAAGCGCAGGAGAGAGCCCGAACCATGGCTCTATTTGCAGCAACTGACTCTAAGCAAAGACATGTCGGACTCACAATCTTATTGGTGTCATAGAATGCGTTGGTGAGGATGTTGAGGGGCGCTGTTTTGCTGGGAGGGACCCGGGCGGCAGCTTCCTTGCACTTGCTCATCAGCTCCCTCGCATAGATGCCTGGATCCACCCCAGAATCCATCCAGCTGCCCACTCCATCCGCCACACCTTCACCACAAAATGCACCCCACGTCAGAAATCCACATCGCAGATCAGGCCCAGTGAGTGTGACATTTAATCAGTCAGAAGACCCTGTGAGCTATCCAGCTATGAGGCATTGTGACGCATAGCAGCAGCTTGCTGCATTGCTGGAGAAGTATTAAATATGAGTAAAGCAACAAAGGTGTGAAGCTTGATGTCTCACCGAACGCTAGCCTGTCCTCTGCAAGGAAGACCGCATCCTCGCCCCCTCTGGCCACCTTGTCTGGGTGAGGCATGAGCGCTGCTGCAAAGTCCATTCGCAGCTGAGAAAGTCCAGCAGGCATCCCATTCTCTTTTCTGCAGAACCCACAGAAGTCCCATTCTGGTCATTTGAAATTTGAGGAGAAAGCATGAAGCTTGTATTGTGCAAGGTGGACAGATGGAAAAGAGCTTGTTTAGAATCATGAATGAGGAGCTCACTCTCTGCTTGTGGTTTCCTTCTGCTCAGCTGCTGTCCTGTTACCATCGACCTCTGCTGCGTTGTCAATGCGCTCTGCGGCAGTCTCAGAAGCTGGACTCCTATCCGCTGCTGCGAGTGTTGTGGGAACATTTTGTCTCGCTGGAGCTGCTCGTGCTTGTGCCTGCACACAAAGCCAGTGAGGCAACTCCTCAAGCTCTGCAACATGAACTTGCCCATCTGCTGGGAGCACAGTAGATTGTCTTCTGACGCTCTGATTCCATGTCCCAACGATAATAGGCCAGTTTAACAAAAAAACATCTTTCTCAGAATCACAGCTGTAGTACTTAGGGCTTACGGACACTGGAGTCTACAAGATCCTGCACCAGAATACTATACGCACCTGCGCACGAAAGCTCACGGCTGCCAGGGCGCCAAGAGCGCCGAGCCTGAACAAGGGGCCCTTTTGCAGTACCCTCGCAGAGCCGACCAGGGTTGAAATTCTGCTAAGGGCTTGCCCACTGCTATTGAGCCTCGGTATAGCGCCGGAAGTCCCATTGATGTTGCATTCTGAGAAACATCTGATGTTCGCCAATCCCCGAAAATGCATCAACAGAAAAATTGAAATATTTTGCAGACCAAGAATCAGGCAGGAGGATATAGCTGAGCAGCAAATTGACCAATGTGTTATTCAGAAGACTCCTGCTGTGCTGAAGATTGCTCGACTTGATTTACTTGTTGGTTCTCTTTAACGTTAGGGACTGAAATTTCTTCCTCGTTATCGCGAAGCTGGGCATCTCGGCTTCACCTTGACAATTTCCTCCCGGATACGCAAAAGCTTTTGAATTCTCTTTCAGAATATGTGAATATTGGTTTAGACGATCCGATGTTCAAGATGACTTTAGACATTCTTCATTGAGGTAAGGAGGATCATCAACAGGCGCGATGGTAAGGCAGCCTCGAGATTTAGCTTGTCAGTGATTTAGCATGTTTTTGCAGTATGCTTGCCAGATGTCCATCGAGAAATAATTGGTAAAATGCAGGGAAAAAAGTCAGCAAAAGGGAAGGAGCGGAAGCAGCAGAGAAAAGTGGTGAGAAATCATCTCCATCGTGTCTTCAACAGAGCTGCTCAGGGATCTCTTCAAAGGATGCTTTAAAAAGTATGGTGTATTTCGTCTTGCAGGAGAATGGCAAATTCATAGAAGAACGAAAGGGGATCACTGATATTTTACGCCGTGCAAACGAGGTAAAGGCCTGCCTGTGTCTCGACCCCTTCCACATCATCTAATCTACTCAAGGACGTAGCAGTCTTGAGTGGCTCAGGATTTAGATCATGCAAAGCATGCGTGCGTCCTACCTTGCAGGTGACAGACTTGCTGAAGGACTACCCAGCCTTCCAGCAGTACAACAGAAACGGGCTGGACCTTAGCCTGGAATATTACTGGGCAGAAGGTCTGCCGCAGAATGTGCAGGATTGGGCCTTTACATTGTGCAAGAAGAACATGGAGGACATCTACAACACTGCCTGGGGCTGGAAGGATGAGACAAAACTTGAAGAACTGGCAGCTCCCGAGGCCCGCTTCCTAGTGGCATATGACAAGGTGCCTTTGCATGCATGAAGAGAGTTGCATTTTTGATTTTACTTCTGGAGTGGAGCCCCCATCGGGTCTGATTTGACCATCTTGTGAAGTTTAATTGTCCCATACTCGACAACATGCCAACGTATGGGATCGTTGTTGGAAACTGCCATTGTCCTGACTGATTGGCTGTTTAGTTAAGGCTTGCTGAAATCATTGTCAGGATTGCCAACGTGCATCACTGCTCTGCACCACCGAGTGTGAAGGTGCAAGAGCTGTGATGACTGTGGAAAGTGCATCGCACAGGTGAGCGATGGGGAGCGGAGGCCGATGGCATATGTGCATTTCCGGTGGGAGGATGAGGACGGTGTCCCAATCCTGTACTGCTATGAGATCCAGCTGGAAGCAGCTGCGCAGAGGAAGGGCCTGGGAAGGTGCTTGCCAATGTCCACTACCTGTCTGCACTCATTGGCCTGCACCCACACATGCACGTGCATGTTAAGTACTGGCAGGAACAACCGGGAATGCATAAAGGGACCCAGTGAGGGGTGCTTGCATTTCATCTGGAAGGGCACGCTACATAGTAGAATCAGGACTGCAGCAAAACTCTCCTGATGGAACAATGAGGGCGACAAGATAGGGACTGCACAGGCAATGCTGATGGCCCAAGCTGCTGGCTGCTGCAGGTTCCTGATGAAGTTCCTGGAGCTCATAGGCAGGAAGGCAGGCGCGCATGAGGTGATGCTGACTGTGATGAAGGCCAACACGGCCGCGGCTGCCATGTACGCCAAGCTCGGCTATGTGGAGCACGAGGATCAGCCGGAGGAGGAAGAGGGGAAGGGGCCTCCAGGCTACACCATCCTGACCAGGCGCATGGTGGCGGCAGCCCCTGCCCAGCGAGCCCTGCGCCCAGTCACAAACTCCATCCAGCTCGAAAACATCATCTTCGGATGAGGGGCTGTGATGAAGTGCATGGACTGGTCTGGAAGAGTGCAGCGGATATGTGCGGCGCCTCTGACAGGCAGGACGTGATTGAACCTGTTGAACAAATGTGCGAACCTCGCAAGTCACCATGTTGCAAACGATGGGAACCTGTTGAACAATTGCACTTAGATGTCAAGATTCAGGATGCGGAGACAAGGATGTGCATCTGGTGGTGTCGGATTGCACCGATTTAGGTGTGTGCAGAGAAAATGATGTTGTATACAACATCAATACATACAGCATCAACACGTATTGATACACATACAGCATCAACACGTAATAATGTCACTGGTTTACAATTCTGATTAAAATATTGTTGTCCGGTGCTGGGCTTATGCAGCTCCTCTTGTAATTCTCACGCCCTCAGCTAGCTTGAAATCGTAGCAAAGTACAGTACACCAGATGCATTATTTTATGGCTAAGAGAAAGAATCACGCAGTCACGAAAGCAACTGCTCCCCAGACCATATATACATCTGGTGGCAGTAGACTCCATGTCTACAGATCCTGCCTCATCCCACTTTAAAATTACTCTAAAGAGGATTGCGCATTCGTTCCATGAACCAGCCTGTTCGCATTTGGATCGGGGGCCTGAAGCATGCTCAGTAGGACCTGTCTGCTGCCCTACAGGAGAGTGTGTACGTGTGGCTTTGGCCACCTGATGGCATCTTGGCCTCTATGCCCACCAGTGTTTGACTTGCCCGCATGTGCAGATTTATAAGTTAGCACTCAGCCTAACCCATGCCTCAGACCTTATTTGACAGGCAGCATGTCCATTTATTGGGATGCATCGCGCTCATGCTGGAATCCCTGACACCTTTGAGGAGGGGAGAAACGCGATCAATTGCTCGCACAGCAGGCTCTGTGTCATATGATCTGGATCGCATGCTCGCCCTAGTGTTCAGATCCTCATGTACATCCCATTCTGCAGAATGCAGAGTAGTGAACCTGCCACAAATGCACCACCATTATTTTTCTGGTATCAAATGGCTCCTATCTATCCTTGTACACGACATAGATGCCTCACCCTACACTTTACTGGCTGGCTCACCCCTGCCCAATGAAAGCCAGATTTTCTCATGAGGCCGCGCAGGAGCCATGCGAGAGGCTTCCAATGGGCTTTGCAAATTTTGGAAGCTTGATCTGTACAGAAGCATTCAAATATGTACCCTTCGCCCAAACCGTTTGGAACTTCTATAGCAGAAACACTTTGCAGCCTTGCCGGTCTTGCTGCTTGTTTCCTTATCGGCCATCAGAGTTCCTTGACAAGAATGACAGCATCAGAGACCGGCGGACTCTTCCAGCCCTCACATTCTCGGTGCCCTCTCCTTCATCTGCTGCGTGTCTCAGTGCATCTGGCGTGCCAATCTCCTCTGCACTCTCAAGACCGTCCATTTCCAATGACCTGCATGCATGCAAGAAACATCATGCATGCAGCAACATGTCCATGCATCGAGGGCCCACAGATCAGGAAAATAAAGTGCTGCATGCACAAAACTTAGGCTTAGTGAGGCCGCAGTTGGGCATATCAAGATGAGCATAGCGCGCACTCTTCGAGAGCTGGCCCCTTCAGCTTTGCGTTGGGGGATCGGCTGGGGGTCAGATCCGAAGGGGAGCCGACCGTTTGTTCGCTGTTGAGGGTAGATGGCCCCATGTGCAGGCCCATTAACTGGGACTGCAGCATGTCAGCAATGTATCCAGGGTGCTCTTCATCCAAAGAAGGACCCTGCATCATTTTGCTCCCTCGAGTACAATAGGATTCACCTCAAAACATGCACTTTTATCAGACGAGCACAGCCCATGAAAGTAAGGACCACGCACAAACATAAAAAGTGGCTGACCTCTTTGTTGACCAGTGGAGAGGACGTGATGGAGGCAGTTGAGAGGCCGTCGAATGAAGAGGTGCTGCTGCCCCTGAGCAGGCGGGTGCGCGCAGGCAGGGGGCTCCGCTGCACGCTGCTGTTGCTCTCAAAGCTGCATGCCCTCTCTGGGTCGTGGCCCCCTGAAGCGGAGGATGATGCGCCATAGCTGCCATGCAGGGAGGCCTGCCGGCTGTGGCATGTGCTGGAAGTGGTGCTGCATGCATCGCTCTGGTCCGGCGTGGCCGGCGCAAGGGGCGGGCTCATGCCCAGATTGCTGGATGGAGGTTGGCGCCCTGTGTGTGCCGCCACAGTTGCCACGATGTGGAAGACCTGCAAGACAAACTCATGCTCATTTGTGTTAATCACATGCACCAACAACATATACGCCCAGCAACACGACAACCACTCATTAAAAATGCTGCTGGTGATCAGCATTATCATGAGCCCTGTACATGCTTGGGATAGCAGTGAAGAAGGTCACCTCTGCTGAGCTCTCGATCAGGTCTGTCACACGCTGCTTGACAAGCTCTGGGACTGCATCCTGCTGCAGCCTCTCCTGCAGGGAGCCTTCATCCGCCAGGGTATCACGCAGCTTTAGCTCATCCCTCAGCCCTTCCACCAGATCCTGAATAAACAGCCAGGCTTTGATTCGTGAGCAGGACAGCTTTTGATCAAGCTCCATAACGAGTGCAGGGACCCAGTAAACACATATGCAGTAGGTACAGTCCAGAAGTGACAGCTTTGATCTGGATGACAGCATCAAAGACAGGAGAATTTGGTGGGCATTAGAGATGGACCTGCAGGGATTGCACCCGCTCATTCAGACTGCCTTCCAGCACATTTGCATCTTTGACCCTTTGGTCATGCTCGCTAGATTGCACCTGAACAGAGTTCCAGAAGATCTTGGTTCTTGTCTGTCTCAGTACAGAGGAGACATTGCAAATGGGACAAACATACGCAAGACAACCGCGATGCTTGCATGCATGCCTCCCCATCCCAAGGTTGAACATGATGTGATCACTAAGGGGCTCTGCAATGCAAGGGCCTACCTTGAAGGTGGACCGCAAGCACGTGTTCTCCACACACAGCCTCTCTGCCTGCAAAATAATGAAACTATTCAGGAATGCCCTTCAGATACTGCACCTTGATTAGAGCGCTAGTGTCATGTCGGATCAGGTATCCAGCAGCATACCTCTGTTTTGGCTTCCTTCAGCTGCTTCTGAAGCTTGGTGTTTGCCATAGCGATCTCATTGTTGTAGGCTGTCAGCTTGAAGGACTTCCTCATCTCATTGCTCAGGCGAGCTTCTGCACTCTTTCGCAGCTGCTGCTCGGCCATGAATGACGCCCTGTGCAGGCCCAAAGATTACTTTGAACATCTCTTGTACTGCGTTGGATGCAGTTAAAAGTTGCCTACTGCTGCCAAGGAGGTGTTTGAAGAGGCCATTTTGGCAAACAGAGTGTTCCATCAACGATGGGGAGTCTCACGTTTTGTCCATCAACTGCGTCTTCATTTGGTTGATCCTGACCACCATCTTCTCTCCAAGCTGTCTCAGCATGGCATTTTCCTCGCTCGCTGTGAGATTGTCCATGCTGCTGGCACCCTGGCTATCCATTCTGTTCAGCCTTCTGGACATGCCTGCACCGCTCCCGCGCAACTGTCTCGTATTGTCAGAGGCAGGATATGTGCATCCTTTACAAACTTTGCATTATTCAGGAGGTGAATACTGTGACCATGGCGACAGGCGATCCAAGGGCAAACACGACCTTGACATAAATGAAGTCACAACGGAAGCCGATCATCACTGCTGCATTGCTCAATATGCCTACGCAGTACTGTTGCGTGTGATACCAGGCAACAAAGTGCAGCAGGTGACAGGCGTGAAATTTTGAACGATGGAGTGCCCGAGATGAAATATGAGCGATCTTGGAATGCCTCGGGATCAAGGTTGGCATCCAAGGGTCTTTTTCTCTTGTGAAGTGGTGAGGAAACGTTTTCGAATGTTCCCTGGTAGGATTGATCTTGCTGAAGAGTGTGTCTCTCTCTCTCTCTCTCTGTGTGTGTGTTTGTGTCTGCAGGACTCTTGACCTGGACAACCTAGCGAAGTCTCTTTCTGAAAGTTCATGTGCTGCGCGGTCTTGGGCAAATCAGCTGCTCGGCACCACTGTAGGAGCTAGTATGGATTACCACTGGTTACCTGGTACCATTGGCAATAGTATGCGCTGTTCACGAAGAGAGACATCATGCATATGTCTCTGATATGGTGGCATCACCATAATGGACCATCCTGTGACTGAGCTTCCAGACAATCATATTTGGCAGTACGGCTCCGGCAACCAGCCTGCCAGGCACAATAGCTTTAGCCTGCACCGGCTGGCGGGGGGGCGGTATAAATACTGAGCACCGTGCCCACGGTTGATTGGGTCTTGCTTGGATCTGGCGAGTCCATCAAGGGGTAGTATTTTGGCAGCCTTTACTGCTGCTACTGCAGACGCACCTTGCTTCTGGCAGGAAATGCGTGTAATACTAATAATAATAGCCTGCACGCCCCTCAGCTGATCCGATCAACTCATTGCCTCAAAGTTCGCAGTGCACAATTGCTATCCCAACAGCACAAATGAATGAACACCTCGACTACCTGAAGGTAGGCAAGGCATCGGCGAAACCACCTGGCCTTTGGCGAGTAGCTGCATACTGTAAATGCCGCACTGTCATTCAATGCAGGAAAACTCAGGTCGCAATGGACAGTGCTGTCTGCGCATGCAAATGAGCCGCACGCTCCACCGCGTCTACCAGTGGCAAATCAGCTGGCGGCAGATCCCGCCGCCGGATCTCTGCAACGCTGCACCACTCCACTTCCTGGCCCTCCTTCCCACTCACTTCCCCGCGCCACCTTGTGCATTCTGCCAACAGCGACAAGTACTGAGTTGCAACAGCAACTGATGAACAGCCGCAAAAGCAGAATTAAGAAGTGAATGCAGTCACAAAAGAGGTGCCACAGCAACACAACACCTCATGAAACAAGGCGCATCGCCGGCTGCAGTCTGTCACGCACCATAGAGAGGCATCAAGAGATGGAAGTTGTCATAAGGATGCGAGGCGAAAGACAAGGGTCGGAGATCTGCCTCGTCCACCTGCACATGCTCCATGGTCAGAATACAAAAGCGCGCCTCGGTGCGGCGCGGTGCGGTGCAGAAGAGCGCTCGCATACAGAAGCGCGCTCATTGCCCACTAGGAGGCAAATGAGCAATGCCAGACTCAGGAGCCTCACCTCGATCCCAAGCTCTTCCTGCAGTTCCCTGATCAGTGCCGCTTCAGGGCGCTCTTTCGGCTCGACCTGGGGGGCACAATCCACTCAAAGTGTGTGAAAATGTCACGTTACCGTAGGTACATGATCTGATGGTGAGTGCCGTGCAATACAAAGGAGGCGCACCTTGCCGCCAGGAAACTCCCACATGCCTGCAAATTTCTGCCTCTGCGTGCGCCGGGCCATCAAGATGTGGCCCCTCTCATTCAGCAGAGCCACTGCTACCACCACTAGAAGCTTTGCATCTGCATGGAAATCTAGGCGTCACGGCGTGTGGCATCAGTCATGGGTCATGCAGCATGTCTAGATGCCAAGCAGTTTAGCAGCCATACATGGCCAGCTCAGGGCTGCAGGTCAATACAGAGCATCCATTCCGGAAGTCATTCAGATGCATCGCGCACCGGCAGGCAGCTTTGTTACGTTCTCGTGAAGCATTGGCAGATTTAATTTGGCAATGCTCAAGCATGCCTTGCCATTGCCGCTCCTCAAAGACCGCTTTGCAAGATCAGCCTTTGGAAACTGAACCCACCCTAACATGAGAGAGGACCTGTCAGCGCACTATGATATGCACAGCAGCAGAAAACAGAACACTTTGTGAAGGGTGCTGGATCGCACTTGTTTTTTTCTTTCCTCCTTTTGGATCCAACACAACTTTATTTCTTGTCCGCTTTCTCCTGCAGCCACCCAACCGATGTATCAGACAAGTTGGCCACTCCAACTGAAAGCTCAAATTAATTTCGCACGTCTGCACAGCTAGTGTTCTCCTCCCAGGGAGGTTGATGACTTTGGATGCTTCGACAGACCTTATGAGCTTCGGTACGGGCACAGAGGGCTCCTTTGGAGGATTGCACGCCAAGACACGGCCTATGAACCATGACACTATTTAGTGATCTACTGCTAAGAAAGCGCTTGGTTTTTCTGATATGCCACTCGATGCATGCATGCTAAATTTGCTGGCAGCTCCAAGTCCGTGCGACTTGAAAATCTTGTTCGACTTTTCTGTCTTCTCCATAAAATGAGCCGTACAGCGAACAAGGAGCGAGATCCTGTTGCCATAGGTATTACCTGTCAATTGCTGAGACACAGCATTGCTAAACATAATACGTTCCCTCCGTCATGTATGAAAAGATGATTGAGACACTGGCAAAGGTGTGCGGTCAAAATGCAAGCTCATCCAAAGTTTCAAAATGCGCTACAATTGTTTTTCGATCTTTTAAGATGCAATTTCTGGCGACATCTGTGCGGTGATTCAGAAAAATTGCAGATGTCTATATCTACAACACTACATCCCAGATCGTATCCACAAGATTATAAACCGAGGTGTACAGATTTCCATGTTTTTATTCAGACACAGGGGATTTCAGCCATGTCTTTCTCTCATCGGTGTCAGATCAGGGGAGCAGACAAGATTGACTGGAAAAGCAAGTGGCCTCTCAGTTGCCAGAGACCTCTGAGAAAAAATGCATTTTCAGAGCGCAGTACCAAGCTTGGCTTAATTAAGGGACTTCTGGCCGAGCGCCTTGCAGACAAGTTTGATGCCAGGAAGCAGTTGAATTGCTCCCTGGTAAGTTTGCAAAGGGACCATGATTGGTTCATTGACAGATTGCACATAAGGACATCCAACAGGTACTGCCAGGCTCATGCAATTGACACAGATGTGTCTGATACAAGGTCTCTCGCCAACAAAACCATGATTGCTTTGCAAACAAGTTGTTTGTGCCTGAAGCAAGCCACCCCCCAGACCGGACCGTCTGTGACAGCCTGGCATTGGATGGCTAACTTATAACCGTCTGCACCAGGCAGAGAAAGCAACAGCAATCTAAGTGCTGCCAAGGTGAGTGCTAATTGTTCCTTGATCAGGTGGAGATCTCTACTATCCTGCGGGCAGAGGGGGTGAGGCCAGGCTCACACGCACAGCAGCGCCTCACAACTCGCCGTCCTCGGTTGGCTCCTCCGTTGCCGGCGCGGCCGCAACGCCGTCGGCCGCCGGGGTGGCGGCTGCGGCCGGCTCGCCGTCCTCCTTGTCGGGCGTGGCGCCGTCCCCGGCGTCGGCCGCCGCTTCTCCTTCGCTCTTGCGGCTGCTGCGGTGGCGCTTCTCCTTGTCTCGCTTGTGCCGCTTGCTCTTCTTCTCCTCGGAGCCCCCCTCTGCATCCTCGTCCCTGCAGCGCCAACATTCATCGATGTCACAATCGTTCGTTGTCACAACTTCCCGGTCTCCATTCCCATCCAGTCAATCGAGAAAATGTTGGCGCAGGAGGACACCGACAAGACTAACATGCATGTGAGCCTGTAAGTGTTTTTGCGGACGCAGGAGCAAACAAGCCTCACCTCTTTGACCGCTTGTGCCGTTTGTCATCTTCATCTCCCCCGTCACGGTCGCGCTTGTCCTTCTTCTCCTTATGGCGCTTCTTCTGAGGACACACACCAACCAATGCACTGTCAGCACTTTCAAGGTATGACCATGCAGAATGCACTTTGAATAGCAACACAGTGTCGCTGAATGCCAGAGTCCCCCTGTACGCCTTACAGACCATAGTGATCTTTGTATCATGATAATTCTCTTGCAAATTGCAAAGTAAATTAGCAAAGCAGCCACCCTCACCTTGTGCTTATCAGCGTTCCCCTCCTCGCCATCCTCTGCTGCCTTCCTTCTCTCCGCCTTCTCCTTCAGGTATGCTCTGTACTCATTGAAGGCCTGCTCCCTTTCTTCCTTGGAAATCTGCAGACAGAACACATCAGACTATTTAAAACTCCTCCTGCCAGTTGTCTATAGCAGATCCCCTTTCTGCGGGTACTCTTCTAGGCAGGCTACAGTATTACTCGTGTATGTCACATACATTATAAGACCATGTGATTGACTGTGAACAAGGGTAAAGAAGGCACGCTAAGAGAGGCGCACCGCTTTGTACTCGGGGGCGCTTTCCAGGGAGGGCCGGATATCTTCCCAAGAGGAGTCGACCGTCATGGCGCGCGAATCACGCAGCAGATCGATGAAATCATCGCGTGCGCGTTTGCGGCGCTTCTCCTCCTTGGCCGCGCGCTCCTTCACCTTGGCCAGCAGCTCATCAAACACCAGCTTCCTGCCGCGCATGCACATCATGCCGTAAGTCACCATCCACCAGTCACGCCAAGTGACGTCCTTCCGATGTTGTGCAATGCACACAATTGAAATGATCGTAGGAGGCTTTCAAGCGCTGCTTGTTGCCTCTTTTTCATACATGCAATGCATGAGCATTAGTAACCACCTATTGTTGACACAAGAGACCTTGGGCATCAAAATCCAGCTGGCTCTACCTTCAGTTGGTTCAGAAGATAGAGAGTAGAAAGCACTGGCTGTACAACTACGCAAAACCCAAGATCGCGCCTCATAAGGCATGTGCATGCGCGCACCTGTTGGGCTTGATGACGTTTTTGACGCTGTCAACGGCTTCGAGGGCGGCGTTGAAGTGGTCAAAGGTGGAGTCAGGCTGCACGGGAATCTCCTTGGTGACCTCCTTCAACAAGGCCTTGTCCTTGTCAAACTGCGCATCTGCCACCTCCAGCGCGTCCTCAAACAACTCCTTGGCCGAGGACCCCGTCAGGTTCTTCTCCACGGCTATCCACGATTCCTCCTTCTTCACCAGCGGCTGGTAATCCTGCACACCAACGCAATGCGCCTCACTTGCCTGTATGACTTTGTGTCACTGTGAATTTGGTAAACCTTACTGAGGTTGCCCATATGCGCTAGAACTTCTTCAGGAACCAGAAATCAGTCTTTTTAGCATGAACTGCCACAGGGTGAGCAGCCATCCTGGCTAGTGAGCATGCGCGCACAACACTACCAGGATAAATCAGAGCTAGCAGGTGGGTGATTCTGGTGGAAGGCAGGGCAATGCAAGGGGCGCCGCACCTTCCAGCGCATGTGGGCAACGAGGACACCCTCGCTGAGGTGCCGCTGGAGCAGGTCTTTGAAGGCGTCGCGATTCTTGCGTTCCCTCCGCCGCCGCTCCTCCTTCTCCTTCTCCTTGGCCTCCTTCTCCTTCCTCTCCAGGTGCCTGCGCGCTCCCACCAACATACTCATCTCAGAATTGATTTTGTCACAAATGCTGACGTGCAGACTGGCATGCAAAAGGAAGCGCCCTGCCTGAGCAACTGATATGGTCTGTGACTAGTTTCAGCAGAAGCCTGGCATGTAACACTTGATTTTTAAACCCCTTTTGAAGCAGTGCAATTGCATAATTTATCGGCCAGTGGGAATGGTTGGGGAAGGTGGCTCACAGGATGTAGTCCTGGAAGACCTCCAGGCGGTCCAGCTTGTCCAGGGCCTCGTACTCGTTCTCCCCCTCCAACTTCACCATTGCCTTGCGCCAGGGCGTGTCCACCTGACACACCCGACCAGGAGAATCACTCAGACATCCTTGCCTGCCGCGCAATATACAGCATGTCCTGATATGCAATGGCATTTATATTCATCGCCACACTGCTTGGGTTTGGCACGGACTTAGATATATTATCGTCCGCACCTTGATGCCGGTGGTCTTTTCCAGAAGCACCCTGAAGGCGGCCGTCCTGCGCCTGCGCTCGGCCTTCTTGGCTTCCCTCTCCTTCTTGTCCTTCTCCTTTATGAAGTCGGCGTACAGAAGCTCCCGCTCCTCCCTTTGCACGGCCTTCAAACAAGTACACAACAAATAAGCACTGAAAGGCAAGCTCGAACTACTTTGACCAAGCACACATGTCGCCGGGGACACTTGAAGACTGCATGCCTGAACCAATCTGATGCTCACAATTGTGAAATGCCTTCTCAATGTTGCAGATCATTGATATAACCCCTAAACCCAGATAGAAAGGCAATTTGACTGTGTCACTGAATACACAGCAGTGTGCACAGAAGTGTATCAGCAAAGAAAGTCATGGCGCCCATCAGAGCATGCAAGCCACCTTCCAGCGAGGATCATCCTCGAGCAGGGCAGCGGCCGCGGAGTAGCGGGTGCTGGCGCGCAGATCCGTCGTCGATTCCAGCATGGCGGTGAATTCCTCTCGCCCGCGCTTCAGCCGCTGCCGCTTCTCAAACACCTCCTCGTTCTTGCGCGCCTGCTGGTACTCGTTGAAGCACGCCTTCTTCTCACCCAGCGACTTCAGCGCTGAGTACCTGCGCACAGCAGCCGCCGCACAGCCGTCAGCGACCCTTGCATGCCTGCTGTGACCATGTTATCTTGATGGGCGAATGCATGTTGTTAAAGAAGATAAGATGAGGTAACATAAGATAAGTTGCAAAAGATAACAGAGTGGATGACTTTATTGACACTGGGTGTGTTCCAAGGCCGCGGCCCACGGGTGTGAATACGCATGATGACATTTCAGGCGGGTTATCAGCATCTGCGGATAGGACTCTTTTACCATGGCATGTTCCTGTGCATGGGCATGAGGTGTGTGGGGTAGGTGCTGCACCTGGGGTCGCTGATAATGCTGCGCATGGTCTGCTCCCAGGACCAGTCAGACGCCACCTGTGCCGACGCCAGCAGCTCCTTGAATGCATCCTTGGCCTCCTCCTGCGTGTCCCACCCACAGTAACCTTCTCAAGAGCAGCGCCCATTATTGTACCTCCAAAGAGGCTCAGATATCATGACCCAGGAGTGCAGGCCATCAAGAGACAAGTTGCCTTGTAATGTGTTGGCCTGCTTGAAGATTCTGGCCACAGTGGTGAGGCACCTTGGAGGAGTACATGAATTTAACATCAGCGGCTGCTGCGGCACTGGCTGCGGGTTTGGCGTCCGCATCATCCTTGACAGTGGCCGAGGGCGTCGGCAGCGGGGACGCCTGCGACGCGCCGTTGGGCACCGAGGCCGGACTGCTTCCAGCATCCAGCTTCACCACCTGCGCTCATTCAAAGATATTGTCATCAACAAACCTCAAGTTGGGGCTCATTCAGAATAATGTCAGGTATGTCTTCAGTTAGCCTCAACTGCTACAACCCGCCACACTCCCTGGGCCTCACGCCAAGGCAACTTCTCTTGCGGTGCATTTGATCTTGAACACCCACATCTCTCTAACTCATTCACGAGAGCAAGAAAGGGGTGGCTGACCTGCACTGAGCCTGCAGCAGGGTTGGGGCTGGCTTTGGCGGCAGCGGCTTCCCTTGCCTGCTTCAGCTCGTCCGGCACGGTCCACTTTGACTCCTTAGTCACCTTGTTGTAGTAGTATTTGCGGCCGTCTGGGGCCGTGAATTCCTTCCACTCAGATCCTGAGGTTTCCTTCTGCTCCTGTACGCCATTCCCCAGCTCATCAGGCACATTCACCGACAGCAGTCATTTGCGCCTGTGGTTTGCATGCACAAGGGATGCAGGCGTGGGAAGTATGGCAGGAGAAGTGCTGCAGGGCACCTTGGGTGACAGGAGCTCAGCGGGCTTCTCCCAGCTGGACTTGTTGAGCGCCTTGTTGTGGTAGTACTTGCGCCCGTCAGGCGCGGTGTGCTCCGTCCAGACGTTCGGGGTCGCCCCGGCGCTGCCCCCGAGCGGCATGGGCGGCCGCAGCTGCTGCGGCATTGCCTGCCCGCTCCCGGGCGGGCCGGGCAGGCCGGGCAGGCTAGGCGGCCTGTGCATGGGCCCAGGCCCCAGCCCCGCCATGGCACCTGGGTAGCTGGATGCCCCCGACACCCCTCCCGGCCTCATCTGCATGCCGGGAAATCCCGGCGCGCCCTGTGGTCTGAAGCCCTGCGCACACAGCACAAAAGCTATGAACAGCAGGTAGTTTTTATCGCATGCTACCCCTTTCGGATTGTCCTCGTATCTCTTGCACAAGAGCGTGGATGTACCGATAAAGAAGCCCTGCAGGCACAAGGTGCTATGAGTGGGGAGTGCTGCGGCAGAGGATCTGCGGTTATTACCTGCTGCATGGGAGGAAGGTGTTGGGGAACCCCCTGAAAGCCCATGGGCGGACCCAGCGGGGGGCCGCCACCCATGTTTGGGGGAGGCATCTGCTGATGTGGCATCATACCCTGCTGAGTCGGCCGAGGAGGCGCCATTGGCATCGGCTGCTGCTGTGGCCGCGCCTGCCAGCCGCCGAATGGAGCTCCTCCAGGCGGCCCTCCCATTGGCTGCTGCGGCAGTCCGCCCATACCACCTCCCGCATGCTGAAAGAAACGACGAACTTGCCAGTCGGCAGAGGGTAATTGAGCTCATGGATGGTATGAGACGTGACTATGCGGATATCTGGTCAAGCTCCATTCTTGAATAGTGTGGCAGAAAGGAAAGGGAATGACCTGCCCCATTGGAGGAAAAGAGGGCATGGGCTGCCCTTGCTGGCTTCCTGGACCAAAGCCCTGACCACCCTGTGGTTCACATTGCACGCTTCAAGCTTTGATCTTTCCCGAGTAACCAATCGCAGGAGGTATAACAAGAAATACACTGATGATCTCTGTATAGCATTCCTAGAGGTGCTTGCGTGCAATAGAGTTTCATAAGTCCCAGCATACCTGAGGTCCACCTGGCCCTGGTGCCCCAGGATTGCCTTGCCCTGCGATCACCAATGTAAACCTCGCTTTAGACACTTAGTTGGTGCTCTTAAGTTGACTTATGAAATAAGACTTGACACTGGGGAACAACTCATCATATGATCCAGGTTTTTTGACGTTACCTGCTGTCATCCAGGCTGGTAGAGTGGCTGCTCTACCCCTGCCTGCCATATTTCTCAAGCAGTAAAATAGAATGAAGCTCGTGAGACACGCTGAAAGAATACAATTTTGTCACAAGCCCAGACTTGAAGATCCTATCCCATTAGATGTCCCAACTTTAGATTCAGGATTCTTGACATTGCACACACTTGCACATCATCGGCAACGCTGCAAGATCGCAGCCGTACTCGCTTGATTGCATGACCACAAATTTTGGAGAAGCATGAGGGTCCTCTTTCTGTTATGACCTGCCTCGTATGATGTTTGTCCGGAGGCGTTCCTGTCGATTCTTGAAGAGGAGGCGGCTGTTCCTTCTTCTCTCTCAGCGATTGCCAGAGACTTTTCTGGTCAGCGCGCTATGATCTACGACGTCAACTCGGGCCTCTTCAGATCGTTCCTTGCAGCTGGCGGTGGGTCTCACGGCTCAACTGTGAGGTGAGAATACCTGGCTAAACACTGGGGATGCACGATGCTAAACAACCCATATGTGTTCTTCGAAATCCATCATAGCAAGAGATCAATGGCACTTGTCCTTCTGCAATGTATGTGGGGCAGGGGAGTTATCTGACTGTTTTCTTGTCACTTCCTTAGTATTGGAATGGTAGCAGTCAGCCTTATTTTTCCATGCTGGATCTTGCTGGATCAGAACGCCGAATTATTCTTCTTGAGATTTTTTCATTTGTCACTGTTAGTCTGCATAGCCACGGTATTTATCGATGTTGTATGTTCACAGGAAGGACAACAGGAAACAGCCCAACGAGAAGTCCAAGGACAACAAGCCACCTCTGACCGAGTAGTGAGTAATGATCTCAATATCAACCTTCATAATGATTGTTTCTCACATTGTAATGTGTCTGCATTGTAGCACACACTTGTCCTGTGAAGTGTGATGCTGGGAGGGCTGGGTGGCTGGCCCTGAAGAGGACCAGACTTGGCTGTGTGATGTCATTGGGGGGTGGCTGACAGAGGGGTTGTGCTGGTGCAGAGCTTGTTGCGATGTCGAAGCGCACAAAGAAGGTGGGGATTGTCGGCAAGTACGGCACCCGGTATGGTGCCTCGCTGCGTAAGCAGATCAAGAAGATCGAGGTCAGCCAGCACTCCAAGTACTTCTGCAGCTTCTGCGGAAAGTACTCTGTGAAGCGCAGCGCTGTGGGCATCTGGAACTGCAAGTCTTGCAAGAAGACCCAGGCTGGCGGCGCCTACGTCCTCAACACTGGCTCAGCTGTGACTGTCCGCTCCACCATCCGCCGTCTGCGCGAGCAGACCGAGATCTAAATGGTCAGCGGGGGGTCAGCAGGCATGGACAACCGTCAGCCAGTTCTTTTCTGTTGTGTAAGGTGTAGGAAGATGAGGTGTCTATGACAGGCTTCGCGGGGGATATGCTCGGCATGCTGCAGTGCTGCTATGGTCTCTGCTGCTGCCAGCAGCAAACTGGGGTGCTGTGTTCAGAACATCGCATTGGACTCACTGAATACTACTCGTGGGATGTAAAGACTGGATATAGCTCGTGTGAAAAGTTGAAAGGGGCAAGTTGGTCTATACACGCATTGGTTGTCGGTACTGCATAGACAACCCGAATAGAGATCATCTACCGCTATCGATGCACTGGGCAATTTAATGGCATCATTCCTGCAGCATTCACGACATCATCTCTAAATCACATCCTGCCTGCAGATTCAACATCACTGCTTTCTGGTGTATTTGTTGGGCAAGAATTCAAATGGCCCTTCTTCTGGAGGCGCTCCCACGTGGTGGGCAGGCTCTGTGATCGCATTTGCTGCTCGCCAGACATCAGCTTGAGCGTTGTTGGTGCTGTACACTTTCCCATCGATGGTGCATCCCTACACAATCCAGTGGACTATTGAATCTGCACATATTGGAATCCAAACGCGCTTGCATCCTTGAGAGTTGAGTGCACAAACTTCTGTACAAAATGGGGAAAAGCGTGAGCAGCAGCTTGCCTGGAGCTGCACATGCACTTTGCTATCTGCCAGGACAACATAAGTCTCCTGACTCTGCAATTGGGAGTCTGTTACATCTGCCTTCGCATTGTCCCACGCCCATATGACACCTGACCCACGCAAACGAAGTTGTGAGGTCTTCCAGCACTTGTGCAGAAGCAAAGGGTGGGCCAAAATTTCCACAGAGAACAAGGTCATCTGGACTTCAGTAGTTTTCTCACCCATGCAGCCCTTGAACCTGCAAGCGGTGGCGTGCAGCTGAGCATGGTTGGTCACATCCACTGCAGGGCCCTTGCAACTGCTGATGGTGCATTCCTCCAGCCGCACACTGCTCTGATCCATGGCCACAATGCCATCCTCCTCACAGTCTGCCAGTGTGCACCTGGGCAAGCCGGCAAAGCTCACTGCAGCCGATGATTACCAGTTCTGTGATGTGGAAGAGGAGTTGGCCAGGTGAATCAATACAGATCGCGGGTGCAGGGAATGCGAAGGCATTGCAGACAAGGGCGCGTGCCTGGAAAGGAACAGCGCAGCATGCTCAAAGGTCTTGACGCCCTGCTCCCCGCACGCCTCAATCTTGCAGTCGACAAGAGACGGCGCCGCCCTCTCGTATGCTCGCACGCCGCACTTGCGCGCGCGCAACGAGCAGGCCCTGAACACCGGCGCCGCCTTGCCACATATATTGACTGCATCATCTCCGCTGCACCTGCACAGACAATATCTCATCTGCGCTTGGATCTGTGGTGCTCTCCTTGCGGTGTTGATGCTCACTATGACACAGCAAAGGGTCCCTAGACTTGTCACGATATTCGACACTCAGATCAAAGCATTACTTTCTCTGTTTCATGATTATTCTGGACTGTAGCTTTGGTGTCAACATCTGGCAGTGGCCTTCTTGTCTCAGGCCCCACCTGATGATGCAATTTTGGCAGACCGGCTGCACAGACGCTGCCCCCTCCACCTTGAGAGCCTCCCTGAAGCCAGTCATGTCGATGTCCAGGTCCTGGATGACGCAGCTGCGGCTGATGCGCAGCGTGGGGCAGTTTGCGCGGTGGTCGATGCGCGTCTCCCCCAGCGATCCCTCCCCTCTGATCAGCACCCGCTTGCTCACATGCACCGTCTCCCTGCTCACAGCATGCAAGAGCCCTCAGGATCAGTATGGGCAAGAGGCTCAAGTTCAAGCCCATCAAATACATGTTCATGGGGGCCATAGATTTCCTCACGAGGTTGACAAGATACAAGGATCTACGTGAAGGTTATTTGCCATGATGCCTTTTATGCTATGAGTCTGACAGATTGAGATGAGGGTGGAGCTGCAAGGGTCTGCTGAGCCGCACCCAAGCCCATTGTGGATGCCCTTCTTCAGGAGGATCTGGTCACCATCCCTTGCTGCCGCCACTGCTGCATGCAGTGACCGAAAGCTGAGGCCCTTCCTCACTGCATGTAACAAGAACCCACGGATCAATATTTGGATAGACAGACGGCGACAGACCAGCAGCTGAGACATAAACCAGACATTGCCGCATTGCATGCACCACTTCTACCGCAGAGCAGGGGGTTTCCGCACCAAATCCCACAGCCCCAGCAGCTGGCTCAGTGCTGGCTCTCTCCGAGACTTCTTTGCTGTCGTTGGGATGTGTACTCAGCGCCCCACCACTACCGCTGCTAGAAGGCAGTGCCAGAAGAGGGTCCTCTGGGCCATCCAGATCTGGGTCCTCTGGAGCTTCCCTGCCTAACCATGCATCTTCACCCGCATCCCTTACCTGCTTCCAATGCATACAATTCATTAGATGGTGTGACACAATTGTCCAATAGTTTCTCTGTCTAGTTCCTCTGCATGTTCAAAATGAGTTAAGGACGGTACGAATGAAACGAGAATTGCCTCCAATTTGCGTCCGCTGAAGCCGGCCATGGAGCCATGTTGAGCAGCAGTGACTGCAATGACATCTATCAAGGGCGCAAAGTCAGACGTGCCCCCAGATCTGGCAGCGCCCTCCTTGCACATCTCGAGAGCATCCTCCCATTGGGACAAGCCAGCAAGTGCCTGGGCCAGCCTGTGCAATGGCTTTGGCCATGCAGGGTCGAGGTGCCTGGCCTTTTGGGCATCCTCTACAGCCTGATGAGCAGCAGAACTCAGAATGCTGTGTATGGTAATATATCTGCATGGACTTCCCTTCGATGGTAATTTTCCAGTATCTTAAGTATTCAGAATCATGCTGCAAGTGTGATGACTTGCCTGGGTGTAGGACCCATTCTTGATATGGGCCAAAGCGCGGTTGCTGTACAATTTAGCCAGATGGCTGTCCTTGAGGCCTTCTTCCTCTGACGCCTCTATAGAAGCACCGTAGCATTGGATGGCTTGGGAGCACTCGCCCTGATTCAGGTATTGATTGGCTGCCACTCTGAACTTCTCTGCTGAGGGTCTTGCTGATGAAGGGTCCTCGATGGGTGTTGAAGCGCGCAGTTCATCCATGATCTATGCGCGCTGCGAGGTATTCATGATGTTGTTTCCAGCGAATCGACCTACACATAAATCTGCGTGTGAAGGATCTGACACCCGATCTGAGAGCTTTCGCTGGCCACTCACACGAATTTCAACCTGCCGTCGGTAGCGATTCGCCCTTATCAAGTGTCAGTTTTCCCTCAATACCCACCACTGAGAAGTGGATTGTGGAATTGAGTTCTCCTAGAGATTGCCAACCGGGAAGTACCGAATATCGAATAGCGCTTTCGTGTGCCTAAAGTACCACAGGAGCCGTCATCAGAGCTAGTATCACTCAAAAGAGTCAGGTAAAAGAAACACCCAGCAATGAAAGATCCAGTTTCATGTTTTCTTCCGTGTGCCCAGCAGGGTGTGTCAACACGTAACGCCCCACCCGTAACGTGCCTCCATGTTTTGTCCAAGCCAATGACAGGACATCCAGATCCTGCCAGGCCGCCTTCCTTCCCTTCCTTCGCATAAGAGGTACCATCACCGATGATGGGAACAGTACGTCAATGCCAGGACTTTGGAAAAAAAGACAGGCGCTGCGGCAGTGGGCAGTGTTGCAGCGTAGTGTGGCACAGCGAAATGTGTAACGCATGCTGGCTGTCAGGGATGAGTTGAATGAAAGCGTAAGCTTGCAAAGCTGAGTCAGAGACTGTTTGCCATACAGCAACACCAAAAGTAGTCGACCCCAATTCCTAATTCTATGTAGATTTTGCTTGCAAACCAGTCTAAACACAAAGTCACCTAGATTCGAATGTGACATTAGTTTCACCGCCCAAATACTTCCAAGCTCCATCTGTGCTATCCCGCCGGAAAGTGCTGGTCTCGTGGAGGCACTGCAGGACATTGCCCTTCTGCCTTTGGCCTTTCTGGTTCACCACTTTGAAGTACGCCGAGAATTGCACTATCCCCTCGCCATCACTGCCATCCTTGCTGTCCAAGATCTTCAAGCGCTGCCATGCAACTGTTCGGAAGGTGGCATGGATGTCCTCAATCATTGTTGAGGACAGCTCGCCGTCTGGAGTTCTGCTGCCTTCCCTTTTTGGGTTTTCTGCATGTACTGTCGCTACCTGCGTTACAACAAGCGGCCAGACCACTAGTATCGACGCCCAATTCACATTGTCAATGCATTGATCAAGGAAGCAGATCAACCAACCAATCCTGCAGTCTGTATTAGCAGATTGAAGAGTAGCTGCGGCAGGCCCTTACCAGAAAGTCTGCATCTTCCTTGACATAGGCGCTGAAGCGTGCTCGCATGAGAGCCTCAGGAGTCGGTACTGCTCCGCCCTCATGGTATGGCTGACAACATTCCTGGAGATATATACACGATCTTCATTTTGTTGCATGATTAGAAAGAGCTGAACATGCGCACCCTCTCCACCAGTGGCATTGCCCCTGCTACATCTCTCACATGAACCAGAGCCGGCTCTCTTCCGCTTTGCTAGTAAAGAACCATTCTGAATCATCTAGACCTAGTTTAAACGCACCATGTATGATTTGCCTGAGCTGCATGGGCACATACTGCGGTCCCTTTCCCATATGGGGACCTGCTCAGTCTTCTGGCCCTTCTTCTGTTGAGGTGCTGGCTTCGTCTTCACACCAAAGCCTGCACCCAGGTGGAACCTCACCTTCGGGTCGTGCCAACAACTGCATAGTAGTCTCGCATATGTCAGCACAGGATAGACAAGGACCAGCTTACCTTTGAAGGCAGCAGCAGTCCTGAGCAAGGTTAGTCTTACCTTGTGCAAGCGCGGTGCGGTCTTGTGCCCTGCCACAGTAAAGCAGACACGTAATCCGGAATCTTAGCAGTAGTCTAAGATTTTACTTGATTGCTCGAAAGGAACTCTCCTCTGGATCTGTTTTTACCTGAGTGCAACGTAGAGAACATGTGGAAACACGGCACAGTCGTTGAGCTATTGTTGTGCCAAGTGATTTGAAAAGTCATAGTTTGCAACCTTGCGATCTTGCAATCACGTCTTCAACATCTCCGGTGCAAAGAAAATCTCAATGCAACGCTTCATGCCAACAGAAAATCATGTCCAAGACGGCCTTCCGCACGGTCCATGACTTGTGTGAACGACATGGTGAGGGAAAGGGCAGAATTGACAAGTCAATTCACGGGTGTGCATGCTCCAGATCATGTACTCGGACGCTGAGCTACTCATTCGGCTGAACCTCGCCGAGTGCCAAACTTGGTCAACGGGCATTTGCAGTGGTGGTCAATGGCATTCTTGTGAACGGGGCATGACATGTAGTGCACTTGATAACACAATGGCTCTACTTAAGGATGTGTGATTACATGTACAGTGCGCTGACAGCCGATGGGCGGGCACGCACTGCGCCCTGGCAAGGAGACACTTATTTCCAGAGTGCATCCGATGCGACAGAGTCTGGACTCCTCGGAGGACTATGCTAGTATTCACATAACATGATCTGTACTGGCAGTACAAGTCCTACGGGCCTTGCCTAATGCTGCAAGCCCAAACATTACCAGACTGCCTCTATCTCACATCAATGACAGGCAGCAGGACATGGCGAGCCACTGCCCCTCGCTGCAGCTGGCCTGGCCTGGGCCCAACCCAGTCTGCATAGCTCTCCTTGTCCTCAAGCATGCAGTCGCCTCCGCTCCACTCTGCGCGGCGAATCCGAGCGCCATCGCCAAAATACGACACTGCCAGCGCCATCCGGGGAGGGCTGTTCAGGGGCTGCGGCGGCGCATAATGGAGCAGCCAGCCGTGGTGCCAGCTCACATCCCCTAGCTCCATCCTCCCTACTCGCATGACACAGGTGTCAGGCTGGAGATGCATGCACTCCCCAAATGCCTCTGCTACAGGAATTTGGCCCCGGCTGGCAGGGAGCAGTATGATTACTGAGCACCGTGCTGACGGTTAACCGTCAACGTTGATTAGGTGTCGCATGAATCTGGCATGTCCATCAGGGGGTGGGACTGTGGCAACCTGCAGCTTGTCTGCAGACGCACCTTGCCTCTGGCAGAAACAGCGGGTAATGACAACTATAATAGTAAGAATAGGAAGCTTCTGGTGACGGCAATTCTTTTTACGATGGAAACAGCGGGCGGGCCCCTCACCTACAGATCTGATTTTGTAGCCTCTGTCGCTGAGGTCCCTGCTGCTGCCGTCCTTTTGCGCGTGTACCGCAATGTCTCGGTGTGACCCTTCCGCAAACTCCAGCCCAGAGTCTCCCTCTTTCTGTTTCAAGACCGCATACAACCTCATCCTTGACTTTTCCTCAACATTCCAGACCCAAGTGGTGCACGAGGTTTGCACAGCATTAAAGTTTGTGGGAGGAGGGTCCAGACCTTGAGGGGGCGCAGAGGGATCCAGGCTGTGACAAAGGAGTTGGTATCCAAGGGCGAGATGGGCAGGTCAGAGTGCCAGTTGGTAGGGGTGAAGCCTGGCTCTTTCACAAACACACAGTCCTGGTACACGCGAACTCGCCTCTCCCCTAGCAGCTGTGCAGCCACAGACGCCAGGCGCCTACTGGTCACCAGGCTCCGGATAAGCTGCACCTCTCTGCCGCAGACAAACCACCTCTCAACATGGAGACATTGTTTATCGAGCCCCAGCTTCTGGCAAAAATTGACGGAAGGGCCACAGACATGGCGACAATCAGAGACTGTGCGTCACCTGTGCAGGTTGAAGTGTTGCATAAAGCCCAGTTCCTGGCTGTGCCTCTTCAGATGCCGGAGGGCCTGCTCCTTGCTGTGGACCGGCACATGCTTGTCAGCAGGGAGCAGCACCCTGATCCGATGACTCAGCGCAACCAATTGCCTGTTATCAGCTTCCCTCTGCACTGCGCCATGCAGAGCAGTGACTTGTGCCCCATCAAGCAGAGAACGCGTGCAGATGTGTCCCAGACGCTCAAAATTCAGCAGCTGCGAATCCGACAACACTCGTGGAGACGCTGCTGCATCAAAAGGGTTCTGGTTCCCAGACACAGTGCTTGCTACTGCAGTGGCTGAACCAGCCTCGACATGGTCTGACAATAGCAACTGCACATCCAAGTCACGAGGAGCCTTCTGTCTTGGTGGCTTGCTTCCCCTTCGTTTTCCAAGAATTTGATCTATTCTATTCCTATTCTGGTCATGAAATGCACTTTCTTGCTTGAAGGCGCGACACACACATTTTCGCAACACCAGTGGTAATTTATGTGCTCCTCTACGTTTGAATAGTACTATATCAGGTTTGCAATCGTGAAATTTTGTGCTCATATGAAACGCTGATCAACAGGTCTCGAATATTGAACTGCAACAGGATCGGCAGTCACCGCAGCCTAATGCGTCCAATAGAGACAGCAACATATAGTACGATCAAGGAGCCGAATGTCCGAAGCTGCTGGCCAGGACTAGTGCCTTGCATGTGGCGATGACTCCGCATCTGTCATTCGCCATATTCAGACGGCGTTCCTTCCAGGCGGTGTTCAATGATGATCTTTGGGGAAGAAAGAGATGCTTTTGAAAGCACCCAAGCCTATCTGGTGGTAGAATAAGCCCATCCCAGGTATTTATGCCTGAGAAAGCTGGGCGCTGAGTCGCAACAAAAAAAGAGAAGCACACCTTGGATCATGTTTCGGAACACTTTCCAGTCCGGTTTCCTCTCGATCCTCTATTCTTTGGGCAGCACACCTCTAGAAATATGGCAAGCCAACGGTAAGTCGATTTATGGTGAAGATCACCGTGTAGTTCACTGTTGACTATTTCTGTGGTGACCAGATGGTCTACATTTAGAACATGCCTTCCTTGGAGTTCTGCAACTCCATCCAACAGTGGCATGCAAGCACATGTGTGTGTCTACAGTTCGTAATGGACACATCAAGCGCATCACCGATGAGGATATTGCCAGCAGCGTGCTAGAAATTTCCGCAGCCAATGTGAGCACAACCTACGTGAGTTGCCCTGCCGACAAAGCCAAGACACTCGGCATCAAGCTGCCCTTCCTCGTCATGATAGTAAAAAACATGCAGAAATTCTTCAGCTTCGAGGTGCAAGTCTTGGACGACAAGAACGTCCGCCGGCGATTTCGGGCCTCCAATTATCAGGTGTGTTGCTGTGGAAACATCCTTACATGCAGATGTATGGTGTATGCTTGATGCCCCACATCTAGCAAAAGTTTTGTATCCACTCAAAGTAATGGCGATTTTCATGTTTAGCACCTTCAGCTTGTCAAAATTTACTGGCTGTTTTGTCTCTCTGCTTTCACCTTGAGGCACCTCATATTTGCTGAATGGCAGGCAAACACACGTGTGAAGCCCTTCATCTGCACCATGCCCATGAGACTCGATGAGGGCTGGAACCAGATCCAATTCAACCTGGCTGATTTCACCAGGCGTGCATATGGTGCGCCCTTGGTTATTACTCCTGAACAGCTGCCCAGTTTTTATTGCAGATGCTGTGCTCTAGGAATCCTGATCTGCTCCTGAAAGGCCTGCTGGTGTCGCAGGCACAAACTACATCGAGACGCTCCGGATGCAGATACATGCAAACTGCAGAATAAGGAGGGTGTACTTCTCGGACAGATTGTACTCAGAGGAGGAGCTGCCACCGGAGTTCAAGCTTTTCCTGCCATCCCAGAAGTGATGGCAAAGCTTTCGATTGCATTAAAGTCCCAGATCTTGTGCCTGAACTATTTGATTTGCCGATAACTTGCCAGTGGTCAACTGATAGGAGCATCGGTACACTAATAAATGTCGGCAACCACTTGAAGTTATCATTTTGGGTTGCCATGCACAGATGGCTGCACCTGTCACACTTTACAAGTGTTACAGCTGTTCAAAGGTTTCCAGAATTCTCTCAAGCAGAAGACGTCTGTCTGGTCCAACGTTGTTAACAGCACACCTGCTGATTAATACCAAGGATGAAGGGAACTTCATCAAGTACATCTGTGCTAGCACGACAATGAAAAAAGCTAGGAGCATTACCAACAGCTCACAAATAACACATGTCCTTTACAGGATCACTCAAAGCAGTCTAAGATGATCAAAATTACGAAAGCGTCTCAGAGTTCTTCATTTATAAATACCGGTGCACGTCCATGCGATGCTCATCCCACACAACAGCCCTGCCTCATCTTGAGTAGGCGCTGTATCCCTGCAACCCCAACAAACTGATCTCACACACTGGCACAGTGGGGCGGTGCAGACATATTGAAAGTCACAGACACGATCCAAGTCAAAAACTCATGAAACCAAAAGGTCAAGCACGACAGGGGAAGCGGCCGCACCGGCTGCTGTTGGGGCTGCATCGGGTAGCCTGAAGCTGCAGGCCACTGCTGCTGACCATACGCCTGTTGCGGCTGCTGCTGCTGCTGCTGCTGCATTACTGCTGACCAGTCCGAGCCCTGCGACCCGCCATACTGCGCGCCAGGATAGGCTGGCGGTGGGGGCGGAGGTGGCAGCGGCGGCTGGGCCGAGCGCGACTGTGTTGCGCGAGGCTGCGCGGCCGGCGCAGCAGGCGCTGAGTCCCTGTTGACCACCGGCTGCTGCTTGAACAGGCCGATCACACTGTCCACCTTTGACCGCACCTGCGCACAATGACAGCACATACACATCCGTGCGCTTTCAAAAGCCTATCTCAGCATCCAATCCGCCAGAGCTTGCATCCCAGTCTCTCCTATTGCAAGCTGGCCATGACATATCATCCTTCCTTGACCATCGCAGCTCATACAGGGTGAAAGGAGACATATTACAGTCCCAGCAGCAAATTAAGTGGAAAGAGGCTGAGAGGTGCACTGCAGCAGGGCCGTTAGTGCACGGGAAGCACCTCGTGGCGGAAGTAGAAGCCGTCAGGGGTGACGGTGAAGTACTCGCGGTGGGGGTTGGTGTTGATGATGTAGCCCAGGTAGAAGGTGCCGGGCGTGTCCAGCTTGCAGCCCAGCAGGTAGACAGCGCCCCCCTTTGTCTGCGCCTTCTCCGCCATCAGCTGCTCCTTCAAGCCCTCATGCCCCTCCCAGTACCCCTCCCTGTACTTCCTGCAGTGCCCAGGCAGACAGCCTCCATTCATGCGAGCCCAGCAAGAAGACAAGAACTCTGGAGGGTGATTGCTGGCTCCTTGGCAGCTGCCGCTTGCAAGGGACCCTAGCTTCTGCTTAATGCCGGCTCGCATAAGTTCCCAAGCACAGACTTTGGCTACGGGACATTGGGAGGCGCCTGCAGACGTTGTCCCCCCAGGGACTAGAGAATTGTTTGCACGCAGGTCTCAAGGCTCTGCTGTGTGCTCGAGGGGACGGGGAGGTCAGGCAAAGTTGTAACAAAAGTCTAGCGGCGCAGGCTTAGCAATATGACTGGTCAGTGCAGAGCATGCAGCTGCGCACGCGTGGCGTAGATTATACGGTTTGCTGCATGCGAACCGGCTGCCTAACAGTGGACATCATGATTGCTGACTTGGATGCAGCAGACTCACCTGTGGCGCATGACCTGCTTGAGGTTGGCGACAAGGGGATCTGCGAAGCGAGCGAGGATCTCGTCCAGGTCCTCGTACTCCTCAATGCGGCCCCCCGTCAGCGTGATGCTGAGCGGGCGGCCCAGGCGCAGGTGCGCGCCGACGCCCTCCTCCTTCTTCCCCTCCCGCACCTCGTGGTGCATGTACACCGGGGTTCCCTGCCCGTCCGGCTCGCTCCCGTGCACCTGTGCCAGTGTCAACTGGAGTGGTTCGCACGTAGGCACTGGCTTCAAGAATTCCTAGTCTCTACTCTTCATGTGTTGGTGACTTTGCTGTTTCCAACGTTGTTCCGAGCTCTGCAGTCCCTGTTAGCAGCTCCATTTAAATTTGGGCAGGCATTAACAATGATGGCCCCAAACTCTCAAGTCTCCTCTAAATTGGGCGGACTAAACACATGACTGCATTTTGTTCTGGCAACGGCTGAATCGTCACCTTGATGCATGATATCGCATTGCGGATGTCCTCAGCTAGCCACAAGCGACGGGAAAAATAACAGGATGAAGGTGGAAGAAAGATACCCCAGTTGCCGGAGCCTTCATGTCTCTGCCATAGCAGAGAGTTTGCTACAGCCCGGGAAAAGCTGTCAGACGGCCGTGTGATCATCACTCAGCCGGTGGAGTCAAGTGGAGTGTGAAGGGTATTGCCCACCTTGATGGTGAGGGTGATCTGGGTGATGCCGCGGGAGGAGGGCCGCAGCAGGTAGGAGCCCACGGCCGCGTCTTTCAGCAGCTCGGTGGCCTGCGGCGCGTTGACGTTCTTGAAGTAGGGGTGCCGGATGGGGCGACTCACGATTTGCCGCGAGCGCTGCGCCTTGGCTTCCGCCACCGCCCGCTGCGCCTTCTCCGCCTCTGATAAGACGTAGTAGTAACTGCATGCATGCATGCACACCCTTTCATGCACCCTCTCTGGCACTGAAAGTACTGCATGCTACCCAGACGCTTGTCCGCGCTGATGGCCTTGAGATGGTATGCTTGATTGCAGGTGCAATGTCCCCTCAAAGAGGTGGGCGTTAGTGATGGCAAGCACCAAATGCTGCGCTAAGACAACAGCTTGAGAGGTAAGGCGATGCTTGGATGCCAGAGTGGGGCTGTGGAGGTCAGGGGGCCCAGCTGCAAGAATTATTCAGAGGGGCCGGGAGCGCGCACTTGTCGTTCTTTGCGCAGTACTCCTTCTCCCAGGCGCTGTCGTTCATGAGATCGTTGGAAGCCGTTGTCAGCTCCACCACAAATTGTGTGGGCGTCACCAGCTTTATCCTGCAACACCCGTGCTGCACCCTCAGTGCAGAGGCACCCTTGCTTTGAGGAAAATATTCTTTCAATGCTGCTAACCAGGTGGTAGCATGGTACACAACTGTGCAGTGGGAAGCGACAATGGGCGCTTCCTGATCACAGCAGAAGCATGCATGCCATAATTCTAACTCCAAAAAAAAGTCAAGCATGGCGCACCGGGCGGTGATGGTTTGGCCGCGCTGCATGCGGTCGGCCGGGGAGATGTCCTCGCCGTTGGACGACACGTCGCCGCGGCGCACAATGCCCTCGACGCCGCCGAAATCCGTCAGCCGCACGCGCGCGTCGTCGCGCCCGGACGACATCACCGTCGCCGTCACCAGCCGCCCCGGCTTGAGCGTCTCCGGCGACTCCCCCGTCAGCAGCCAGAAGGCCTGATCGTCCTGCAGTGTACAGGATAGACGCAGATCAGAATCGCAGACAGAGTCAAGGACATCGATACGCCATGGTGAGGAGACAAGCTAAATCACATCAAGGACAACAATTTTTGGAGAACTTACAGGAAGGTAAGATGCCAAAGCAACAGCACAATATCTGTAGGAACAACGCGCATTGCATGCAGGTTGTGTTGCTGCTATGAGGTCTGCATTATTGTAAAGGCTTCCGCTCGCTCAAGCCAGGATCAAGGCGAGGTGCTGGACTCTCACCCCCATGCGATCAGCCTCCACTCGCAGCTCTCCGTTGGGCTGCACCAGCTCGAAGCAGATGTCCCGCAGCGTGCTGAGCGGCTTGCCCAGTGAGGCATCATCCTTGAACCGCTCCAGCACATCCTGCACTTGGGTGATAGAAATGGTTAGGGGAGTATGTGATCGGTTTCTGAACAAAGGGATATATTTGTTGATTCAAATTCCCAGTGAGTCCGCAGCAAGGCAGATGCTGAGGAACGACAAGCATGCAGCGTTTGCTCTTCCGTGGCATGAACTTGGGGCTGCCAGATACCTGCCTTCAACGCCATGTGATTGATTGCCCCATCTACAGGTCACACTGGCGCCTCTACAAGTGCATTCATGGCAGAGGAAGGGGCGAGCGGCGCACCATGAGGTTGAGGGACTCGATGAGCTGGGGCTTGGAGAGCACGCGGTCGACGGCGTGGGTGTCACCGTTGCGGGGGTCGGGCCGATCAGAGCCGAGGGCAAGCTGCGCGAGGCAGGCGGTGGTGTCGTAGAAGGAGGGGTGCACGCGCGTGTCGTCCAGGGGCACCATGTCCGCCGTCCCCATGTCCTGCCCGCTCGCCGCCACGCGGATCGACCCCGCGCAATTCCTGCGCACCACATATCCCTTCTTACCACTACTGTACGTGCCCAACCAAAGCAAGTTCTGGGCACTGGGCAGTCATGTCACATGGGGTCTTCTGGGGAATTGTGCTTGAAGAAGATGCTTCAAAAGACAACTTGTTTGTATACACCAATGACGCCAAGCAAAATGGCAGATCATCAGTCTCAAAAGGTACCATTTGCCGGCAGATGGTCCTTTGACATCTAGGGCAGTTAGGGGGGAGCAAGTGTATGAGGTGCCCTCCATGGTCAACAAGCACACCTGAAGACGTTTTTTCCGAGCACGCCAAACTCCTTCCACATGTCGAGGCGGGTGGTGACGTGCTGCTCGCGCTGCACGGTGCGCAGCAGCGCCTGGGCCTTGCGCGGCCCCAGGCCCGCCACAAACTGCATCGGCGCCGCCTGCCACGCGTTGTGGGCCACCCTGTTTATGTCCACGCCCACCTGCGTGGTCAAGGCTTAGTCACGCCGTTATCCACACATATGAACAACCCTGGAAGTGGGTCTCTCCCCCATTCACTGCCGCAACTGGTATGACACACAAGAGTGAGGAGGTTTGAGCTCTGCAATGTTGAAAGACTGGCTGGTCTTCAGAGCTCGTTCAAGGGTCAGTGGCACAGCAAGAGCTGCAGCTAAATGAGGAGAGGGCTGCACATGGGATGCAGAGCAGGGCACCTGGTTGGTGGCAGTGATGCAGATGCGCTCGGCGACGGCGAGCAGGTCCTGCTTGGGCAGCAGCTCCTGCAGCGGGTGCAGGTTGGCGCCCAGGATCTCGGCCGAGGGGCCGCACAGCGACGCCAGCACCGCCAGAGGGTCCAGCGCGCACCTCGCCAGCGCCACCTGTTATTTATCCCCAAAACAACCTCAGGGAGTAAACTGTAAAACAAAGATCGAGTCCACAATGCCAGATGCAAGTGCCCTACTGAAGCCACATATAACCCACATCGCCCTCAAAATCAGCCGTTCCAGCAGCCCTTCCACAACTATGTCAAGTGCTCACACAGTGCATTGTTCATTTTCTTGTTGATATACAGGACGCACAGGTTGACATCCTTGTGCAGCAATGGTATCCTTGCCCCATTTGCGACTGGGGGACAAGTGCACATTCAACTGCCCATCACGCTCAGAAGCCTGCTAATGCCATGAACGAAACACATTCACGGGACGCATGCAGGTATTGTTTTGTGCAATATTTGGACACTCACCGCGCGGCGCACGAGGGGCGGCTGGTCGCCCATGTCCTGCTGCGCGGCGGCGGAGGTCTGCCACAGAGCGGCCAGCGTCTCGTCCGCGTACACAATGTCTACGTCGCCGACATCGGAGCGCGTGATGAACTGCGGGTGGTGCTCCAGAATGTGGTCCATGATCGCGCGCAGATCGCCGTGCAGCTGCTTGCAGTGCAGATTCGTGGCTCCCACCAGCACCACGTGCGGCCGGTGCTCCAGGATGAAGTCCCTGATGCGCTCAGCATCCTTCACCTGCACCGGCAACCATGGCTTGTCAAGTCTGCGCCAACGCAGTAGGTTCGGGTGTTGACATTGCAGAAGCTACGACAAACCACCTGCAGATGGTCTCAAAGATGCCATATCGTTGTATTTATAAGTGCAGGTGCTCACATTGCAACTCATCAGAAGCAATCCCATAATGACAGGGAAGTGTAACAGACACAGATTCGGAATGAACTGCAAGGAATTAGGAAAAGCTTGGGAATTAAACGAGCAGGCCTCTGATTTATGACTGCTCATTATCAGGTGAACATGGGGTTGAGGAGGGTGCACAGGCAGCCCCACCTTGCTCTGGTCTATGAAGAGGCCGTCGCGGCTGTGGCGGATGGGGCCACTGAGCTGGCCGGCAAAGAGGATGTCGCTGAGCTGGCCGGCGTCGTCTAGCATGGCGAGCGTGGTTGCCGGGTCGCCCGGGCCCCAGCACACCGCCATGAAACGCCGCCGCTCCACCACTTCATCATCCTCCACCGTCCTCACCTGCTCACATGGCACGCCAGGTTTCAGACAGCCACACACATCTCTGCATTGACGGTTCCGGCATGCCTTCTGCCAAAAGACTTGCATGCTTGTGTTTGCACCATCAGGTTTTCCTCCTGCAAGTGAAAACCAGCATCATCCTGCGCTTCACATGTTTTCAAGCGTTATTGGGGATTTCAGCACCATGCCAACAGCAGCAGAGCCCCTCCCAAGATCCTTACCAGTCGGCTTGGGGAATGGCCAGGGGAGGAGAAGGCATCTCTTCCTTTTTGAGCGTTATGGCAGGGTGAGAGGTGGGTATGCGCGCCTGCAGGGGGGCGCGGCTGGCGTAGCCCCAGAGCTTGTCGGCGACGTGGTGCAGCGCGGCGTGGCGGGCGTCGGCCAGCAGCCGGCCGCGCAGCTCCAGCGCAAACGCCGGCAGCAGGCGCTGCTGCACGGCCTCGTGCAGGATTGCCATGCGCTGCTCGTTCCACGCGTTGGCGCTGATGGACGTCCCCGGGGACACATAGAACTCCGCCAGGGACTTTATCAGATCGCCCTCCAGCTCTTCTTCTGGCACCTGTGCGCATGTATAACTAATGCACGGTTGACTAACCCAAACCCAGAGTGGTAATGATGCAAGCAATGCCCGTGACCAAAAGTGTTCATATCAGTATTATTGTCTTACCACTAAAATTACTTCTATATATTTTTCAGGTTTTCAATGCAGAGAACTAGGTGCGCCGGAGCAGATTTGTATGGTAGCGATCCAAGCGAGCAAATATTGCCAGTGGAAACATGCCAAAGGTAGGCGCTCAATCAGTACTCTGCAGAAAAGCTCCCCAATGCTCGGTGCGGAAGCCATTGCTTGCTTGGGACAAACACAGCAAGACAGCTGTGCTGAGCTGTTTGCACCCTTGTCAAGAATGTGCCCAACTGGGTGAGACTTCTGTAGGAATCAACGTAAGGCACTGTGCACAAGGGAGAGACCAGGCAGAGCCTGCACCTCTATGCTAACTGTGAGCAGGCTCTCCTTCTCGGCCTGCACAATGCAGAGGAAGTCCTCCTCGCCCTCGAACATGTTGACCGGCTTGTTGCGCAGGCGCTTCACACGGCCGTATTGGTGGAATGCATCTATGATCGTCTCGCCTTGCGGGGTCGGCTCTGCAAATCACCACACAGCGCTCCCTTGACACGCACTATAAATTATATCCCATGCAGGCCAAGGGCTTCTCTGCTTACAGCAGACAAGTTGCAGGCAGACTGATGCAAGGAAGGATTAACAGCTTTGCACGTATGTTTTAGAGCTGCCAGGAAGGCTATTTATGCAATGAGATAGGCAGCAGAAGCACATGCATGTGAGTGGTTGCAGTGTTCCCACCTGTGCTGATGACAGCCGCTGGCATGAACTTGTTGCGGACAAATCTGCGCACTTCGGGCTCCGCCACCACTTCACTGACGGCCATCTGGCGCGCGCCGTGCAGCAGCGCTTCTGGTGAGTCAAAGGCAGAGCCCTGCGCATGCAACCCCACAGATCGACTTCTCGCATATCAAAGATCTGCCTCATGAGTTGTACCTGTTGCCATAGAATTGTGACCTAGACATGCATGTCCTGTTGCTCAATGTGGCCTCTCAAACATGATGTGCAGATCAAAATGATCGGCACACTAAGGCTGTGCACGTCTCGGGCAGCTATTCAACAGGGCAGTGAGAGCGCACCGGGACCACGTGCTCTGCCGCAAACTCCTCGGGCATCATCCTGGGGTCAATACAATCATGCTTCTTGTACTGGCTCTCCAGATTCTCCCCAAGCTCCTGTGCGCTGATGACCATCTCCCGCACCACCGGCTCCAAACCAGCCTGTGACAATTACAATACGCACATGCAATTCCCGGCATTTGCACTGATTTAATGACAGACAAAAGAGATCAGGGAACAATGAGGGCATCTTGAGCAAGCGTGCAAGAGAACGAACACATGCATGCCGACCTTTCTGAGTGTCTCGTATGCCGAGATCTTTTTGGGCCGGCGGGTGAGGGGCGCCTGGTCATCAATATTCAGGTCGGCGATGCCCTCGGCCAGCTCAGCGGCCTTCAGCTTGTACTTGGCCTCCACATCTGCCACCTCCTGCTCACACCAACGCGGACGGTATGACAACAAGGCACCATGGCGATTTCGAAATCGATGCGCTGGTGAATTGTGCGCTCAATAAATTTTCAAGCCAACATACACCTCTCGCATCCCAGCCCCCTCAATGCCTGGCACAGCAGAGGAGGCAGCACAGACTCCAGACAGGAAACACCTGGATAGAACCATGTGCAAAAACACAACAGGAATGGTTTGGAGAGAACAAGGTGCAACAGCAGGAACGAAGAGAATAGAACAAGGTGCCAGAACAGGCGCGCCCACCTCAGGGCTCTCGGCCTTGCGGAGGGTGTCGAGCAGGCGGTCGATGGTGAGCTGAGCGTTCTCTGGCGCGCGTTCAAGGGCGTCCTGGTAAGCCCTCTCACGGATCTCCTTGCGCCGCGCCAGAGCTCGCCACCTCATCGCCATGCTGTGCACGTACCACAGCACGTCCCACCGCCGGATCCTCCTGTGCTTCGCCTGCAGCAATCCCACAGCACATAGTTCATTCCTTGAAGCTTTCATCCACACACAGCAAACCCCCACAAGATCAACCCGCCAGTGTGCCATCTCCAGCAAATTCCTTTCACAGAGACAGATGCCTCCAATTTCATCGAATACCGGCAGGCACTCCAGCTCTACATATGGGTACTTTCTAGGAGCTTATCGTGTGCGTATCAGAACGCGCATCACCTGCACGACGCCGACCGGCATTTCCGGCTGCCGCTTCTCCTGCCGCCTGCGCGACTCATCTTTGCTCGTCACATTTGGAACATCCCCTTTCCGCATGGCCAGCAGCTCATCCGCCACCTGGGCAAGCCACATCCCACATATACACTTAGCCAAAAGATATTGCAGCACGTGCTGACACGCATGCTTGCATGCATGCAGGGACGGCGGCCATGCGCACCTGTTTCCTGTACTGGGCGATGTAAGGGACTTCGAAGTGGCTGTCAAACATGTCGGCCAGAACATTGGTGATGTTCTGCTTCAGCTTCTCCTGGGCCTGGTCATCCGTTAGCCATGCCTTGAATGCTCGCACACTCCTCCGCTCCCGGACCGCCCTGCACCACCCTGTCTTGTCATATTCTAGATCTCCCTCTGCGCTGCCCTTAAATTGACGCCTTTGAACTTTCATACTCAAAGTCATCACCGGGAGTGTTATAAAATGCCACATGGCAGTGTCTTGCTGGAGGAGTTTAGCTGTATCGGCAAGATCGTGCAAAATGTCATGCGGTAGCACACACCTCTCTCCTCTGGACAGGTCAGTGAGACCTTCCTTGATTTCAGCATCGTTCCACTCCAGGCGCCCATCAGGCGGCGGCCCATCCACCTCCCGCCTTCCCAGGCACAAAATCTCCGTCTCGAACTGCTTCTCGCTGCTGCGCGCCCCCACCAGGTGCTCATGGATCCACCTGCCAATCCAGCACGCATGCACCCTCAGCACGGCTCCTGGTAACCATAGACTTGAGCATCTCCCATGAGCCTTTGTTTTGGCTCCTGCATCAGGATGCAGCTGCAGACAGCATGCACCAAAATAGGTGCAGCGAACCCTGCATAAGGAGGGGAGGGGTAGCATGCTGACGAGCTATTGAAAGTTTGTGCGCTTTTCACAGATAATCCTGCACCAGAAGGGATGCCCTGCGGACTGTGGGGGACTGGCGGAGAGGACACTGTCTCCAGGTCCCCAGGTCCTGCCCTCTGTTTCCCCTCTGTCTGCTCCTTGTGGAGTCAAAAGAGGGGTGTGGATGGAAGAGACCAGTGGCGCCCGCAGCGGCCGCGAGGCCAATCGACCCTGATAGGTTTGTTGCTGATCACCCTGCTTAGTTTCCTCCATCACACCATCTTTCAGGGGCATTAATTATATATATTACACTAAGCCAAGTGATCACAAGGGCAGATTGACTGAAAGTCGAATCGCCAAAAGCACGCACTCGGCGCAGGCGCGGTGGTCGGGGTTGTCGAGGGGGATGGGCGGCCGCAGCTGCTCGCGCTCGGGCAGGTCGGTGGCGCGGATGACGTCATCCTCCGGCCGCAGCATCGCGCGCGCCATCAACTCCGGCTCCACCGCCTCCGTCACCTTGCGCATCGCCCGCGCCTGCCGCCTCTCCTCCTGCCGCCGCGTGCAGCGGTGTGTCACGTCAGACGAGGGATAACCCAGGACATGCACTCTGTGTGCAGTTGCTGGAGCAGCCTGTATCTCCTGATGCGCCGCGAGACCGCGATGCTGGCTGCGACACGACAAACTTGGCAGAACAGATCACACCAGCCAGGGCGCATGCTGCAGCCAATGCATGGAGTTTTCACAGAATGAGAGTCTCAATTTGAGACTCTCAAAATTATAGCAAGTTCATGCTTTGATGTCTACAAACATATTTAAAGGAAGTGTTGAGTCAAAATAAAAGTTCTCACCAGCTCCCTCTGGCGCTCCTCTGCCTCCTCATCATCATAGTCTCCTTCCAAAATAGCATCATCCTCCCTGTCATCATCCTCCACCACCTGCCGCCTGCGATTGCCATACTCCTCCAACAAATCACTCACGTCCCCAAAGATCTCCTGCGCCTCCTGCAGCACACGTCCCCACTGGTCAGCCTTTTTTCCCATACTGGCACAACCGTATGACAGCCTGCCAAGCAAGCTTGCAGCGAATCAGAGCTGCAGGAAACCCACCATCAATGCTAGTTGACATCCTTCGAAACTGCACCTTGCCAAGCCTAATATTCCCTCGCAACAAGGCAGCCCTCAGGGGTGCGACTCCAACATTGACTTCAGCTGGACAACCATTGGTATGAGGTGGTCGGTGCGCACATGGAAAGCGGCTGAGGAGATGCCCGGGGGCAGACCCTGCGCGCGCTCCCGCCGGCGCCGGCGGCCCTCGCCGGGCACACCCCCCTCGTCATCGTAATCCAGGAAGTCTGCAAATTCATCCTCCTCCTCCAGGCCGTCATCAAAATCCCTGTCCTGCCGCTGCTCCTGCCTCGGCGCCGGCGCTGCCACATCATCATCATCCTCGTCCTCAAGACCTGCCACGACAGTCAGAGCTTTAGAGGTGCAACCGAACAAGCATATGAGAGACGAAACGATCAGAATGAAAACTTTGCTTTGCTTTGTATGGTACTCCATTGTATAACGCACCTCCTGAGTATAGACAGCAAGGGTAACGATTTGGCAAGTGGCACTGCCACTGCGGCGGGGACCATTACCTTCATCCTCAGGACCAAAAAGGTCTTCCTTCAGCCGCTCGGCAGTAGTCCCCTGGCCTGTGTCTGCCAGCTTCCTGATGCGCTTGCGCTGCTCTGTAGGCCGCGGCGGACGCAGGCCCTGTCATGCAGTCACCAGACAGCGTCAGTCACATTTTGTTTGGCGTCCCAATGCATAGACTTCTCACATCCTTTCACAGAATTTCAATGAGACAATGGGACAGTCAGGCACGCACAATGAGTTCATAGTCCTCTTCGTCTAGCTCAGCCTCCTTTCTTCTCTTGCGCCTCCTCCGCTTCCTCTCTTCCTCGGTGCCCTCCTCCTCTCCTTCCTCATCTTCTTCATCCTCGTCGCCTACCAGGAACTTGTCGTCCATGTCATATTCGTCCTGGCCCTCCTCCTCTTCATCTGACGAGTCCTGAAGGTCCTGCATCAGAATTGCACCTCAGCACAGGACAGCTGCACCTCAGGGAAGGACAGGCTTCAGGCCAAACAGCTCTAAATTCGGTGGTGATCTGAACAGCCCCCCACCGATGTAAAGGCCATTTCCAGGGCTGAATATGCAGCAAACTGGAGGCCAACAAAGCTGCAGCAGCTTTGGAACAGTTAAGTGCAATCCGTTGGACTTTTGCACACCCAGAAGACACATCTCTGCACCTCAAGAGCTAGGCAGGAATATCGAACCTCTCCATTTTTCTCTTGTTCCTCCTCCTCTCCGCCATTATTGGCACCTTCTTCCTCATTGAGATCCTCGTCAACGGCATCTTCTTCGCCCAGACCGTCGTCGCTTGCATGGGCTTCCTCCAGTTGCTGGAGTGTTTTCCTCACAACATCCTCCTCGTCTGAATCTTCTAGGTCTGACCTGCCGTTCATGCTGCTGATTGTGCTGAGTTTTCTGATACAAGGATGTCCCTTGATCTATCCTATTGAAGTTATAGTTCGATGTAGATCGAGATACAGGTACTTATATGGTCTGCAATCGAGAGCAACCCTTCAAATCATCATACTTCTAAATTCTTTAAACAGCAGAAAGGATGTTTTCAGAGGAAGAACAAGGAAAGTATGAGGAATAGCATCAGTTGGGAAAGCATGCAAAGGAGAAAAGGGGGGCCCGTGCCTAAATTCGAGGGGACCCTGCTGATATGAGTGTTTACTAGCGACAGCTCGATGCGAACTATAAGAATGTAAATATAGATCGGGGCACAAATACTGTACCACAGTCATCATACGTGAGCTAAGAAGTGCGTGTTCTAGATGAGCTTCTCTGACGGTGATCTAACTCCAAGTGACTACATACACTTGCCTGATGACTGGGCTGTGCTGCTGGTCAACGATGAAAATACGTTCATACAAGCTTGGTAAGTGTTGGGAGCAAATCGACCTTCAGTGCTGGCTTTATTGAGGTTGTTTCGGCTCACTGAATACAATATAGTTGCAGGGAGATCGTGGATGATGCGTACGTATGCGCACTAGATGCAGAATGGGAGCCTTACACTTCCAAGCCGTGTGCCAGCCTGGTGCAGGCTGCAGTTCGCACGCGCGGCAGCGCTGAACAGTATCTTCTCCTTATGGTGAGAGCAAGCCTGCACCTGCCTACCTAAAAACAAGAAGCAATCCTTGCAAGAGCGTGCCAGAGATGTCCATCAGAAGCACATATGGCCCGAAAGCCAGGGTTCTGAACGTGCAATGACACGAACGGCGGACATGCTTTTGCAGGACTTTGAGGCTGTCCCCAAGCTCGATCTGAGGCGCCTCCTGCAGAAGATCTTTAGGGACAGGGCCATGCTGAAGGTGGGCTATGGCCTCCTGATGGATCTGCGCGCCATAGCGACCGGGCTGGGCGGCGAGGGCACCGGCTGCGTTTCGGTTGTGGACCCTTTTATCGACATCGGCTCCCTGCACCGGGCGCTGTACAGCAAGGGCACGCCAGGCATCGCCAAAGTAGAGGGCAAGGGCCTGGCTGGCCTGGTGGAGGTGCAGCTGGGCCAGCGACTGGACAAGCGCCTGCAGTGCAGCAGCTGGTCTCAGCGGCCGCTGCAGCCCGACCAGATCGCCTATGCCGCGCTGGATGCAGCCGTGCTGCTGCTGCTTCTTGACAGCTTCATTGCCGCCGCGGCCCCCGCTCTGGAGAATGGTCGCGGAGATCTGCACGGCAGGACTGAGAGGACTGCTGCAGAGGACACCTTTGCAGGCGGCGGCGGAAGGAGCACAGCCGTCCAAGTTGCCGCCTGCAGCGAGACAGGGCATGAGACTGGCAACACAGGAGGGTCACGGGAGGCAGATGCGCTGCAGACTGATATTCCAGATTCAGCGTCGAGCTCGCGGGGAGGATGTGACATTGTCACACAGCTGGCTGAGGACCTCCAGAGCTCATGCTCAATCAGGGAGGGGGAGCATGGCAGCTCAGATGCTGTGGCCTGGACGTTCGAAAATGACGGCCATGCTCAATTAATCAGCGATGATTCTGGCAGTCAGCACAGTGCAAGGGACACGAGAACGGGTGGAGGGGAGGTGCATGCAGCACAGGAGGCAATGCAGTCGGCTGCTGCAGTCTGGGGAAGCAGACTAGAGGTTGGGGGCTGCGCGCCAAAGAACAAAAAGGACAGGAATCCCCCGGTAAAGAAGCTCACAGCTGCAGAACGCACTGAAGACTTTGGTAAGCCCACATGGTTTCTAATATGAGGGTCAGATTCTCATTGCAAAAGCACTTGCGAGTGCTCTTGTTGCATTCATGCTCCACTTGTCATGAGGGCACTTGGTTCCACACGTATGATTTTTCAGAAAGGCAGTGACACAGGCTTGAAATGTGCTCTGTTGGGGTGCAGGCTGGCCGGCAGTGATACCCTGGCAGGGCACGGGCAGAGAGCCGCGCTTTGCCTGTGATGTAATGACAGAGGGACTTGCCCGACAACTGCGCCTTTGTGGTCTTGACGCGACATCTGCCCCAGAGTTTGGCAAGAATGAACGCTTCAAGGCATACAGGTGCACTCCCAGCCACGTCAGTGCATGGCTGCAGAGACCTTCTGGCACCTTGCCAAACAGGGATGTCAATGCAGACAACGTAAAGTATGTGCGTGATAGGATGCATGCATTGGCAGGCACCTGGTGAAAATTGCTGAAGAGGAGGGCCGGATTATTCTAACTGCTGACGCTACCTTCCTGCGAGCCCGGTGCGCCTCTGTTCTGCCCATTTCTTTTACGTGAAGGATTGATTTTTTGTCTTTAATTCTGCATGCTTGGGTTCTTAATATGTGGGTTGAGCAGGTACACAGACCGAGGATACCTGGTGCGAGCCAATAGCAAGCGCGAGCAGCTGGCTGAGGTGCTCAGCGCTTTTAACATAAAGGTTGAGGAAGATGACCTCCTGTCGCGCTGCACCAGATGCAATGGGACATTCATTCCAAGGTGAGCGCCTCCTACATTTCAAAGCATGCATGATCGCCACTGATCAGTGGTAATCAGCTATCCTAATGACTAGTGACCTTTCGCGGATGGCTTTTACAGGCATGCATGGCAAAGGTCAGATCTGAGGCTAAATGCAGCTTAAGAATGTCCATCTGTGTATGCATGCAGGGCACTGACCTGGGCTGAGCTTCCTTCAACCTGCAAGATCTCAGAGAATGTGGAGCAAAAGCACACTGAGTTCTGGATGTGCAGTAATACGTCATGCCAAAAGGTCTATTGGCAAGGGTTTCAGTACGGCAATGCGATGCAGAACTTGACGCGTCGCATACTGGGGTCTTTTGCCTGAGTCCACTATAACGTGTACTTGCGCAAGGATCCCAAACATGATCCCAAATTATGTTTGGCGTTATATATGTTTACACTCGTTTCAAGTCTGCAATTGGACATGTACATTAACACCTACTGTGATGATCATCTCTGCAGATTCAAAAGCCAGACCAACCAATGTCTCCTTGGAGACTGCAGATCTGTCTACTGTCAAACACCACTCAATGTACACTAACCATGAACTCACACTGCGCAAGACCTCATCCAGTTGGACAGGCCGATCGTCGTTGGTCGCATGGCAACATACTCGTGTCAGGGATTGCAATGAAGGACACTGTAAAGGTATCACGCCACTGACATCCACACAGCACACAGTAATGCTCAGCAAAGGGCCGTCATTGACGTTCTGTGGGCAAGCGAAGATTACAATTCTCCCCTCGCATCCATCCAATGCAGCTGCAAGTCATACACTGTGACGTCGCTCTTTGGGATATCACAGACTTGACTAAAATTTCGTGCGTATCAAATTGCTGCTCCTCAGGATGTTGAAGCAGCCGAGAACCTTCCACGAGGTTGCTGCCCTGCACTCATGCGCTTGCGCTTGCTCGCCGTGCTGCGCCTCCTCCCTGCACCAAGCACCACTCAAGATCACACCTTGCTTTACCATGGCAGCGCTGGGATTGTCGCGTGTCAGAGAAGGCATACCGACAATGACCCAAGACCAAGAAAATTGAGAAGATACCCGGGGCCTTGCAGCCCTTGCATACAAATGCACTGCAGCCTCAAGGCTGAAGAGTCACTGCACCAAGAGCCAGGGAGAGCCCCAAAAGTTGCCGCTCGTGAGGTCGCCATGCAAACAGCTGCAGACAGTGCAACAGACAGCTGCAGACGACGTGTGGGAGAGAAAGCGAGTGGCGCGCACCAAGCGTGCCGCCAGTGGCGGGCGACGTGACGGCTGGGCCATCATCGGGCGCGGAGTCCTCTCCGCTGAGGACGTCCGCGTGGCCGGAGGGCCGCCCCTGGAGACCGTGGGCCGCGCCGTGGCCATTAGTCAGCGCATGCACGGAGCCGTTCGTCGGTCGCGCCGGCGACGCCCCCTGCTCCGCGCCTTCGGCCCCCGGGTGCGACTCCCCCTTGCCCTCGCTTGCGTGCGGCAGGCGCCCTGCGGGAATTCCATTCTAGCCCCTCAGTCGCTGCAGGACTGACTAAGAATGATTGTTGATGAAGCCAGGCCATTCTACAGGGCCCTGTATTCCAGACATCCCTTATCAACAACGGTCGAAATGCACATCCTCGGAAGCTGGGAGGCGTGCTTGGTTAATGGATTGCATCCGGGAAGCAAGCACAATTTACTGCTCGAACCAAAGGCAAGGCAGACATTGAGAACAGGCACCTGAGGAGTTGAACATGGCAGCGGCGGGGTGAGGAAAGGAGTGCTGCTGGGGTGCAAAGGGGCTGGGGTGGCTCTGCATCTCCAGCTCGGCCGTCGGGCTGCCACCCGCACTGTGGGCGCCCGCCGTCACCGTTGCCTGAGCCGGCTCGCCCTCGCTCGTCGCCTGGCGCCACAAAATCTTTTTGCAGCTGTCCGGAAATTTTCTCATAGGTCCAGTCGTCAAGCCATACTTGCGCTGCTAAATGCAACAGTCCAAGACCCCCACCACAACGCAGAGTCTACAGGACACTTTTGCGAATGGCGGAAGGCATCCTGCGTCGACAATCACATATGATGTGCTTTTGCTGGATAAGGGTGATTTACCTTGGCGCTGGTGGCGGCAGCTGTGAAGTGGTTCTGCCCGGGACTGGCGGGCTGCTGGCTTTCCAGGTGCCTAGCCTCAGGGAGGTCGCCATGCTGGTGGGCGCTGCCGTTGTAGTGGTGGGCTGGCCTGCTGCGGTGCTCCGGCTGGTACAGGAGGGAGTTGGAGGAGATTCGCGCAATCTGGGGCTGCGCCTCCCCTGCCATCTGGGGAGGCTCCTCTGGCATGTGGTCCTGGCTCCTGAACATGAAATGCCACGTTGTCAAGGTAAAGGAGAATGCACCGTCTCTTTGGCAGTGACAACACATAACTCTGCCACCTCCTCCCTTCAAGATTTTTAAAGGCTAGATCAGCGCGCAGGAGAGTACATCCAGAGACGACCACAAGGCATCACTAATGTGTTTCTAGCAGAGCACTGAAGGCAGTGTAGCAGTACCTGGCAGCAGCAAAGTGGGGTACAGCCGGCCTTGCTTCCCCGCAGCTGCTGGTCCCTCGTAAGTTGCTCACAGGTGGGGGCGGCACCACGCCGGCCAGCAGAGTGCCCAACTTGGCAGACGCGGCTGCGGCCGCGGCCGACGCGGCCGCCGCGATGCGCCCTGCTGCGTCCGGCGCGGCTCCGCGGGCTGTGCCGTCCGATGGCGATGCCTCCAGCAGCCCAGCTTCTCCCTGCTGCTCCATCCCCTCATGGCTGGCCAGGGAACCTGCAGCATTGGCCTTCCCTTCAACACAGCGCGCCCACTTCTACGAACTTCTTTAAGGTTCCCTACAAAGTATTGATAGTCTCAAGCACTGCAATTCCTGTAGAGCTGGACTGACAGGGCCCCAGGCGCACCTTCCGGCTCCTCGCCCTGCCCAGTTGTGGTCAGCACAGACTGCGGCCCAGCCGCCAACAGCTGCCCAATCGCTGTGCCGTTGCTGTTCTGTCGCGCAGGCCCTCCAATGTTGTCCTCCACCTGCAATATAGACCACATGTAACACGCTTGAAAACTGGGAAAGAAAGTGTCACTGTAGATCAAGACAGCCACAGCACCAGACAGCAGACCTTCAACTGCAAGTTTTTGACCACATGCCACTGGACATGGCGTAAAAGTACCGTAAGTGTCTGCATCATTTTGTCCAGTGCCTTGAAGAACAAGGGCACATGATGCCTGGCGAAAACATACCGGTGCCGCAGTTCCACATCTAGAGGACCATACAATCAATATACATACAATAAAGCTGTCCTTGTGACAGTCACCCTGGTGCCACCTTTGCTTCATAGAATGTGCAGCATTTTAGCACAGTTCAGGTCACCTGGTCCTGAGCTCCCAGGTCGGCATCAATCGGGACAAGGGCAGCTCCGCCGGATCTGTCCATCATGCCCAGTGGCTGCGCTGCTACCCCCAGATGAGCGTGCATCCTCTGGCCGGCCTCTGCATGCGCGCTGGAGGAGTACGCCCTGCCCATGCCTTCTGCAGCCGATGTGGCACCCTGCAATGCAAAACAATGTTTCTTCAATGTCATTGTGCTCTGTGCGAGCCTGAGATGCAGAGGTTAGGCTGTTAAGCATAGCACACTCACATGAAGCATCCTCCAGTGCAGTTGAAGACAGGGTCAATACCTGGACGGCGCCTTGGGAGGGCGTCCTGCGCCGGGATTGGGCCGGGCGCGCAGGGGAGCTGCCGGAAGAGTTGGAGGGCTCGGGGGCCGTGGCCCACGCGCTGCCGGAGCCATGGGTGCACATCTCCACCGACTGGCCGCCACTGCCAGGCGCAAGCATTATATGTCAGCAGGATCGAGATAGGGTGCAGCAGTGTTGTGCCTGGTAGCTCTGATGTTGTCGCATCCTGAAGCAAAGCGAGGGGAAAGCGAGGTGCGGCTGAATGGCACACCTCGCAGCTGGTGCAGGCGCAGCGGCCATGCCTGTGGTGGAGTCCAGGGGTCGAGGCACATCCTCCTCCCTTGGCAGCTCGGCTGGTCGGTGCTCAGCAAAGGCTGCTGTCGGCGACCCTGCACAGCCATATATCTTCACAATTTGCGTCTCGAGAGCAAATCTATGTGTTTCAGCCCCAACACTTGCTTGGCATTAAATTTTCTTAGTATCTCCTCCACCTCCAGGTACACTAATAAGTCAAGCAGGGACAGTTCAGTATCTCTCAGGAATCACCAGCGGAGTGGTGCTGAGGCCGCCGAGCGTGGCCATGGGCGTGGCCGGCACGGCCCGGGGCCGAGCGCTGAGCGTTGCCACGCATGGAGGACAGATTGGTCTCCCCCTCCGACTGCGCGTCCTCCTCGCTCATCACTGTCGCATGAACACTCGCCGCAGCATGCGCCGTGTCCTGCGCCATTCATGCACCAAGTTAGCATGCATGCAGGTGCACCTGTCATGCGTAACAGAGGTCATGGCAACAAATTATCCAGAGCGGTAAGAATTTCTTAGGCAGAGGATGTGTTGGAAATGTACCGGTCGCTGGGCGTACAGGCCCTCCGCAGGTTCCTGGTTCAAAGGGGGCACTGCAATGCACGAGGCGCACTTCTCCCCTGCACCGCCGAGGTCCCCCAATGACCCTGCATGGCTGTCCACCGGCTGACCGTCCCCCTCAGCTGGCACGCCTGCAAACATCAGAAGGGTGTTCACAACACTGAAGCACACATGACGTTACACAAATTTCTGCAGACATCCCTTGAGTGCAAAGGGTGGCAGGTCATGTCCCCATGACCATGCCAAGGGCCCACACCTTGGCGAGGCAGCATCATCGAATTCTGGGCCGCAAGCGCATGTGTGTCTTCGTGGCCAGCGGAAGCCACGTTCTCCAGCTGGGCTTGCAGCTGCATCGACATCGGCGCATTGGACTCATGCGGGCCGCTCCTTCCCTCGCTGCGTGGGCCTCCTGCACCGGGGTGGAAAGGCTCGAGCTGCCCCTGGATGATAGACAGCGCTGGGAGCGCGCCGGACCTCGGCCCAGCAGCCGCGTGGCCGTGGTGCGCCTGCGCGGGTAGCGAGTTGGCCTCCTGAACCGACTGCTCGGCGGCCGCCGCCTGCTGCACCGAGCGAGCGAAGCCCCAGGAGGCGGCAGGGCCCAGGGTGGCCTCCTGCGCGGAGGCCTGCCGCCGCGGCCAGCGCTCCTCCTGCAGGTGGGGGTCCACCAACTGCCCCTCCGCCGGCCGCTGCAGCGACCCGGCCGTCTGCAGCGCGTACCCCGCGCCGGGGTCCTGCTGCGAAGGCGCCGCGCGGGCGCCGGACGAGACGCGCGGGCGAGCTGCGGGCTCGCAGCTCTCACCGCTAAGGTACTGCTCGGCGGCTGAGTTGCTGCCGCCGCCCTGCTCCACACCCATGTTGTCGCCCTGATCGCCCCCCAGGCGCACGCTGCCCGCGTGGTCCATGTCGGCCGGCTCGGCGCGGCTTTGCCAGCTGGTGCTCAGGTGCTGGCTGAGCTGCCGCAGCAGCGGCTCCAGCTGCACTGGCGGGCCCTGTGAGGCGACAGCCGTGCCCGGCTGGAGCTGGAACGGTGGCAGCTGCGGCCCTGCGGCGGCCCCGTGGTGCCGCATCAGGTCGCCGTTGTTGTCCAGCACGCGCAGCAGCCTCTGCACGTTGAGCAGCCCCGGGTGCGCCGCGGCTGGGTGGCCGAAGAGTGGCAAGGAGGCCGGTCGCGCTGGGGCCATGAAGACCGGCGGCGGCGGCGGCAGCTGTCCCTGGGCTTCGGCCAGCTGCGGCTCATCAGTGGTCCCGTAGGAGCCCGGCTGCCGCAGCGGCCGCTCACCCGCCACACCGCTGTGCTGCGCGGCAATCCTGCCCGTGCCGGTGTTGCGGGCCCTAGAGCCGGGGTGCGCGTCGTGCGCGGTGTGGTAGTCACCAGGGCCGTCCGGCCACCCGCGCCTCTGACCGCTGCGGTGGCCGCGCTCGCTCTTGCTGCCCGCACTCGCGCTCCTCTCCAAGTGCATTCCCGGGCCTGCGGCGAAGTTCTGATGCTGATGGTGATGGAGCGCGTGGGCGCCCGCTGGCATGCGGTGGCCGGCATGCATGCCGGGGCTGGACCTGAATGTGGCAGGCGCAGCGGATGCACCTGCTGGGTCCTCCGCCGGCCTAGGCTCGCCCTGCTGCATGGCGTCGATGGAGTTGTTGCGCCCGGTCCCAGACAGGTATCCCTCCAGCATGTCATCCTGCACGCCATGCCACTACAGCCATTGTACCCACACTTCAAGAGCAGGCAGGACTAGTATTCTTTGCTGGTGAGGGGCACTCACAAAAGATCATGCCATCATGCCTGAGCAGTGAAGTGGAGGGTCACCTGTGAGGTCCCATGCAGCTGTCCCGCTTGCAGGTGGCCTGCCGGAGGCTGAGAGGCGGCTCCATCCAGATGCATGACGGGTGCCTCGCGCCATTCGCTCTTCTGTGGCTGCTGGTTAGGCTCAGGGGGGCTCTGCAGCCGTTCCCTTGCCTCCTGGCCCCTCAAGGGTGCTGCCATGGAGTTCTGTATGCAGAAAGAGCATGCCTCAGTGACCTTGCAGGATCTGATCTGCCCTTCAAGCTGCATGCCATCAGGATGCAAACACAATAGATTTGATACAAAAGACATGGCTGCAATGGGTTCAATTAGGTGTCACACCTGTTCGTAGCCGAATGGGCTTTCAGCGCGCAGCTGCCTCCCCAATGAGCGGCCCTGCCCATAAACGGATGCAGGTGTGCCAGCTCTGTTCGCCTCACGAGGAGTCTTTGAGACAAGGCTGTTGGCACGGTTGGCACGTGGCGATGGGGGCTGCTGGGGCATGTGCTGTTGTGGCTGCTGGTGCTGCTGCTCCGGAGGCCTCACAGCTGTGGACAGTAGGCTGCCGCTGGGGTATGCCTGGTGCACATGCTCCTGCTGCACCGGGCCCTCCTGCTCTGCCGTCTCCTGCAGTGGAGCTTGTGGCAGCGAAGACAACTCACCTGCACACCAAGAGTCCATGCATTGGCTGTTGCTTTGAAGACCAATGCAGACCAGCCAGGCCTCTCAAAGCCACAGCCACAAGGTAATATAGGCAAAGAGGAAGCGACAAGAATGCCACCAGCAACCTTGCCTGATTAAAATGTAATCAAAGAGGAATGTTCAGGAAGGGGACAAAAGCTTGGTTGCCCAGAGGTGCCCCCATGGCCAAGCGGGTCCCATGTGCATTGATCTGTCTCGCAGTGAGAGAACATTTAAGAGCGACAGAGTGAAGCAGCAATGAACCTTCAGGCTCAGCTGCAGAGAGGGCGCTGTCCTCCCCAGACCGCGCGGCGATAGCAGCCGAGTTGGCTGGTCGTTCTGAGGCTGGCTCAAAAGAAACTGCTGTAGATATCTGGCTCCGCGCGGGCCGCTGTGTCAAAGGAAAAGGCAGCGTCACAACATTATAAACGTAGGCTGCAGATCTAAGTGTCTCAGACGGAGGCAGTGGAGACAAGCAAGAAACCAGCCATGCAGCAAGCATGGTAAACTCACCGGACTATGTGCCCCATAGTTTGAGGGTTGGTCGTCTGAACGGGACACACTGCCTCCGTCCTCATCAAAAGCGGTTTCTGCAGTGAAATTCCCGCCTTCCATCATTCGCTCGAGGCCGAAAACGGGTGAGCAGGTTGTCTTCGCTTCTGCGAGGGAAGACCTGTGCATGCTGCATGCCCAGTAGCTGCCATACCCTTCATACTCCCTGATATACTTCTGACACGAGTTCAGACCTTGTAAGGAGTCAGAACAGCGGCCATGCAGACTGCACTGTCCTGCTCACTTATGCTTTATCTCCCTCTTGACGAGGCACAAGTTCTACGGCGTCCTCAATGGCTTGGTGCTCTCGGACGCTGATCTGTCCCAATTTGCACTACAAGGAAGAAGAATTTTTGCTTACGCAATTACAGAGCGGTTTCTTTTGCATTTCTTACAGTCAGATCGTCTCCATAGGATCATATAGCACAAGATTCTCAGGGACTCGAATCTGCATCTTTCAGCTGAAACCTTCGGTACAAGGGTGCAGGTTCCTGGCACCATGATACCTTCGCATCACGGTGTTGCACCCAACCCTCCAATGCTCCACCACTCCCTGCAACACATGCAGCCTGCTCGAGGCTTGAGCAGCCATGCGGGCGTGGCACAACCTCAGGAGAGGAGGAGGGAGCCGGTCTGGCAAGCTGGCGAGGAGGATCAATCGATCCAACATGCAATCGCCGAGTCCTCTTCTGGGACCAATTCTGTCCGTCCGCTACCTACCGGAGGACTTGGGCTGCGACTGAAAAAGTCTGCGTCGCTGCTGGAGTGGCTCAACAAGAAGTTGGCCGAGCAGGGTGAGCTTTTCTCAAGCTGAAATACAGTATATTGTGTCCGTCCATAGGTGCAGGATCGTGCGATGCTCACAGAGCACTGCGACGAGGAAGCCCTAGGACCTTTGGAACGATCACGTGTGTCGATCTCCAATCCGAACCATCAAGTTCAACCTCGGGTGCGCTTGCAGGCCAGCAATCGGATGCTCAGCCTGGATCTTGCAGCGCTTTCGACCTGTCACATTACAGTATCGACGATGGGAGCGGCGGCGTGGATGGCAGGAAAGCATTGGAAACCGTCTATTCCGCGGTACATATTTCCCATTCTACTTACCTATTGAAGTAGCTCTGGGATGCATTGCTGCTGAACCTTTTAATATATGCAGACCTCACCTGCCAGCCCTGATATTAAACTGTCGCTTTCGAACGTAAGACTGTCACATCACGGCGACAGCTGCAAGGTCTGGCCTTCAGTATGGATGCTCTTGCATAACGGAATTTGCAGTAAAAACTGTTTCTTCGATGTGCAGGGGACGACTGGCAGGTCGAGCCCTCCACAAGGTGATTTTTAGCCCACCTTGGCAGGACCTTTAGATGGCACACCCTGCAGTACATCATGCCTTTGAATACTAATTCCCTTCCAACACGACCTTGGCTTGCTTGTCTTGTTTGTCCTAGTAGATGACCGTTGGCACTGTGCTGCAGATGTCACCATGGCGGGGCCAGATGGGGCGAGCAGCTGCATGAGCGAGACAGGGCTCCATGCCTGGCGCTACCTATCCAGCGAGGCCGACTCTGTGGCGGACTCGGCGACCCCCCGCAGCAACAGGTGTCCCCCTGGGGAGGCACCGGACCCCCACAGGATGTGCGACAGCCCTCTGCCGGTCTCGCAGTCGCATTTTGACCTGGAGTCCTTTGCAGCCTCCATCCTGATGGACGACCATGTTGGGCACCTGGAGCACTCGCTCCCCATGGACCTCACTGGGAACACCAGCATGCTCCTGGGCCTCGATGAGGGCCTGGACAGCACAGCAGGCTGCTCCATGCAGGCGCAGCCACCGCCGCCGCAGCCCTGCTTCTCACAGTACAGCGATGGGATGCTCCATCGGGGTGTGGAGATGTGCAGCGGCGCACCCCCAGTCATTGTCACTGGCGTGGGGTACAGCGGCCATATGTCAGTGCCGGGGGGAGCGGACCGGGCCGCCCCGGCCGAGTGCTTCAACGCATTCCTGCTGGACACTGCGGAGTTCCAGGGGGCGCCAATGGGGCTGAGTGACATGCTGGAGGACTCCGCGCGAGCGCAGCTGTCCAGGACCGCCAGCCTGCCGCCAAACCCCAACAGGCACCTGGGGCACCTGTCCTTCCAGCACTCCGAGCCCTGCAGCCCAGGTGGGCAAATCATTTCTTTGGGTCGAAAGAGAAGGCAGGACATACAAGGCAGTGCCAGTGCAATAGCATCAAGTAGGGGCCAGGCGTTTTGTATGTGGTGTGTCATGTTGCACCAAGATCGCAGGGGTGGTTTCAATGTTTGCAGCTGAATGAAAAACCTCCAACAGGACATGTTGAGCAGCAAGTGGGGAGTGCAGCAGCTGTGCTGAGCTCACAATGGAGGCAATCGTGTGAAATATGATGGTGGTGCGCTGAGGTGGAGTGTGCGTTGTTTGCAGCCGCGAACCGGTGTCTACTGCGCACGGAGAGCATGCCGGACCGGGAACTGGCGTCGCCGCGGGGGTCGCGCGGCCGCGCACGCACAGTGGGAGATCTGCTCAAGCCAGGGGCGTCAGGAGTTGCGAAGACTCTGGGCTCCCCTCGCAACATGCGCGCTTCCCTGGTGAGTCCCTTTCTTATTTGAGAAACGAGATGCCTGTGGTAAATTGGGAAATACCCTGTCTAGAACATCGGCCTGCCAAGAACATCTGCATCAAGGTGAGTTGGGCAGGAAAAGCTATTGAGAGCGTGTTGACATGCGCACACACAAGCAGGACCTGCAACCTAGTGCCCACATGGCAAGACAGCTAGCGGGAAGAGTAGGCCTGACAGGTTGTGTACAATGTGTGCTCATTTGTTGCTGATCTGATGGCGCAGGAAATGCCGCGCGGGGCGCTGCTTGCCGAGGCGTTCATGTCTGTTATGAACTGACTATACTCTTCCTCCTTTTCGTCGCATGCGCTCATGCGTACGCTGTGTGCTGACGCATCAGCTTCGAGACCGCCACTGCGCGGACATCATGATCTCAACAGAGGTGTCATCAGGGCAGGGAGTGCATGTTTTATGCGTGACTCATAGCGTAGGCAATGGATTGCTGGAGTGACAGGGAGAGAGCGTTTGTGGGGTTGCCCACCTTTCATGGAGGCTGTCCCCTATGCTACTGAATTTTTTCGAGCGTAATGGCTCCCTAATATTGAGGAATTGACAGATTTGTTGCACTGACACCCCGTGTGTTGAGAGCTTTTATTCAGACACATCTAGGCGCCGGGCAGTTGGTGCAGACACTTCATCAAGTGCATATCTCTCTTATCTTATACAAATTGAGCGGTGCTGTGGCAGCTGAATATTCGACACAGAGAGGTGTGGAAAACTTTTGTCTGGTTGATTTCTGGAGATACTGAGACCTGTATCTCTCTGGGAGGCATTTGGGAGAACTGTGATGAGTTGAGGAAAGGTTTCAAGAGGTGTGAGTGCGAAATGTGGATCACGCTCAGAACAGCATGCGGAACCAGTTGTGGAAGGGGGTTTCCTGTCCAAGGTAATTCTCTTGATTCAAATGGTTGCCAATGGTTGATCAAGCGCCATATGAGATCTCTAGAATGCTTCTATCAGCTATTTCACAACAGATGCAAATGAACGCGCACGAAGCAGTTGGACACTTAGTTCTGTCACACAGCATCTGTGCTGTTGCGAGTTGATGTATTGGGTTGTCAATTGCCTGGCAAAGCCGCTGATTTTGCTGATCTGTCTATCCAAGTGGTGACGGGGCCTTAGAGCAACCAATTGGCTGCAGCGTCTCTTGAGTGATTGTTGATTGAGGAGGTGTGCAGGTGGGCTGAGACCCATGTCTGTGCATCAATAGGCTCGTCCTGTGATCTTGTGTTTTATTCTTCATTCCTGGTTGCAAGTCGGAGAATTATACATAACTCTGAATGCAAAGAGTCCTTGCTACCATATGGTGCATTGCCAGGCAAGTTATTGAAGGAAAACATTTGCATCGCACCCACCAACAATGCAGCAACCACCCAATAATGCTTTGATGCATGAATGACATGAGCCTGCCCACATGCAAGCCACCCATCAGCGCCCAGCCAGCATGCAGACTGCTTGGGGCTATCTCAATGACAGCATGCACTGTTGATGCACTACGTTTCCTTGTAAGGCAGCCCTTTCATCATCTCTGATACATGCATGTTAGGTCTCTTCCGATCAATTGACCCGTCAGGCCAGTGGAAGGACTCTACATGATCTCTCAGAGTGTCTCAGGACTGGGTGAATTGATACAATGCTTGCAAGTTGTTTGTCACTAGCACAGCATGTGCACTGCAAGGCAGCCGCTCCTGCCTCCTTAGCGGTCGCACTGCCTTATCTTGCATCTCTCTTCTGTTAATCAGGAGGCGGTGTAGTGGTGCAGCCGGTACAACAGCGCGCGGCCCTTGGCATTGCCGATGGCGAGGTAGCCGCCCCCGGGGCTGAAGGCCAGGCTGTGCACGTAGCCCAGGGGGGAGCGCGAGGTGGGCCAGTTGGAGAAGACTGTTCCACTGGGCAGGTGCACCAGCCGCAGCGCGTCCTTCTTCATGCGCGACGCCATCGCCAGGATCTGCACACGGAGAGCACACAGTGCCAGCAGACAGCGTCAGCAACCCCATGATGCGCTCTTGCGCAACCTGAAACAAAAGTATGGGGACAGCCGGACAGCTCTTGGGATGCTTACACAGAGCATGTTCCCCTGTGGTGTTGTATATGGCTGCAGACCACCAAAAAAGAGACCCTGGCACTGTTTGCCCCAATAATATTGCTTGCCACAGCATGCAGCGCAGCCTAGCAGAACACTGTGCACACAGGAGTCTGCTCCTTGATTTGGATGCCTCCCAAGAGTTTGCTGGGATTTCTGCATGGTGGACTGGTTTGCTCCATGGTGTGCAGCCGGGCACAGCGAGCCAGGAGAGCGCACCTGCGTGTCAGGATTGAAGGCCAGGCTGTCGACGGAGGTGGTGAGGTTCATGAGCGTTTTCAGCGGCGACACCGATGCCGGCAGCATGGGCTGCCCGCTGCCCAAATCCAGTCCTTGCTGCCTACACACACAACAGCACACCCCCACCTTAGTATGTTATACAGCTACACTTCCTCCCCTTGCTCTGCTGCGCTTCCATGTCCAGGAGCACGACAGCACAGCAGATGGTTTTCATGATAGAACATCTTGAAAGATGCCGGTGGACATGGAGCTTAAGAAAAGCTGGCTTGGATTCACCTAAGAACGATAATGTTCTGATAACAGAAGATTGAAGAAGTAGGAATGCCAACTGATCACATTCTTTACGGCAGGAGATCTAAAGATGCAGGAACGCCTAATGAGGATGGTGGGCAGCACCCTTGGGAGCGGTTGTAGACGTTGACGACCCCAGCCTTGGAACCGGTGGCGTAGAGGCGGCCGTCGGCGGAGGCGGCGAGGGAGGTGGAGCAGAAGCAGCCCTCGTCCACCGCGCGCGACAGGCACCGACGCATGCGCATATCCCACGTGTGCACCACCCCGTCGCTGCCTGCAAGCCAGGGGGTGCTTACTTTCTTTACCTTTGCGAGCTCAAATTATCGCCAACACCTCCTCCGCGAGAAATTTTAATCTAACGACCCCTGTCTCTACTCCCCAGATGCACTCCGCATGCCCACGCCACCGCCATAGAGCAACACAAGAAGACCATTTCCCTACGCTGCTCATGGTCTTGCAAGCCTCTGTTGACTACATCATTGTGTCGTGCGGTAAAGTATTCTGACTGCTGTGTATGAAGAGAAGCACATGTACTGGAGAGGACTGCCCGGAAGTGAAGAGATAGGACACTGCGGCTAGCAATGGAGTCCAGGTGGGGCCTTGCCTGAGGTGAGCAGCTCGAGGCCGTCGGCGGAGAACGCGGCGGTGCGCACGGTGCCGCTCATTTTGAGGTCGCCGACGCACTGGCGCGAGCGCAGGCTGACCAGCGGCACGCACCCCTCGTTGCCCAGGAACGCCACAAGCGGGTTGTCAGGGGCAGGGCACGCCGCGAAACTCTCCAGGCTCCTCTCCGGCCGCCCCACCAGCCCCGCCACCTGTTGCGCACAGTGCATTAAACATACCTTTATAAGTACCTTTATAATGAAAGACATCAGCGGAGGACAAAGGACACACACAGGACATCTGCAGCAGCCTCTGCGGGTCTACAACAGGCTGCAGCCTAGAGCGGAGGAATGTCAGACATGGCACGAGCAGATTTTAGCATGAGCCCCGCAGAAGAAACAGAGCGCTGGCAGTGAGGGAGGCGCGCCAAAGAGGAAACATGATTCAAGTGGTGATATGAAGCGGAAGTAGGCAAATATCGGAGATTCGTGTGAGATTCACAATACAGGGTCTCAAAGAGCTGGATGCCTTCTCTACACAGGTCTGAGGATGAAGGCACGTCACAGAAAGAATTTAACAGATGACCTGAACCAAAGCTTAGGTCACCTTTTCCACAGAGGCAGAGCCAAGGTCGAAGGTGTAGAAGTGTTTCCGGCGCGCCGTGGCAATCACATGCGAGCCGCCGGCCGCAAATGCGGCTTGCGTGATGGCAAAGTTGTCCAGGTAGATGCTCTGGATCTTGGGGTTGCGCACCCCATCCACCTGCACCCATTTCCCACACTCAATTTTTCAGACTGGACAAACCCACTACAATGCTGTCTGTGCAAGCCTTTCCTAAATTATGCGGACAAATGCCCCAAAGTTATTGTCAGGTGCTCGCAAAGAGATCTGCAGATCCTTGGGCAAGAGGTCCTTGGGCACATCAAAGGTACCGGAGAGGGAGGTGCAATGTACTTTCATTTCTCTCCCAAAGGGAGGAGGTTGGAGTCTGACCTGGAAGAAGCGCAGGCGTTTGTCGAGGCCGGCGGTCATGAGGACCTGGCCGTCCGGGTGGAACTCAAGGCTGCGCACGACGGCCGCGCTGGGCTCTGCAATGTTGGCGTCGCGCACGCGCGTTGCCTCCAGCAGCCCTGCCGGCAGCAGTGCCCCCCGCGCCAGCAGCGGCCCCGCCGACGCCAGCACCCCCTCCCGCTCCTCCCTGCGCAGTGTAGCAGCAATTTGTCAACTCCTGGTTCACTCCTTACAGCATAATAAATTGTAAGTTGTACGCACATGACTGCTGCCACAATGAATGCGGCTGTATAAAAAGCCTGAAAAGGCTGCTGATCCATAGTCGAACCCCTTACCTGCCTAGATCCTTGCGGCACCTTCTCATTGGCCACTTTGGCCATCCTCTCAACTCGTCAAAGCGATGCAAAGTGAGCAGAGGGTCCTGGAGCCTCTAGCAAAACAGTGGCAAAGGGCAGGAGAGTGCCTCACTCGTCGTCATCGCTGAGGTCGTCCCCAAACCCACGCTTCCGCTTCGCGCGCCCCTCCGTGGCCCAGGACGTGCGCGGGTTGAGCTTGCTGTGCTGCTGCCGCAGCCTCGCCTCATACTCCCTCCCTGCCACCCAGACACAGCCATTAGCTGACTATCCTCCTAGATTGATAGCATCAGAGAAACATCCTTGACAGGATCAGAGAAGAATCCCCTCTTGCTCATCATCTGCGTCAGGCTTCATATATCAGTCCAAAAATAGCTGGAAGTGATGCACGACTGACTGGCTGGGTATCCCATACAGCGCAAACATGGTGCCGTCTCACGAACGGACTGTACCTGTAACCACAGTCTCCTCCTCTGTCTGCCTCAGCTTGCGCAGGCGGTTGCGCCCAGCAATGTTCACCTCCACCGCCTCATCCTCCTCATCCTCCCACACTGGCCGCTTCTGCGCTGTGGAAGCATCCTGGCCGATCACACACAGTGAAACTTGGAGCACAATCCCCTTGCCTGCAGCACTGCACTGCACTGCGCATGCTGTGATACGTGTCGGAAGCAAAAGAAGTGGCTGTGTGAGAGTCCCCACCTGACCGGACAAGGGGCCAGGCTGGCCATCTTCCCGGGCCAGAACACCACGTCCGGTGGGTTCATCTTCGTCTGCACTCCTGCCAGGATGCAGCTCTTCCCCCGGGCCAGCTTCGCCGTCTTCCTCTTCACTTTCCTCGCCTGCTGGGCCTGCTTCGTCCTCGTCGCTGCTGTCAGCAGCTTCAGATGAGGATGCGTCGTGCGCATCGCTGTCTGCCAGCAGGGTCGCTGCAGGGCCTGCATCCTCCTCCTCTGACTCTTCATCAAAGGCTGCAATGGGCCCGGCACCCCTGTCCTCCCAGATCAGGAACTCGTGGTCTCCCTGAGCGTCTCCAGTATCAATCCTCTGCTGGTTTGCCTGTGCCCACAATGCCTTGAGTGCCTTGTCAGGAGAGGGCGACCTGGGCGCAGGCACATCAGTACTAGACTTAGATGCTGTGCGCACCTGGCGGACTAGTTCGGTTGCCGCCTGAAGATCGGCATCCACTTCCCCTTCCCGTCCGAAATCCTCCCCATTGCCAGCACCCCCTGGGAACAGGAACTCCTCTAGTGCATTTGCCTGTGACAGGTCCCAAACACCCTTCTTAGACTTCGACGAGGAGATAACTTAGTATAAGATCGTCTTGCAAGGTATATCTTCAGATAGAATGACATTCGTACAATAGTGCCTTCAGAATGTACAGGAAGTATCGAAATGAGCACCTTTCGCTGCTGCTCGAATGTCAGCCCCTTCCGTTTTGGAGCCGTTTCTTTCTTTTCTGCCATGTTCGATGCACTTCCACACAGATCTGACCTCGATTTCGGTCCCTTGTCCCCTTGCTTTTGCTCTCCTCTCTGCTTCATGTCGGCCAATTCCTCATGTCATTATGACTCAATTGGCATTGTCATTGGGGCGCTGCCCATGCCCAAGGGCTTTGGGCAGGGCGGCGCCTGCCCGAACCGCGCCGCGTCAGCAGAGGGAGATGGGAGCCGTTGATCACGCCTTTCCTCACAGATTTGGCGCTGCTTTCGCAATCCTGCTGGGCAGCGGTTCTCTAGAGTCGCCTCTCAGGTTCACCATTTGGTCAGAGTGGGTAATTGGTGATGAAATGGAAAGTATATATGTCTGAAAATCATAGGTCGTGATCCGTAGTTTCTTGCCGCGATGATTAGCCGCAGCATGAGCTCCGTCGCCCTCTCCTTCCTTCTGCTGATAGCTACGTCGGTCTGCCACGGCAGGCTGTACAACACGACTGCCGGCAGGTAAACCCTCATCAGATGCCCATCTTGATGGCGACCACCGCCTCCTCTGTGCCACTCACAACCTGGTCTTTCGAGCACAGAAGTGTTCCAAAACTTGCTTGTCTTTAGTGTCATGTGCTGTAGTATAGTCACTGGGTTCTACATCTGAAAATGCAGCCTGCCGTTGCGTTGATCGAAGTGGCTCCGCAGGGTGGAGGGAAAAATGAACGTCCACATCGTGCCCCATTCGCACGATGATGCAGGATGGCTAAGGGTAAGTGAGCTGTCCAGCAGGTTGATTCTGAAGGTTTGCTCATTTTGCTTTGAATAATGCTATGATCTGAGTTTCATCGCCCGGCCGTCCCGGTCGTGCGGAGTCTTTTCCTCCTGAAATGGCTCGTCCGACTTTCTTACAGACGTTCAACCAGTACTACTATGGGGCCAATCTTTTTAACAACGACTTCGATAAAGAGGTGAGTCAGATAGGCACGCTTTCTTTGATCGCACGGCAGCAGGCCCAGGGCTCCATACTTGCATTGCACGAGGGTATGATGATTAAGAAAATGATCTTGAGTAGAATGTTGCACCTGATGGTAGGAAAATGCTTTCGCAGATGGGCGGGGTCCAATACACTTTGGACACAGCAATTGCTGCATTGCAAGCCAACCCCAATCGAAAATTCACCTACTCTGACATGGTGAGTTGTACTTAGCAAGGAGGCCTGCCCAACTCCAGCCTCTACTTACATGCACATAATGCTTATTGCCCCTGATATGACTGTCATAAATCGGCCTTGCACGCAACAGGCCTTCTTCTTGAAGTGGTGGGAGGAGCAAGACGATTTCTCCCAGAAGAAAGTCCAAGAGCTGGTGGATAATGGCCAGCTCGATTTTGTCAACGGCGGGTGAGCCTGCACCCTCAGGAGCCCTGTATGCACGGTTGCCATTTATTTTTCTTTCGCATGCTGTTAACAGGGTGCTAGAATCAGTAAAATCACCTCTGTGTGCTTGCTTGTAGGTACGTACAGCATGATGAGGCCGCTGCCCACTATGTGGCCATGATCGACCAGACGACTGTCGGGCATCAGTTTCTGAACAGCACTTTCGGGTTCACCCCCACCATCGGCTGGCAGATCGATCCATTTGGACACTCTGGCACCCAGGCATCCCTGATGACAGGTGCCCTCGGCTTTGATGCGGTCTACTTCGCCCGATCTGACTACCAGGTCAGCATTCCCCTATGCTCCAGAGCATGCTGCATTTTTCCTGCTCATCGCTCACTTCATCCCTGCGCTCTCTTCCTCTCCTGCGTCCAGTGACATAGATATTGGTGGGTATCTGAATCTGTAGCCGAGTGCAAAAGAGGCGTCTCGGTTGACTGCTCTTCAATTCTATAACAGTTGAGTGCCTTGTCTGCTCTTGTAGGATCGGCAGTTGAGGAGCAACACAAAGGAGCTGGAACTGGTATGGCGTGGTGCCAAATCCTATGGATCCTCGGCCGATGTCTTGTCCGGCAGCTTCCCCTCTGGTATGTTCATTCTGAGATACTGTCCCACACATCGATTGTGGCATTCATGTTCTGGTCCCATGCTCTTTTCCTCTGGAGTCACGAGGGCATGTATATCTGTGTAATCAATCTCTTAACATTCAGAGCATGATCAAGTATTACATCGGGTGCTTGTCATGTAGCTGCAAGGACAAGGCATGAAGCAACACTCCTCGATCCAGCTCGGACATTACTTGTGAACAATTGGTTCTTGCAGGAGACTACAATCCCCCTGACAGGTTCATGTGGGAGTGGGGTTTTGAGAGCTGGAAAAATTCCGAGCCCATCGTGGACTGCGATGACTGCGGCGAGTGGAACGTGAAACCTCGCGTGGACGATTTCGTTAACGGGTGCATGATGAGGTTCAACATCACCCAGGGCGATGATGTCTCCGGAGGAAGTGACATCATGATCACCATGGGCACTGACTTCACCTATGCCAACGCCTTCGTCTGGTGAGCATGCGCCCATTCCCCTTACTGAATCAGCCCTCCACATGTCCCACTTTCTAGCGCTTGCTCTGCTTTGATGTCGGCAAAACTCTTTCTCTACTTTGTATACACAACCAGGCCTGGAAAGTGCAGAAGCGGGCAACCCCTTGATCACAAAACGAAGGGATCTTGGAAGTGGACTCCTCATGCAGGGTGTTGCATGTGCGGAAACACATGGCTGGAATGCCTGCAGGTACAAGAACATCGATAAGCTGATCCACTATGCCAATGAGGACGGCCGCATGAACTTGTTCTACTCCACTCCAGCCACCTACACTGCCGCAAAGCACTCCTACAATCGCTCATGGCCCCTCAAGACCGACGACTTCTTCCCCTATGCGGACAACGAGTTCAGCTACTGGACCGGTCAGCCTTTTTCCTTCAATCCAACCAGTACAAGCCAACACTTCTTGCTCTTCTGTTGTCCACTGGTCCAGGAGGACTTTGAAGCAAGCGCAGAGGCCTTGAAACTGTGCAGATTGTGCAGAATTTGCACACCATCCTCGTGCAGTTTGATGTGCAAGTGTAAAAGCAGCACTGAGGTTGCCTCGGGCTGCTCGCAGGCTACTTCACGAGCCGGCCGACGTCCAAGGGCTACGTACGTACCTGCACCTCCTTCCTGCAGGCCGCGCGCCAGATGGAGGTCCTCAGCGTGGCCGCCCGCGCCGCGCGCCGCGCCGTTGACGCCGCCACGGTCTTCCTCCGAGGCGCCAAGATTCAGCCCGTAGCAGAGCTGGCCGCCCGGTACGGCGCTGCGACGGCCGCGGCGGCGGCTGAGGCTGCGGCCAAGGACGTTGCGGACGCCAACAAGTCCAGCAGTAGCCGGCTGGAGCTGGCGGTGGCTCTGCTGCAGCACCACGACGCCATCACCGGCACAGCCAGGCAGGACGTGGCGGATGACTACCACTTCCGCCTGTCCGCAGGTGCACACTCTGTTCCCAAGTTGCTCCTGTTTGCTTCCTTTCCAAACATTACTGCACATTTTGTGCATGAAAAGAGAGCGTCAGGGCTGGGCCCTCAAGGCTTGTCCAGGAGAGACGCTCCTCTTCCCCTGAGCGGCAGCATTGGTTGCCCTTGTCCATGAAAGGTGGCTTCGTTGCAGCGCGTGATGTTTGCTGTCCATGAAGCCTTCTAGAACATGCAGTGCCTTTCACAAGGGACCGCTCAGTCATTCTGCGGGGAGTGGGGCCGTTGCATGGCCCAAGAGCACACCAGCATTGAGCAAACATGCTCTGTGACTGGAAATGAGCAGGTTCACGTCCTGGGTGTCTGACTTGTAATGTCTGCCCACAGGCATGGCGGAGGCTGAGGAGGCCTTCAACACAGACCTTGCATCCCTTGTATTTGCCGATGAGGCCGACAAAGCGCTGAACCCCGCCAGCAAGTGGAACCAGACCAAGCCGAGCACCAATCTCCAGGCTGCTGAACCAGCATCGTGAGCATCTCTCCAAAATTCTGCCGAGCACATCATGCTCATGTTTGCCGAAGTGTTCATGCTTGTCCTACGCTGACCTCACGCGCATGCAAAGCATCTCACAAAATTGTGACGGAGCCCATTCTGTCGGCTGCTGAAGGAGTCTGTCAGTTGAGCCCTTTTTACATGTGCGCAGGCTAGCGGACCGTGAGGGCACCCTGGGAATGTGTCCCTTCCTGAACGCCAGCGTGTGCCATCCCACCATGGAGATGTCGAGGCTGGGCCACAGCATCGTTGTGGCTGTGTACAACCCGCTCGCCTGGCCGCGCACCGAGGGCATCCGCGTGCCCCTCGACCTCAGCTTCACCAGCCAGTGGACTGTCGTCAGTAAGCACCATCACCCACTCTGCAGCTAACCAGCTGTTGTGCATCTGAGCACTGACTCACACTCTGCATGCAACACAAATCTGCCTTGTGTGCTTCGTCATAGTCTTCACCCCGTATTACTGTCAAGAGCATCAAGAACGGGAAGGAAGGGAGTGCAAAGGATATCATGGCATAGTCTTCGAATATTGCCTCTCATGACAGAACGGGTGCTTTGACAATCTCGCCGGCGCTTGATCACCAGGCACAAATGTGTGGTGTGGTGCAGCCGGGACGGGAGGCGCGGTGGACTCGCAGCTCGTGCCGGTCAGCAACGCCACGCTGACTCTGCAGAGCTACATGGTGCAAGAGCACATCTTGGCCGACCTCTCAGCCGCTGCCGCCTACGAGATCGCCTTCCTCGCGGAGGTCCCCCCGCTGGGCTACTCCACGTACACCATATCCCCTGCCCAGGCTGGGCAGCCGGGCAGCTACCACCCGGCTGCGCGCACGCTCGTCAGCTCCTGGGCCAACAGCACCAAGGGGGATAGCGGCAGAAGGGAGACACAGGCAACCGTGTCTGTTTCCAGTGGCGCAGTCACCCTGACAGTGTCCCCCCACACAGGCAGGATCCTGTCGCTCAGCCGCAACAGCGACGGCGTGGCTACCCAGCTCAACACAGAGGTGTGGCCCCTGCATGACACACGCCGTGGTGCCTTTCATGCGAGCTCGAGCACTTGTTTCAGCTTGTAAAATATGTTATCGCCTCAGTGATGCTGGCAAGCGTATACAATGGCAATGCACCCTCCCCTGCATGACACCCTCTCTGATCTTCCTTTGAAGCCTTGAACAGCTTGCATGGGGTTATGATGTTTACTTGCTCAAGATGTGCTGTCACGTTCATGGGCTGCCATGCAATGCGCGATACGGGAGCCCCCATCCTGAGCATACCCTGAGACAGGACTGTGTGCGAGCAGATGATGTACTACAATTCCAGTGACAGCTACTGGCCGCGCCACATCGCCGACGGAAAGCCTGAAGCCTCCGGCGCCTACATCTTCCGGCCCAACCAAGAAGCTCACCAGACTGCGGTCATCCCCATCCAGATCGTGGAAGGCCCGATCCTGACTGAAATCCGCCAGGTACACACTCAGCCCTTCCTGAGCATTTCTAGCATTGTTATTCTAATTCAAAACCTTTTGTGCTCAATGGCCAGCTCCTTGGGAGATTCCTCTTTTAGGAAGAACCTTCCCAATTCTACTTTATGCCCACCCTTCTCTCGTCTAGGATTCCTTGGTTAGTCACAAAAGTGCACGCCTTCACTCATAATGGAGAGCTGGGAACATCATTAAAGGTTGCATTCTTGGGTGGCAGGAGTGGCAGCCGTGGGCCACCCTGACGACCAGGGTCTGGAAGGACTCGGAGCACATTGAGTCAGAGTGGACGGTCGGACCCCTTCCCTTTGAGGATAAGCTGGGCCGTGAAGTTGTGGTAAGGGCTCTCACATGTCCTTACTGACACAGGCTGCCAAGGGCTTATTGCATATACGGCACTTAGCATGGTGTCTGTTCACTGAGCCTTCCATCACTTCCGTACATGTTGCATGCCTGTGAAGGCATGGGATGAGCAATCCAATGTACCAAGGGAGCAGCTCAGATGATCTGTTGGGAGTGATCAATGGATCTGGAGGCAGTCAGCCATCTGTGCTGTTTGGACCCACCCAATCCAGGGCCCAGGTACTTCATATCAGCATGCATGATTTGATCCTTTTTCCAATGGGCTGTATTGTGCCACAGGTCCGCTTTGAGACCAACGTGACCAGTGGAGATGAGTTCTACACCGACTCCAACGGCCGCGAGATGCTCAAGCGCAAGCTCAACTTCCGCCCCTCCTGGAACCTGGACGTGAAGCAGCCCGTTGCCGGCAACTACTACCCCGTGACCGCAGCCATCTACATTGAGGTGAGCGCTGTGCATGTGGTACATCTACTGGACCTCTGTATGTGTCATTTTCCTGTGCTGAGCTGGCAGTAGGTCACACTGTCTACGTGGCTGGACTTGCGCAATCGTCTGCATGCAGAAGCCAAGACTGCCTTAAAAACAGATATATGTAGAATACTGTTATATGACATAATAGAGGACTGATGGGTGCCTACGCTCTGTGACAGGAGGAGGCAGGGCGGCAGCTGGCGGTGGTGACGGACAGGGCGCAGGGGGGGTCCAGCCTGCACCCGGGACAGGTGGAGCTGATGGTGCACCGCCGAATGTTCCACGACGACGGCCGTGGCGTGTCCGAGAACCTGAACGAGACCATGTGCGGCTGCATCAATTGCGACTGCACCGGCCTCATCGCGCGCGGCACCCACTACCTCACCGTGCAGGTGTGTCCTCTGAGCAACACTGCTACTCCTGCACGCATGGCCTTCGTTGTCTACTTTACTTAATGGAGATATTAAGCTGTTGAATTCAGGAATATCATGCATAACAGCTGCCATGTAAAGCTCTTGGCTGAGCTTGCAGGAATGGCCTGCACTCTGTCTGGCCATACTGTACCAATGCAAAGTGATTTGACTCGGGCCTTGCCGCATGTGGCGTCATGTTGCATTCGATAGGTCATCTGCAGCCACGCACTTTCCTCCTGGGCAGTGAGTGATGCAGGTCTCAACTATGTGCAGGGGCCGGCCACGTCAGCCAGCTACAGGCGCACCCTGCAGCAGCGAGTCAATGACCCCCTCGTCCTGTCCTTCGGGAAGGCCTCCAGCGCGGGTGCGGCTGCCGGCGCGTCGCAGGGCTTGGGCGGCGCGCCTGTCAGCTTCCTGGCTGACAAGGACGGCCTGCCCAAGAGCGTGCACCTGCTCACCCTCAAGGAGAATGGCGATGGCAGAGTGCTGCTGCGCCTGGCTCACCTCTACCAGGTGTGCCCAGAGCCCCACTCCTTAATTGAGAGGATCAGTTTCCTGCAAATACAATCTAAAACACTGTAGAGTTGCGAGTGTGTGGGCTGTCAGTTGCTGTGAGCAGGTTTGAATAGGGTCTAAACTGCCAGCCATGAATAGTATGGATTGTGAAGTGTTATACTGTAGCTGAGAATCTGACTTACAGACTGTGCTTTGTGTAGATTGATGAGGACAGCGGCGAGGACAAGAACGTGAGCGTTGATCTCAACAAGCTCTTCAAGGACCTCTCCTTTGATTCTGCCCTGGAAGTCACTCTCGCTGCTGGAAAGCCCCTCTCAAAGGTAACTTCGCATGCAGCCCGCCTTTGTTGCATTGTTTTTAAACGATGATGAAACGCTCTGCAGGCCTGACAGAAACTGACACAATACTCTTGACAAACAAAGATGGTGCCGATCCTGAAGGGCCAATTGGATGTGCAGGTGGACAGGCTCAAATGGCAGGTGGGCAGACATATGTCCAATGACACATCTGCGGATTTGGTGGTGCCATATGTGACCCGCTCTGGGTTGTCTTGCAAGAACGGGTGCAAGGATGCGCTGAAGATCGAGCTGCAGCCCATGGAGATCCGCACCTTCCTGTTGGTGCCCAAACCTGCATCTGCAGCCTCCACCCTCAACTGACACGGGCTGTAGCATCCCCAGTTGCTTGGGTGTCAACTGTGTTAATAATTTTTGTATCTAGTGTGAGTCGTGCCTGGGGTGCGTCTATTAGATAAAAAGATAAAGTCAGTCAAATGCAGCGTCCTGTTGAAGGCAGCCTGTCCTCTACAGGATTTTTCAGGGCCCACGGTTGCTGTGTGGCACACATGCATTTTGTCCTGCAACCAAATGGTTGTGGTCTGCAATATTTCTTGGGGTTGTATGTAGGGGTCCTCAATGCGACGTGTGGTAGGGGTGCGTTTGGGCCCCTATCTGCGTCCTTCTTTCCCTAGGCTAGCTTGTCAATGCTGTGCAAGTTGCATTTTGTACATTTCCATTTCATCTGGATGCCCAGAATCAGGTAGAGTGCTAGCTCTGTAGTATCTAGCATGGCTTATCTGCTCTTTTTGCATAAGTAGCTTCAACAATGAGCTATTTATAAGCCAATTGAATCAATTGCCTGTGTGTTGCCAACCAGCCCCGGGCCACAGTTAGTTGAGTTTAGCAAGTTGCAAGTGTGCGGCCACCGCATGCCATCATGGTGCATGTGCAATTACATGGGAATTTGCTAGAGAGTCCGTACAGAGATCGCATTGCGATGTCCCGTGCTGCTTCAGAGAAAGGATTGTAAAGAGGTTTCATGGCCAAATCTTCCTTGAACACCTGCCCGCTTCTGCCCACACTGTTGGTGCTCGGTAGCTGCCCAGCCTTCTGCTTGGGCAGCTTCTGCAAATGCTGATTTTCTTCATTCGACGCGAAGAATGGTCAAAACTTATCAATTGCAATATTAAATTTTGTCGCATTCCTACCGCGGTCAGTCAGCCTCTCGATGGGCAGCAATCGCAGAAAGACTAAGTAACTGCTGTGAGGCTTTTGAACAAGGCAGCATGGGTGAATTTGAAGAACGGCAGAATCCTTACACGATTTTGGGGCTTGAGAAGGGATTTGAGAGCACCGATGCCGAGATCAAGAAGGTCAGCATGCTTTTTAAGAACACACAGCAAGCCATAGTATTCGCTTGTTTCACAATGGACAGTCTGTCCAATTTGTACATAATCTAATAAATCGATGGTTGATTAATTGACGACTTTGATGCTGTGTACGCGCAGGCTTTCAGGAAATTGGCCCTCACCAAACATCCAGACAAGCAGCCTGACAATCCAAACGCAGCAGCAGAATTTGGAGTAATACAGAGAGCCTATGAGATTCTCCTGGACTCTGCGGCTAGGGAAGCTTGGGACCAGCTGGCCAAGTAAGTTCTCAACCAGCCCATCATGTTTTGATGGTACTGGCACTGGTTTGCCTGCAATTTTTTATTCCAACAATATGCTAACCATCTTGGTGCCAGCAAGTGGCTCGATGACTATCAGTGGCTGATTGCAGCATGTGTCATGTGGCAGGGCGAAGAGGGCGCGAGAGGAGCGGCATGCAGGCGCCACAGCAAAGCGGCGCAAGATGACAGAGGACCTGGAAAAGAGGGAGCGTGCCTTTCAGACAGGAAGGAACGAGGAGCAGGTGGCGCGCAACCGGCTGCATGTAAGTTGCTCCCCTCCTTGCTGCTGTGATACTTTGCAACCCTTCTCTGCTCGAGAAGCGACGTCCGTGCAAGGCGTGAAGCCTCAGAACAGGGATTTTAGTGTCATTCACTGACATGTCACTCAGACGTTGGGTGTGCATTTTTTCGAGACAGCTAGTCTACATTGTCTGCAGGCGGAGCTCGAGCGGCTGAGGCAGCAGCACAAGGAGAGGGACGCTCAGGTGAACGCAGAGAGGATGGCAGCGGCAACTGCAGCAACCATGGCGAGCAGGCCGCAGGCAGCAGGAAATAGCGCTCCCTCAAGTGCTGGACCCAGTGCAGTGCCTTTTCCTGTGCCAGCCGCAGCCCCAGATGAGGGTCCCCCAGCCATGACAGAAGAGCTGGTGCGCACCCTCAAGGTGCGCACCCAGTTCGTATTTCTTGCCATTGCTCTCCACAATCTCCCTTTATATATTGTTCCTTTTGGCAGTGCTTCTCCAAGGCTAAGCATAACTGCTGCAACGCACACATGTGCATGTCTTCCATTGTGCCATATCCAATCCACATCTAGGCAAGATAAGAGCAGATTGGAATATTGGATCGTGTGCGATGGTCAGCGTATTCCTCGGGCACTGCCTGCAGCCTCTCTTGCGAAAACAATGAGCCACCGCTCTGAAATGTGTGCCTGCGAGTCAGCTAGTGTTACTCCAACAAGGGGTGCAAGTGAGTGCAGGTGTCTTGGGACGCGAGGGACGGCGGCTACACGGCGGAGGAGCTGCGAGCGGTGTTCAGCGCGCACGGTCCCGTCAGCGATGTGGTGATGCGGCAGCCCAAGAAGAAGAAGAAGAGCACGAGCAGCGCCTTTGTAGAGATGGGCACCCTTGAGGCCGCTGCAGCCGCCGCCCGCGCCGCCAATGGCCGCTCTGATTTGCCCCTACTAGTTGTGCCTTTCTCAAAGGTGGGCATGCGGTCTCATCACTTTGCATGCCTTTTGACGATTGTCTATGTGCAGCTTTGTACCAGATACACATGCTTCCGCCGATTCGTCATGGTCAATTCCATAGACTTCTGCCAAGAGGGCGGCCCTGCAGTCCTGCAGTCAAATAAGAGGAAGGGTGGGAAAGTCTGTAAGTCTTGTCTGCCATAGTTTCTTAAATTGATTAATTCCTGTGTTGTGCTGTCAGGTTGCGTCGGTGGAGGAGGGTGTTGCACGATCAGCGCCAGCGTCGCCTCTGCACTCGGCGCCTAACCATGCAACCAACGGGTCCAGACATGCGCCACACCTGCAGCCTCAGCGGCCGTTATTCCCTGCCGGCACCCGGGCTGCACCCCAGCCCGCAAAGCAGAGCACTTTTGCTTCGTTTCCGAGCAGCTTCCCTGCTGGGCAGGCCGCGAGCGGGCCAGGTCAGGTCTCCCTTTCCTCTGCTTTTCTCAAATTTTGGCTGCTCAGCCTTATCCGTCCAACAGCCTCTGCTTCCGAGCTCATCCAGCACTACAGACCGTACGCTGGGTAGCAAATGGGCTGCCAATCTCGTGCACAAGGCTGAGCTTTCATTGGGACAAAAATTGATTCCTTTGTGGGTCTGTGTGCAGGCAGGCCAGGCGCGTCAAATGGGGCGTTTGGCTCCTTCTCTGCAAGCAGTTTTCCAGGCGTCCCGAGCAGCGGCGGCCGGGCGGCGCATATCTTTGGCAGCGCCAGCAGAGCCTATGAGAGCGAGACGCTGATGAAGCTGCAGAAGGAGGCGGAGCGCAAGCGGCTCATAGCTGAATTGGAGGCCAAGGGGGAGCTTGTTGATGATTAGTGAATGTGGAGCATATTCAATTACTTGATCGTGACTTTTGAATTTGAATGAACGAGGCAGATGTTGAGGCAGGATATGCTTTGCGAAAATGGATTTCGGAAGGAAGAGGAGAGACGGGGCATCATTTGTCTACGAGGGGCATCGATGTAAGGTATCATTGTCAAAAGACGGATCAAAGTGTGCTCAATCGAGATCTGACGTTTGGTCCTTGGTTGACTATGGCTGATGCCATGCACACCCTCTGGGACTGGATAGAAATCTTCATTCCGGGCCACCACAAACACTTGTTTTGTTGTCTCAAATATGCATTAGCATGTACTTGACACTAAAATTGTCTCGCTTGCAACAGAATGTCTGTAAATGAACGAGGTTACCAGCAGCACACAGTGGATAGGCCCTCTACTTAGCTACCAATGTTCCACCTGGTTCCTCCAGGAACAGCAGTATACACCCTCAATTTTCCTTCTCCAATTTAGCACTCTTTATCACCTCCTTGACCGCGAGTGGTTTGTGGTCATGGAAGAATTCTAGGAAACCCAAGAAGATCAAGCAGGTGAATTGGAAGAGGTCTGCCATGACGATCTGCACCCGCAGCTTCAGCTTTCCTAGGGGTGTCTTGCTGAAGGACATGGCACGGTAGTACGCCCTCGCACGCCACTGCACACCACGGCACTGAAATTATTCTCTTGATTAATCTATCGTGTCTCTGGTGTCAACACTGACCTCTCACAGGGGCAGCCACAGCCTGTCAGGTGACTATCGTATCCTCAGCAAAATTGCCGCTCACCAGACAGAAGTTCATGCATAATTGCAAGTGCAGAAACCTCAGGATCCACCCAGATACAGGTGTGGAAGGGGTGTATGCTCACCTCGAAAGTGCTGTTCATGACGGACCAGGGCTTGGCCACCTCAAACCAGGTGCCCCACGCCGAGCGATGGCCGCCTGCGCCCAGGCTCTCATAGGAGGTCTGGGGGATGGGCGTGTGCTCCATTGCCTCCTCCTGAAATTTCTGCGCCCCACAACACCAACCAAATGCTGACCACCAGGACAAGGAGCTCAAGTCACTGCCCAGGCATAGCGCTGCTAACAAAGCAAGGCCGGGGAATTCACTGGCACCAGTTGGATTCCATGGGATTGACATGCCACTGGTGGAGAAAATGCCAAGACAGGAAGGCTGGAGGGCATTTATTGAGAGGTTGCTGCAAGGCATGTAGCCCTGAGTGCTGGAACAGGCATGTAATAACAGTAATAGTATTCTTGCCATTGGAGTATCTGCTCCCAGAGAGAAGAGATGAAAGGGAGAGGGAAAGGGGAAAAGAGCAAACACATGCTGCATGGAGGGTGGCAGGCAGTACCTGGAGCATGCCCTTCTTGTAGCAGGCGTAGGAGTGCAGGAACATGTCAAACTGCTTGTGGGGCCCGGCCGGCACGTAAGCATAGATGCCGTCCTGCGCGGTGCCTATGCGACCGCTGGGACCCAGGAACGCGAAATTGTGCAGGTCCTTGAAGCCTGCATGGGTCATCCAATCAGTCATTTGCATGTCATCGTGTCAGTCAGAGCCCTTGCATAACACATGCTGCCAATTGTGCCTCAAGACTATTTAGATTACGCTTCAGAAATTTGATGGTCTTTGTCACACATGATTGCCTTTGTCACACAGCATGTATTAGAAGAAGTGCAACTTCCCAGCTGCACACAAACAACACAAAGACCAGATGCAGATGAAGCTCACCGATGCCAAGCTCTTTGAGGAACTCCGGCTCGGCCTGGTACTTGAGGCCGTAGGCTGCCACGATGACATCTGCGCGGAGGTGTTCCCCGCTGCCCAGCACAACGTGCTCCTCCTCCACGGCTGCCACGCTGTCCACCTTGCACGTCAGCCGCCCCGCCCTCGCCTGCTGAAATATCGCGTCGTTCGACTGCCCTGCGCCACCAACCCCCATCAAACGGTTCTTCTCAAAATGGGGGTTGGGGGGGGGGGGGGGGGGGGGGAGTCTATATCTAACTTGGAGGTGGATCCCTTGCAAATGTAAGACCCTCAGGTCACAGATGAATCTAAATCCTAGGTTGGGCACACGATCACATGTTCTGCAAACCAGATATGCTCAAAGAGACCCCTGGCTCCTGAGCCCCTCCGGAGCACCCTGCCATGGAAAGACATTCTGCAACAGACGCTTGCTGTGCGACAGACAGCCGCGCCATTCCCGGTCCTCTCAACAGGCTGACAAATTGGTGGGGCAAAAAGGTGATGGAGTGAACTAGCTTGCAGCATGCCTTGAACAGTAAGCTGTGGGTCATTATAAGTGCACATGTGATAAGCCCGAGGACAAGCGGCTCTGCATCGTCAAATTGACGAGGGCTTAGCATTTGCATTGCAAGAACACTACCTGCGTAGTCGTTGTCGCGCGGCGCGGCCTTCTTGCCGCCGCCGGGCATCATGTGGACGATGCCGGCCGGGCCGTAGAAGTAGCGCTTGAGCCACCAGTGCGTTATGTCCATCTTCCAGCGCCAGGGCAGCAGCGGCGCCTGAGCCAGAGCCCCCAGCGTCATCTCCCGGCTGAAGGGCAGCACCCACCTGCCACACAACACCCAAAAGCCAGCTCACCTCTGACTACCTATGAATTTAGAGAAGAAAAAATGTTCAATGGATGGCAACGTGCACTGCAGAGGTGTGCCTGACCCTGTGTATGTATAACTCTTGAAAAATATCCCACAATCCCGCCGCTTGTATGGATTGGGCCGCACGGAAATGCTGGAGTCCAGTAGGGAATGCCAGTGGACATGAGCAGGGCGCTAATAGCGCAAGACAGCAATATTTGAAATGGGGTGTGTTGAGCTGAGATTCTTTGCCGAGGGAGTTCACCTCTTCCTGTCGCGGCAGACCATGGTGACGTGCTTGGCATTGTTGGCGATGGCTGCCTCCATGGCCTCGCATGCAAACGCACCAGACCCCAGCACGATCACCTCCTGCACACAATGCAACAGTAACCACCTCTCCTGTGTTGTATCCACGCTTTCCAGTGGTCCTCAGAAGATCAGGTACCAGCCCTTTCAGATGTGAGCAACAATCAGGAGTGTGCATTGAATGATTTGATCTGCCCAATCCTGAAATCATTAATAATGCGAGGCATTGCCTCGCTTTGAGGATCAGCAAGCCCTGCAGACACTGTGCTTGGTGGGTCGGCCCGGTTACTGAATGCCTGTGAAATACTTCCATCTGCCCGGTCCTGCAATGCAACTTGTAGATGCAGGTTGTTGAGTCAGCAAGCTTGCATGCAGCGGGTAATTGGCGGGCAGCCGAGCTTGCCTTGCCGGTGAGGTCCTGGGTGCCGACGACGCAGTCGACGCCGTTGTGCTTGCCGGCCAGGCAGACCGGCCCGGCGAAGCGCGAAGTATCCAGGCCCCTCTCCGCCGGTGTGAATTGGTGCGCCAGAATGCCGTGCGTGACCATCAGGAATTTGCAGCGCAGGTGCCGCTTCGTGCCGTACTCCAAACCTCTCAGCTCCAGCGTGTACCTGGTGAAAACAGCTCCTCATCAGCTGCACATTTTTTGCAAATTTTGATAATTTGAAATTTTACAAATTTGATTTTCGAGTCGTTCTGTGCGCTGTCTCTGAAATTCAGAGTCATATCATATCAGGCCTAATCTGGCTGGAAGCGATGTAATCAGACTGACTGGCTGACTGAAAGGCTGGAGGGTAAAGTCACTTGCACATTCCTGCATTCATTCCTTATGGCGCACGCAATTGATAGCTTGCCAGCAAAAGATCCAGCGCTACGTGCAGAACCTTGGAAATTGTGTGCAGCAGAGGCTTGTTGACATGCAGCATATGGAGTATTGCGCCAATGCTGAGCTTTGATTACTTCAACTAAGATGCACACATGAGTATAATAACAATTTTGTTGTACAGCCAGGATGCGTTGCAGTGGCAAGGAAACAGCCGCACCCGTCTTCGTTCTCTTTGACGGTTTCCACCTCGGTTCGGAACCTGGCGTTGTCAAACATGTGGTGGTCTCGCGCGTATTCGCGCATGCGCTGCAGGATTGTGCTGCCCTTGATTCTGTCCAAGGGTCCCTTGCCCAGTGGGTACTTGGGGTCCCACCGATACATGATCTCTGGGCACTGCAAAGCAGACACTATATTCGATCGTCAGAGATAGAGATTGCCTAAGAATTACGGATCCAATGCACAGCAGAAAATCAGGGCTACTCACAACAGGAACATGGAGTTCGGGAGGCACACATACTACTTCAACGCAGGTTTGGATGTCAATGATCTCAGCAATTTTGGACATTTGCTGCTCCATCTAGGAAAGAATTTTTTGAAGAGATCTAAACAGAAAAAAAAAACGACAGTACACTGGTAGCAGAGATGACCTGGAGGGAACTGTGGTCGTTCGCGTAGTTGAGCCACACGCCCCCAACCGTGATCTGTCGATCAATTATCTTGTACGTGATTCCAAGCTTTGCACAGCGCGCAGCACAGATGACTCCACATGTCCCACCACCGATGATAGCTACCTCTACATCCTCGACGAATGTCTTGAAGGAATCATCCATTGGACCTGCGTTTTCTCTACTCAATACGGACAAATGTTTTAAACGGTTCAATCAAATACAAGTCTTACTCTAACGCTTCCTCTAAGGCGGGTGCATCACAGAGGGGTCCTCGACTGTTCTGATTATGAAGCGACCTTGGACACGGCCTGTTACTCCGTAACGTGCACAGGTTATGGCCTGCCCACTTGGCTTCATGAAAATCATGCTTTCCAAGCCAGCCAACAAGCAGGTGCAGAGAAGAAAAGATAATCAGGCTTATATATTGATAAGCCTGCAACCATGAGCATCCGAATATAGTGTTTATTCCAGCTAGCTAAAGGAAATATAAATATCAATCATTGATGCCGCACGGCGGCCAACATGCATTCGGGTCATGGCTGACCACAACCTGTTCTACAACAAATGAGGCTCTAAAACACAACAACGGGTGGCTCACAGTACGCCACCCAATCTTATTGTACACTGGCTGCAGCTGCAGCCAAAATACTGGTGTTCAAACAAGAATTCTGCTCTTGAAGACGCTTAAGCTTCTACTCCAAACTGCGCGTCAGCTGCATGTAGCTACTTTGCATGCGATTGAGGAAGTACTAATATCAATATCTTGCCAATCTTGAATTGAGCAACGTTCGCCGAAGTGATGATGCTGCGACAAATGCCGGCTGTCAGCGCAGTGCGCGCTGCACCCGAGGGTCTGCCTCCATCTGTGAGAACAGCGCTGCAAAGTGCTGGGCCACAGCCTCGCCCTCCCAGTTCAACCACTTCCTGGTCACCTGGCGCAGCACACACCCAGTCAATGCATGGACTAGCACGCACCCACTTGATGCATGGACTGCAGAATAATAAGTCCCCTCAGCTTAGGTGATATGCTGGCGAACAGAACTCTTGGGGCACACCTGGATGAGATTGTGCGCGAAGAAAGGCATCTTTGTGCCCTTAAAGCACACGTCGATGCGGCGCCACGGCAGCTCCTGCCAAAGCCATCGACACGCTGTCAATCAACCTGCCTTATCTTTGCTATGTGCAAGCGCATCACAGTGCCAGGCTTCTCCAGGAATCGTGAACAGCAAGCTTAGATGACAGAGTGCGCCAGGGCCCTGCCTGCAGGCGGCCGAGCATCTGCATGGTGCGCTCGGAGCTCTCAAGGGCGACGTCCTCCTGCGCTGGAGGTGCCCCGCCCCCGTCCCCCAGCCGGCCCTCTGGCGCCGCGCGTACCGGCACCGGGAACCCACCGTCACCCCCGTGGCTGCCGCCCTCATCAGCATCCACCATCACCTGGTAAGACACCCAAAGCTGTCAACTTACAGCGCCACATGCTCCATGGCTGCAGCAAGAACAATATTGCCATCCATGCATGTGCCCAAGTCCCGACTCTTCACTACTGAAATGATACATGCAAGCATGGCATATGATGGATGCTGCGCTTGGGTCTTTATCAGGGAATGGCATGTGCGTCCTGCAGGTTGGCAAGTGGCGGCTCACCAGGGATCCCACACTGGAGGTCCTGGCCAGGCTTGTGCTGAAGCTGCGCCCCTCCATTGGGTCAGCCACCATCCAGTCCGCCGTCCCTGTGCAGATTCCAAATGTTCACTTGAGCATCATTGAGTTGGGCCGTTGTGTAACAAGACAGGCCATTGTGGGCTCTACGAAGCGTGAAGAATGGGTCACCTCTGCTGTTGCGGGCCGAGGGAGGCCTTCCGTTAAACTCGGTCTTGGGATTGGCGGAGGTGGGGCTGAGGGGCAGGCAGTCGCTGGGGTGCAGTGCCGCATCAAGGGGCTCCTCAGACACAACGCCCCTCCCATTGCTGCTGTTGAGCCGCGGCAACTCCTCCGGCTTCCTCAGGCTTGAGTTTGCCCAGCCGACAAGCCAGTCGCCTGTTCGTCCCAAGAAAAAAGAATTCAATGTCATCACCTGAGCCGTGTTGATGCAGTATTTCCTAGAAACATGTTTCAGAAGATCTACCTGCAAAAAGTTCAAGGCCCTTTGCGAATTACCTGATGAATTTGCGTAGCATGTGCGAGTCACAAAGCTCCTCAGGGCTGAGATGTAGTACCCATCCTCAGGGTCATCTTGGGTCAATCTTTCCTGCACACAGACAAGACAAGGCATAGAGCGGGAACTAGAAAATTGAAAGTCCAGTATGATGTACTATGGTATGTGAGGCAACATGCCTCACCAGCAGTGGAGCTCTGCCCTCAGTGCCGTCTTGTAGGAAGAACTGAGTACCGCTTGACCCCATAAACAGCGATGAAAAGGGCTTTGCAGCTGCTGCCACAGCCTTCTCTATGCCCCAGCCAGCCAGAGGGATGTCCCCTGTCCATGAGATGAAAGGCACCTGCGCAGCACATCTGTTGACTCATAACCAAGATACACTGTGAATCTTCCCGGGTGACTTCATAGTGCAGGCAATGCTGTGCTTTCATCACTGGCCCTGATAAGTACCTGTGCAGGGCTTCTGTCACCATCACACCCAAGATGAGGTGTGGCAAATGTCACAAAGTGGGTGGGCCGCAGCCCACATAACAGTTCTGTTTCCGGATCGAACAGCTTCCCTGTCGTATGCAAACATTGATTGGCATACACACTTGTTGGTGAGGTGCTGCTTGCGCATGCATAGCACAGATCTCAGGTCTCTGAGAGCAACCAGATTACAATAGAAACACACCCAAGGCATATCTTCCAATGAGGCCGCCCATGCTGTGGCCTATGAGTGATATCCTCTCTAGATCTGGGTGTGAAGCTACATAGTCCTTCACTTCTTGTGCAAGCCGTTCGCCACAGCGATCGATGCCCTCATATGTCTGCAAAAAGAGCAATGATCATGACATCACCTTCAAACCAAGCACTTTGACATTCCAAAAGGTGTGCCAGAAGAGATCTGCACAGCCAAGCTTTACAAACGCCGGCATAGTTGATCAAAAGTATAGCTTGATTCACCTGCAATCGCATATTGGCAGTACTAGCGAGGATCGCTATGTCCTTCACAGCTGCGTGTTTTCGAAGGTTTGCAATGACAACGCTCCAGTTGTCATCGTTCCCGTTCAAGCCATTGACAAACAGCACCAGGTGTGTCTTCTCGGTGGTTCGCGATGAAGTCGATGGTACTTCGTGGGTCACATTATTGCCTTCTGCAGGCATTGGATCTGCCAGCCTAGGACTTGCTGGCACCCTGACGCCTGCTTTTCTGGAGGACTGATACCTGTGGCGACGTGGATTGGGAATAGATCTTCGCTTGTGAAATCTAGTGAATGCTTGCTCTCTGTAGGGAATAGATCGCAACGTACTTGTGCAGACTTCTCCAGGTATCCCTGCCTTTGGCCTATTGAGAACACTGGGGCTTCTGGAGCCTGCACTAATCGTACAACGCATTTATTAGCTGCAGAAATTGGCGATCGATCGATCACATTTGTGGCAGCTTCTCCAAAACACTCAGCGCTCTAGCTAGGTGAGTCACTGCTTCACGTGACTCAGAACACTTTGGTTTTCCTGAATCCCAGCATACTTCTTTCTTCTTTATCTGCTAAAGAAACTTCTTTACATAGTAAGTATATCGATACAGATCATTACAAATGCTCTTGCTCAGAATATCGATCCTGCTCTCCATCGGATTGTCGGTGTTCCGTGCAGCAACAGCTGGACACATCGCACGTGTAGCATTGGTGCAAAGTCATGGAAAATATCAGATCGTACCAGACAGAGGCCATCCAGCAGCGCTCGCTACAGCGTCCTACCTAGACTCGGTGCACACTTCAAGTGGCTGGGGTCAGCTGTCCATTTCGACCAAAGCAGGCATCCCTGATGCTCATCAATTATACGCTGCAGGTATATATGGGGCTTCTGCAGCTGTCTTGTCTGGACGGCGAGCATGAACTTGGCACTATCAAGGACTGGGTCCTCTGCCGCAGGGTTCTTGGAAGGATACCTGACAGCGCACAGGATATATGATCACCATGTGAACATGGAGGCCTTCTTCAACATCAGCACATCGGGCCCTTCAGATTGGCTGCTTGCTCAAGACGCATGGGCGCAAGAGCAAGTTGCCACCGGCGCAACACCGTACTGGACAACCCTGGGACTGATTCTGCAGCAGCATGAGGGTCTCATGGATGGCTACAATCTGGCAGCCAATGAGACTCAAAACTCAGCAGCAGGCAGCTCTCCTTTGCCAAAGCTGGATCGCATAGACTTCCTGAAGCTCAGCGCTGTGGGTGAGTAAATTTCCTATGCACTCCGTGACGCCCTTCTCAGAAACCATGCGCAGCATTACAGTAGTGAGTATTGATGGCTGGGTATGTTCAGGGGATTTGGGAGATCTGGTACCGGCACTTGAGCCAAAGAAGAGAGTACAGTGGGAAAGTCTTGATGCGAGCGATATGGAAGGAACACTGGCTTCAATGGGACACTGTAGCGCACTCGTGAAGGTTACTGGCAATTACAGCGATCTTTTCCTCGCCCATTCCTCCTGGTTCACATACAGGTTCGCCGGCCACACCATGGATGCTTGGAGCTTGAACATTATTCTTCTCCCAGGAGGTACCTTGAAATTGGTGCCAACAGAGGTTGCAAGCATTGACCCCTGTGATCTGATGCTTGCTGCAGCGGTATGGTGAGGATATACAAGCATTATGACTTTGCCGTGGCCAGTCCTCACCATAAATTGAGGCGGACATCCTTCAGCAGCTATCCGGGGGAACTGAGCAGCGACGATGATTTCTACCTGATGGATACTGGGCTGGCTCTGCTCCAGACAACCAATGACATCCTCGACACTGAGCTGTACAAACTGCTGACACCAAAGTCTGTCCTGAACTGGCAGCGTGTGAGGTGAGAGAGGCAAGAGAACCCACCGTGATCTGCTGAAGGAAGCCGTTTTCCCCGTTGCCAAATAAATGAAAATTTGAACAAGTGCGGGTGTTGGGGCAGGCTTGCCAATGCAATGGCTGACACCGGGAAGGAGTGGGCGGACATTGTTTCTGAAAACAACTCCGGAACTTACAACAACCAATATATTATTGTTGACCTGAAGCTCTTCAGGCCTGGCCAGGAATTACAACCCAACCTACTGTGGGTTGTCGAGCAAGTGATGTCCGCATTCCCCATGGGAAGTGACACAACAATAGTCATTTTTTGACACCACGCTCACTACTGTATGCTTGAGAAGTTGACTCTTGGGTGTTGATAGTGACATGCTCTTTGCTGCAGATACCGGGATTGACTGTTGCTGAAGATCAGACTGAAATTCTTTCGAGGGGATATTGGCCGTCTTACAATGTTCCATTCTACCCAGAGATATACAGGTTTGAAGCAGCCCCCACATCCCAGCTGTCCTTCTTTCAGACCTGGTTCATCATGTTGCATGCATATTTATAGTCTGACACATTTTCTTGAACGACTCAGGCGGTCTGGATACCTTAAGTTTCAGAAGGAGCAGCAGGATCGTGGCGGAGATTTTGCTGCGGCTGCAAAGCAGAAGAGCTATCAGTTGGCGCCCAGGGCAACAATTTTTCGGAGAGATGCTGGGAACGTCACAGACCTTGATTCCTTGAAGCGCCTGATGCGCTCCAACAACTATCAGAACGATCCAGTGAGTCCCTCTGCTCTTCTCTGGACCTTTTGTGCTCCTAGCATGTGTGGCAGCAAATGCAGCGACCGCAATTTTCTTGCAATACTGGTCATCTGTCAGCAATGCTTGCACATGGGAGGACGCACCAAGACGTTTCATTCACTTGCAGCACAGAATGTGCATTTTTCTATGAGAGACCTGCATGCCTGTGCACCACGTCCTTTTTGCTGTGGCCTCACAGCTCAAGTTCAGACATATATTTGTCTGCAGTACTCAGACGGCAAGGCGCTCAACGCGATCTGCGGCCGCGGCGATCTGGACGGTGCCAAGCCGCGCGCGTACGGCTGCTACGACTCCAAGGTTGCAAATTTCGAAATGGCGCGGCGGCTGGCCGCGCAGGGGATTGTGGGGCCGGCCGGCAAGGAAGCCGGGCTGAAGCCGTTCGAGTGGACTGAGAGCAGGTTTGAAAACGTGTCTCACCAAGGCCAGCCGCGCGTGTTCGATTTTAAATACGAGCCGCTGTCGGCCGAGCTGCTGTCAGCGGCGGGTGCTTCCAAGTCTGTGCCACTCGGCGCTTCTCGATGAAGCTGTTGCTCAGGTTGTTTCATTGGGGTACTCAGGTTTATAAAAAGCTATTGGTGCACTGGTGGGGTCTGAAAGAGAGTGAGAGAGAGAGAGTGAGCGGCATTGTAGATTTATAAATTTTTGAATATTATCGTAGATTGCCAAACGAAATCTGCACGTTGTACAAAGAACAGCCAGTTGCACATTGCAGTGGTGAAAACTACATCTGCATACCGCAGCACCACAATGACAGTGCTCCTGGCACTGGACCTGACTAAACATTTGGTATATTGGTCGTGGCTCGCCACATTTTGCCAGGACTTTGGTATCTTTTGAAAGCTGAGAGCGTTGGGACCGCTGGGTATAGGACCTGGACATCTCTCTTATTTAAGGCAATTAGAATGGTTTTAACTTAGTACAGTACTAGGCTCCAAGCATCAGAGTCTGCGTCCAGGCATTGTTCTTGCCAACACCGTGCAGTGCTGCTTGCATGCAGACTGCCACTGGCAGCGGCCACTGGTGACCCTTGACTCAAGCCTCGAAGGCTGCACCCAGCGGGGCACCACATGTGTGCCGGCCGGGGGCACACCAGGCCGCCTGGCACCTAGGGGGCACTCGCGGGCACACCAGGAATCTGCCCCGCATGTAAGACTGTATCCGTAACCTGCAAGATCTGCATACATGCCCTTGAAATCCATTCCAGAATTCTCTGCTCCACATTCAGCTCAAATGGCACCCTCAACACCCTCAGGGGGTAAAAAGACTACAGTACCCTGAAAAAATCTTAAGCGCCCCCTGAGGTTATAATCTCCAGGGTCAATGCTTGAGGTCTAGCTCGACTTTCCAGCAGAGGAGTTCTGCATATAATAAATTCTGTATCGTATAATTAATTGCGTTGATAGATCATCAAACATATCAGTTTGATCAAGAAGGCAGGCTGCTTCAGTCTCACTGCTGCAGCAGCAGATCTTGCAAGCTTCATTATCAAGAAAGCCCGTCATTTCGCTAGCATTTTCCTGCAGGGATCATGGCGATGCGGAGCTTAATAACGGAATTATTGCGAACCAGCAATGCACTGTGCAGATCGCATACGGCCCGAGCTATGCCTCAGCTTGACCTGGACATTGAAAGAAGGTGGCAGCGCAGTTTTAGCAGCTCTCCTCCTGATGGTGAGCCTCGTAGCTGTTGAACTGCAATAGCTCTACTTCCAAATCATGACATTTCTTTCAGCAAGTCCTGCTGACACAATACCTGCGAATTCAAGAGCACCTGCATTCAGCCTGGATATATCTGGATAGTTTGATTCACCTCTATAAATTGTGCATTGATTTCTTCTAAATTGGTGTCGTGTCATCCATGGACAGAAACTGGACCCTCCACGTCCGAAGGCGCATCTGACGCTGTAATAGAGACAGCAGGAGAGGTTGGTGAGGCAGTGCCTGAGGTGAAGAAGGGAAGGAGGTGGACGAGGGCAGAAAAGGGCAGCTGGGCAGATGGTGACTTTGTAGAGCAGGTAGACCCCTGTCCTTGGGACCGAGACCAATCCTTTACATGCCAGCGGCAATTAAACCATTCCTATTTGCCATGATGCATGTCCTGGATAAGTGCATGTCAACTGAACTCCAGAGCTTGCAAATGTAGTAATTGATGCATGTCTCTTCTTGCAAGTGACAAGCACGTTTGGTGTGTCATGTGCAGCTCAATGATGTGGCGGTTGAAGTGCCGGAAGGCATTCCGATATACGACATGCGCACAGACATCCCCTGGCACTTTGAGCCGCAGTCCAAGTGGGCAGACATGCTGGAGCGCGTGGCTGCCGCAGATCCAGACATGCTGAAGATGCTGGAACTGGGGGAGGACTACCCTGCGCCCTACCCTGGCGCCCGCTCCATCATCCGATGGGAGACTTACATGGTGCGCAACCGCAGCCGCCACATGATATTGCTGATCCCATGCTTGCATGTACATGCTCTCTGCAGCCAAGACTGTCAGGGCTGCTTGACAGGACCATGTTGCATGGATTTCTGAGCTGTGTTGGGGCAGGTGCTAATGGCGGGGCCGGACCATCTGAGCCACCCGGTGAACAAGAAGGCAAAGTGCTGGGTGTACCTGCGCGACCTGCAGGAGGAGTGCGGCCTCACCGACGCCGCTCTGCAGCACATCGCGCTCATCTGCGGGCCCAGGTGCTTTTCATCCTCCTTGCCTGTCTGTTCTCGGGGCGGGGCTTCCTTCAGGCTGCCTACCGAACATGCGCGACAGTTGGCTGATTTCAGAGCAACTTCGTGCAACTTTCTCAACATTGCTCGCTTGCAGCGAAGGACAGCAGCTTTATCTATAACTCATTGCCATCAAATCTGGCAAGGCAGCAAGCAATCTGGGCTGAGGGGTCATTCTAGTCTTGATCTGAGTGAATACTTGAATGCACTACCTACTGTGCAGGAAACGTAAATTCTCACAGGTCACTGAAGGGGCTTTGTGCGCGCCAGGTACAACCCAAAGAAGGGGTTGCTGACGCTGGTGAGCGAGAAGTATCCGGACCGGGAGGAGAACAGGCGCGACATCCTGGACACGCTGCATGCGCTGGTGGCCGAGGGGGAGAGGGCGTTCCCTCAGACCGATGCAGACATCCAGAAAGTGCAGGAGGAGCGGAGAGCCGCCAGAGAGCGCATGAGCAGAGGCCTGCCCGTGCCAGACTACAACCCCCTCAGCCCTTCACGTAGGGTGCGCCTCATCTAGGCAAAGAGTATTCCAGACATGTAGGCAGAGTGGGCGCCAGAGATTAGAGGATCACGTCCGCCAAACTCTACTAAATCGTAAATCCAGTAGCCTCGACCATATGGGTCTGTTGTGCCCCAGTGGTACATTGACAGTGGTGGGTGGGGTTGGGGTAGAACCTTTACTTGAAGCTGATGGACTTCAGGGGATTACAGTTGACAATGTCTTCACGTTCTCTGACTGAACTGTGTCTTGCAGGAGCCAGCAGGAGAGATTGAGGAAAGAAGTGCAACAAAACAGGCTATGTAGGATGAACACTATTCATGCATTTGCTACAGTGCCTGGAATAGAACTTCTATTGTAAAAAGATGCAGTCAGTCCAAGATATCTCGTTCCAGGATCTCAGAAGAGTGCAGATTTCATTCATTACATACATTTGCATGGCCAAAGTAGTAGATGCTCATGAGCAGATCTGCATCATCATCTGCTACTCACTGGTTTATGCAATGTACCTCTTATGCACTCATCACTGCCTGCTGATTACACCATAATCACGTTTAATCTGAAGGGTGTAGATCACACCAGAACGATGATTCACTGATAAAAAAATATTCCCCTACATTTGCCAGGAAATTGGATGCTACACAGCAGCGCTGATCTTTCGTCCAAATATTATTTGAGCAATTATAACTTCCGAGACTTGTGGGTGCCACCCAGAACCTCAGCACCCCAGATGGTGTACTGGCTCTTTGCATCCAAACTCGCAACATCATCAGGGGCATGAACAATTGTGCCAGCTGAAACCAGCAGGCCTCAAAATTCTCAGTATCGGCACCAGACATCACCGACAAAACTCTAACTTGAAGAAGAAGCTCCTCGCCTTGATGTGGTCGCACCAACGTGATGCACCAAAATGGCCTACCAGCCCCGTCAGTCCTCTCACACCCTCATTATCTTCTCAAACTGCACCTAGCAGCTTGCATTTGATATGCAGACCGCTGAGCTACCGGAACTCTCAATTTCGACAAGCGCGTGAACACGACAATGAACTGTCCCTTCTGAAGTCCTGGAACGCTCAATTCCACCAAGACTCTGTGTGTACTCCCGGGACTGGCTCCCTACTGCAAGAAAAGTCTGCATTCTGTCAGCATTGCTGTCGGCTGCCGTGCATGCACAACTAAAAATTAGGCTGCGACGGCTGCCGGAAAACACTCATTTCTGCCTACCATGCCTACAAAAATCCTGAGAATGCCTAGAGAGTGATGTATGGCTTTGCGCCGTCTGTCAACATGCGCTTCTGTGCGATGAGAGGGTCATAGTGATCTGCGCCGCAGCATCTCCAGTCTGACCCCTTCATCAGCAGGAAGACGGGTGGCAGGTGCTCAGCATCATGCTGCTCTGTCAAAGGCTTGTGCGGTAGGAAGAACAGCGCAGGCTCCTCATCAAAGCCCCCTCCATGTGCTTGCACCTGCACAAATGCCCTCCTGGTCGAGTCGCTTCTTTATTCCCTTGATATATCTGCCATTAGTGAATGATCAGACATTGCTAAAATCCGCGCATCTCCCTGACATGTCATGCGGTCAGAGCAACCTGGAGCAGACCGCGTACCACATAGATTTCTCGGTGGTACTGTGTAGCCAGCACTTCGATTGCCAGGTCATCGCCAAAGGACCCCTGGCCCTCGGAGATCTCCACTGACAGCAGGCCCTCCTCCACGTACTGCAGGGTGACTACGCAGCAGTCATCCCGCTGGCTCCCATCCAGCGCCATGTAGCGCCCCCAGCTCGCCAGGTCATCCACCTTCTCCCCAAGTTCCTCATACACTGTCCCGGCTGCATTAGTCCAGTCCAAGCCAGCATCTGTGCGCTCTGCTATCGCAGCCTCCGCTTGTGCCAGGTCCCCAAATCGGATCAATAATTTGTGTTCCTGCACACCATACACTCAGCTCCTTGAAGTTGCGCAGTGTACACAACCGGCACACCCACAATATTTGCAAAATTCATGCCAGCCTGTCAGACAATTAAATTCTTTCTGCCAAGCAGTTCCTGTGGTGCCTGGGAGGGGTCCTACCTGAACACACTCCACACCCCATCCGCAGGTTATGTCCGGCGCATACTGGTTTGCAATCCGTTGCTCAATGCCTTCTAACAGAACGTTCTTCTGCATGAGTTTGCGGAATTGTGCAACACACCGAGCTCTGACCTGCATGACAAGCGAACTCCCTTTAAACGGCATTAAAAATCCACACATGCTGCATGAGTGCAGTTGCAGTTGCAACACTCTGCTGGGGAAGGCCTGTACCTCTGAACCGCTTTCAAAGCCACCGAGCGCAAGCGCAAGGGCGTCAAAAAGGCAGTTTCCTGCCCTTGCCACTTCGCCGCCATACTGCAGAGTGTAGCAGCAACTCCCACCAGTCAGAGCAACTCCAGACTGGGATAGCTTTGTCAACTCAGTCAATAACCTGCACAGCCAAAACGATCCCTTATCACATTGCACTTCGAAATATCATGGATTAAATTCATTTCGCAAGGGAATTGCGAGCATTTGGCACTCCCTTGTAATCTTTTTGTTTCAAGAAGGGGCGTCTCCAACAAGAGTAAACAAGATGCCTCAGGACTGATAGAAACAGACGCCTCCTTTTGCAAAGAGCATCCACCAAATCATTCTTGAAGCTCCTACAGAGCTGTCCGAACGAGCCATGGAGCCTTGGCGGACCCGGACGAGTTGTCCTAAAAGACCCGCCGCCCTTTCGGGATTATTCTTCGAAACAGTGAGCCCAAGAGAGTGAGCAATCTTCTGGCCCAGTACTTACCCTGCATCATCTCCACTAATAGAGGAGAAAGAGGAGTCTGCAATAGACACCAGAGAGTCGCTACTGGAAGTCTCCAGAGGAAGGGAGCAAGGCATGTCGGCCAAGCTCCGATCTTGGCCCATTATGATGTCGCAGTCCTCACTGCTATACATGCCTATCTCTCTGACATGTAGGGATGGCAAAAGAACTCCTCAACAACGAATTTGGGAATGAAACTGGATGTGGGGCTCAATTCTTCTGACGCGTCCAAGACCAATCACGTGCACGCCACGCCTTGCGAACCTGGGCCGGACAGCTCGATTGTTGGATACCTTGACAATCAACAGCGGCAACACTGCGATTTCATGAGTATGACTTTCTGATTGCCTTCATAGACACAAGTCGCAAGAGCTCAGCACCAGATTGACTGTCTTGGACTTGTAGATCAATATTTTTTGAGTGACTCGAGATATGAAGTGTTTGCATCAGACGTTCATCGCAAAAAAATGGCTACACACATTCAATTCATTAGGGCCTGGTAGGCCATGGCATGTGAATAGATATCGCATGGCACCCCATGATATCTGCGGGCAGAGGAGTAGACACCTACTAGGCTTAGTTACTGTCGATCGGAGAAGCTTTAGGACACAGGCTGGCAAGGACGACCTGCTCAAGGGGGTCAATCCTCAGCATAGAGACGATGTGGCTCGTGTGGTCGAGCAGGCACAGCGGGCTGCCAGCATGTGGACAACCATCTGTACAGGTTTCTACTCCAGCAATCACCCACATGGATGCTGATCCCTGCATGTCTGAATTATCTTCCATGTTTGCTGGCTCATGCAACGCTGTGAACGGTGCAGAACATTGCACTAGCTCATGCATCAGGTGATGCTGCATGCCTTCATTTATCCTGAGCGACATTCTGTGATGGGCAGACTTTCACCCTCCTCCAGTGGTTGCCGACGCCATGAATGCTATGAAGCAGCTGGCGGGCGTGGCAGCACTTTCCTTTGGAGGCTACGCGCAGGCGGAGCGCACCAGAATTTTCCTGGGCCAGGAGGACATCATTGAGGCCCTCAAAGCAGACCCACAGCAGGTCTCTTGTAAGGCCCAAGTCCAGGAGAGAGTGCGAGCTTGTTGTGCTGTTTGTCAATGGCAGGGCTTGAAACACACAATAGTTGAGTATCATCTGCATCTGCCCTTACATGCTGGCATGCATGCATGCATCAGGGGAGCTCATTGGCAGTCATGTGTGGGAACAGGCGGAAGGCGTTGCAGCGCTGCGAGTGCAGGGCAACTTCATGTTTGACGCAGCCACGCACAGGGACTTCCTGGGCGCCATCCTGGGCACAGGCATAGAGCGCAGCAAGGTCGGAGACATCATTCTTGTGGGAGAGACCGGCGCCCAGATATTGGTTGCTGAGGAGCTGCTCGATCACTTCGAGCTCAACCTCACTCAGGTGCCTGCTCCCACACACCAGCAACTCCTCATTCTGCGCACCTGGTATCGTTCATGAGGCACAACACCTGAATAAATCGGGCGCTTTGCCGCCCTTGATCCAATTTGTCTACCATGTATCGGTTGATAGGGTCTGCTTGGATATGGTGAGTCCAACAGAGGATTATGGCAGCCTTTTCCCGCACCTTGTCTGCAAGCGCACTTCGCATCTGGCAGCAAAAATCTGTAATAACACAAAAGATATCCTCGAGAAGTGTGTGGGTAGGCCAGGGGGCCCTAATGCAATGAGAGGGTGCCAGTGCAGGTGCGCAGCGTACCGGTGGTCAGCCGGCGGATGGAGCTGGCAGAGCTGAGCGTGCGGCCGGCCAAGACGGAGACAGTGCGCAGCGTGGAGGCATCGCTGCGACTGGACGCCGTGGCCAGCGCCGGCTTCCGCATCAGCCGCGCCAAGGCCGCGGACCTGATCAAGCAGGGGGATGTCCGGTGCGCTGCATGCTTCCCGCTGTCATTCATGCATGGGCTGTTTGCACCTCTGATAACAGTGGAAATAAATGGCGCGCAGCGGTCGCGAGGCCAATTGACCCTGATGGGTTTGTTGCTGATCGCCCTTGAATATATTCATCACCCCTTCAGGGGCGTAATATATACTTCATCAAGACGAGTGATCACAAAGTCAAATCGAGTTGAAGTTGATTGGCCAAAGAGGCTCCTGCAGATGCGTGTAGTCATGCCATTGATGGGGATGAAGAGGATGGAGGGTGTCTTCTTGCAGGGTGAACTGGATACAGGCCAAGGGGAGCAGCTTGGTCAAGGAAGGGGATGTGATATCCTGCTCTGGCAAGGGGCGCATAGAAATCATATCGACATCACTGACAAAGAAAGATCGGCATGCCGTGGAGATGACGCGGTATGTCTGATGCTGAGATGTTTGTGCGATTGTTGAAATTGTAGGTTGTAACATACAATCAGCAGCAGCAGACTCTGAAGTTCCATGGGTACAATGATCCTTACACTCTCTATCCACTGCACCACGCAGCTTGAAGTCTCATCTTGGGCCCCCGGAAACAGGTTCAACTGTTCCTCCCTCCTCCACCTTCATTGCTGTTGGTTGTGTGCCAGAGGATGGAGCTCCGCTGTCCTGACGAGCACTGGCAGCTGGACCGCCAGCTATTGTCTGCAATGGGTACTGCATACCAAACACAGCGGTTGTCAGGCAACTTCTCTACGGGCTGATGTCGCTGGCAATATGTCTGCATTTGCATTCTCTGTGATCTCCACAATCTCTTCCCCACTGGTTCTATCCAGCAGGGCAGCAGTATGAATGGAATTCAAGTCGAAATGTCACCTTTTGCAGAACATTCATGATGATCTTGTCTACAGTGCGCATCTGCTCTTTGCTGGTGCTCTGCTGCAGCTTGGAAGCGGGCCTGGCTTCCTTTTCCTCACTGGCCCCTGCCTTTGCCACTTCTGAACCTGAAATCACAGCAGTGGAATGAAGACACAATCACAAATCACCCTTCAACATGACATGCAAAGATGACTTGCGCTGTGAGCAGTGTCATTCAAATGCTGCTTACCTTTCAGGAGGGGATCCAGGTCGCTTTGCATGAGATTGAACGCTGTGCGCACATTGTGCAGGCATCGGCTCTGCGCCCGCACACAGTCTTCAGCATTGCATGTGGCTGGCACAGCCGTGCATAAAACAATTTCACGAGGAATGTGAGGGTGAAATAGTATGATGAAGGGTGCCTCACGATGCGGGATGACAGAGCTGCATGCAGGGAAGGCGCCTGATACACATTTCCATCCAGAATATAGTAAAACTGCAGGGTGGCAGTGGTCTTGGGTCCAGACCGATGCTGCTTGCGGATGATGAAAAGGTGAGGCTCCTGTGCATCCTGCAGCTCGTACTCCACCCCAGGTGGTAGCGTGCTGCGAGCACAGTGGCATGTCATCACTGGTGCTGTCAGCTTCAACAGTCCCAGAAGAATCTGACTGATCACGTGGAAGTAGACGTACGCAAGCTTGACTCCCCCTCCTTGAAGCTTGGCTAGCTCGTTATTACAGCCGCGATCATAGAAGGGGGATAGCGCAAAGTAATCCAATGCAGTGAAGACGTTCAGTGGATAAAAGGCAAGCCAGGCATCGTCACGCCACGTTGTCTGAGCAAGCTCGTCTGCAAAATTTTCATCCACGATCTTTTCTGCCATCTATACTGAGGCAGGTGGCCAAGAGCATAGTGATGGCTAGCAGGGGATGAGGTTTGTTAACTTATTCGATCCGTCATTCTGCGTTCAGATGGAGATACTCAGGCACATCCTGGAATCATGGGCAGTGATTGGTTGGAATGCCAGCATGAAACAGCCCAAAGAAGTTCTGGTCTTGTTCTCCGCACCTGCCAGCGCGTGCGCACAGCATGCCACAGCATTCCTTTAATGTCCGCCAGCGGGAGCGATCTCGTTGCTTACGGACTGGTGAGAGTTCTCATAATAAATTGCTATCGAAAGTTTATGTCTAGATTGTTGGGCGTTGGCAGAAGCACCTGACCTGGAATAATCATCTGGACTAGAAACGCTCCTTTAGTACGGCGTTGTATTGGGTTATTTAAACCGCTAACCTTATGCATTCTTGAAGTCTGATCGTTGAAGGAACGATGGCAGAGGAACTTGCGGAATGGCTGGCACGGAACGGTGGCTGCCTCAACCCAGACCTCAATTTTTTCCACGCGCTTCCGGGAGGAGATAGGGGCGTTGTAGCACAGAAAGATATTGACAAAGACACCGTTCTTGTCTATGTACCATTGTGTCTGTGCTTGCATATGCCGACGGAAGAGGAATGGGAGTCAGAAGCAGATCCTTATGATCAGGCAGCTAGTTTCTTGAGGAAGTTATCAGAACCCCTCAGCGCGTTCCTGGCCACTGTGCTCTTGCTGATGCATGAAATTTCTAAGGCAAGCACCTCTGCCATGCTTCGTCCTATGACATCATTGGGACACTGCATCGCTTCAGCAAGCAAGGCATGTCTTAGTATATGTCGATGTACCTGATCGACATGAAATTCTGCAGGGTGCTCAGTCCAAGTATGCGCCTTTCCTGAGCCTTCTACCAGCAGGCCACGACTGCACGCTCTGCTGGACCGATGAGGAAATGGCTGAACTAGCAGGCACGTATCTGGTTACTGGCCAGGAGCCGTCTGCAATGCAGACTCTGCATTCATGAGTAATCTGTCAGTCAGTGCACTTCCTTAAGTCACTGACATGGTAGGGCTCACGCAGGCACTTCTATTGCGGACACGGGGGGCGCAAAGACAGCGCATGAGTTTGACAGCCTTGTGCGTCCTGTGTTAGAGCAGCGCCCAGACCTGTGGCCGCCGGCATCGTGTGGATATGATGCCTTTGTGCACGCAGCGGGCATGGTGCAGTCCAGAGCCTTCCACATGAAGAAGGAGAATTGGATTACAGGAGAGAATGAGGACGGTAAGGCACAATCCGTATTTAGACATCGAGTTCTGATCTCCGTTTAAATTGTCAGAGTGAGATGTGCACAAAATCTACAAGCACACAAGAGCTGAATGCTGTAGTGAGGTACAGGGGAGGAGCTGTATCTCATCCCAGGCATTGATATGATCAATCATTCATCCCGCCTTCAGGAGCGCAACACGGCTCTGGAGCAATCCTCCGATGGTGTGACATTCCGCCGGAAGCCAGACCTGCCTCCAGAGGAATACAATGGAGGACTATTTGTCATGAAAGCAGGTGGGACAAGAGTGCACAATGACCTCGCAAATAATCTCCCTGTACATTTCTCCTTAAATGGGCTATATGGCAACATAAGATTAACATGAGCAACAAAGGTCAAGACTGCGAGTGCTTGGGTGTGCAGGGCGTAAGGTTGCAGCCGGGGAGCAGATCCTGCATACCTATGGGGATCTGAGCGATGCCCAGCTATTGCAGACGTATGGCTTTGTCGAGGACCCTGCACGCCCAAATCGCCACAACAGAAACGTGCGGCTGCCCACAAGTGATCTGCAGAAGGTGCGCTTGCTCACATCCTATGCAATTCTCAGTGAGTTGTTGCTTAAAATATGGACGTGATGAGTTGCACAATTTGTCCAGCAAAGCATTGTATGGCAGACAAGATGAGGCTTCCATGCATTGCATGTCAGGGGATTCGGGCCTTGAGGCGGCATCATAAACCTGACGCTGATCGGGACGACAGCTGGATAAACATTGAGGAGGTTGAGGAGCGGCTGCTGGTGGGCAAGCAGCGGCATGATGACCTCTTCAAGCTGGCTGCCTACTATGTGACGGTACGTGGAGCCCATATGCAGCTGCCCCTGTATCCTTGGTGGCTTTCGAGTAGGCTTGCTAATAAGCCATGCACAGCCCCTGTAGGTCTGACATATGCCCACTTTTTGTTTGTACTGCTGATTGTGCACAGCATGCCGTTGGGTAGATTACCAGTCCCAACAGAAGCATGCATGGGCGCTGCCTTGTCCGCCATCTTGTGATGGTCATGTGCGCTGCATGCAGGGGAAGGCGGAGTGCTTGATCATGCTGAGCCTGGTGGACAAGCAGCTGGACGGCAGGCTGGCAGCGCCCAACCGCCACATCAAGGCTGCTGCCGCCACCGGCCGTCTGCGCATGGCAGCAGTCGTGCGCGAGGCCGAGGAGAAGGCGCTGCGCGGGCTCAAGAACCAGATCTTTCAGCTGCTCATGGCGGCCCCTTACAATGCCGATGATGCCACCGCCATGGACGGCGAAGACTGCTTGGGTGACCTCCAGTGGGAGCCGCCAGAGGAAGAGCTCTACCCAGAATCTTCCGGTGACTCAGAGGATGAGGACGGCAGCGAAGAGGACCTTGAGGGGTCAGATGAGGACTCTGAAGATCCGGAAGAAGAGGAAGAAAAGGAAGAAGAGGAAGAGGAAGCAGAGAATTTGAATGGAGTCGAGGCCAGCAGCTTTCGGGATCAGGCGCCAGAGACTGCTGGTGGGAAGGAGCTGGCAGGCGGTGGGGCGGATGCTCCCTCTGCGGATGAGTCAGCGCTGCTGTCCGCTTCGGTGCTGCCGGCCACGGAGAAGCGCGGCCGGCGTTCCAGCACTGTGTCCCTCAGGATTGGGGACCCCGTCAGGAAACGCCTCAAGTTCTAGCGCGGTTGTGATGCCATGACGCTGCTCTGACTTCTATTTATTATCACTTGTCTGCCACTTTCCTGTGTGTCCTAGTGTTGGTCTGTCCATGCAGCAGTGTTGCAAGATTGTCTGGGTGTCAAGTGAGTCTGGTAGCACCACAAATTTGTTGATGATGATCGTAATTGCCACTGCTGGCAGCAAATACATTTGTGATAGCCATTCTTGTCATCGGTCTGGTATGGTGGTTGCTGTGGTGTGCAGCACCACTTACCGAGCCGCTTTCCTGCTGCTTTGCCACTTGCATGCATACATATGTCAATAAGCTGACGGGAGATCTATGACCATCAGTGACTTCATTAAGTGAAACATTTTGGAGTTCTGTAGGACTTTGATTATGTACATTAGTAGAGCTTGTTTGTGTTGCTGTCAGATTCATGGCCTTCATGGTGTTCAGAAACAGCTGCGCACCCCACCCGCAGGTTGACTACTAACACTATTATAAATGCCATTGTGTTGTCTCCTATTAGTAGGAATGCTGTTAGTTCTACATTGTTGATGTCAATACTTTTGTAAGCAATTTCAGTGTGCATCTTGCCCTTTCATATTGCCCATGCATGAGTTTCAAGGGATGCAGGCTTCCACTACCCCCTGCAATTCTACTTAATTGCTCAAATATAATTTGATCGCTCTCAGCTAGTATATACCGATCAATTTCATGGACAATGTGTTGTAGTCTTTCGTCAAAATTTGTTCCTGGTGGATATTCGTGTGCACTGAAGTTTTGATGGATCGACTGACTATGAAAAATAGTACTGGTTTGGGAGCTATTTAGAAATGTAATTTATCCCTCATTGGATGAAACAATTCTTTAAGAATGTTCTGTGAGTGTGCACCGCTCTGACAGGTTGCAGTGACTCCTTGTTCTGTGACATCTTTGACTATACTGGACGATTAGAGCTCTGATTTTTGGCAGATCCTGAACTCCTTGCTGGCTGGTCACCAATCACAAAATTCAAACTCATGGGAATACCGGTAGAGGAACCTAAAAGAGGGAAGTACTGATTGGAAGACCCGAGGATCAAGGGAGTATCAAAGCATGGCGTACGCGGATGTTCTCTTCCTGGATGACTGCAGCGATGATCCAGACGAATTTATAGGACATGATATTGATCAGACAGTCAGAGAGTTGGTGAGATGATCCCCTTGCTTGTCTTGTGCCTGCAAGCAGAGGAAGCACAATAGTCAGACTGCTGCTAAGTGCCTTGGGGGTCCAGAAATCATCTGCTGCTGTGTTCAGGCTGACCCGGCAACGCGCAAGGCAGCCATGCATGCGCTCTCAGCACACCCTTATGCATCAGATGACTTGGTGGACTCTCCAGCCTGGCCGGCCTTCTGCAGCAACCTCAGCACCCTGCTGGCCGACTCAGACGCGGAAGTGAGCAGCGCAGCCGTCGCCTTTGCAGAGAAAGTCTTCAGGGAAGTCCGAGGCAGCAAGCCCCTGGAGCTGGCGGACCTGTGCCTTGCACTGGCAGGCCATGTTGCCAGCACCCCTGCACCCTGCGATGAGAGGGGGACAATACTGGAGAGCACCTCAGCTGGGGCCAGCACCACGCAGCCATGCACGTACACAGCGCAGGAGACAGGTGACACTGTGAGTGACAGAGCGGCAGTGAGGGCGGCAGCAGTGAAGCTATTGCTGAGGTGTCTGCAGGCGCTGCCGAGGGTGTGGGCCACATTCAGGGATCCCCTGCTGCAGCAGCTGTGGGACGCAGTGTGCCCTCTGCTGAAGCTCCATGTGCACAGCTCAGCCGACAGCAGCATGCAGCAGCCAGACCACAGCGGCAGGATTGTCGAGCAGCAGAGAATGCGTCACTCAGCAGCTGCCAGCTCTGGCGACCAGCGACGGCCCAGCGATGGACCCTCCCTTGGCGATGCAGATTGCAGGGACATTGGAGGCAGCGTCAATGCAGCTAAGGAGCAGAGATTGGGTGCTCCAAGGCTGGAGGGTTCTGGGGAGCTCTGTGGGCCACTGGTGGAGTTGTGCTCGGCTGAGGGGTGGAGTGGGGACTGGTGGAAGGTTTGGACTGCGCCTGCAAGGCCAGCCAGGGTCAGCCTGCTCTCCCCATACCTTCTCTGCCCTCCAGCTTGCACAACGGTCTCCAGGATTGATGGGTCTACCAAATGAATTGAACATTTTAGCAGTGGTGATGAATGCATGTGTGAGTGCAGTGGCTGCCAGGGGCTCTACAGAAACATGGTGTCCTCCCCGGACTGCTCGGGGTCTGCGCAAGGCTTGCTGACTCTGCTGACAGGTGCGCCCAATGAGTTTTCAGCTGCACCTCTGTTTTCAGCTGCAAAATTGCTGTTGCTCCAACACAAAGTTTGTTACTGACCTGAATGCCCTGCCGGACGCAGGTGCCGGGAAGCTGGCGCAGCAGAAGCCTTTGCAGTGCAGGTGGTGGGATCAGTGCTGGCCCTGTCCCTCGGACGTAAGCTGTACCCCATTAGCTGTGCAACGCTCACGTGTTTGCCACAGCCGGTATGTTCTCTATGCCAGCATGGCAATACCTCATTTCGAGATTCATTCTTAATATTTAAGTATTGACCCACAGAAATAAAGCAGCTCTGTCCCACCTGCAACATCTCGATCATCAGAGCACGACAGCCCTCTTTTCGGTGCAGGTGACAGTGCAGGATGCCATCATGTGTCTCAGTCACATTGGCACCCATCCCCTCAGGGCAGATGCATCAGAGGCAGAGCATGATTGGACAGCAACCAAGGTAGCGCTGGATGCGCTGCAGCTGCTCTGCAGGGACGACAGCCCAGACTTCAGGATCTTGGCGCAGCGCAACGTGCTTTACCTCGCCTCAGAATTGGAACTAGCCAAGCAGTCTACAAGTAGGGACAGCTGCACCGAGGAAGTCTACAGGTAAGGATTGAGCATGTTTATCAATGTTCAGCTTCAGCCTTAAAGATCCACTCTTTTGTCTGTGACTTCATCTTTTACCAGTGAAGTCATAGTATTAACAACATCTATATGCAGGCGTACCTTGCCACTGACAGGAAAGCGTGTATAACAATTGTTAATAATAAGATGATATGCAGGCGCCTGGAGTGCATGCTGGCCCTGCTTGCCCGGACTGCTTATGGGCGCAACCGCTTAACCTGCCGCGACTGATACTGGAACATTCTGACACAAAGAAACAGTTCTGAGATATCGATGATTTACATCAGCCCACAATCTGTATGACTGGTCAGCTGAGGTGTTCCTTCAATTAGAGGAACCTCTGATATTTAGTAGAAGAGCTCTTCTGAGCATGTAAAACTGTGGCGACATTGTCTGTTAATTGTAGCATTGTCAGCTCTTTGTCATGTATGAGCGAGCCACATGCGCATGAGCACACTTGTGCAGATGGTTCAAGCACAGTTCTGAATTTTCAGAACACCAATATAAGTTACAAAGAGCTGCAAAAGCCATTGACATCTCGATACATCAAGCACATGGCCCTATTAAACAAGGCCTTGGCATTTGCAGACAAGGACAGGGCAGTCACTTTGGGTGTTCTTCAGATTCCACTGACAAAAGCTACAATCAAGGCATCATGCATTCAAATACAGGCAATTACTTGTTGTGGGTATGTACAAATGCGGCTTCACTTAAATGGCCACTTGCTTGCAATGTGACTGCCACTTCAGTGTACATAAGTGCACCATGCAGTTGCAAGCGCAACAAAATCAAGGAGCAAAGTAACACAAAACAAAACATCTGTCTGTTGCGTCAAGTACTGGATGTGGTCTGGCAAGCTATGAAAGCAAAATGATGGAAAGGGCCAAGGGACGGGGCAGTTGCCCAGCAGCAGCATCATTAAAAGAATTTGGCATGGCATCTATTCCCTGGTTTATCTGAGTCAAGAAGGTTGCAATGTCAGCTAGAAAGTGATAGGCACCAAAATTGTATTCTATTCACACTGTCAAAGTTGGGACAAGGCTTCGCAGCAAAAAGCTGGAGTACAAAGTCAGAGTCCATCATGTGTCAAGTGGTGTACAGGTCTCTCTTCTGAGGCATGCACTGCTGTGGAGTGCTGGCCAAACCATGCTCCCACTATCTGGCAGGCCCTCATGACTAGTGTACATTCCTTTCCTCGGCATCATCTACAAAACTTGCCTCTCATATGAAACAGCAGAGCAGCTCGACGGGAACTGCCCAAGATGTGCCCATGTCCAATCATTCCCATTCGCTGTCCTCTGTCCTTGCGACGCTCTACTTACAGTTCCTCTTGGCACCTTGCATGCCTCCTGAGCCAGATGGCAGCTGCAGGGGCCATTGTCTGGTGTGCTACAGAGGCACCTGAGGCTGAGGAGCCTCGCAAAGACGCCAAAGCAGCCGTCACCGGGGTGTGTCTGGCATGCGGAGGGGCTTGCGTACAACGGCGATCCCGGCCGCATCGGTGGTCACCGGCGATGCTGCGGCAGAGCGCATGTTGAGCCTGCGCGTGGGCACCGCCTCCACCTGTACAGAGAAGACATCATTGGACGAGCTCATTTCGGAACACACAAACGTCGCGAGGCCTTCAGGATCACCGGTTAGAAGGTGCAGGCCAGTGTTTGAAAGTTTAGAGTACTGCATTGAGAGGGGAGGGCGGGGTCGCACCTTCAGAATGCTGCTGGACTGCAGGGGCCCGCCGCCAGGCTCTGGGCTGCCGTTCTTGTCCCCTGCCACCTTCCTGCGGCCATCGACACATGATTGGCGCACACACAGACTCTTTGCTGCTGCAGGCCGCCACAGGCTGGTGACATGCCTTTGAGCAGGTGACATTCATTGGAGCGCCCAGGCAGTAGGAGGAAGACTCATTGGGGCCATGAATGATGGAGCATTGGTAAGCCCTACAAGCATTGGTAAGCACAACCACCACCTGATGCATGCATGCAGCAGCTTAACTTAAGATTCCACAAAGGTCACGGTGATCAGGGGTGGGTGCTGACCTGGCAGAGGTGGGCGAGGGCGGGGGCTTGGAGGTCTGCATCTCCAGCATGTGGAATTGGCCGTCCGCCCAGAGGTGCGGCCGAGCCGGGGACGTCAGCGCCGTCTCCGCATGCGCCATCCACACGCGCCGGTCCTCCCGCTCTTCCTCGGGGCCCCCCTCTGCTGTTCCCCCGCTGCTCGTCGGCTCCACGAGCTCCTCCTCCCTGCGCAGCCGCCGCACAGCTTCCCTCAAAACAACCGGCTCAACAATGCCATCTCGCCACAGTAAGCCCTGAAGAAGGTAGAGCAAAGATGACACAAACACAGCTGGTACAGAGAAGGACAGCTCCCTCAGAACACCAGGCGACACCCACGACGTGTCCTGACAGAGTGACATCTTGCAAATGAGAGCCCAAGAGAAATCAAGCTGCAGCTGATTGGTGAATACGTCGCAAGGTTGAGAAGAGTGAGCGGGGTTTGCTGTGGGGCTATTGAGAGGGGGGAGCTTGCCTTTCAGCCCACATGGTGCGCCTGCACAGGTCCCACTGCTCCTCTGCATCCACTGCAACCTCCCCCAAGCCATCCTCCGCACTGCCGAACACAGCCGCAGCTCAAGATAACCCAACCCACAAGATTCTCACAAATGGAAATAAAGCAGAAGTTGCAACTGCTGCAGCGCAAACACATAAGTGTGTTGATCCTGTGAAGCAAACAGTTAGAGGGCGGAAGCAGGGTGGCAGCACTCACCAGAGCACTGAGTCTGGCGTGGAGCCATAGCTGGATCCCATGACATCATCCGCCATCTCGTGGGGCGCTGCAGACAACTGCGCACACACCCGCTCAGGTGTTCAGGTACAGAGAGGCCTGGACGTTTGCGAGCAAAGAAACTATAGGAGGCTGCATGATACACAGCTAGCAAGAACTCAAGGTCCCTCAGGATTCAGCTAACCTGCAAGCGGTGTCGCAGCAGCAGGCCATCGCAGTGGACGACATACAGGTCTTCCAGTGCAGCGAGCGCAGCGCTGCCTGCAGTGTCTGAGCGACCACGGGCGGCATTGGCGGCCAGCGGATCTTTGCGTCGGTGCAGGAAGCTCGACGCCACCAGATCCGTGCCTGCACAGCAGCAGCTGCAACCTCACTCCCATGTGGCGAAGGAGGCATGCACAGGTTCCTGCCACTACCATGCCGCTGGTGATCAGCAGGTGCTCATCTACCACTTCGAGGAGCTCTAGAGCAGGACAAAACTGTATTGTGCTGAAGGCCTGGTAAAGAGACTTGTATTCATGCCAGGAGATTTGGGTTCTTGCCAGAAGCAGGTGAAACCCGCACCGGAGCTGCCGCTGTAGAGGTTGACGGCGGCTGCGGCGGCGGAGGATCCCGGGATGACGCCGTTGAGGATCCCCGTGTGGCGCACGCGGCCCACGGCGCCCAGCCGCTGCGGCTTGGCCTGCGCCGTGCCGCTGGCCGCCTGCAGCGCCGCCGCAAGGTGCGGCGCCAGATTCTCTGCGGCACCTGCGCGGCCACACAGCCTCTCCTTTTGCTGCCACGCTTTTATCTTGTAAGACGTGAGTACTCAATGACCCAGCACATGGGTTTCTGAACATGACTTGGTCACAGGACTGCCCCACTTGCCAAACACATCACATGCAAATCTCGGGATGAAGCCCAACAGCAACCAGTCACCTAACTTTGTTGCTAGGTCCCCAATCTTGCTGCACGCGCTCCTCAGGACTTCAAAGTTTGTATTGAAGGATGTGGTGTCTACATTGGGGGATTCCACTGCGTTGGGGCAGGAACGCACCGGGGAGGGCGAGGCGGTAGATGTGGGTGGTGCCGCGGGCAGAGGAGACGGAGAGCAGCGTGCCGCAGGCTGAGAAGGCCACGTCCTGGATGGTCGCCGGCGTCAGGCCGCGCATCAGCCGCATCAGGTGCACCGCCCCGCCGCCGCCCGAGCCATTCCGCCCGTCCCCACGCATCGGCGAAACCTGCAACCCACCACATGCATGCACGCATCAGCCGGCAGAACCTCTCACCAACTCATTATATGGTCCCTGAGCATGGTACGATGCAATTGAAAGTCTGAAACTGCTTTGACCTGACCCCTCGAGACATAATCAGTACATACAGTCTTCCTGTCAGCTTCCACAGGGTGATGTCAAACAAAATTGCACAACGCCACAAAGGCATGAGCAACTGAGATGAAGCATGAGAGGAAGTCAAAAGAGCAGCACCTGGAAGATGTTGATGTTGTGGCCATGCACAGAGGCGGTGACGAGCAGCGTGCCGGAGCCGTCCCACTGCAGCAGCAGCAGCGGCGCGGTATGCGCGCGGAAGTGCGCCACGACCTGCCGAGTCACCACGTCGCGCACCATCACCGTTCCCACCACCTCCGCATCTCCGCAGCCGGCACCCACTTCCTCCCGCGGCGACTCCCTTCGTGCACAACTCACAATATAAGTGTAATTTTTTGGCCTTCAGTGATCAGATGACCTCTAGGTGGGGTTCCCTATTGCAGCATGCATAGCAGGTATCCGCAAAAGGCAAGCCTGACTGGGTCAAAGTGGCACCGTACGCAATTTCAAAACGCCGCGCACGCGGATGTCGGATACCTGAGCCAGGCCAAGCCTCAAAATCACTTGCCTTCACGTTTGCATGCTTCAATCATTGCAGGAAAACAGAGGAGGAAATCCTTTCTAACAGTATGCTTGAGCATATCCCCCAGCTCTGGCTTCAGCTTGGCTAAGAGGATCCCGGTGCGATGTGTTCAAAGCAGAAGGCGCACAGTTCAGGAGGACAGCTGTTCCAGGAACGGATAGTCTGGGGGACATAGGGAGTTGATGTCTAGTGCACTGGGACAATGAAGGGAAGGAAAAACAGCGTGCCTTGCGGAGGCGGCTTCCCAGGACCCGGAGCGCCACTGGCCGACCTGCGAGGAGACGTACTTGAAGCCGGCCTCGCCCAGGCCCAGCAGGTGCTTGCCGCCGGTCTTGGCCGCCGCGCGCGCGTAGCCGCCCACCGACTCGTACCCCGCCAGCCGCCCGCCCGCCGGCCGCGTGCTCGCCGGCACCAGTGACTGCGGCGCCGCGCATCCCGACACCGCCTGCACAGTGAGCTTTGTCACTCCAAACGCTCACCCTTATTTCTAGCAGATTGCCGGGGGAAACCGATATCTGGCTGCATGCCGATTACTTTCAAATGCTGAGGTGCATGCTTTTGGCTACTATCCAAAGCACCAAACCCTTGATCTCCTTATATTGGGTGTTCAGCACACACCAGAGAGAATTCCAATTTGCCACTGCATGCTGACGTTCACAGCATGGCCCTCCAGAATATACCATCTTATTGCACAGTGCTGAGGGCTTGAGTCAGCAGTGGGAGGAGGCTGACCTGGTTGGAGGCGTAGGCCAGCCAGCGGGGCCCCAGGGCGAGGGGCACGGCAGTGCCCGGCGCGGGGCGTTCCCCGTCGACCAGCTGGCGCGTGCACGGCGCCGGGTAGGTGACCACGCTGAACGTGCGCTGCAGCGTGCTCGCATCAAACGCCATCACCTGCATCATTTCAGCTTTTGCCTCCTCAACACCCAGCCAAAGGGACACATTCTGAGGACAGGCTGGATAGGTGCAAACGAAAACTGCCTCATGCCCTAAGGAAGCAGTGGTGCCTGTCTACAGACAGACAGCCGGACTTGAGGGAGGCAGGCCCCTCTTAGTGGACACTCTTTAAGGCTAGGCTGGGTCAGGCAACTGAACAAAGAGCTCAGTATGCCCTAGCAGCACGCACGGCAGAATGGACAGCTGGAATTGAGCAAGGCATAATGAGATGCAGTGGGCAGCTGTTGATGTGCAGGGCGACGCTGGCAAGGGGACAGGTTCTGAAGCGTGAGGCCTGGAGGGCACAGGGGCCTGCCTGGGCGTCGAGGGCGACGATGAGGAGGCGGGGGGACGCGCGCACGGAGAGGACGCGCGATGTGAAGGTGAGCGTGCGCACAACAGAGTGGGTGCGCAGCGTGTACAGCTGCACCAGGCCTGGCGACCCCGCGCTCTCCAAGCCATCCACCCCCACGCTGCCCTCCTGAGCCCACAACCATGCCCGTCAGTCCTGCTTCCTTGGCGCGACTGGCAAGTGCTGCTCAGCAGGACCCATCAGTCTTGCTTCCTTGGCGCAATTGGCAAGTGCTGCTCAGGAAAATTGTAATTGCGAGTGGGGATTCCTCTACCAAACTCGCCTCTAATTGATAAGTCCATTCAACCATGGATTGCCAGCGTGATGGCATACAGGAAGGTCTTTGGCATGGTGGAGAGCATGAGCAGGTGAGCATCTAATCAGTCATCTTGGATGGCAAAGATGTAACGACCCTCCTCTCTGTCTCAGCAAGGCAAGACTGGTGCATGGCACAAAGGCAAGTGCCAGGGAGTCACCCGTCCGGCAGCGGATGGGGATGCAGGCTGCGCGCTCTCCACCGGCACTATGGCGAGGCAAGGCCGCATGCCGTGCAGGGGTGAGCTTGGCGTGTCCTCCCTCTGTGGCATCGGCAGCACCTCGAGGAACCTGAACAAAGCGTTTGGCAGAGCTCAGACACAACCTTGGAAGCGCTATTGCAAGCGCAAGCCGTTCAACTTGCCACTTTATTTTTTAAGCAGGTGTGGTGCGTTCTGGGACCAGTAGAGCGTTGCCTAACATGTGCTTGGCCATACAACTCTCAATTCTCAGCCTCACAGGCTCAGGAATGCCCATTGGAGGAATCAGAAAAAGATTTTGGGCCAGCAATTAACACGATGATCAGAATGATCAAACAACTGGAATGAAACAAAATGAACCACCAAGAAGCTGGAATTCTGTGCTGTAATTGGCAATGGAGCATTGCTGACCTGACAGGTCCCTCTCGTCGTGATACCAAGAGATTTGGTGCGCCAGATTCCAGGTCCCACATCTGGAATCCTGTCGCGTAGCCCACCAGCAGCACACTTCTGCGCACAATCTTGACGCCATTCCTCTTGCTGGGCGTATATTCCAGCTCCCCGAACTTGACTGTGGTGATTCGCTCCTTGTCCGAGGAGTCCGTGGTCAGTGCTGATATTCCAGTCGCCAATGAATTTCCAACATGACCAAGAGACGTCCCCAAGCTCCTCAACGAGCTTTGAGTCCAGCCAAAAAGTTCCTTTCTTGTAACAGAGGGCTTCTGCATTGAAGACACAGGCCGAGACTCTTGTGGTGCCACACCACTTGCTACAGCATGGTAACCGAGCAGTCTATTGGTAAGCGAGACATGCAAGACGAATGACGTCGGGGTTCGTCACAGTACCGGAAATACCCAGAAGGATGTCAAAGCCTAGTTGGGACTCGTCAGCTCCCGTCACACCAAGCAGGGTCGCGATGGACAGAGCCTCAATTCTAGGTCCGAAGTGGCGCCAATCTGCTGTGGCATCCGCGAGGACATCGGCAGTGAAGGGCCTCGAATCCAGCTCTGCAAGTGTTGCCAAGATAGGCTAGAAGGCAAAGTTCGTAGAAATCGCATGCAGCAAGCCTGAGCCTGCTGCGATGAACTAATTACAGGCAATTAGTGGCCCATCAACAACCTTTACGCATATAAGAGCTTCATTTCTGGCATCTGACTGCCGGTAGCAAACCGTCTCAGGACAGTGATGGGTCTGAGACATCTGTCAGGCGTAGTTCCTCGATACTCTGTACTATAGATCTTATGTGTTGTATTCACAACAGTACTGAATATCCGTCCGTAAGTAGGGCCGGGAAATGCTGGTCCTGATGGCCTCTTGTGTCTTCGCGTGTTGTACCATTGTCATCAGGTTGGGGCTCTAAGGAATGATCTTGCACGAGCCCCCAACTCAATTTCTTCGGTTCTTCACGCATCTTCAGAGATCGGCAGCTCTGCACACGACAGACATCCCAAACTTGACTTCATGCGGGTGCATAACGCTACTTCATCAACAGCTAGCTTTCCAGGATGACTAGGAAGACAGCAAAAACCCATACGTTGATCCGTGGGCACCTGATTAGATATGAATTTTAAGTTTTCATATAGTACATTGGGGTGCTTGTTGTACACTGGGTGCACAGCTGCTGGAAAAGTACTCGTTGATGGGTTGCATTCCTCGCAGATGGGTGGAGCTCGCTACAACAAAGGGGTGTCAGGCACTGTCGTAACACCCGCTCGTGCCTTCCTGGCATGCGCCGCCATCCTCATCTGCCTGTTCTATGCTTTGACTGCGGCCTTTCAAGGCCATATCTCAGGTGTTGAGGTAAGGGAACACCCCATACCCTGTATGCAATTTCAGTGCCTGGGCATTCTAACAGAATGTAGCCAAACCCTGAATGACAGTTCCTGATCTGCCTCAATGCATACCATCTGTGGCAGGGTCCGGCTTCTTCTGGTACTCGACTGCGCCTGAATGGCCTGGACCCAAGGGAAAAGAGCGAGGAGCGGGATGTCAGCGCTCTGCTGTTGCCGACAAGGGAACGATGGCATGGTCCTGAGGATCTTGACGCTGCAGCAGCAGCCAGGGCAGATGAGATCAATAAAAGCTGGATAGAGAGCCCAGGTGAGCACACCCTTCTTCTGAGGTGCAGCCACGCACAAGCCTGGCCAGTCTAGTCTGCTGCTCTTCAGCTATATCCTGCGCAGGGCTTCTGCAATTCCGTGTTCTATATTAAGTTCTATGGTGAGGATTGTGTCTTATGCTTGATTGTGGTGAGCAGGGAACGCCGCAGGTTCTTGGTGGCTGCAGCCTGGGTTCCACCTGTCATTCATGGAGGAGAATCCGCCATACCCCTTCCAGCGCATCAAACATGTGGATGGCAAGGACACCGGCGTAATAGCCATCATTGCTCCCTTCTATGACCTGGATTACTACAAGGTGACACATGCTCACATACACCTCACTAACCCTTGTGCATGCAGCAGCGCCCTTGCTCAATAGTCCTGGTATCAGTGTGACTTTTGAAATTTTTTGGATCGCTAGAGTGGGGATGCTGGGCACAGGGGGAGCTGGCACGCGCATTCTTCTGGAGGCTGAAAGCGAACGGACATATCATCATTATCATCACCTCATATCAGGAATTCCCCGGCCGCATTGAGAACCCCTATGACGACCGGCACACAACTCCACAGGACAGGCTGATCCATGAAGCTGTAGACGGATATGTGCACTGCTTCAGGTGAGGCTGTGCAATTGAGCTGGGGAGTAGCACCTTTGCCAGCCAATATTGGGGCTCTTACTCAATCCCTGTGGTACATCACGCCAATGCTTGCGTCTCCTTACATTGAATCACATCTTTCAATGTTCCTCAGGCATTGTTATCCTGACTTTCTAACAATGCCTGAGCAGGGAACCCACCAGATTTATCCCGCCTGGGATACCACGCATTCTGCTCAGCGAGAGTGATTTCCATGACCCTGATCGGCGAGATGGAGGTCAGATCCTGTACTTTTTTACTTGTTAACCTGCATGCGAGACACTGTCACACACACCCTGCATGCAAGCCTATGTTCCTTCTGGTGTCTTCTGTGGCATGCTTGACAGGATCGCATCAATGAGGAGAGACTTGCTATGATGCAGGGGGGTCTTTGGTCCCATTTGGGTTGCCGAAGGAGTATGATCTGTTTTACAGCAATCAGGGCGGAGACTGGAATGATTATGCTCGCAATTGGACACTTGCAAAGGCATCCTTCAAGCGGCTCATTGCAGAGCTGGGCATAAAGGTGACAACTTACCATCCTCCAACGCATTTCTGTGACTTTGCATACTATGCAAGATGACAGTTCTTGAGCCCCTTGCATAACAATACCATTTGCTCCAGTGCAGTGCAGCTTGCAAATTCCAAGAATGTTGCAGGTGATCATAATGGGCCGCGATTTGAATAAACAGGAAGACCATGATTTGTCTCCCTTGATAGCTTCTGGCCACATTGTCTCCCATGGGCCCTCCACCCCCTGGAAGGACTTCCTGCGGTATATAGAAAGCTCACGGTGCGCCCAGCCTCCTCAATCTGAAGTAATAGCTGCTGTAAAGAGCCATTATATAGGTGCTGTTTCTCTGCAAGAGCCCATCATGTCCAAGATCAAGTTTTGTAATCCATGACTTGATGTTTTAGACAATTAGACAACATCCACCTGCTCAAAGACAATCCACTTTCCTTGGCTTGGGATTGTTCGGGAATCCACATCATATTGCCGTGGTGATTGCAGGGTTTTGTTCGCGCCAAATGTGCATGATGCATCGCCGCGGGTGCTAGTAGAAGGCCTGAGCCTCAATGTGCCCATACTTGTGAACCGGCACATCTTAGGAGGCTGGAAGTATGTCAATAACCAGACTGGCGCCGTTTTTGACAGCGAGGAGGATGTGGTGCCAGTCTTCAGAGAATTGCTCCGGAAACAACAGCAGTCAGAACTCAGGCCTAGAGAGTGGTTCAGGTATGTTCAAAACCACATGCATGCATGCAAGATCCTGATCGACAGAGTGTGCTCATTATGTTGAAAATGGATATGCTCCACTTTATTTAGCTCATCCCCCCATGAATGGACCTCTGCTGACTGATTACAGGGAGAATTGGGGGAAGGAGAAGGCGACCATAAGGTTGCAAGCATTTTTAGAACTTGCAGTAGGAGAAGAACGGTTGAAAAAAGCCCAGGAAATTGTGAAATCGAAGGTGACATACAAGTGATTGTGTACATGGGATCTGGATGCCTATCTGCAGTTTGAACTCTGAAATAATTACAAAGTGTCATACGGTCTCCGCTTTTAACATGGCCAACAATATTACATTGTAAATTCTTCAGCAAAAACACTGCTTACAGTATTGTGCTTATAGTGCTTCTGCCAACCATAATATTAATGCATGCATGCATATGCCATCTGAACTTCCAAAAACTTCTGCATATCTGTTCCTCGGCTCTCTCACCAGCACTGCAGCTCACCATCTCACCAAAAGAATCCTTTACTACTAAGCACAAAACAATCACAGATTCATATATTCAAGTGCCCCTGCACAAGCTGCACACAGGGGTACATGCACAGTAATTGGTACTCATCTGGCCAGCTGGACTGAGTCTGCAGAATACACTCTCGCTCAAGGATTTATGAAGCAGATCCTTCGCCACCGCCGCCAATCTGGGTGCCGCCAGGGCCTGTTCAATAGACAGGAAAATAGACTCAAATTGTGCCTAACAAATGTAATGCAGGAAACGCCAGCAAATGTTTTGCACTAGCAATAGTTCAACAATTTGGAAGCTTCGTGTGCGAGGTCCTTGGAGAAAAGATAAACTCACGGTTGGGGTTGCTGAAGGGTGACTCCTGCAGAACACCACATGAATAAAGTTTAGCCATCATCTGGCTATATTTCATGCATGGCAACAGCATTCTCAAATGTAAACCAGTAAGGTCTTGAAGATATTAAACACCCACCTCGCGCTGCTTCTTCTTCTTCTCTGCAACTTCCTCGTCAGAGGGTCCGTCCACACGCTTGTAGCCCTGGACATTGCCCTGCCTGCTCACCAGCACCCACAGGTTATGTCAGATCTACCATAAAGCAATAACTCCCCAAAGAGAGCTCTAGTCACGGTACTGATAGAAGAAGAGCCTAGAATGTGGATAACAGCGGTGAAAACTTCTACAAGTTCATGGTCAGAATATTACTCTGCTGCCTGGTTGAGGGGGTCGTCTTCGGGCTTTGGGTTGCCGCTCTCAGTGATGCCCTTTGGGGGCCAGTTCTTCAGGCCAGGCAGCACTCCCTCGCGCCCCTCAGAGACACCAGTCCTCTCGCTGTTAGGCCCAGCCGCCATCACCACACGAGGTGCACGAGAAGAGATCCGCGCATTCCCTGTCCAAGAAACCACCCAGAAGTTGAGGACACTGTGGCAAGGAAACCGATGCTGGGGGCCCGGCTCACCATGCTAATGGATCTGATTGAGTGGGCAACATTATCTGCAGTAGTCAAGTATTCATATCTCGAAAACCTCTAACATCCTCGCTGAAACAGTCCAAGCGTTGCTCATGAACCTCCCGAACTCTTCGCATGCCGCACAAGGGACTCAGTGGGCACTCGGAATCGGTCATTGCTACACGATCCGTTGGTTTATCTTGATAAAGGTAAGTGCTGTAAAATCAAAAATATACCCCCACTAGATGGAGATTGAGCAAACATGATACTTATCATCGCAGCCCGAAATCAGATAGTGCACGCCCTAGCGTAGGAAAATTCACGTCGTGGGGCGGTGACACCCCATAAGTAGGATTGAATGCAAAAATGCAAATTGAAGGTGCACTGGTGAGGGATATGGGGCAAGTCGATGCAGGCGAACCTGTCCTTTGTGCTGCCGGTGCACGGGTTGAGGTGAAGGGCCTCAACAGAGCTGCGTTCGATGTCATTGCGAGAGCCATCTTGGATGAATGCACAACACTTAGTTTATCAGAACGTTTTTTCTGGTTTGTGGATGTCCTAATAATATATGTGTCCGTGGAACAAAGGAAGCCAATTCCGAACACCTCTCCATATTTCGCGACCCCAAGAACCGGCACGTGAAGTACACGTGCGCTTGGACTCATGGAGCGTCTTGGGGGAAAGCAGCGAAAGGACAGAGATTGGGATCCTGAAAAGAATACAACCAGATTGATTTGTTTAGAATCTTGCAAGCATGGTGGAAGACAAGGTGCAGGATGCAGGGCCAGACGACAAAAAGAAGGCAGCAGTGAAAAAGAAGAAGTTGAAACCAGAGGAAGAGAAGGATGCTGACCTCTCCGAGGAAGATTTGGAACTTAAAAGTAATCTGGCCCTCATGGTCTCTCGCATCGCTGAGGGTGATCCGGGCGTGCAAGCGCTGGCCCTTCAAAGCGTCTCAACAGAGATTCGATCAGCCACCACTTCTATGACAAGCGTGCCTAAACCGCTGAAATTCCTGATATCCCATTATCAGACCTTGGCAGAAGTCTTTGAGAAGACGCCCGACGGGAAAAACAAGCAGCAGCTGGCCGATACGCTGTCTGTGCTGGCAATCACAACCAGCAAGGAAGGAGAGCGTGCCTGCCTGAAGTATAGGCTATCGGGCAGCAAGGTGTGCGGCATTATTGATCTCACGCATGACAGGATAAATTCATCGGGATCATGCGCTGTTGCTGGGAGCAAAACAGTCCACTTTTGTGATACATCCTATGCAAAGAGGACGATTTTATCATAGGAAGTGTGTGAATACTTGAAAGCATCACGTAGTCATAGGCTGTACCTTTTATCAGGGTACTTGTGCCATGCACAGGATGAGGTGGGAAGCTGGGGCCACGAGTATGTGCGGAGCTTGTCAGGCGAGATTGGGCAGGAGTACAATTCTCGCAGGGAAAAGGAGGAGCCTGTGGAGGACCTGCTAGAGCTTGTGGCCAAGATTCTCCCCTACCACATGTCCCACAATGCAGGCATGCTCCTCTTGGTAGCGCTGCTTTTATTTGCTAAATCACCACGTTGGCCTCACTTGCACCAACGTTCCAATAACCTCAACAATACAAAGCCGGAAGGGGTCTTGGTATTTTGGTGCAGAGCCGGAGGCAGTGGATCTGCTGCTGGAGACAGAGAAGCTGGAGTGGCTGGTGCAGCATGTGGACGCCAAGAATTATGGCAGGACGTGCTTGTACCTGGTTTCCTGCTGCGCGTACCTGCCCGAGGGCGATGACAAGGCGGTCCTGCAGACCGCCTATGACATCTACTCCAAGCAGGGCCAGGAAGCTGACGCCCTGCGCATCGCCCTCAAAATGAATGACACGGTGCGTACGCACCTGATATTCAGCCATCGGCACCATGTGATGCTCTGGTGCAGGACCCTATTCTAGCTAAAGGAGCAAGCCTTGTCTGTCCTTCTCTGACATGGTTGATGCTGCACAACCATTCCAAAGAGGAACTGATGAATCTCCCCGATAGTATTTCAATATAAATCACGGTCAACAGCATGGCTGTTGGAGGTGTGAAGCCAAATGATATATGGTGTGAAAGGACAATTGTTCGGAGAGAATTTCTGTGAGGGGTGAAATTAGTATCTGTTCACAGCGGGAGAGACCATGATTGTCGACTTGCATGCCATTTTGAATAATTTAGAATAATCTAAGTAGTCGTTTTCTGTGAGCAGGAGCTGGTAAAGAGGACGGTGGCGTCGTGCGAGGACGCACTGATAAAGAAGCAGCTGGGGTACCTGCTGGCGCGGCAGGGCGTGGCGCTCAACCTGGAGGACACCGCGGGCGCCAGCATGGACGAGGACCTGCAGATGGAGCTGCAGGAGATTATCTCCAACTCCAAGCTCTCCGAGCTCTACCTCTCCCTTGCCCGCGACCTCGACGTCATGGAAGCCAAGCTCCCTGAAGAGGTCTGTGCGCCCTCAGTGCGCAGCCAGTTGCTGCAGCACTTTGCTTGCATGTCAGTGCGGCACGATATCAGTCTGCAGCGAGCTGCCACAGTGCTCCCTTGCATGCATGTCAGCTTCATCCGTGAGAGTGCAGCATGCCATCAGTCTGCAGCTGGCTGCCTGAGGTCCCTTTGCATGCATGTTGCTTTCGTCCGTGTCAGTGGAGCACAAGCCTTGCCGTGACAGGTTGCCCTGACAGGCTTTGACAATGTCTCACCCAGGAAGCATGAACACCTGTGGCAGGACCATTTCCCAGAGATCGCCATCCCCTGCAATGCTTTATTGAGAGGCATGCTGCTGGGAGGCCATTGGCAGAAGGAGCTGCTGCAGAGACAAAAAAAAGACAACTGTACATGCTATTGGTTGCCGTCCGAGATGTGAGGTTCACATCCTGAGAGGTGTGGCTTGCAGGTGTACAAAACGCATCTGGTGGAGGGCAGGGCACCAGCGGGGCCGGCAGTGGATTCAGCGCGGCAGAACCTGGCATCTACATTTGTGAACGCATTTGTGAATGCCGGCTTTGGGCACGACAAGCTGATGACAGGTGATGCATGCAGTGCATGCCACTTGCCTTTTTACTGTCTCTCAACCGTACGCATCAGCTGCATGATAGGCACATCTTTGAAGTGCTCTGCATACACGTTATGCATCGCAGGACTACTGCTGTACAAACTGCAAGGCAGCCCTGACACTGAGAATTTTTTATTGCAGTGGAACCAGAGGCAGAGGCGAGCGGCTCGGACAGGGTGCACTGGATCTTCAAGAATAAGGACCAGGGCAAGACTGCGGCGGCTGCCTCTCTGGGCATGATCACCCTCTGGGACATCGAGGGCGGCCTCCCCCTCATTGACAAGTACCTCTACTCCAAAGACAACCATGTCGTTGCAGGTGGGCCTTCACCACTCCCCTGACACAAAAAAATGCAGATATGTTGATGTGAATGCATGTTTACAAGCATTATTGACCTGTGAGAAAGTGTGGTGACCTTGATGAAAAGTGTAGGGAGCATGGCTGATGGCGCAGGGCCTTGCACTGCCAATTCTGAGGTGCATGGGTCTGTGACGTGTGACAGGGGCGTTGTTAGCGGTGGGCATTCTCAATTGCGGGGTGCAGCACGAGAACGACCCAGCGTATGCGCTGCTGTACGACTTTGTGGAGAAGCACGATCCCGTCGTCAGAATAGGAGCCATCATGGGCCTCGGCCTGGCCTACGCTGGCACTCAGAAAGAGGAGGTGAGCTGCCCCTTCCGAGTCGCAGCCATCCTGGCATGCGCACCGCTTGATTGCATGCCCTCTTTCTTCATGTCATGCAGCTGATGGGAGAAATACTCAGTTTGTGCAATCACTCCATTCGCACTGATTGCGATTTTGAGGGTGGAGGATTGGTGACCGTGCGCAGGTGGGCGATCTGCTGACTCCGCTGATCACAGATCCGGACATCTCAATTGAGGTGGCCAGCTTTGCAGCTGTGGCGCTGGGCCTGGTATTTGTGGGCACCTGCCATGCCAGCAGCGTGGAGGCCATCCTCCAGGTGATGTCCTTTCCTCCTTGCAATTTTCCATGGACAAGAGAGCTGCAGACCTTTCTCAAGGCCACACAGGCATGGCGAAAGAGCACCCGCACTGTTGTTAGGGTGATGGCATGAATGGGGTTGCTGGTTCTAAGCTCTGTCGTGCTGGTGGCAGGCGCTGATGCTGAGGGGCGAGGCGGAGCTGGCGGAGCCCTGGGCGAAGCAGATGGTGCTGGGCCTGGGCCTCCTCTTCCTGGGCAAGCAGGGCGCCGTCGAGGCCACCGTCGAGGTCTGTGCCCCGCACTCCTCAAACCCGCTCTTGTCTTTTGTCTTCCGCCTCCTTTCAAGACCTTGCGGACTGTGTCACCACTAACCTCAACTGTGGTTTGTCTGTTGATCTGCAGCATCTGTAATCATTTGAGGTCCTGGTGGTTTTTAAATGGAAACTACGGTGCGCAGGTGGCCAAGACGCTGAACGAGCGCATATCCAAGTACGGGCAGGTGGTGCTGCAAACGCTGGCGTACGCGGGCACGGGCGACGTGCTGCAGATCCAGAGCCTGCTGGCCACCTGCGGCGAGCACATCGAGGTCGAGGAGAACGCCGCCTGGAAGGTCTGTGGACGCTCCTTTCAGCATGCATTCTCTATAACTGCCTCCTTCAGCAATGTGTTTTGCAGCAGTCCAATTTATACCTGAGCTTGCCGTTCAGCTGATGATTGCTAGCCTGCTTGAGCACATGCAGCAAATGGAAAACAGCAGAAAGTCACCATTATGGCCTGTTTGCCAGACAAGCAAGCAAGCAGATATGCACATGATGTTTTACAACAAGAACGTGGCCCCGGTTCTAGGAGCTCACCCAATGAACTCCTAGCTTTGGAGCAGGCCAGAATGAAAGGGAGGGAGGGTGGGCCAGATATATACCGTTTCCTAGCACATGGGCTTTAGCTGGGAATGCATGTGGCGTGCAGGTGGCGCACCAGGGCCCTGCCACGCTGGGCATTGCGCTCGTGGCGCTGTCGGAGGAGCTGGGCATCTCCATGGCCCACCGCGCCCTCGAGCACCTGCTGCAGTACGGGGAACCCTCTGTTAGGTACCGCTTCACCCCGCCACCCATGCCGTCTTCTGTGCCTATCCTCTGTGCTCATATTGTGGGTTTATTTTCGCCCACCTACGTTAGTGGGGGGCTGCAAAATTTGGAAGGGATTTGACAGAAGTCTCATTGCTGTGCGGGGTTGGCTGGTGCAGGCGAGCAGTGCCACTGGCCTTGGCGCTGCTGAATGTGAGCAACCCCACGCTGGGGTCCATGGACGCGCTCTCCAGGCTCTCCCACGACACTGACGTCGAAGTCGCGCAGAACGCCGTCGTCTCCCTAGGTAAATCCCCCTTCCCGGGCCACTTTTCTGTGTGCGCAGAAACACCAACTGCACAGCGGAAGCTGTCCAGCATACATAATTGGGTTCTGTTTAATAAATTTCTTCCTAGGCCACTTGTTTTTGCTTTTCATATTTTTTTGTGCACAGAAACAATATCAGCCTAAAGGAAGCCTCACAGGACACAGTGGGGTCGGTGAGACTGCATCAGAAATACTGATATGCATAGGTTTAGGCGAGAACAATCCGTGGCCATGAGCTGATGAGTGTCAGGTGTCTGCTGCAGGCATCATCGGCGCGGGCACAAACAATGCGCGGCTGGCTGGCATGCTGCGCAGCCTGGGCAGCTACTACTACAAGGAGCCGACGCTGCTGTTCCTGGTGCGCATCGCCCAGGGGCTTGTGCACATGGGCAAGGGCCTGCTTAATCTCGCCCCCACCCACACCGACGGCCACCTCCTCTCAGGTGCTCCTCCCTTCTCACCCCCCTCTCTTTATACCCCTGGCTGCCCTTTGCAGGCAGCTGTAGAGGAAGTTCAGAGACAGAGTTGTGCAGAACTATGAGTTTGAATATCAGTGTAAGCACAGATAATTGTGTTTTCTGCTCCCCCAATGCCGTGAAATGAGAAATGTCCAGCAATAACAGAATCCAGCAATACCAGAATTGGAAGAACGGCTGCTGGCAGGCGATGTGGTGGGTCTATGGCAAGTGACAGAACCTGAGGTGAGAGGGTGTGGGGTGAAACTGCAGGCGTGCAGCTGGCGGGCATTCTGGCGCTGCTGCACAGCTGCTTTGACCTGAAGAGCTCGCTGGGCGGCAAGCACCCGTACGTGCTCTACTACCTGACGGCTGCCATGCGTCCGCGCATGCTCATGACCGTGGACACCGCCGGCAAGCTGCTGCCCGTCTCAGTCAGGGTCGGCCAGGCCATCGACACCGTCGCCCAGGTGCACCCCCTAAGCCATGTGCTGTCCCTGCAGCGCACAAAATATTGTAGATGAGTGCGCGGATCGGCTGAAAACTTCCTTGATGTGCATGCTAGTGCCAGCGCATTTTCAATGCAGCGTTGGGAGTGTATCCTCCTGACAGTTCCTCGAAACCTTGTCTGAGAGAGAGAGAGAGAGAGAGAGAGAGAGAGAGAGAGAGAGAATTACAGCATGATTGGTCAGTGTCATGGCTCAGCAGGATGCACAGGAGTGCCTGATATTTTGATACCCAGAGGTCTCTGCACATGTCCTGATTTGCAGTGGTTTGGCGTGGCAGGCTGGGCGGCCCAAGACAATCACAGGGTTCCAGACGCACACGACACCGGTGCTGCTGAGCGTGGGGGACCGCGCTGAGCTGGCGACCAACAAGTACCTGCCGCTGTCCAGCGTCCTGGAGGGCATCGTCATCCTCAAAGAGAACCCCGACTATGTAGAGTCCCAAGAATAGGCGCACATATGCCATGTGCAATGCTTGTCATGTTGACACTTGGATGGGGGCGGCGCACTGCGTGCACCTAGGGCTGCATGCACATGCAATAGACCTGACCTGAGACGGTGTAGCCTCAGGTGAGGCTTTGTCATTGAACAAACTGGTTGGCAGGCTGTAGATGCTTTGACGATGGGCGGTCTGTCGCATTAAACCTCATGGAAGGAACTCTTAGGACTGCAACAGGGGGTCAAGCAGTGCTGCTCAAGCAGTGCTGCCAGCCACGGTGGGCACATGCGTGTGCCCTCCTGAAAGCAATGGGACGCGCTTGAGATCAGTGCTCATGTAACATGCCTAGCTCATGTACTATGTGATGTCCAAACAGTTCGTCGACTTTGTCTGCTAGGGGCATTTTCCAGGTGGGGTTCATACTTGGAAAGCTAGCTTCCTCTCTCCTGGAAGCTGCAATGTGGCACCGGCATGGGCGGCGATCAATCTCATCGCTTTTGCAATGTCTCTCTAACTTCTTGATGAGGCAGATATCTGTAGTCTAATACATCCGTGACATTGTATCAATAATGATGAATACGGACGTAGCCGTCGTTGTCGACATCCCTGGCAGAGGAAAGGGGTTGAAGGCTGGAAGAAATGTCGCTGCAGGCGAAGTTATCCTTTCAGATCTTCCTATAATGATAGCTCAAAACGATGTGGGAGAGTTTTGCACTGCTTGTTTGCGTACACAGGCCGGCAGAAGTGGTGAGTAGCTCTGCACATCCCTAAAAGCAGCCGGCCTCTCTACTGACCATCATGCTGCACAATGCACAAATTTACTTCGCTGAAAGATTCGTTTTATTATGCTTGTGCAGACACTGTGGCATGCAATGACTGTGGCCAGGCTATGTTTTGCTCTGCTGACTGTGAGCGCCGGGCTCGCCAGGACCCAGCTGGTCATTCACCTGCTGTGTGCAGGCAAGCTTGCTCCCAAAACTCATCACAGCATGATTACTGATGTTATATTGCCATATAAAGCATTCATGCAACATGCATGAGCCTGTATTAGCGTACTATTCACTGTCTGCGCGGCGTGCAAGTCCTGCAATCACACTTGTGACTGCATGCAGGACGCTTGCAAAGCTGGACATGCATGGGCTGAGCGGGGAGAGCATCGCAACTCTGCGCTTCCTGGTGCAGGCACAGGCGCTGTTCATGGCCTCAACCCATGATGAGGCAGCCAGCGCCAGATGGGCAGCTTTTGCAGGCCTCTCTGGGGCAGCACACAGCAGGAGCAAAGACTCTTCTGACCTGTTCCGGCGGCTGAGCACCGCAACATTATCCGCACAGCTGCCGCAGTTGGCAGGTGCGACAGTTGGCAGATCTAGGGAGTATTTGTTCTGCATTCCCCTCGCGTTTTATTTTAGGGGTCTGCAGCTGAAGCAGCCAGCATGCTGCTGCTGCAGTCTGCACAACTACCAGGATAATTTTTTATCCGAGAATATGCAGGATCAAGGCCTTTATCACCTGAGGAGGTGGCGGATGCCCTTGCCAAGGAGGAGCTGAATGGTTATGGCATCATGGCACCCTCAGGGCCCGAGGTGAGGTTTTGCCTCAACAACAGAAATTGCCAGCTGAGGTCAAGGAACAATGTCTTGGGAACAGCACATCAACCTCAAGCAAATCTGGATTCTGTGGCAGGGTGAGAGGAGGATCCGAGGGACGGCCCTCTATCCGAAGGCATCCCTCCTCAACCACGAGTGCCTGCCGAATGTTGCACGGGTGGACAACTTTGATGAAGCAGATGTGAACGCGCCGGAAAACACTGCGGTGCGTGACATGTCTATGAAGTGTAGCTTGACTCCATTCTTCCGCATGTCCTTATGAGGCTGGGACATGCACTGCCGGATTGTGCATGACCAAATAGCCGGCCTGGTGGATGTGTGTCTGAGAATATCAGGGGTGTGTACAGGTGCATTTTAAGGCCCTGCATAATCTGCCGGCCGGTGAGGAGTTCACACAGAGCTACTTTCCCATGCACACCAGCTACCATGTCAGGCAGCAGCGATGCCAGGACCAATATGGCTTTGCTTGCAACTGCCCCCGCTGCAAGGTGAACTCCTTTTCACCCCTTTCCCAAATCTTTGGCGACCTTCTTTGACTGTCCCCAGGGAATGGAAAATCAGGCCCCTTCCCCAATGTCAGTCACTTGTTTGCACTGTCATAGGGATAGTAAGGAAGTGTAGCTACTGTCTGGGATCCTTGCCAATCTTGGGAGTCTAGAGAGACAGTGGCTGACAATGAGTGTCAACTTCAGTAGACCGAGTGTGGTGTCAATGCAGGAGGAGAGCACATGGCCGAGCGACGATGAGGCAGACAACCTTGGGGACGAAGAGCAAATGGAAGTGGAACGGGAAGCTGGCAGCATGGGCGAAGAAGCAGAGCAGGACGGGGACCGGGCGGATGCAGGGTACATCCAGGTGTTCCTGCTGAAGTATGTGTGCCCCCAGACAGACTGCTTTGGCACTATGGTGCCCATCCAGGCAGGCAGCTCGCTTCATGTCTGCAACATGTGCGGCTGCCATCGCACCGAAGTCCAGTTCCTGGCGGATCTGGAGGCTGCGCACAACGACGAGGCCATGGCAGCAGCATGACCTTATGCCAAATCTTTGCAATGTATGCCAGAAAATCTGATAAGGATGACTGAATATCGCTGCCATGCGTTGGCGCAGTATTTGAGAGAAATGTTGCCTTGAGCCATGAACATGTTGTGAATGACATGAGATTGGTTTACAAGGGTTGCTGTGTGAAACCCTTGCACATCAGCAATGCTGGCATATTTTAGGAAATACGTCAGCCTTTCAAGAATCGCCATTGAATGTTGCTGTCCTTGTGGAGCAGGATGTAGACCCTCATGCGCTTGCTGTTTGCCTTCACCTTGCACCTTGCTGGCAGGATGCGGCTGTACAGCTTGGGCACATGCAAATGGTGTGTAATGATGGCACCCTCAGCCCATACTTCCAGAGATCTCTCCTCAAACACCACATGCACCTGTGCATTCAGCGCAAGATGGCTTGAATACATGTGCATGCAGGGCACCTATAAATGCTATATATTAGTTTTTTAAAAGACTTGAAAGACATAATAGAAGCATATGTATGTAAGCAAGGTGTTGATTTTGTCTGTGCACCTGCTGCTTTGGGATGGGCTCAGAAAGAGGAATGGTGATGCAGACCTCGAAGGCATCATCACTCCATTTGTAGCCTGAGATCTCTTCCAGCTTACCAGCTGCATGTCTGCGTTGGAAGGGTGCACGTGCAGCCTGACTTGGCGTGATCCGATCCTGCACATGCAGGAGCCATGAAAAGACGGCCCATTTTTTGTAAAATTGTGCATGGGTTTTAGGCATCTCAATTCCTTTGGTGGAAGTTGTGCGAGAGCTTACCAATGGTAGCACCTCTTCTGGGTCGTCAAATGCAGGTAGTTCCACTTCAGTAATGCGGCCTCGCTCATCTCCGAGCTGCTGGGCAATGGATATCCATGGCGGCACCTCTGGCAGCCCATAACCATTGACAATTCCCATGATGCACTTGACAATGCGGTCTGCCCCTATCCGCATGCCCGGCATCTCACCTGCACGCCATCAATTTGCAAACGCTCACTAATCTTTCTGGACATTCGTGCTAGACATTTATATTTATAGACCTTTATATAGCCATCAAAGTCCATTCTTTGGCATGACATCGTTCGCATTATAATCGAATTTTTTTGGCAGGAGGGCGGGTGAAGCATGCCTGCAGCAGGGCCGATGGACAGCATTGCACTGCGGCCCAGCAAGAAGAGAGGCAGCCCTGGCCAGGCCAGTGTGCTGTCGTCCAACACAGGGTAGCCCCCAACAATCTCTGTGGGGCAAGCGGCTTGAAGTTGTGACAGGAGAGGGTCTGACAGGCAATCCACTGCTGTCCCAGTCGCCAGCCACAAGACATCCGCATATATGCATTCATCGCTGCCTGCAGGACCAAATTGTTACCTCGAGCGGCTAGGTTTAAATATGTCCATGCATGGGCTATGTTTCAGGCTAAATCATATTTTTCGCCGGCATGCCAAGCCAATATTCAGAAACCAGGTAGCACTGTCAATGCCAGTAGTATTGTATACTTCTCACGTGCAATAGTTCCTACTAATTTACCACAAGTCTCACTGCTGGCGCCCTTCACACACTCCAGCTCCGCATGTGCCGCGGCAGCATGCTTTCTGGCGTGGCATGTCCTGTGCCGCAAGGAGAGGCACAGCCGGTGGCCCTGCTGCGAAGAGCTTGCCACTTCACAGTCCTCCAGCAACTGCAGCCTGCCAGCGCTGACGGCGCTGTGCAGATCAGTCATGGTCGTCGCATTGATGCTGGCGCTCCCGCGCGCTGTGTGACACATCCGCATCCGCTGCAAATGGTCGGTGTTTGCCCTGTAGGGTGCCAGCTCCTTGTTCCCAAACCAGCCCACCTGGAGCACCATTAGTACTTGGTTTTTTCTGCAGGTCTGTGTTTTCAGCAGGTCTGTCATTGATTGAAGCAAGCAAGATATGTGTTCAGCCAGCTCAGCATCCAGCTCAGCAGTAGCTCAGCAATCTGCATGTTGCAGGAAAATGTGTGTTGGAGTCAGGTCTTCAATCATCAGATGAGAGCAAAGCACCTCGCAGTCAAGCGCTCCGACGCAGAGCTTGTGTCTGCAGATGAGGGTGGTGCTGGCAGCCCCTCCACTGCACGCCCTCAGCGCCAGCTGAGCACTTGTCATGCCTCCACCCACGATCACCACTGCCCTGCCTGACACATCAGTCTGGCTGACCAGCACGTCAGTCGCATGCTGAATGAGGGGCACTTTTGCCGAGGCCTGCTGCCCATTTGCATCGGGCAATTGTGTTGAGGCTTGCTCCGCATTTGCAGCGGGGAAAGTGTCAGGCTGCACCCACGTGGGCCACACCGGGACTGTGGGGCTGCTGCAGTAAACGACAGCCTTTGTGATGATTGTTCTGCCGCTGGCCAGGCTGACTCTGCAGCCGTCTGCGCATTCACAAATGCATGCCATGAAGCGAGTGCTGTTGATTGCGCGAAAATAATTTTGACAAAATTGACCGAAGCTTTTTGCAATGATGGGCAAGCGAAGAATACCTGAGCCTGGCTCATCCTCATCATATTCATGCGGGTGAACCGCAGTTACGCTGTCTTTGATCAGCCCTTGCAGGTAAGCCATGGCGCTCTTGATGATGGTTTCGTGACAGAAATCTTCCAACAGCTGCAAGGATGGTACCAAGGAAGCTCCCTCTGTGGGAAGAAGCTCCTGCGCTCTCCAGACATGGTGTGTTACTAGAGTTAGAAGGCTTGACAGGTGGCAGAAGAGGAGGGAATGATGCTGCCGCCACACCTTTACGCGAGATTCCAGCTTGCAGAAGGAACTCAAGGCTGTAGGGCTCTTGTGAGGGGTGTGGTTTGCAGGCATCCGCAGATACTGGGTCCCAATGTTCAAATGTTTTTCCTTCCAGGCTGACATCCACTGCCCAGATTGATCGATACAGACGGTTTCCTGTAAGCATGTCCCTTCAGAAGACTGTACTGGTCGTCAATTGATCGTTAGATGTATTCAAAGCGGTCCAGAGGGTTACCTTCAGCACTCGCACAGGCAGGCGTGAGAGCAAATGCAGAGCTGCGCATCCTGATCCGATTATAACAAGGGACAATTTATCCTGCTCTTCGGTTGACTTCATAAGGATGGGTTGTACAATTGGCCTTGGTTCAAGATCAGATGCTAACTCTCGACATGGAAAGCGTTACAATCTCGTCAGGAGGCAACACTTGAAGTGCTTCCCTGATGTCACATCAAAACATAGTTGAAACATATCTCTGTATTTATCACCGTGTTCTCTCACGAGAATGATTGAATTACGGGTATCAGGAGAGACCCTGAGTCGGAGTGATCTAGAACGGATCGGCAGCTGAGTCGACACGGAAAGTAGATCTGTATGCTCTTTCCGTTATTGCAACTATCCAGGATATGAATGCAGTATGCAGATCCACCCTGTTTTCCAGGACAAAGTTTCCCTTGGCGCACTGCACGTGGCAGGTTCTTGAGAACATGACCCTCCTTGCCATTACTCCAGAAACATCGCATTGCATTCTCTCTCTTTTTGCCTCAGGGAAGTTGCACGATTTGCGGACAATTGCAATTTCCCTGTCTGATCTTGCACGTGGCCGGCCTTGCAAGCCACAACCGCAGCGATTGTTCGAGGAGAGGACTCGCATCAATTGCAAGGACTATTACTTGACTTGAAAGCACAGTATGCTCAAAGATCTATCTTCTCCTACACAACCTCCTGCCAGGCAGCCTTGCCCCCAGACTTGGCAGTCTTCAACTTCTGCTGCGGCCGGAGCACGCCAGACAGCTGCCCATGCAGCAGCTTCTGCTGGCTCAGTATTCGCCGCATGCCCAACATGACAGGATGCTCCTTGGCGTCCTTCCTGTCACTCACAACCAGCAACAGCCCCGCAAACACTCCAACAGCGCCCAAGTCCCAGATCGACGGCTCCTCCCCCAACACTGCAAACGCCAGCACCGTCCCCACCATCGGCTGCAGGCACTGGAACGCAGCCACCTGCCCATGCACAAAGCACCGCTCAATGTCGCATTTTTTTCACAGAAGCCGCACAAACAAACGCCAGTCCAGTGCATTGCAGAGTTTTTTCTTCACTTAATGTCACATTGCACTGCTCCAGTACTGCTACTGCCACAGCTACTACTACTGCAATATATTGCAGGCGGTTCCTGCCAGGAGGCACGGTGCGTATGCAGACAGTCTGCAGACTTTGAGGAAGGCAAATTTCCTGCCAGACATGGGCTGTCATACACGTTTTCATACACTCTCATACAAATAGCGCGGTGATATGGCAGCACCTGCGAGGCGGGCAAGTACTGCGTGGCCCAGGTGACGACGTAATAGCCGATGACGGAGCATATGAAGATCCAGTAGACCAGCGGGCCCCACAGCTGCCGGGGCACCTCCCAGCCGTCCTGCTCCACAAACAGCAGCGCAGTGGCCCCCATGCACACCGCCGCCGTCACGTATGACCAGGCCGCCACGCAGATGGCCGGGTACTTGGCCACCAGCTGCTTCGCGCTGCAGCAGCACAGCTAAAATTCTCATTGCTTGCACCACCACTACTCAGTGTGTTCAGCATACACAAGTAGCCGAGGAAGGGTGCGTGGCAGCCAAAGTGAGAGAGTATGATCGGACCTGAGGTAGTAGCAGGCCATCGCGAGCGTGTTGAGCAGCAGGAACATGTTGCCCAGCATCAGGTGCCGTCCCTCAGCCGCCGTGTGGTGCCCCCCCACGCCCCCCAACACCTGCGCCGCATACCCCAATCACTTCCCCATTGAGCTTTCTCAACCCAGTCTCAACAAAGCATGCACGCTTTGACAAGCCCTCTACGGTGAGCCGCGGCACACAAGCGAGTCCACAACGTCCCTGGAACCCAGTGCTTTTGAGCCGACCAGAACCGCCTCAGGCAGCCAGACCTTGCAGCAAGCATTTGCCTGAAACCAAAACAGAAGCAGACCATGCACATTTGAGCCGCCGACTGCAGCGTGTGGTTGGCACATAAAGAGGGGATGACCATTCCCTTGGAGCCGGTCACTGCAGCAGACAAACTAGACGAAGAAGAGGGGCTGACCATGCAGATGGAGCCGCCGACTGCGAGCGCGATGCCGATGAACTTTTGGAGGGAGCCGGCCTCCAGGTTGAGTAGCACGGCGATCATGGCGGTGAAGACTGGGATGGTGGGCTGCATGCAGGTGGCCACAACCACGCCCGACATGTCGATGCCCACAATGTAGAAGAGCTGGTTGAAGTACAGGCACAGCCCCAGCGCCATCACCCGCACCAGATCCACCCTCCTCGGCAGCAGCCCTGCGCGCAATGAAAGTGCACTCGGTGCTGCTTGCCACAAATGCTCTGCCAGAGTACAGCACAGTCGAAGCCGAAAGGGTCGCACAACCCCCCATGTGCATCTACTTGGGCACGCAGCGCGCTCATTGCGGAGGGGGGCAGCTCTGCGCTGTTTGACGCTTTCTGCGCAATTTCTAAGAGCCGCAAGAGCTGGAAGGCTTCCCGTAAGAGCAGGCGAGATAGAGTTTTGGGGTGGGCCAAGCGTAATGTTGATAAGTGCAGCGGGCGAATTTCAATAATAATTATGGACTCAAAGTGGCAGACATGTTGGATGGATCACCTGTCATGAACCACGCCATGGCGCACATGATGGGCCCCGCGATTACTTCCCGCAGGAAGGCATAGATGATGGGGTGGAATACTTGGCCGTTGGCAGAGTTCACTTGGCGCAGGCAGGACTTGAGGTACACGCTGCCGATGCAGAAGGCCGTCTGTGTCAAGGCCAGTGCCAGCTGGCAGTGCCACGCCGGGACAGGTACGAGCTGCAGTGCACCTGCAGCAGCCACTCTGACTGAAATTGGTAGCCAACGGTCGCAGGCACCGCAGGCATTGAACAGCAGCACTTTGTCAGACACTCGGCCACTGGCATGGAGCATACAGCAAGGCAATGTGGAAGGGACTCAGATCTGTCAGCACCTTCTTTCCGAGGGGTATCCAGAGAGTGAGAAGCCTCTTGCAGCTCAGCATCTTCTGAGTCACCGAAAGCACTTCTCTGCTTGGCACGGAGAGGTGCTCCTGGAGGTTTCAATGTAGATGGCTTGAATGCCATAAGCTGGACAGGTCCTACCCGTCACTGCGCTACAGATTGACAGGCTGGTGGCCTCCCGAGGATCTTGTGGTTGCAGAATGACTACTTCTCTGCCTAGGAAGTCATATTCGAAGTCCGCAGGGGCGACGCTGCAACCCTTAACCTCCTTGGCACGGCTCAGAGATGTGAAGTTGCAACCTTTTCTACATTCTGCGGTAGATCGAGCGCGATTGCTCAGGATCTAGAAATTTCCTATTCATCATCTTCCTATACACTTGTGTTGTCCGCCCAATTTAAACCTCTTTTTACTGCTCCATTTCTGAAAATCGGCCTCTATAAATTCTTTTCGGGTTTACTTCACATCATTAAGCACGCCTGAAGGAATGCTGCTTTATTTACAATCTCAGCGAGGCGATGCCCCCGATCAGCAACAGAGCCAGACGCTGACAAGAATGTGGTTCACACACGGGCACTTGTAAATATTAGGCAGATGAATCAGCGATGAACCGTTCATGATACAAGTCGTATCATACAATTTGCATCGTGCAGTTAATGCAGTTAAGCAGTCGATGGCCAGGTGGCAAGTGGCACCTGATGTGGCTGATGACTCACATTTGCAGTGTGCTCTGAGGAAGAGTTCTGAAACTCGCCTCAAGAGGATTACATTGGAAGATTTGCAAGCATCTCTTGTTTAACTTGCAAGACTTAGTGAGGCCTCGAGGGAGTTGTACATGATAGGAAGAGCATGGCTTCTCGAACTGTGCCGAGCGAGGAATTGTTGGATGATCTGTGCACACGATTCATTCTTAATGTGCCAACCGAAGACCTTCAGTAAGTCATCAATTCAAGCTGCTCACGCATGGATTGAATCCCACTATTCTGGAAACTATGCATGTTGGCTCTTGTATCTTCTTCTGGCTCTCACAAGGCACAAAACACAGGTTGATCTCTGCCCGTGGTCATTCGCAGGTCGTTTGAGAAGTTCATGTTTCTAGTAGAGCAGGCGCACTGGTACTACGAGGTACGATGTGCACCACTCTCAGCTTACTTCGTGCAGGAATCACTGGACGTTTTATACAGGTATAAAGACAAGCATCGTGCTCTGCAGGACTTCTGCAGGGACAACGACCCATCTCTCAGGTCCCTGTCACTCAGGACGTTCACAGGGATCATCTTCCAGCACTGTCCTGGGCTTGCCCAGCTGTACAAAGACAGGGACAGCATCTATGCCCGATTTAGCGCCTACAAACAGACTGTCCCCGTGATGGGGGCCATCCTACTGAACACGAACATGGACAAGTGCCTGCTGGTCAGGGGCTTCAAGAACAGTGCTTCTTGGGGTTTCCCAAAGGGGAAGGTTGCCAAAGATGAGCCAGATTCAGCTTGCGCCATACGCGAGGTGCATACTTGTTCTTCTTTGTCTCATAATAGTTGATCTATGTCGCATTACAGATCTGAGACAGTGGCGAGTACAATCCAATGGGCAAGCTATCGTACGGACATTTCCTCGCATGAGGAGCTAGGACTGGACTCAAATCACGTTAGCTCCAGAGGAGATGCCCTACTTTCAAGAGGACTGTGAGCAACAGGGCTAGAATCAGATGAGTGATGGTGCAGGTGAGGGAGGAGACGGGCTTGGACATCTCAGACATGCTCGTGGAAGAAGACTGCATCGAGCGCCACATCAAACAGCAGCGCAGCAAGCTCTACATCATTACGGGGGTACGTACAGGCATGCACCTGACCACCCCATCGCTGCCCAGAAAGTTTGCTGGACTTTTGACTGGAAGGTTGTACAATGGCCTACTGCACAGGAGGGTTCATGCACTGACAATTGGAGTTTTTACAGGTGGAGGAGACGACAGAGTTTGAGCCTCAGGTGCGGGGGGAGATTGGCGCCTTTGGGTGGCATTTTGTGACCTCCCTGCCAGCCAGTGAGGAGGCGGCCATGCAGTACAACACCGCTGAGGGTGCCAGGCACCACTTCTACCAGGTCTGCACTGCAGCCACACTCCGCAGCTCTTAGCTGACATTCTAGTGGATCTTTAGGTCACACAGCAAGGCCATTGTCAGCATTGCTGGCTCTTCACTTTTGCATCAGGGTAACGCAATTCACACCCACTTTGATTGGCAGGCATGTGTTGCATGAGCAGGTGGCTCCATATGTGAGTCAGCTGAGGCGCTTTGTGAAGAAGAAGAAATCGCAGAAGGCAAAGAAGAAGAAGCCTGGGGCCAAGGCGCCAGAGGCTGAGGAGACATCTGCTACTTCAGGTGGAGAGGCAGTGCAGGATGCAGCTGCATCCACTGCAAACATCAAGGTGTGTGCTGCGCCGCGAATCAGACGACAGCGCCATTGTTGGTGCATCTTTTGTTTGAGGAATATAACTGGTGTATGCATTGTTCACATTGTGTGCGAAGCAGTTTTTCCTGTGCATTGCAGGAGTTGCCTCAGGCTGGACAGGCCTGGTTGAATTTCAACTTCGACAAGGAGGCTATCATGCAGCATCTGGCATTTTAGAGTCCAGGCATGTCGCAGATAAGATTATAGTCATTGCCCGTTTCCAGGGCTTTAGCTAAGAATGAATGACAGAGAGCTGCCATTTTTGAGTGCACTCCTCTGCAAGTAAGAACGACATTTGTTACATTGGACGTGTACATTCAAGAAAACGCTGGCAGACTGACAACAATGAGCGTACAACACATACTCCCTTGGATGTTGCACAATTGCACCTGATGGTGCTGCGACCCTTAATTGAGCAATGCAGCGAGGCTATGACAAAGGATGACTGAATGAAGACATCTGTACACATGATCTAAAATCTCACGATCGTTGCATAATCACTCTTCATACATAGCTCCTAGGAGAAGTAGTCTCCGTGCATTCTCCAAACAACACACCTACTTACTACTAAGTGTGCACAAATTCCACAGCACAAGCACTGATCCGCTTGCGATACATAGCTAATATAAGACTGCACCAGAACTAGTAGAACTAGAGTACTCCCACTGCAACAGCCACTGTGGGCCATGAAAAAGCGGAGTAGCTGCAGCCTCCACAAAGGGCACACAGCTGCTGCATTGACACCCACTACCTCCGCTGCCCCTGCCAGGAGGGAGCGCGGTTGCTGGCCCCGTGGCTGGGCGGGCGGTGGGCATGTGAGGGGTAGGATCCTGTGCTGGGGGGCATCCGCGCCGGAGGCTGGCCCCCGCCGCCGTAGCCTGGCCGTGCAGCGTAGCCTCCGTACTGGGCCGGCTGCGCGGCAGGCGCCATGTAGCCGCCAGCATACGCCTGCTGCTGGCCGGCATACGCGGGTGCAGGAGCCTGCGCCGGAGGATAGCGCTGGCCAGCTGCGTAGCCCGCTGCAGGCCCGGCTGCGGTAAGGACAGTGAAGGAGCATCAGTACAATTCAGTGCGTGATGAACAGGCCGGCCTGCCCTCCTTGCAGGGTCATATCTGCAGCTATGCTCAAACGAGCATGCAGACTGGCAATGGGCCATTTCCGCAGTTGTGCTCGAACAAGTGTGCATATTGACGATGCTCAGATGCGCTGACGTAGTGGTATATCTTGTGTACGTTTCAATGCGCAAGAATGCATATCAGGGTGTGCACCTGCATACTGCTGCTGCTGCCCGTACGCAGCGGGGGCAGCCATCTGAACCGGAGCTTGCGCGTACGCGCGCTGCCCGGGAACGGCGGCGCCGCCAGCAAAGCGGCTGCTGGCCGGGCCGCCGCGGTTGGCGGCAGGGCCGGTAAAGTAGCCCGCTGCTGGGTTGCCATGGGCAACTGCCATACCGCCCCGCTGTGCGGCTGCGACTGCCGGCACAGGCTGCCTGAAACCGCCGTGGGGCACCTGCAAAACCAGCACCAGCCCTAATTCATGCCCACCCAGAGGAGACACCAGACACAAGTGTTGCATTGCAGGAGAGGAAGCACTGGTACACAGACAGAAATGGCTTGGCATCCGCTGAGACTGGACTGAAGCTTTGGCCAGAAGGATCTGACGCGAGCATGAGGCACACCTGGCCAGCCGGGGCTGCGTAGGCAGAGTGGGCGGTGGCCGGGTGCGGGTTGTGCCGCGCGCGCTTTGCATCCGGCCCATGGCTGCCATGCCCGTGCTGGCCGCCACCCTGCAATAAATACACACTCTTTCAGTGTGTTTGCACAAAGGCACCAATTCATGAGCAGCCCAGGTCCATGCACATCTTTGGGATCTTCAGTGCTGATAAGTGCCAAATAAAATTGTAGTTTGAGAGACAGGCAGGGAGGGGCAGAGGGAGGGAGCACCTGCTGGCGCATCTCACGGTCGGCCTGGCGCTTGCGCTTCATGTCCAGCTCGTGGGAGGGGTCAAACTTGGGCAGGTCCCTGGGCTCGCACGGCTTCGGTTCTGTATGCCAGAAGAAATTGTCCTGCGCCCAGAACAACCCCAGCCTGACTCAGCAACAGCTGCACACTCTTTCCAAGTAATTAGACATTCCTCTGGAGCTAAAGCCTCAGACGAAAGCCTCAGATGTCCTCTTAAGTGGAACAATGTATTAAATGAAATTCAAGGCATGGATGCTTGAAAACAGTCCTGACTCGGTCTATGGGGCACTCAGTCAATTTGCCTACTGAAAGGCAAGAGATAAGCATATACTGACCAACGATAGCGCTATGCAGAGCAATCTGACAGGTGCTACGCAAAGGGGTTGGCAGGAACTGACCAGGAAAGCTTTCTCAGCAGAGATGCGCTTAATTGGATCCAGCGTGAGCATGGTTTCCAGCAGCTCCAGGGCACCCTCTGGCAGATGCGGGCACGTGGACAGCAGGTGCCGCCGCAGCCGATCTTCCTTGTACTTGTGGCTCATGTGCTTGTAGCTGCAGCACAGCAACCATCATTCACAACAGCAGTCAACAAGACTTGCATGACAGCATGCAGGCGCAAAATTGTCAATGCTCGGCGTGGTAGCGCGCAAGAGCGGGGCTTACTAGGGGAGCTTTGTGCAGCCGGGGAAGTTCCTCTCTGTGGGGGACCCGGTGATTTTGGTGATGCGGTCGAGCTGGTCCGTCTCGTCTTTGCCTGGGAATAGGGGCTTCCCTGTCAGCAGCTCAGCAAAGATGCAGCCCACGCTCCACATGTCCACCTCCGGCCCATAGTGATCCGAGCCCAGCAGCAGCTCCGGCGGCCTGCGAACAAAACAAATGCTTAGCATGCCCTTCAAATCCATTGAGCTCCAATTGGCTCTGCACAAGCAGACATGCCGATCCTACAAGGCCTTCGACACCAGCTCTCAATCGAAAGTAAGGAATGCCTCTCATGTCAAAGCGAGTCATTTCATTCAGCGTTCAGGAGCCCTGCATGTATGCCTAGGCGCCAACCTCAACAGACTCGATATAGAGGACCCTACACTGAGGACATTACATGAACCTTTATTGACTCAATTAAATGAGCTTCATGCCGAACAATTCGACTGACAGAGGATTACACAATGACTCAGCGCCTGCGCCGCACCTGTACCAGAGGGTGATGACGCGGTTGGTGAAGCGGGAGTCCTTGTCGCCTTCGCGGAACTTGCGTGCCAGCCCAAAGTCGGCCAGCTTGAGGCCGCCCTCGTTATTGATCAGCAGGTTGGCGGCCTTGAGGTCGCGGTGCAGCACGCCCTGGTGGTGGCAGTGCGCCAGCCCCTTCAGCAGCTGCTTCATGTAGCACTTTATCTGCGCGCACCACACAGCGCCCACACTCCTTAGCCACCGTATGCCTCGGTACGTCATGTCATGTCTACAATCACATTGCTCCATAGTGGAAATGGGTACATCAACAGTGCAAACAAATGTAGATATTATCACTAAATTGCTGGGAAGGGATACCAAAATTTCATTAAAGGAAAGGGCTTTGGAGATGAAGCAGGGTTAATCATCCAGCCTGTGGCGGGAAAATGCAAGGCAGCCTTGCAGCAGAGATGCATGAGCACATGGTGCCATGGGAGTGGCAAGGAGCGCGCCTGAGGCACGGTGAATTTGTAGCCCAAGCGCTCCATGAGGCCAGTCATGTCATGGTCCATGTAGTCGAAGACCATGTAGATGCTGCCCTTGAAGTTGTTGCACCTGTGAGCTGCAAAACAGGAGGGCCTGGTAAGCAGTGCGATGTGCCAAGCATAATATACTTTGCAATTTGGGACTGAGCATGACACAAACACTCTAGCAGGAGTAGAGAGCAAGGGAAGCTCACTCTGGGAGCGCACAATCTCCTTGAGGTTGATCACGTTGGGATGGCTCAGGTTCTTGAGAAGCTTGATCTCGCGGATGGCGGTGATGGGAAAGCCCTCCTTCTCATTGTCCATCCGGATCTTCTTCAAGGCTACCAGCTCACTGGTCTTGTTGTCCTTGGCAAGATACACCTGCAGCAGTGTGAGTGAGTCAGATCGAGAGTTATGTGTGCCACTTGAATGTTTGATTCTCCAATGCAAGGGCCTGGAAATTTTCACACCTGCCCATACGTCCCTTCTCCGATTTGATCCAGCCTCTGGTAGCAATGCTCAACGCCACGGCAACCACCAAACTGCTCATCTTCATCTGCAGCCCCCACATTGGGCAACTGCACCTTCCACCTAGACAAACACAACGCCATCACAGGGGTCCGAAGTCGCTGTTGCCAGGACTCTGTTTTCATTGTATAGAGAGACATTACCAAAACGCAATGGCTCAAGTGCAAACCCACACATACTTTTCTTGAATCTGGGCTCCACTGCGAAGGGGTGTTTGTGTCACTATTGGTGGTTGCGGCACAAATCCTGTCATGCTGCTGGCCATGCTGTTGGCCATTCTTTCCTATCGCTTGCCCCTAGACGCCTGCGCAGGCATCATTCCTTAAGAGGTTTCCGAATCCAAACAAGCAGGCGCAAGGGAGATATGTTAAAGTCTGATCTATTCGACCAGCTCGATGTTGACGCCCACCACCCACCTAGATCATAACATGCGGCTTGTTCCAACAGCACGGCTCCGGTATATGAATATGCAAGACTCACAATCTGCTCTCTGAAAAGCAAGAGCAGACCAGCGCCTCAGCAACCGGCAGCAGAGCAAAAGGCCTTTGTAAAGGAGGCTTCATATGCTACGTGGCATCTGACAGTCTCTCAGGACTATGCTTGCCTGCAACTTGCTGCCTGCAACTAGAGCTCAACAAATACCTTTGATCCTGCGTTGATTACGCAAGCCACGGGAGTACTCTGTCCTCCTTGAGCTCGCTTTGTTATACGAGAATATTTTGTGTGGTAATCCTGGCAAAAATTGTGTTTGGGCTGGTCGGAGTTGCCCTCCCCAACTTGGCCAGCGATAGAAGCCTGACTTGGCAACAGAGAGGAAGCTTCCATCCCTCCTACCAGAATCTGTGGTGTGGCTTCATCCATCAATATGCAACTTCGATTTTGCTCACATGTGGTTGTAAAAGATGATTTTGTCGGTAGATATTGCTGAGCATTGAATGCTCCGTGTGTTTTGCGCACAGACTACTTTGTCAATACTCCATATATAATGCTGAGCACCGCGCCCCGGGCATGGTTGATTGGGTCTTGCCGCCGCAGCTTGGATCTAGCGAGTCCAGCAAGGGGTAGGATTATGGCAGCCTTCAACTGCAGCTTGTCTGCAGGACGCACCTTGCCTCTTGGCAGGAAAGGCGTGTAATAATAATAATATATCATATATAATATATAATGGTCACGTGACACCGTGTACATGTAGGGGTTATTACTACACTGACTACTTAGTATAGTAATTACCCCTAGTACATGTGACATGTACAGTGTGTACAGTGCGCACTGACACCATGGGTGGCACTACGGTGGCCATCATTCACGGTATGCTAAATTGCATGTTTGGGGACAGAGTGACATGCAGATTGACATGTACATGTACACTGCAGAGGTTTCAGAGCCGGATTCGAAATTCAGAACTTCAAATTCTCACACCAGAACCCCTGCTCAGATGAAGCTTCTAGAGCAAGCTCTTGGACAACTATCTGCCATCGTAAGTTTTCGCGTAAGCAATCAGCCAATGACAACAGAGAAGGTCTTCTTATTGTACACCAAAGCTCTCGATTCTAGGAAGCATCTTCTGATATCCCTTCAACATCTCGCATGCCTTCAGCGTCATGATCTGCTGCCTCCCCATTCACAATCCCATGCTCATCATCGCTGGCAGCCTCCGCTGCTGCTGGAGCAGTCTTTATCTTGCCATCCCTCTTTGCCACTGCTTCCCTGGCTGTGACAAGCTTGCGCGTCTGTGCGTTGAACAGCTGCCTGTGCACAGCCAATTCTCATTTGATCACCCAAGACAGCACACCCTGGAATGAATGAAAGAATATATTGCAGGTCCATGCATCACACTAGGACGGCAATGGATCACAGCATAAACACAATAATGAGGCGGTGCGGTAAAATATGGCACCTGATGACTTCTGGGGTGCTGGCCTCCTCGGGACGCTTGTCATCTCTCAACCGCACAAAGCGTGGAAACCTGCACATGCCGGCGTGCCATCCTCAGTCCACCGCCCAGCAACTCACAGTAATGGTTAACGATTGAAGTCAATCAAGCATACCTTGCTTGACCAACACAACTGGCAAGACACCAGCAAGGCTTCTGCCGTTGTTGACAGCACGTAAAAGAGTTAATCTAAGTACAAGAAGGATTAGCTACCTGAGAGATACGCCGCGAGTGGGGTGAATGAGCCCGAAGGCGGCCTTGTGCACGGCTGAGAGAGTGAGGTCTGCTCCGCGCAGCTCCCACACCTCTGTCGGCTCAAACCAGACGCTGGGGCGCTCGTTGGTGCTGTAGTAAGGCCTTGGGCCCTCTATGCGGTGCTGGTCTAGCCGCTCCTTCGCCTGCGCACCAATTCATTTGCCCTCAACATGACAAGAATAATCTATCTGAGCCCTCCTCAAGCCCACACCTTCCAAGTGATGTCTGAACTCATGGGCTTGCACATTAGAGCAGCACTGCTTCATCTGCCACTGCCCTGCTGGACAATCATCACCCCAAGATGTGATGCTAAGACACGGCAGCAGGGGCAGATCATTTGATGCGACGTGACAAAAGAGATGAGCATTGCATGAGGGTGCATCATCCCGGGCCGCGCCTGGGCGTAGAAGGCGTCGGAGAAGCCGGACATGCAGCGGCAGACAGTCTGGAACTCTTCGGCATCGGGGTCCCAGGCTGCCAGCAGGAAGGGCGAGTACCAGCCCACCTTGCGTCCATTGCCGTGCCACGCCCCGATCGGCACCAGATCCAACGAATCCCTCAACTCTTCGCAGTAGTCCCTGCGCCACACATGACAGTTGCATTCACTGCAGTGCATTATAGAGACTGAAAAGGGGGAGACCTTGATACACTTACATATTCAAGCATGCATTCCCTTGATGTGTCGTTTCATGAGTTTCCTGCCAGCCTAACATTGCCATTTCTGGAAATGCAGCAGGAGCTCAGAGTATGCGCAGCCATTAAGCAATCACAAAGTGTGCCGCAAAGACGGGCACAGAGATGGCAGAGATGGCACAGAGCAAGGCTCACCGCTTGATCTTGAGCCAGGAGTTGCTGCGTTTGGAGGGCTGGTAAGTGGCCGAAGGGCCGGTCAGCGCCTTGAGCATGAGCCCCTCCGTGCCGGCGGCCAGCGCGTCCTGCAAGTGCTCCCGGATCAGCGCCTCCGTGCCGGCCTCCGCTGCACTCTGCGCACCCTCCGCCGCAGCACCCGCATCCGCCTCTGCACCCACCGCTGCCGCCCCTAACTGCATGACGTCATCCCTGCCGGCCGCATCTACCTCCACGGCTCCGCCGAGGTCCAGAGCCGGCCGCGCGGCGGCGCGATCCGGGGTGGCCGGCGGCACCGGCGCGGCCTGCACCGTGTCGGGGGAGCCGGCCGGCTGGGCGGGAAGCTCTGGCGCGGCCGCAGCGGCGGCGGCTGCAGGGGCCTGCAGGACATGCGACTGCGCGAGGCAGACGAAGCCGGGGCGCAGGCTGGGCAACGCGGCGGCCAGGCGCTTGCGGCGTTCCTGCAGCGGCTGCTTCAGCAGCGACTCGCCGTCCACGTAGAGGCAGTCGAAGGCAAACACGCAGACTGGCACCTTGACCTGCGGCATCCATGCATAGGCATTCAGCCCCGCATGCATAAGTCTGAAGGGCAGAAGCCTTCCTGCAGGCACCCATGAGCTTCCCCAGTATAATTTCAGTACATCTGTAAAGCATGGCTCAAAGCAAAGGGCATTTATTAGGGTCAAGCGGACTGCTATAATGTGGAATGGTGTGGTACAGTGAGGCACCTCGAGAGATGTGATGGCCCCTCGCGCCCTGGTTGAGAGTTCTTGGAAGCTCTTTAGCTCATTGGCTTTCTCTCGGTCCACAGCCACCAGCTCTGCATCCAGGACCACCTCCTTGCACCCACCTGCCATTTCCCACACAACTGCTATCAGTAGTTGAGCAGAGTGTCTGGACACAGGGTAGCAGGCTGTAGGAAATACAAATTAAGTAATTCGGTGCAGCAGGGTCGCACCAGCAGCAGCACTGCGCACAGCGTCCGCCACATCAGGGAAGCTGCTGGTCCGCTCCTCGCAGTTTCTGGAGAAGATCCGCACATCCCCATTCTTGTGCAAATGTATCTGGGCAACGCACATGACGACTTTCAGCATGCCATGGTTGCACCAACTCCTGCAAGTTCTGTACACCCAGATCAGCACATCTGTCATTATCTGAATTTAATCCCACTCACCTGCGCCCTGATGCCGTCATACTTGTATTCGGCCAGAAAGTGCTGCCCCTGCAGCTGCTGGATGGCGTCAGCCACTCCCTCCGTGATGGAAGCCAGCATGGGCTTCAGTGGGACACCTGCACAGAGACATGCCACAATAGATGCCCACGTCAAATGGACAGATGTTTGCTGGAACACAAATGGTTCTGGAGATGCAAGTGCGCCCCACACAGATCCAAGACCAGAAAGCCATGATACTGAGGGAAAGCACGACAAGATGTGCTACCGCTGAAAAGTAGGAGGCGTCTGGTGGTCAGGGTCCAGAGGTATGAAAATGCGCACCGGGGGTGAGGGAGATGCGCGTATCAAGGTTCTCCACGCCGCCAGGCTCCAGCATGGCTGCCACCAGGATGTCGAGGCTGGGGCAGACATGGAACGCCTCCACAGCTGCCGTGGCGGCCGCGTCCAGGCGCGCCTTGGCCGGCCGGTTGGCCTCGCTCTCCAATAGCACTGCGCGCGCGAGCGAGCCAATGACGGAGCGCCAGTTGGCGCCCACCCGCAGGTTCTGCACCAGCGTGCGCACCAGGTACCGCGTCTCGCAGTCCCTGCAGCAGACAAATCTGATGAATAACATTGAAGAGTGGTCCACAATGAAGTTGGACTGCTAATTTCATGCTGGCAATCATCTGAGACATTATGGCCCGGAAGGGAAGCAGTATTGACTGCTTCAGTAAGACAGTGCTTTGATAGGGAGCACACTTTCCAGAACAGCAAGAAATACATTTGCTTGCATTGCACAAGGTGGGTTATTTTGGGGCTGATAAGGATGAGGGCCGATGGGACAATGATTCAGGTGCAGACCTGCAGCTGCGGAGCAGGTGCAGGATGGTCTGCCTGCGCCGGGCTGTGGCGCCAGCGCCCTTCTGCTGCGCCATGCTATGCAGGCTCTTGAATACGCCTCTCACCGTGAGCGGAGCCGGCTGTATCAGCATTGTCTGCGCGCACCACAATCCCCATAACAGAATGCTCGCCCAGATGACTCAAGCACCACCCAAGCACTTTCAGGCTCTTGTGTCAACAGTCCTTCAAGAGAGACTCCAATACATAGCATATGCAATTCGATGCAATGCAACGTACATATGCATGGAAGCAGCAATGGCACCTGGGTGTGGCGACAGGCCTCAGCTACGTCCCCAGGGTCGCCGAGCTCATTGTACAGCGCATGAAGCTTCTGCCTGGAGACGCCTGTGGCCTCGCGGATGGCTGTCGAGATGATGCTGCCGCCCACGTTCAGCTCTGTTCCCTCATGCTCCGGCGCTATCTTGCCCATCGTCAGGTATGCCGCTGCCACCACGTCACCTGTCCAGATATTTACCCAAGATTCAATTTGCTTTCCTCATTTCCAATGCCCCAGCCATGTGCTGAACAAGATCCCAAATGCCGTGCTGACATTGTCATCCTTGCCACAAAAGGAATTTAAAGGTTATCATGGTGATGTGCACACCTGGCGAGCAGCGCAGGATGCCGCGGAACATCTCAGCCATGATGTTGTCCTTGGCGAGCCGCTTGGTGGTGGACTCCATGGCCGCGAAGGCGCGCGCGATGACCAGGTAGGGCGCAGGCGTGCCCTCCGGCCACGTCACAGCTTCCTCCGCCTCCCGTTTCACCGCGCTGCCGGCCGCCGCCACCTCCGCCGCGCCGCTCGGCTGCTCCCCTGCCGCCTTGCGCTGGCCGGCCCGTCGCTTCTCGATGAGCGCGTTGGACACCCCGACTGAGGGCGCGCTGGCCGTGGCAAATGCGCCCAGCTGCCGCGGCAGCTTCTGAGGAGCTTCCCCGGGGTCCTGCTCCGGCTCTGTCTTCACCTCAGCACCTGCCTCGCCTTCACCATCCTTGTCCACTAACGACACAACGTCGTCCTGGCCCTGCCTCCCAGCAGCCCTGTCTGCTTCTTCCTTAGGCTGCTGTGGTGTTGGCTTGCTCTGTAAATCTGCCACTTGCTTGGCGCCTAGTGGGGCGTGCGTGCTGTCCTCATCCGCTAGCTTGCTGCTGGCAGCACTCCTGAAGAAGGAGGCTATGGTGCGCTGCTTCCCCGGGGTCACATCTGCCTTCTTGCGCTTACTGGTGCTGCTGGGAGGCTGTTTGCTGGAGGCGGTAGCCTTGCGTTTGGTTGTTTTGGCTGTGGCAGTAGCGGTCTTCCTCTGGGCCTTGCTGACCTGCTCATATGACGCAGCCGCTGCGCCATCCCCTCTAATCTCCTCCTTAGCAGAACTCTCTGTTTCACCGCCTGCCACACAACCTACACTAATCATGAAGCTAGGATATTTCATGTGCAACAGGGGCATGCGCATCAGAATCAATAAACCGTCAGTGTCAAATATGATTTTCAATAAACATCAGCTTACCCGCCGCAGTATGCGGCCGGTCGCAGTAGAGATTCAGGGCATGCTGCAGGTCACCGCCTGCAAGGAGCAGCAGCTGCCTGGCCTCCAATATACTGGACCCCTCTCCAAGGATCCCCATGAACTGCTCTAGCACTTCCTCAAAGTCATCCACGATCGAGCCTCCGCTTGTGCCTGCCAAGCAATATTGCTGGTCTTCACAAATCCTGGTGGTCAACAGGAGAGCCATGTGCAGGACAATGCAAAACATCAGCTGCCACGCAGGTTGTTGAGGCACACGGACCAGACAATGCACCTGCTTGTGTGCCGCTGGCAATGCGCTGTAGCTTCTGAGCTCTGTCAGTTCCATAGCTATCCACCAAATCCACCAGCTCAGCTGGATCTGCATCCCTTTCAGTGTCAGGCTCCCCGCTGCTACTTATCTCTATTTCTGCCTTGCCATTGTCCTCCACCAGTACCGCTGCCTCCCCCGTCCCAGGCATCTCCTTCTCTGGGTCCTCCACCTCATCTTTCACTGTGGCACTACCCTCCTCCATCTTACCAGAGCCATGCTCAGATCCTCCCAGGACCACCCCTGCTTCTGCTGACTCCCCTGCCTCTTCCTCGCCTGCCTCGCTGGCTGCCTCTGCAGTGCTTCCTGCTTCTGCCCTGGAGCCCTCATCAGTGCCCTCCTCGGCTGTCCCTGCTGACAGCGCACCACTGTCCTGCCTGGACTGGAAGGCCTGCAGGAACTTGGCCTTGGCGGATGTCTGATCCACCAGCCGGCTGAAGCGCTTCAAGATGGCCCTGCGCCGCTTCTCACCCTCCTTTCCCTCAACTCCAACAGTTGGAATGACCTGCAGCTCCATGCACATGTACTTCATTGGATAGAAATTGCTGTGAATAATACACAGATAGTCCCACCTCGACCACTAATTGAAAGGTCTACACAAGAGCTGTCAGCGCACCTCATGAGGCTTCAGGAATTTGACATACTCCACGAGCTCGCTGAAGCTGCTGTGCTCGCTGTACGGCACCAGGTGTATGCTCAGGTGGCCGCGCTTCTTCACAGGATGCAGATTCTTCTTGTGCTCGTATGTCCACCTGCATGTATTTCAATGTACACTAGACACAGCTTCTTGGACGTGAGTTTGTTGAGGAAGCTCGTCTTAAACTGAATGCATGATCAATGTCATTGAACTTCGGTTGCCAGAAGTATGAAGAAGCCATGATGGTCTCACCCAGTAGGCACCCACCCCACCACCTGCAGAGACACATACTTGCCATTTGGGTCACTGGAATAAGAGCAATGAAGAAACGACGAGATTACTTTTCTTAGAGAGGTGGTCACCTCATCTGCGCCCATGTCCTTGCCATACTCTTCCATAACCCTGTAGTTGGGTTTGAAGAATGGGAACGCCTCCCCGAGCGTGCCCCAAGGGAGCAGGTGCACCCATGTGCTCTTAGGATCAGTTGTGAAGATCTCATCGATATTCACACCTGACGTGGAAACCCCAGGAACATGTCATACACATGTGTGGCAACAAGTATCACAGCTTCCACTCAAATTGCTGCTAAGGACCGCACCAGGGAGGTCGAGCTGCGACATGATGCCGAGTTTCCTCTTGTTCGCAAACAGCTTGCATTTGCACCGCTTTGCAACCTGCCAATCGGCACAGAGCATCAGGACTGCTTGCACCCGGATGTGCATTGGTTGCAGCTGAATAAAGAATGCCCTCCAACAATGCTGTTCTCACCTCTAAAAAAAGGCGCTCCTTCCCTATGCAGTATGTCTGAATGAGATAAAGGCGCCGATGATTGATATCTTCCTCCATCATCTTTTGCATGGTGGAGGCTACATGCTCCACAACCTCCTCCTGCAGAAACAAGCCAAAGTGATCAGGCGAGCCCAAATGCTGGATTGCTGCGGTATTGCACAGACTCAAACATGCTCTAATCGACCTGTGCACCTGAGGAGGAAATGTGTACTGCGGCTTGCAGTATGTTGTGTCCAAGAATACTGCGGTCGGCCCCACAAAGCGCTGCAAGTGCGGGTTGTCTGTGAGGTGCGGGCTGAATCGCATGTCCCCGCAGTGAATGTATTTCCTCCCATCCGGTAGCTCAAACAGAAATTGCACGGCCCCTGCGATCAGCGCAATTGGTGATTGACCATGGAGATACTTATTCCCACATTGAATCCCACATGCGATCCACAGGTTGGTCAGACATGAAAAGAATCACCTGGGCAGTGATTTGCGTCCACAAGGGTCACCTCCACCCCTGCAAGGAAGCTGTACCCTTGGCGACCTCGAGATTCAGAACGGCAACAAAGGTAATTTCCGGCCAGTCCGTGAAGATTGAGGACAAATATTGGTAGCTGGGAACCAGCAGGGCGTCACCCTGGATGATTGTCGGTGTCTCCATAGGTAGTGCCACGATGGTGTCTGGCCTGGCCTTGACATTTTCAAAGTGCTGGATGAGCTTTGAAGTCTGCTCAGAACAATAAATAGTCCCATGCTGCCAATTTTCCGTGATACCTCCATAGTGATCTGCGAAGCACGGAAGGCGTTGAGAAGACTACGAAGAAGGATCCAACAACTCAGTACTTGGATGGAAGATCCAGGTCATGTAAGGTTGACAATTATTCTTGGAAGATTTATTATAAGTACGCAACATATTAATGCCATCAGTAAAGAGAATCAATGTGTTACCTGCATGGGCATGTGACAAGAAATAAGCCGGCACGCTTGGATTGGAGAACTTGAAGAAATCAACGACAAACCCAGTTCCTGGAATTATGTGGCAACTTGGAATCGCTTCCATGGGAAGCTGGTACAGAGTATGCATGTCCAGTTGGTTCGGTAATCTTCGGTAGTCTTGGAATTTGGACACATCAAGGACGCCAGAGGCGTTCCTGCGCATGCAAAGACCAATTCTTGACTCATGGCCCAATTATGGACAATATCCTCTAGAGATAAAAGGAACTCATGACCTCCTGAGATCTCGTCAGATTTTGCTTCCAATCTTGGGCGTCTGATGTGCCTAGGCCTTGTTTGAGAAACTTGGACCGAGCACCAATCTTCATCACCCGGGTTGTCGCTGCATGTCTGAGTGGGGCATTGGATCAATTTTAGTTCTGCATGGTTTATTCTTAAATTGAAAGAGAAGACGAGATTATGAGTTGCTGATACAGATTCCAATATCCAATATGCACCTGCTTGATTGGTACATGATAACTGCATAGTTTGGCCGGTCTTGGATTAGCAGGCAATAAATCTTGCATCAAGCTCATTGTTTGGTCTTCAGCTATGCATGTCAGATATTTGTTATCGCCATGACAGCTCTTCTGCGTTGAGTGGGTGGCATCATCGTGCCGTCTAAATATCGAGCCCAGGAAATTTGAGTCAGATGGGACGACACATCGATTGCTGAGATCACCATGGATGGATACTCATGGATACACTTTCTAGTTTTGGCCCTCCTGGCACCAGTACTGCTGTTGTGTGGCACAGCAGCGCAGCTGGTGAGGCTGCCTCTCATAACTGGATATGTTCTGGGCGGCATCATAGTGGGGCCGTACTGCCTCAGAATTCTAAATGCTGACGCCCTGCAAGCTCTCGCAGTGGTAAGTCCTTGGACCTCCTTATAGTTCCACCACTGATTCATGGAACCCCCTCAAAATCACATTTATGTACTGGGGCGCTGCCTGCAGGTCGATCATGCATGCCTTGCGATCATTGCCTTCTCAGCTGGAGCAGAGCTGCAGGTCGGCGATGTGCGCAGGATTAAGAAGCAGGTATCCCAAGCCGACTCATTGGTGCTTCGTGTGTTCCACGACTTCTTCTCTCGCAGCTTTCCCCAACAGGTGGTCTCTCATGGGGGCAACCACCTGCACCTGTGATGCAGGTGACATGCATTACTCTAGGGGTCTGCCTTGCGACATGGCTGAGCGTTTTTGGGTTGCTCATGGCGCTGGCACCTACTTTGCCCATGACAGCTAGCTTGCCCAGCGGGCAGAGTGCAGCCATCATCAGCTTGGCTGGCACTCTCATGATGGCTCGCTCACCCGCATCCATGGTAAGCCACATTGCAATGTCTCCTGCACATATAGATGATGTACCGCCATGATGCTATGGGTGAGATAAGGTCCAAGAGAACATGTTCAGGTCTATCACGAGTAGTTATGTTGATAGTGTTTGTGTTGGGTGCAGATTGCAGTGCTGAAGGAGACGGGTGGGAGGGGCCCTTACTCCTCGTTAGTCATGGCGGTCATCATAGTGAAGGATGTGGTGGTGTTCATCTGCTTTGCAGTGAACATAGAAGTGTCGGACGTGGTGCGTCTTTCTGCAGTACCTCATCTCCATGTCATGGAGCCAAAGTACACTTGCAGTGAATCTAGCCATCCAGTGTATTGGCTATGCGGGTTTTGGGATCTCTTGCAGATTGACTGCACACAAACATGCAGATTTCAAGCTGCGGGGTGAGGCTTGTGTTGGGCCAGGTGATGCGGAAATCCGGGGAGGGGTTCGGCATCAGCATCCTGTTGGAGCCGGTGGTAAGCTTGGCTGTCAGCACAGTGCTGGGCCTCATGTTTGGCGTCCTGATAGGCCGCCTTCTTGCAGCGCCAGCGCGGCCCTTCAATGTACTCCTGAGGAGACTGCCGCATCCAGCACAGAGCAGGTGCTTCTTCCTTTTGCTACTGCCCAAAACACCTACTGCAGTATGCTGTCAAAGCCGGCAGCGCAAATGTTGGGAAGGACCATCTCTGTGCAAGTGTGAGCTCTGAACTTCGTTCTGTGTCTGAAAGGGCAAAGGCGATGGCCCGAACGGCAGCTGTTGCCCTTCTGGCAATGAGCATTTTTTGGAGTGCGCTTCAACTGCATGCAGAGCCTCTCCTGGCATGCGTGCTGGCTGGCATCATCACCACAAATCGCAAGTAAGTTGCATAACATCACCAGTGGAACTTGGACTATTCTGCACAGACTTTGAGCTTTGTTGCCCTGACAGTGCATAACAGTGTGATGCATTGCTGAGATCTTGCTGATGCATGCAGAGGTGAGGCTGCGAGCAAGGCCATTCATGAGGACTTGGGCATTGCGCTCACGCATCTCATGCCCCTTGTAAACATGGCCTTCTTTTCTTTGGCTGGAGCCTCGCTTCTCTTGGTGAGCTTACCCAAAAGTTCCCACTTTGCTGTCTGTGCCTCAGAGTTGTGTAGGCAGCCAAGAGTGGGCTCAACAGCACAGGCTCTAATAGATGTACATAGTGATGAGTGTGTAAGGTTGACGTTAGCACTGGGCATGACAGGGGAGAGTGGTGGCAACGCTGTGGGTGGCAGTGGCGGTGTATGCAGTGCGCTTGCTGGCAGTGTATCTCGGCAGCCGGCTGGGTGCATGGGTGGGTGGCACGCCCACTGAGCACCGCCGGAAAGTGTGGCAGGGCATGATCACTCAGGTGCGCCTGTCAGCTTCATGCCTCACACAATTGCGATGCTGTGTCAAGTGTGCATAGCTCAGCTATGTTTTTTATGAGGCAATGAAGGAGTGTGTGGATGGCTGGTGCAGGCTGGAGTTGCTATGGGATTGGCAAAGGCGGTAGCTGTACGCTTCCCGGCATGGGGTCCAGATTTTGTATTTCTGATGGTGAGTGACCTCCTGCCAGTGATTGTGCAGGACTGGTCCTCTTCGTGCTATCATCCAGTGACTCAAAGGTGTGCTGGTGTGGTGGTGGTGCAGATGTCTGTGATCATGATGAATCTCTTCAGCGGGCCACCAATGTTCCGGAGTGCTGTCATTAGCACTGGTGAGGCTCGCGCCCTGCAGCTACCGTCCGTGGCCAATGACGCTGGCTTCCCATCACCCAAGTGCGCGCCCTTCTTCATCAACATCAACATCATTATCATTATCATTATCATTATCATTATCATTATCATTACCCATTGGGAGCCACCTGAAGCTTGTGGGCAGTCATCCACCGCCCATCTTTATACTAAAAGCTTCACTAAAATTCTTCGAAACTTCAGCACCGTATGCTACAACATGTTTTTGGGCATATGTGTTTGATCTGCTGCCAACCATGTACACACTGGTGTTCCCAGAGCAGTTTGCCTTCCCCTTGTTATGGCCATGTGTGCAGTGAATATTTTGTGACTTCCTGTGAGCCAGCCATGGGTGTTTGCAGGAAGCTGATGGACAGCTTAGATGATGAGGAACCCAGCCGACAGAAGCACAGCCCATCTGGGCTGCACGGGCGCTCTGAGTCGCTGTGACCACTCAAAAGCCATTTCTCTAATTGTATTTCATATTGAAGCAGAGCGATGAATGCAGAGTAGACGGATTTCTGGTCCTTGTGAGGTCCGGACAGCATACTTAAGGAGCTATATTATTCACATCAGGAATTTTTGATATGAAGATGGGCAGTGGAAGACTGCCCACAAGACCAATGAGGCTAGGGTGGCTCCTAACGGGTTTCTGAAATGTAACACGGTAATAATAATAATGATAATTACATCTCATTGGTGAGATGCCTGCAAAGCTGCAGGCTGGCAGCAGATCTCCTGGACTGTTCCCCATGTGTGAGGGCCTGCTTTATATGTGGGGCACTGGCGTCCATGCTCAATGTCCAGCAGGGTAACCGCAGCTCCTTCAGTGTGAGGGAACGCTTGGCGCTCACAAGTTATCTTCAAGCACCTGGAGAGAAGATGTGCAGGCTATTCTTAGGCCGCGCTATGTGCAGCCTTGCTCGGCAAGTAGTAATTAAAAATGCCATGTACACGGCCGCGGCCCAGGTCCTGTTCAAGCCAGAACTATAAAGAGTTGACGAATGTACTGAGGCTCACTCCTTGTGATCTCAGTCACCCAACAGCTTGCAGCTTCAAAATCAATGGAATGTAAACAGCTACAGCTAGCAGCATGCCACAAAGTCCACACACAGACTTTGCTGACAGAGTGCATGTCAAGCATGGAGCACACTTCAGTGCTGACTTGCATATGCATTCGTTTGAACATCATCAGTCTTCCAGCACAAACATTACACCGTCTTCCTTATAGATGTGTGTGTTGTGATCTGTCACATTAGTGTCTGACAGCTCCAGATTGTAGAAAGCCATGCTGTCCTCTCCCTCAAACAGAGGGCCAGCATGCCATGTGCCTGCATGCAGCTTGATGAAGTTCCCTGGTGGGATCCTGCAGCCGAGACATACATCACTCACGATGCTAGTGCATGGCTGACAAACAACAACAGCGATGCTATGTTCTCCTTGTCATCGGCTACAGCTTGCCGTGGGGGCAGATGAGCTTTTGCCTTGCAACTGAGAGGATGACAAATCGGCTCACCGGAATGCATGCACTTGCTCTGGCCTTGGCCACTCTTCCACAGAGCCAGAAGGGGCAGCTACTGCCATGTACCAGGGCTGCAGACCAATGGCGCCCAGGCACTGTGTCACCTTGGCATGGTATGTGATGCGGTCAAAGGACATCCCTCTCTTTGGCAGCCGCATGACGTAAAACCTGGGCAGCATGGCGTCCGCTTTCTCTCAGGCAAATCGCGCAGAGTGCTCAGCGCTGACCATGGCAAACCACAAAATTTGGCCGTGCTGTGAACTCAATCAGAAGCCATGGTATACCTTGGAGTGCCCTGGTCAAGAACAAGCTGCGCGTCTTCCCCATCAAATTCTTTCCCGTCGTCAGAGGGCCCGACCACCTGCCACAAGTGGACCAACATTCACTTCCCACTTTTTAAAAGACAAGGATGCGATATGCCTTCGTGACCATGAGCTTCCGAAGACGAATGCATCATCACGTACCGAACAACATACCTGGCCGAATGGTCGAAAGCTCTCTGGTGTAAGTTCTTTGACAGGCAGGCAAAACACACGCAGTCCTGCTGTTGAGGCAGAGTCGAGGCCCTGTGAATTCGGCAAATCAATGGAGAGATTAATGATCAAGGCACTTATTTGAAAGTCAGGGAGTGTGTGTACAATCAGGAGTGTGCAAGTGTGGCATGTCCGATCAGATCAAGTTTGATGGCGCACCTGTGCCGCGCTCACAACAAGGTATCTGGCATTATGAGTCCTTAAAGGTTTTATATGTGATATGGCATGTGGAGGATGTGAACCAAGGCGACCAAGTGGCTTGGAGAAAGGCTGAACTTGCGTGACAACCTTCATCTTGGCCTTGAGACGCAGTCCAACTGCCTCATCACGAGCAGATATGGACCATGGGAGTGAGCAGGAGCGTCAAGCAGGATTGCGTCGATGGTGCAAACGGCTTGTTTTCAGATGTTTCGGAACCATCTAACCATCTCGGAAATGCCTAACTTTAAAGCCTGCCCCTTGTGTGAGATTTATTGAAGGGTACTATGATGTAGGTTTTATCTTGTTCCAGATTTGCTCTTCAACTCGACCTCAGTGCGACATCCCCAGCTCGTAAATTCAACAGGCAGAGTCGACATCGCACTTAGAGCCAGCTATCGACATGGTTCTCGCGATGAAGGCATCCCTGGGCCTGGCCGTCCGCCCAACCACTGCTCGCGCAGGTGGTTCGCGTTCCTGTTGACCTCCAGGAGCTGGGACATTTAGTCGAATGACAAATGGGAATTCCTTTCTGGTCAGCGGATTCGTGCAAGTTCCTCTGAGACGCAAAGGCTTGCCAGCAGTAGAGCGATACTCCGCGGAAAGGCCAATGGGATGGGAGGAGATGGAAGGGTGGACAATCTAGGGCATCCTTTTAATGGAAAGGGAGTGCTGAGGGTGGTTTGCATGCATGTGACAGGTTTCTTTGGTAGCCGTGCACCTCTGGCTGTCGCCCCTCGCATCAGGAGTGCTGCCCCTGCACGCAATGTCACGATCTGCGCGTGAGTACCCAGTCTTGGGAAACCGCTTTACGTAACGCCTGGTAACAGCAAAAATACTATGCTGAATTGTACTTCAATCCTTGCTACCTGCTAAGATGAACACAAAATGCGTGAGACTGACAAGTCTCTCTGTGTTGCGCAGAGGCCAGGAGTACCCCTCAAACTGTGAGTTGCTCACTACATACCTCTTAGTGCAAGCAATTCGAACTGCATTGTTTTCACAGTTGCTTTAACAATCTTCTTGTGCATTGTGTTCAGATCTCCATGCATGCATGCGCAGGGCTCAACAAGGACCCCCTGGTCTTTGTGCTGGGCTTCCTGGGATGGACCATCCCCGCTAACATCGGCGTCTCTGCGTTTGGAGGCAACTCCCTCTTCGGTTCCTTCACACAGAGCATCGGCGAGAACCTTGCCAGGTTCCCCCAGGGACCGCCCATCCAGGACAAATTCTGGTGAGCAGCGCAGTGATCTGGCTGTAGCGCCCACTTCAAAACGAACAAGATTTCCAGGTTTTATGGCCTAAAATGGGGTCCAAAATGGTTTAAATGCGCCAGATTGATATTGGAATAAGATTCCCAGGTTTTTGATGAGGTGCTGAGGGGAGGTTTGCTCTGCATTGTGCAGGTTGCTGCTCGTGACATACCATGTTGGTCTCTTCCTGACCCTCCTCCTCGGACAGATTGGCGTCCAGGGCAGGAAGCAGGGTTACTGGTAGACAGCATCTTGTCTGGATTGTGTTGGAATTGAGAGGTTGAAACCGGGTCAACCAACAAGTGTGGCTGAGAGCAAAAAGGCTACCAAGATCCCGTGACTGATACATATTGGTGTCAGCAGTACACAAGTTGTGAGCTGGCATCAGCAAATTGTTGTGGCTGTGCCATACTGAGAAGAAAATAAAGTAGTGTCTGTAAAGCGAGCTTTGAAGTATAAATCTCCAGATGTTTACAACATGCATCCCGTGCACTGTCACATGCACGGTCATATCATTACGCAATTTCTTCTTGAACAAGTCTCAGACATGTACATGTCAGGCACATCACTCTCCGTTGAGTCAACAGGGCCCAACATGCACAATTAACACCTTTGCTACATTGCCTCCAACACACACTGAGCTGAAAACAATTTCACAGCAGTGATGTCGACTGCAGCAGGAATGCACCCATGCTACATGCTGTGCACCTCTCTCATCAGCTGCGCCCTATGCAGTGGAATGTCACGAAATGTACATGTACACGTGATGATCAAGCGTTTGCTGGCACTGAAGGCACCGAGCCACAACTAATCTTGCACAAGTCTGTGGCATCCTTGCAAAGCTTGAATGATTCCTTGGGACCCAGTGTGATCCGTTTTGGATCCCAGTGCATCGAGCCCGCACTTGTGCGCACGTTACCAATCATCACACCCCATCTTTCCTGCTCTCGAATGTGGATGGGACATTCACTGAATGTTGATGCGCCTGTGGACATACACAGCAATTCATGTGAAAGCAGAGATCTCAGTGAGCGCATTATATTTGCTTGCGTGTGGAACATTGGCACACAGGTGATATCTCAATTGAGCTTTGTTCAAAATCCTGGAAGGCGTGAGTGCTTGCTGCACTTTAAGCTGTGGTGAGACATGCCTGCCTCGCTCTTGCACTCCATGAACTGCGCCGCTCCTCCGTGGGTGGGCTGTGCCTCTGTAGAACGGCGAGTCAAAGAGGCTCTGAGGATGCAGGAAGCTGTTGCCCGCGCGATGCACCCAATTCCGTTCAAACATGCCCAATTCGCTCTCCATCAACTCGTGCATGATGTCGAAGGCACTTGCTTGACCGCCAGGGACATCGCGGGTTCCCACATGCACCTGTGCAGATGAAAGTCTCTCGGGGCTACTGGCTGAAATTTGATGTGATTGACCATGCCACAAGATATTGTTGCGCCATTGAGATGCTAAGACACTAACCTGCTGTTGGAGACGGCCGGGAGATGCACCATGCCTGTATGGCAGACAGGCATTTGTTATGCGTGCCTCATAAGGGTGCAAATCTGAGCAGGTCATGAGAAATGTGCACACATTCACAGTGGGCCACAATGCACCACTGACAGTACCTGACATACGAGGAGCGTGAAGAGAACATGTAGCTTTGCTGTGCGAGCTTTGTGTGCTGCACCGGTATTGATGATCCCCGGCATTCTGCTGCCTTAGCTCTCCCCTCTCCACTTTCCCCGTGGTTGTGGTCTAGAGATCAGACACTCTCGACATGAAAACAGCTGGGCTTTGCTGCATCGATTTCTCTATGGCCTAAAACGGCTTCCATACAGACATTTGAGCAAACCATCTGTTCTGAAAGCCCGGACAGAGGCGCAAGCTGAAAGATGCGCAAGCAGCTGACCCGGTTCCTCAACAAGAGGACGGTGCGTTTCCTCCTCGTCCTCGTCATCAGACAGCCACTCGTCCTCATCCATCTCCGTGATTGTTACGCCAGTATTTCGATGATGCGGGGACACCTGCACCTTTTATACGGCACAGTAACTTTCTGGGTTCGCAAGCAGTTGATGAGCTGTCGATCTAGGTCAAATCATAAACGAGTGGACGTCGAACGTACCCTGAGATGCTGGTTCCCATGAAAAGGACTATGAGGACTATAAGGACTATCAAATCCATGATGCAAAACGTTGAATTCACCAGAAAAGAACGCATCGCTTGTGAACGGGTCTCTAAAGAAGGCTTCGAAAAGGCTCGAACTCGCAGGTCGACCAAACATTCTCTCACTCTTTCACGGGCCCGCCTGACCTATAAGGAATGTCAAGGAGTGACCGAGGGATCCAATGGCCGTGTTTTGCATTCCCATAACCTCAAGACAACCAATTCTACATGATCCTATTAATAGAACTCCAAGGGCTTTGAACATCTAGGAACACGTCACCTCCTGAAGGCCAAGGAAGGCTGGAGAAAAGCATATGTGAAGCGAGAGCGTGGCAAGGGAGTGCGGCCGATCGTGTTCGTGGTGAATTATTCAATCACACAGACTTCGCAACTTTGAGCTCCAAATTTGACTCGCAGCCTCGAAGTGCGCGACCGCTCAATTTCTCTGAAGAGAATTTTCTCCAGGGGTAAGAGCACCGACGTCAATCTTTAGGTGTTGACTGAAATGTTTTCGTGCCCTTCACGCTCCAGGTTGCGTCAGCGATCGGCTGGGAAGACGTGGTTCTGCACTGATCTGCAGCTAGTACTCAAGTCCCTTGGCTGCAGAATGGTGTCAGTGTTTTTCGACATCTCACATGTCACATGCGAGATTCTCACGGATTTGTCGAGCTGAGGCTCTTTGTTTTTGGGAGCAGGATCTGAGGTCCCCCCCAGCCACTGATGGGCGCTGGTAGCAGCAAGAGCTCAGAAGCCGCAGGGTCTAATGCAGGACCCAGTGGCAACGCCGCTGCAAGCTCATCTGCCTGTCCCGTCCCTGAAAATGTCAGGAGCAAAGTCGTCTACAATGTGTACAACCAGCGTATTGACCCCAGCGCCTGCCCCAAAATGGTGCGCACAAGCAGACAAACTCTGGATGACAACCAATTGCATTCTTTGGTTTCTCACAACCTCTGCCTGTTTGCATGCTATACGGGGCCATGGCCAGGTGGGAAAGCAGTTTTGGGCATGGTGCAGGACCCTCGCAACAACATGCCGGTAGAGCCAAACCAGCAGCCATTCCCTGGGCAGCGCAAGCCCATCTCCACAGAGCGCATGGTCTCCAGCATCCCCAAGGGCGGCACCGATGATGCCTGGGTCTACCCCTCGCCCCAGATGTTCTACAACGGTGCGCCACCATCTTAGTTTCTCCATGCTCTGCGTTCACAACTTAACCGACATATGGCAAGAAGGAGAAGGGAATCCGGCAAGGTCAGTTGGTTGTGTGACAGAAGCTGTCTCTGGTGGGTGCAGCGCTGAAACGGAAGGGCAAGGGAGATGACGTGACAGAGGAGGACATGGATCCAGTGGTGCATGCACACAACAGTGCGCCCTCACCTATTATTCACGGATGTTCTGTTCAGGCCGTTCAGATTCTGCAGGCGTGTCTGTTACTGTGTGCACTGTCCTGGCGGATAGGTGTGCTGCGATGACAATTGCGCGGCTGTGCAGGCATGAATGAGGTGACGTGGCAGCATGTGCTTGCATGGGAGAGGCTGCACGGCGGGGAGTGCGGAGACCCTCGCTTGCTGCGCTTCACTGGACGGCCAGACGAGCTCAGGTGTGACAAAATCACTGTCTTCAATGCAGATGTCGCTGTGGTGTAGCTGTGTAGTGGCAAACAGTACATACACTTGCTCCAATAAAGGCTCAGGCTCAAAGGCCTGTACAGCTGGGAAGCCAGGCATTTGCTCTGCAGCGAAGGTTGTGTTGCAACAGACACAGCCGCAACCGCACCAAACCGTCCCGTGAAATCTTACAGCCTGGTGTGTGTTACATGACTTGGGGTTGAGTGTGCGGTGTGGCATGGTTGCAGCCCTCTGGCGCGCTTGAGCAGCTGGTTTGGCGGGCAGCTGCCGTTTGACCGGCACGACTGGTGGGTTGATCGCTGCGGCCAGGAAGTGCGCTACGTCATCGACTTCTACTTCCACGAGGAAGCGGCTGGCACCCCTGAGGTGCGCGCTGCCTTGTGAAAGTGTTCAGTGTGCAAGTCACTGCAATATCTGTTTGCACTTGTGTTTGCATGTCTATCCTTGTGCTGTGTTCCGGTGCTGTCTGTCGGCACCAAGACAGGCTTTCAGGGGAGGACACGGTGCCAGGCTTACATATACATCTACTTAGAGGACCTCCTAGAGGGAGAAAATGGTGCACCCCTTTTACAATCACAGGACAAACGCACAGCACCTTCACACTACAACCGCATCACGCCACAACCTATGTGACAGCAATGCAGCAAGCTTGGAGACTGGTAAATGTGGGTGCTGGATGTGTGGACAGGCATTTACGTTGCGAGTGCGTCCGGCAGTGGACACTGTGGAATCAGTTGTGGACCGCTCAAAGATGACAATCTACCAGACATTTGCACGGCTGGGGCTGCCCTGCCCCATCACAGGGACTCCTGGCAGCATTGGCAAGGAGGCGATCCAAACAGAGCAGCATTCCTAGTCGCGTTTCTGCACTACATGTGACATTGGTAGTCTTGCTTTTCTTTTGAGTGTTGTTGACTTCACCGTACTGGCGCCGTTTCATGGTGGGTGCCTGCTGCAAAAACGAGATATTTTGGAAACAATGGAGATTGAGCTAGTAGCTAATGCTTGACGATCACCCAGCATTCCGATGATGAGCAGTTGTAGCAGCCAATGTTTACACATTGAGTCAAAATCAAAAGTGGCAACCCTGTCAGCTAGTTTGCATCACAACAGGAACAGCATTCTATGTCATGTTTCAGACGTCAATGCAATTTCATACTCACAGGCAGAGGCTAATCGGCTGGTATATGAACTTGACTGATGCAAAACATTGCTGGTGGGCTAGAACTCAGCACACTCCTCATTCTAGGTGTAGACCCTCCAAACCAGATATGGGAGGATCGACATACTATCAAAAGCAGGCTGATGATCATGAGTCTAAAGGCATGAGGTTTGCTTCCTTCTATGATGCGTTACGGTACGGAGTCAAATCTTGTTGCATGCTGGGCCACTCGTCAACCCTGAAAAGGCTCTCCAGCTGTTAGACACACCCTGAAAATAGGCCCTTGCCTGTGTGGCCTTCTCTTGCACATTCGCATATATAAACAGGATGATTGTTTTGCAACTCCATTTCACGGGTCAAATGACACATCAGGCACAACATTCTCAGACCATCTGGATCCACTGTATAGGAGCTGGACCCTGGTTTGGAGATGCACAGGGGCCAATATCGGCAGCAGTGCCAACGAACCCATTTTGACAACCTTTTTCGGCTGTTGTCCTATACTGCGTTGCACTTTGCAGCAGATTCATCAAGCTTGACACTGGACGCATGAGTACACTTAGGCTCTTGACAAGGGACAACGGTCCCAGAGGGGGAACAAAAACAGCTCCATGTCGGGGGCTGCAAGAATGAGACGCTTGTGGGGGACAGCGGAGTGATCCAGCGGAGCATTACTGGAAGAGGGGGACGGGGGGCACGGGCGTTTGTGGCGTGCCCTCCGCCCAGCCCAGGAGCGCCTGGCTGCCGCACAGCTTCTCGCTGGCCTCCAGGATCTTGCGGTGCGCCGCAAAGCGCCACAGCGCGTTGAGGTCGGGCATGCCGAACAGCGGGGAACGCGCTGGGGACGCAGCCGCGGAGGGCGGCCAGGATGAGTGCGCCGGCGCGCTGCCCGGTTTGTGCGCCCAGGAGAGTGCCTCTGGCGCCCGGGCCGGGGCGTTCCCTCGCGCGCCCAGGTTGCCCATGGCCTCCATCAGCGATGCGAAGGCCGCCAGCGAGCGGCTGCCCGTCAGCGGCGCATGCATGCCTGCACATGCGCGCATGCTCCTTGTTACACATTGCAGGAATGCCGACAAGTAGTTGCTGATGCTGCCTGGGTTCATCGACAGCATAGCAGCACTTTGGTGAAGAGGTGGGTGGAAGTGCATGTGAGTATGACAAGGATAGGGGGTGCCGTGAGGAATGGTCACCTGCGGAAGCGGATCGGCCGCGGCGGCTCGGGGGCGGCGGGGACTGTGACGACGTGGCAGCGAGCACCTTGGAGCTGGGCTTGACGGTGCGCACAGGCCGGTGGGCCAGCGCAGAGGGAACGCCGCTGCCCGCGTCATGCAGCAACTCAGGGCCCCCGGAGTCGTCCGACGCGTTCAGCGCCGCCGCCGCTGCGGCCGCCGCCTGAGCCGCGCGGTGGCGCGCCCACCGGCCGCCGCCGCGGCCCCGACCGCCTCGCCCCGCGTATCCGCGCCCTGCATTGACATATCCTTCCATCAGAACTTCCTGCACTTCAGTTGGTAAACTCCGGCAGCGTGTGAAATGAGTGAATGTATGCAAGGGACATCCCATGCAAGATGCACAACGAGGAGAACCAGGAGCAGACCTCCGCGTCTGCCGCCGCCGCCGCGGCGGGCGACGGGTGGCGCGGGCGGCTCGGGGTCCTTGTCATCCTCGGAGTCTGGGGGGCTGTTGAAGGGGGAGGGCGAGGGCATGGAGGCCATGGGGGAGGTCTGTGGCGGGGGCATGGAGCGCAGGGAGGCAGTGTCGTCGTAGGGGTTGTCGATCTTGAGGGGCTTGCGCGTGCGCCGAGCCGGCCGCAGGCTCTTGGGGCTCAGTGTCGGCTCTGCCGGCGGGATGGGCGCCTTGTCGCTGTCGCTGCTGCCACCGTCCAGCTGCTTCTTGTGCGATTGCTTCCATGCCCCCTGCGTAATTTTAAGGTTTGGTGTCATGTCCTAAATTCCCAACTCTTTCTGTGTGCATCGCATAAAGTGAACGTGCAAGCCTGCACGCAACATGGGAGCACCAATCTATTGCCCAGATGTTCAAAGCACGATTTTAAGGTTGGAAAGACAGGAGATTGCACCTTCCAGCCCAGGTGCTGGGGCTTGGCCTGGGGGGAGGGCATAATTGGGCTGCCACCGGCCGCAGCGTCAGTCCTGCCGGCGACGGCCTCATCCGCAGGCAGCGCCTCCTCGCACTGCAGCCTCGCGTCATCGCCCTCGTCACCCTCAGACCCCAGTCCAGACAGAACAGCCGCCGCTGCCCGGTCCGCCACATCATCCTCAAGCTTCACTGCATCACCTGTGACACCCAAATAGGGACAGTCAGACAGGCACGTACATACCCCAACACTTCATCAAGCACTCTTAGAAGCATCTGTGCTAACACAGGTGCGTCAAGTGAGAATAGCACTGACAACGGCATGTTGGTGATATGATACCTGCAGCGCCACTCCTTTTGCCGGCAAGGTCGTCTGCCGCTGCACGTGCAGGCTGGGGTTGCTCTGCTGCGCTGGACGCAAGCTTGGCATCATCATCCTCGCCTGAGTCAGTGCCGGCATCGCCGGGAGCAGGCTTGCTCTCCGTGCCCTGCCCCACCCAAGCACAATCAATATAAACACTGGCAAGCAGCGCCTGTGTAAATGACACATGCAGTTTACTGCAGCACATAGTGACAAAAGTGAAGGCCCAGACTATGTAGAAAGTCACAATGCATCCTTTGCAGCTGTGAGCGTACCTTGGCAGGCGTGTGTGGCTTGACTGCGCCACTGCAAGCATTGGCATCAGCAGGGACAGAGGTGGGCTCCAGCTTGGCAGCGTCTGTTTCCAGTGTCAGCTCTGCCGGCTGCGCCGCCTTCTCGCTCTTCACCCTCCTGCCCCTGGCAGACTTTCCGCTGTCTGCCTCCTTGGGCGCTGTGCTCACATGCGGTGCGAAGGCTGGCCGAGCCCTGGTCACCTTGACAGCTTGCACCGACTCTTCCTGCTCAGACACAACACAAGTAATTCATAACAAAGCCAACGCTTTGCACGTGAGTCAGCACTGTCAAGAACTGTCAAAAATTGTAAGAAAAGATTGCAAGGCAAGCGTGGAAATCGAACCTCGATGGTATGGTCGTCGTCGTTGTCGGCAGGCTCATCATTGGAGGAAGGGTCGGAGAATTGCTCCGCGTCGGCGGCGCTGTGGCTGTGGCGGCTGGTGGGCTGCGAGGCCGGCTTGAGGCCCGATGTCTGCCGCTGCGGCTGCTGCTGCTGCTGCGGCTTCCTGCACGCCTTCTCCTTGGGCTCCCACGCACCGTCCCCCTGCCGTGCCGTGCAAAAACCATTGCTGGCCACAACAAAGTATGGTGGCTGACATGACACAGTCTGCACGCCTTTGAAACAACAAGAAAGCGTACCCTTCTCAATTTCAGACATCATGCTCACAATTGGGGCGATGGGGTTGCATAACGCACCAGGTAGCGCCAGTCCTTGCCCTTGTAGGACCCACGCCAGATGCGGTCGCTGTCCCTCGGAAGGTTCAGCGGGCCGCTCTGCTCCTCAAAGCCAGTGAACTCTGCAAGTAAGCATGCAATATGAATCTGCCAGATGCACCTGAGCAAACACAAATCAAGCATGCATAAGGGCAGAGTTGTCTGTGATGTGCAGAAGGGGGTGCTGGCGTCCCACCTATCTGCACACGGTTGCCGGTATCCCTGAGCAATCGCGCGCGGTACCACTTCTTGCCGTGGCGGACCATGGGCAGCTTGGGGATCTTGCGCCCGTGCTTGGCAGCGGGCGCGTGGGCGCCATTGCTGTTTTGGCCGTCGTCGCTGTGGGAGTCTGCGTCCATGGAGGATGAGGGCAGCGTGGACAGGTGCTTGTCTGAGTCGCTGCCCTTGACCTTCACAATTCCCTCCTCCTGTGTGCAGTGCACAGTGAGGTCAGTGGATCAGTCGTGTACACAGCAAACAAGTCAGACATGCAGCCTTCCCAATCTCTGCAGCAATACAGCTCTAGTGTCATATGCAGACAGGTTGATCTTCCGGTGGTCTCAGGCAGTTCCACTTATCAAGAAACTGAGTCTGCACAGGCCACAGCTGCCTGTGAGACACACCTTCAGGGCAGGCTGCCCCAAGTTGCTGCGCTGGCGCTTGGCGGCGTTGCCTCGTGCAGCAGTACGAGCCAAGTCTGTCCCTTCGCTGCCCTCATCCGCATCCAACGACGGCCGCGCGCTGCCGCTGCCTGCGCAGCTCTCATTCCCTCTACCGCCGCTCCCTGTCAATGCATCACATCCTCTCCTCTCAGCACCTGCCCGTCCTTCAGTGCGCCAGGCACGACAGGACATGTGGCACAGAATAGAATTTTCCCACTTAAGGCTAGTGAGTTATTTGCATATGTACCTTTGGCACTGCCGCTGCACCCCTCTGCCTGGGGGCTCTCTGCCCTCTGCACGCCCTGCGTGGAGCGGATCAGTGCGCGCAGTTCCCTCCCGCTCACTCCACTGTGGCTGCGCCTGCCCTGCTCCTCCTCTTCTTTCACGTCCCTGCGCAACAGTCTTCCTGATAAGAATACACTGTGCAAGGCTTCAGTCTCTCCAGCGACACACATGGGTGCTCTTTCAAAGCCTCGCCAAAACATGACATGAGCAATCTTTGTTGAGAAGCTGAAGGACAGATATGTACCTGTCTGGGGAGACATGCTGGCGCTTGGCTTCAGGCTCTTGCGCATCATCAGCTCCCTTGTTGAGGGGGCGCTTGTCGGCGCTGCCCGAGGACCGCACTTCGCCGTCTGACATGCATGCGTCGCCCTGCTGTGCAGCCTGCGCGGTATGCTCATGGTCACCCTCCAGATTCACAAACTCCGCTCCGTGGTAGCCGCTATACCCAGTCCCTTGCTGCACGCCACCAAGCGATGGCGCTCTGTCAGTGGCTCCCAAGGACTCCAACACCCAACACGTTGCCTCTATGTCAATGCCATGGAGCATAAGGGCAAATATGTAATCTCCACTTATGTATCCGGTTTCACCAGGCGCAAGAATCACATGCAGGGCGAGATAATAGGCCCTAGGGTGAGCACCTGAGGGGTGTAGAAGGAGGGCTGCTTGCGAGTCCTTCGCCGCACAGCCAGCGCCAGGGCTTCCCCGTTTAGCTGCGCATGCAGTCTCCGCGCCAGCTCCTCATCTGACGCCGCGTCCTTGCCTGCGCTTGCTGCTGCAGCGCCTGCTGCCGGCACCTGTGCAAGCGTACACTCACGAGTGAAGTAAAATGAAGGGCAGATGGGTCCGAGAATGAGAGCAGCATGATACTGGAGCGGTCAAAGAGAGGAGCAGCAAGCACTCACCCGCTCCTCGACCATGGAGTCAGGGCGAGCGCTTGGCTTTTCAACAGCCCCAAGCTTCCCCAAGTCAGGGGCCACGGGCAGCCCTGATGTTGAAGTGCCTTCAGAGGGCGGCATGGCTGTGACTGCGCGGCCAACACTGCTGCCTGTACGCATTTGTAGTCACTTACGCTATTTCCACCCCTATCAATCCCCCTGCTCACCACAGCCACCAGGACCATCAGCATCGTCCAGCTCCTGAAGCCCAACAGCAAAAAGAAGCTAGTGGATGTTGCTGGATGCAATTGAAAGTGTGCAGCGCGCACCAGTCGGCCCATCACTGCCATCCTGGCATGTAAAGAGCTGCTCGTGGAATTAGTGCGCTACTCGCAAATGTCCGTAGCATGGCCTACGCTAGCCTCTAACAAGCCTCCTGCTCAATGCTCGCGAATGTATACCTGGAAACCAGAGAACTTGCGGTGAGCAACCCGGGGCACTGCGGATCCCACACAAAAAGCCTTGTATGGCCCAGATTCCAGCTGACCATGCTGACAGAATTAAACCCCGCTTGAAGCGCATGTGAGAGCTCTGCTCGAGCCACCATTCCGTTGGGGCCTGCTTTCACTTTCACAAGGTCTCTACAAGGAAAGACCATGAACCTCAGCTCGAAGCTAAAACGAGATTGGCAGAGGACGGGCGTTGTACCAAGTGAACCCACCCTATCACCAAAGAATGCTATGTAAGCTTTTCGTACTTGAATCCATGCAAGACGGCCCTGAACACGTAACAGCCAGTCCTGAACCAATTCTGTTGCAGACTTGGTAACAGAGCATAACAAACACCGGCGATAAGTATGACCATTGACAACAGAAACACCAAGACGAAGATAGAACGCAGCAGAAATGCGAAGGTGCAGACGAAGAACAAGAAAGAAAAAGGGGTTGGGTCATATTAGCTGGCGGGAGCACTAACCCGTTTTGAAACGGTGGGCCCTCACTTTCTCTTGCAATAAGTTTCCTGATGACACTAACATTGGCGACATTACCTGGATGCAGCAGCTGCAGAAAAGGACGACAGTTCTCACGGGGTCTATAATTCACATACGAGATTTCAGGAATCTACCTTTGCTGGTCGGTCACTTTAGTCCTTTCTTCACATTCAATACCACAGTGTGCTGACAAGTTTTTAATCTACCTGCTGGCAGTCTGAACCAGGGTGTGTAAAGACTTTACTCTCCTTCTTCACCTTCCAAGTAACCTTCTCCTGACCAACCTTATCCAAGACCCTGCCCTCTTGAATGCAGGACCTTCCGGGTCTACTGAAATAAAGCGCCAAGATCTAAACGTTGGGAGCTCAATCTTAAACAGGAATGAGAATAACCTGCAACCTTGCAAGTCACGCGTCGAGGGAGGGATATAGAGCTATGTAGGGGGGTCGCGTTTGAAATAGACGGCCGCCACATCAGCAGCGGCGGATTCCTGGGCCAGAATCCCACAAGCTGAGAGAAGCGTTATGAAGCTCCCAATCATGTGCGCCGGCCACATCATGCAACAGTTCATGTAAGTTGGATATTGTCAGTGTTGCACATTTTGTCATAGATTGTTTTGATCACTTGGATGCTGTCAGTACATCCAATCAGCCCTGGGTGGCATATTACTGGAGTTGATGTGTAATTTCCTTCCTTCCTTCCATCATTGATTCATAATTTCCAAATCTGAATGCTTGCTGCCACACTGACCATGGCAGCCTGCTGAGTGGGACCGCGGCCACCGGAGTCGACTCGGATATCCGACGGATATTATCTGTCAACCGGATCGATCCGGCCGATGCCGCCGCCGCGGCCGCAGTGCCACCGGTGGTACTGCGGTGTCAGTGACTGCGACCCTTGGCCTCCATTCGGTCCAATCAGGTGCCTGGCGGACCGAGCATGCATGCTGCGCAGCACTTGCACACACATTGCAAGGCATGCTGAATGTGCATCACAGATCACTAAGTAAACTCAGTAAGTACCACTTAGTAACACTCTTATTTATTGATATCAGGGTGTCCTGCAGCACTGCGGCAGGAGCCGGCCGGCGCCGCTGCAGCTGCGGCTGAGGCATTAAATTCCCGGCCCGGTACCTGGTACCTCGCATCATTCATGCATATGCATTGCACTAGATAGATGCACCGCAGCCCTGGAAGCCATGCCATTATGCAGTCAATTATATATCAATGAGACCAATCGGGTCGATTCCAATTGTTAGCATGGGTCATCCTGGAAGCGCTTACAGACATTGCAATTGAATCAATTGCATCTCTCCGGCAGCCTGGTAGGATTGCTCAGAAGCTATCATGACATGCAATAGCTGCACTGGCCTCAGGCGGGCTGCCAATTTTAATGACAGTCATGATTTTTTGCACAGACCCCCCGAGGCCCATGGAGCTTCCACCAGCCAACACCAGCAAACGTTTTCTACACGCATGCCTTTCCCTACGTCTATTTATTCCCAATGCTCACAGGCAATCAACAAAATCAAATTGGCAAATTTTGTCGGAGCAGTTCACAAATGGCACATTTGGTGCCAGAACTACCAGTCTCCTACATTGCTCTATGCCAAAACTATTTATAATACAATGTGGTTACCAGAGCGGGTTGAATACACAAACAGAGAGCAGAAATAAACAAATAGCTGCCAACCCCAGGGGAATATAAGGCAACTACAACTCAATTTGCTTATTCCACAGCCCTATACAGCAACCCAAAGCAAGAGACTACCATTGCAACAAAACCAGGAATGATGTTTGGCTAAGGACCACATGGATTGCAGTCCCAGGATATTCAAAAAGCAGCGGCAGCAGTGATGCACTGCTGGAACCCATACTATTGGTCTACAGTAAATGAGTACAACGGCTCATCTTGCGAGGTGGAGTAGTAGTGGACCTGCAAGTGCTGTGGGCTCAATATGCACTCCACAAAGCCTGCACAAGACAACACACTTCAGTAATTTCCTGTAGAAAAGAGGCTTGCAATTAAAACTGTCTGCATGCCCATGATTCTACACCCACAGTCAATGTAGCCCTGGTCTAAGGCAGACCTTACCTGACCCAGGGAAGAAGAGTTTGAGTTCAGGCCTCTCCTCATCCACAAAGCCATATGCATTGCTCTGGGAGCCGCCTCCGCTGACAACATAGTGTGTCGATTCTCCGTCAACGTGCAAATGCTGCAAATTGTGCTCGTGCCCACACAAATATGCGTGGACACCGTAGCGATCCATCAGGGGCTTCAGTGCAGCCCCCACCTCTGGGTATTCCTGCACGGCAGCACACAAGCCTTCGAAGCCCACTACACCCCCAAGGTGCCAGCTTGACCTGCTAACTTTGAAGTGTTCTTTCAGAATCAGTTGTCTGGTGGTGAAGTCATGAAGCAGCTTTCTGCCCCACAGCACAGCAGGGGCCTATGTGGGCTCACATGCAGGTCAGACCGTATCGGGTGGTGGCCGACAACAATCTTCCAGTTGGCGCTTGACCTCTCCAGCCGGCTCTCCAACTCCTTCAGCTGAGCGTCAGGCGACTGCTCAAGTATGCCTCCTGACGCACATCACTCGATCACGCACATGCACCGGCCAGCTGTTTCTGCACACAACATCCACAGAGAGCTTGCATGAGCATTGTTGAGCTCCATTGCACACCTCTGTTCACCGCCCAGATCACATGATGGTACTCCTGCACCATCGGGCTGGTGTCAATGAAGAAGAACTCGACTGCGCCATCTGCCAGCGCCATTGTCCAGGAGCGCTCGCAGTGCCACCTGCTGTCCCTTTCCCGCAGCCTCACATCCAGCTGCGGCCACACAGTCCTTGCATCAGCTTTGGATGGACATCCGGCAGGGGTGGGCTCTCTGGTGTGATATCCTCTCTTGCCGGAGTAATCGCTAGTAGCTGGTTCCCTCCGAAGTTTCCCCCAGGATGGCTGGAACTCGATCAGTTTTATCAGATTTATCCATCGCAACAAAGCTTCCATCCGACGTCCATTGCTGCTGCATCGTCTGGACCGTAAGCACACCTGAAAAATGCTAGCAGGCAGAGGGTCTGTGCACCGTATGCGTGCTGTGGGATTTGTGCAGGCTGATGCAGGCCATCACCTGGTGCAAGGGGCCGTAGAAGCAGTCATCAGCGGTGGCATTGGCAGGGCAGTTGGTGGGTCGAGGCATAGTGCGGTCGGAAGAATTGGTGGGCCAGTATTCGCCCATGTCGTGGTTTCCAAGCACTACATGCCAGGGCACCTGTGCCAGCCGTGCAAGTGAGTATGGCAGCAAGAGCATCTACAGCAGTAGAGGCTTTTGTTATCATGCAGCATGCCAGAAGCTTGCCAGTATTTCCACCTGGACACTCTCAGCAGTGTAGATCTGAGTGAATGACGTGTCAAACTGGGAGTCCTCAACCGATGTCAGCCCCGTCTCATAGAAATTGTCTCCAACTGAGATTACGAAGTCCAAGTTGTGGCCCACCCGTCCCATTGCCCTGGCTACTTCGGACTGGTTGTAGCGCCCGTTGCGGCCCCAATCACCCACCTGTGCAGTTGCTCCAACCTCACAATGGTCTGAACGCCGTAATGGATGCAATAATTTGGATTTTAGGAACGAAAAAATGCTCAGAGCGCGCCTCACCACCAGGAACTTAAGCTGATACTGCTCGCTGTATCGGCCCTCCAAACCAAGCGCTGTCAGGATGCCAGCCAGCAGCAGCAGTGCGCATACTGTCAATCCGATTGCTGAGTAGCTTCGCCACGACATACCTACAGGATTTGATGGATGTCACACAAAGAAGTCTCCACTAATGTGGTGTTTCTTGGTAATTCAGGTGGTGCAGGCCATCTTACCGTCCTGAGGTTTCGCAGAAGCCGGTAGGAATGCATCGTAACTGCTGGAATGAGGACCTAAAGGTTTGGTAAGTGATGCTGTTTCTTCGTCTTCACCAGGAGTTGGCACTTGTAGTGAGATGGGTACCATTTCGAGCTGTTCTTCTTCTATTTTCCTATTTCTGGCTTCCAGTGAGTCAGTCATGCAGGCCCTGCTGCTGAATCACGCATCACTCGCATCGCTGCAGATGTCAATAGGCGTTACAGCAGCCCAACGGCCTGCATGAGTGTCAATACGATAGTGGAAGCGCACAGCACTTAAACAGCACCAAGCCCCCAAGGTGACCTCTGGACATCATCAAATATTCCTCGCCATGGCAGTCGCGCTCGCTTCCGTGGATCCCATGCGCTGATCATGATGGTGTTCCCTCCTTCCGAGCGGCTTGCGCGCTGACACAGCTTCCGACTGTTCCCCTTCATCCCTCGATTGTTTGCGACTTGTAAATTCAATAAATTTATAGGAAGTTGACAGACCATCCTTGCGCAAACAGATTATCGCTGAGTACACCGTCATTAGCAACTTTGCATGCCTTGAGATTCTTGTTGGCTGAGTCACCGGATGGCCATTTTCAGTGCATCGCTCCAATCTAGCCACGTTCTTGCACCAGTGCAAGTACACCAGGCAAGAAGAACGAGATGCAGAAGCACGAGATCAGTTATAGTGCGAGCATTCCAGGGCACAGAAAGGGGTGCGTCAGGTTTGGACGTGAAAGGCTTGAGGCCCACGTCCCCAGCGGCTTGGGCCATCATGCGAGACACATTGAGAAGTCGCAAGGTGTCCTCCCAGCACTTTTCTGCAGATCTACTTAAGTACCCTCAAACAGTTCCTGAAGTTTCCTCTTCCATCAACTTCGGTCTTTCCTGTCAGCCACGTCAGGAAGATCTGAGTGAAGCTGATGAGTTTTACTGGGAATTGGTACAGGTGCAGATGCTGTCGCAGCAGGAGCTTGTCTTTGCACTGGATAAGGAAATCCCTATCATAGACATACGGCCACCTGATGAGTTCAAGGCGGGACACATCAAGGGGTGCGTAAGCCCAACATGCACAGTTGTGTCATTGAGAGTGCAGGATGCTTTCACAAGGTTTTTAGCTACCCATGCGCATGCAACTGAGGAAGTGCTGTCACAGGTCTGTTCATATCCCACTGTACAGGCCAATCACTGGCTGGGATGCCCGGAAATTGCTGCGGAGAGCAGGATTCGCGTTCTTTGGTGTTTTTAATGTGAGTATGTCCTTGCCAGTGGTTTGCATCTGCTCCTCTAATGGGACCAACCTTTCATCGCCCACAGGAGATTTGGAAACCTTGATCTAGACTGCTTTTTTATTGCAGGGCACGGAGCTCAATCCCGATTTCTTTGATGACATCGTGGCTGCAGCTTCCAAGGAGAAGGGAGCAATCCTGATTTGCAACATTGGAGGAACCATCGAGCCGACAGAGACAAATTCTGAGGGATTCCAGAGCAGGTGTGAAATGCCACAGGCATCCTGGGACCTGCACTGTCCAGAGGCATGCCTTTCACAGGTTGACAGGTTCATTCTGCCTGCTCAGTTCTGCAAGTCTTCTTGCAGGTCCCTGATGGCTGCGTATGAGCTCTCAAATATGGGTTTTGACAACATCAAAGTACTGAAAGGTGGCTTCAACGACTGGAAACGGTCTGAGAGGTGCGCTATCCATTGTCAGTCACCCAAGAATCATCGCGCACCCCGCCTTGCACCAGGAATGCTGACATGGTATATTAATTAGCTTGATCTTGAATGTTTGCATGTGGCTCAGGGGATTTGAGGTGGTTGAGGAAACATGATGGGAGCATTTGCCTGCATTGAAGCAGATGAGCATTGAGAGATGAATGGTGATCTGTTTTGATGATCAGATCTGGCAAGACAGATGCATCGAAAGATCTTTGGTATATATGTTTGAGTGTCTTTGGAGTGTCGGTTGACGCGTGTACATTACAGTGATTTCCAGTAAAGAACTATGTGCCCCACAAATTGTATGTGTTCGTCACAGAGCTGCTTTGTTTGTAGCTATGCGGAAGTCTATCAATTCCTATGCTTATTTTCTTTGTTGTACAGCCTATCTGACTTAGACTGCCCGGCAGGGCCTGTGCAAGTTAATATGTCCTACACGGTATCTCCCCTGCAGCTGTAGGGGCCCAAGTTTTCACTGTTGGAAGCATATATACCCAGTTCTCATGTTCCATTTGACAGCAGATGAGCTGTGGGGACACTGGCATTGATGATATCTAGTCCCACCGTGACGGTAGCCATTATCTTGATCATCATGGCCGCCTTGCGGCATCCCATGGCCAACTTGGAGCTTTTCATGTTTTCTGCAAAGATTGGCATCAATGAAGACCGCTTCGATTGTATCTTCCGGTGTTTGGACACCCAATCAGAACATGCACGCATGTCAGAATGCAAATAGTGCTTGCAAGTCCTTGGACATTTGACTCAATCAAGACCACATGCTTAGTCATCAGGTTTGTAGGTCTCTGGCCAGAAGACTCTTTGACAGAGCTATGAATTGACAATGTGGCACATTGTGAATTCTGACACTGTAATCATATAGCAAGCACCATTGGCAATCAGAAAATTGCGTACAGCTGAAGAAAATCAAGGCATGATCTTGTCACTACGCCTCTCGGTTTTCTCTGATTATGCTGCAGTAGTCTCTTGAGATTGGCGAGATATCATATCTCACTCACAATCGTTGTAGATCTCAGGTCAATACTCCGAGGTGCTCGTTGCTGGAAGGCAATGTGAACAGGGCATGCATTCAGCTGCACAATAGATCATGGAAGATCGATATTTTGGGACGGGTTGAGGCCAATAGCATGGCTTTTGTCATGTCTCTGGCACGCACCAAGAGGGTGAAATACATAGGACAGGATGGCTCTGAGGTCTTTCAAGAGGACAATCGATGGCACTTTCTCAGTGCGGAGAACCTGGCCTCCCAGGTGATAAGCAGAAGTATTTTGAGCAACCTCGCAGTTGTTTATGCTATTGAATATGCCTGAATGGAAATTGTGACGAATCGAGCAATTGAATAAGCGGGAAAATGACAGATCCTGCTAGCAGGTTGCCACAGCAGACGCAAGCCATGAAGATGGCACCACGGCCACCGAGCTGAAGGCACTCACTCCCAGAGAGGTCTTAGAGAAGATCTATGCTGCTCGGGTGGGTGGAGTGCCGTGCTGTATTCTGGCCATGCCCATCCTCCGATGTGCTGCATTCAGACAATTGCAAGTAACACCAGGTGCATGCTTCTAGGGGGAGGTGGATGTCATATTGGACCTGGTCAGCGCTGTGGAGGCAGGGCAGCACCTGAACGTGGCGAATGTCCCGCCGCCTAAGAACACCCTGCATGGGCTCACCAGCCAGCGCGCCCTGCAAGTGCAGGCCAAACGCCTGCAGCTCCAGGTTGGCTCACCAACAACACCATCACCCACAGCCCACCTGCGCTCACGTCACCAGTGATGGCATGCATGCAACACATTACCGCCCTAATCACACTCATCCCGTACTGGGTAAAGGTATGGGCAGCAATAGAGAGTGCGCATGACAATCAATTTGTGGTGCCCAGGATGCAGCGCAGCGGCTGAGCAGGGGGGCAGGGCTGCTGGCGGCCAGCCTTGACCGGGATGACACCTACTACAGCCAGGCGGCGCAGCTGCAGCGCTCGTGGAAGCTGAAGGCCAGCCCTTCTGGGGCAGCGGCGCCGCTGACTGTGGATGTCAGCCTGCCATTCGCGCCCCGAGGGAAGCGCGAGCCTGCAGTGGAGCCCCTGCTGCTAGACCGGCTCCCCAATGGCGAAGTCTGCATCCCTGAGCTTGCTGGGCTTGAGGTGAGAGCCTTGGACGGCGGCTGTGAGGGAGTGTAGAAGTCGGCTTTCCAGAAGCTGGGGCTTCGGCCTGTGCTGGGTTCTACTGCCTGCATGACCTACTGCTTCATTTTGCTAATCAGAAAAAGCCTGGTTTCCGGTGCATTGTAGAGCACTTCTAACTGGTCATTTTACTGTGTCAGGGCGGCAGCATCAGTCATGAAGAGCGTGTAGACGGGATGAGCAGCAATGGTTTTGCAGAGATGCAGGAGCCAGGCAGCACTGCCAATGAACCCGGTACGCCATGCCTGTATTGTGGTAAAGCTCACAAAGATAATGCTCCGTGCACTCTGGGCGGCATTTCGCTATCCACTACCTTGCTCAATGCGGTGCATAGTAGATTGCCAGACAACATTGGGTCTTGTTTGATCTACCATGTCCATTTGTCCAAGGACTTTTGCACCATCGTGTGCAGCTTGTCTTCATATGCACCTTGCCGCTTTTTGCAGAAGATGCATCTTGTGGGGACTTTGTTCCTGATCTGACACAAAAAAGGGCCCTATCGCAGGGCCGAGTGGGAGGGGTGGGGTGGATGCAGCGTACCGCCTGCTGCAGAGCCGGCAGCGGCAGGTGCTGTGGGGCGCCGTGCAGCGGCTGCTGGAAGCGGAGGCCGCGGAGGTGGACGGGGGCGGCAGCGGCCACGTGCTTGCAGCCGAGCTGGTGAAGCGTGCCACCGGGCCGGCCCAGCCGCCCGCCGCCGCTCTGGGGCCCCTGCTGCTCAGCCTCTTCCTCAAAGCTGTCGACGGTGAGGAGTTACTTACTTTACACTCAGGGTACACCGCGTTACAGCCCACCCCTGATGATTCAGGCATGCATTGAAAGAAACCAATGCAGGCATGTGAGCAAATTTGGCTAAGGCAGTAAGACGTTTCCCGGGGTATTCAAAGTCCAATCGGAAATGGCATGACAGCTAAGACACCTGAGCCACCTGAGACACCTGAGCCAGGAGCAAGATCAGCCATGCGGCAACTTGCACATTACATCACCTGCAGGCAGGTCTTCGCTGCAGGCTCCTTCATGCTGTAATCCATTGCTGATGATGGGCTCTGTGGCAGCTGAGAGGAACTTTATCACTTTTACCACCTGGTGCCACAGACACGGGTTTGGTCCTCCAGGAGGTGTTACCATGGTGTGTGCTGGACAGAGAGGGGAGGCGGCGTGCTGGCAGAGGCGTGCGGCTGGATCCGGTTTGTGGCGTTCCATGCAAGGGTGTGCGCATCGCTGGAGCGCCAGGCCGCGCGGCTGCTGGACGTGTCCCTCTCGTGGCTGCCCGTAACGGGGCTCATGCGATCGGCCGTGCAGATCCGCATCGATTCCCGGCCTCCGCTGCTGCTGCTCATCGCAGGGGTAGGACCCATCCAAGTTGGGCTGGGGACCATTGTATTTGTGCTGCATGGTGTTGAACTTGCGAGGCAGCCCTTCCTCTTCTCCTCTGGGGTTAATACTGCCTTGACGTCCGTATCTCTTGACTCTAGATTGGCGCTCGCGCTGTCTCTCATATGTGCAGATTCGAGCCTTCAACCTCTATTTTGCATGTGGTGCCTTGTGAGGACTAAGGTGACATCCACAGGCCTCTACCAGGCAGGCCAAGCATGTTTGATGCATGCAAGTGCTGGCGCAGGAAACTCTGCTGCTGGAGGGACAGGCTGGCGGTGGCGCGGCTGCTTTCATGGGCCTCAGAAATGGATCCTGCGGGCAGAGCCGAGTGCCAAAGCAGGAAAGCAACAGTCTGCTGCACAGGCTGCGGCTGAGCAGCGGATACTGAAGCTCTGGCTCAATTTCACAGAGTGCTGAGAGGCTTGAAGATATCTTTTCTCTGCATGCTCGCAAATTTTCAAACAAGACATCTTCTGATTACAATGATCGGATCGGTCAGGAGGCTGTCATATACACTCAATATTGCCCAGGACATCCTAAAGACGCTGACAGCCACATCTCACACACCTGAGTTTGCAAAAGGCCCTCTAGAGGCCCTCAAATCTGCAGCATCAAGAAAGATATCGTGGAGTAAAAACCTGGAAAACTCACAACCCTGCTCCTGGCACCATTGGCAGTCAACGAGGATCTGTCGTCATGATACTTGATGTCAGCCGCCTAATGCAATATCAATACTGCTGTATCACACGGGCTTGAGGACACAATCACTGCATTGACAATATGGCAGACAGCACCACTCTCACGGCCCTGGTAACACAAGTGATTGTCAATACCCAGACTTAATACAGTGCATACATTGCTCACATGCTGGCAGGCATACATCCACAGTACCCACAGCAAGCCACAATGCTTAAACTCTTTCGTACAAATAAGCTGTACTGGGCTTTGTTGCCCTTTATCTGAAGGAGGCAGCCCCGTGGTCTTGTATTTCAATTTTCTTCTCAATGACAGGTATTCAAGACGTTGACCAAAAATCTTAAGAGCCCTCTCACCTATCTCACTTAAACAGAAATCATGATCACTCGCTCACCGCACACGGATGCAGCCCCGTGTGAAGGACATACATGTGCTCACCTACCAGTGCTGACTAGTCCTGAAATCATGCATTTCAGCACAGGCACTCGGAACAAATATCCAGAACATTCAAGGCGCCTGTCGCTCAAGAGTGTCTCATCCTGCCTTGCCTTGCATTAACTCAATCTTGTCTCACCAAAATCGGTCCTTCCCAGAGGAGCTCGAGCAAAATCCTTCCTTTACTCAACCTTGCACACCCATGATCCTGTCTGATTGCATTTTCATTCTGCCAGAATTAATACCACGTCCTTGGGGAGCTCGCCAAATCTGTAAAGCGCACACTGACAGCAGATACAGAGGTATGTAACCTTTGCATCAAGATCACGTCCGCACACCGCAATATGCAAACTGTTGGCACCTGGGTCAAAATTGGTAGCTGGGTCTGTAAGCCACGAGGAGCTGTGGCAGAATGTAGAGTAAAGAATTTGGACTTTAGAAGCATGTCGTGCGTTCACTGGCCCATTGAGCAGCCTCAAGCTGATCAGCAGATCTTTGCCGGCGAGATGCAGCTAGCAAAGCTCCCCTGATCAGCTGTGCCCTATTGCCTATAGCCTTTTATCTTGATCACCACTTCAGCGGCCGTCCAATCCGCGGGTGTTTGTCCCTTGTTTCTGGTCCCTAGCTTCGGACCCCCTGATTGTCATCTTGTGGGGCCATCCATCCTAGGAAAACTGGTTGCCCTGGGACTCATACAGGGCCTGCAGGAACCTGGAGGCAGGATCCTGGCTGTGCACTGTCTGCCCCTTTCCATCCTGCCCTTGCCCCTGCTCCCCCTGCACCAGCACAGCCCAGTTGTCAGACACACAACCGTCACGCACTCACGCCATTCAAACGCAAGAGTTGCTGACACATATGTCACATTCAGCCGTCGACTCACTGCCCATGCCGGCGAGCAAACGCTGATGCACGTGTACGAATCATCAGTGCTGCAGAGTATAATTACACAACCCAGCGAGGTGACTACATGTACAGGAGACCAGGAACATGTGAAGACGATTTACACATCACATCAAATCAGTGCCGATGCAGGTGCCCAGGTGCAGTCTGATGGGGTTGGCAGTCATTTTAAAAAGAGGGATTGGCAGTTATTAAAAAAGGGGGATACGCGCGTGCGCACCATGCCGAGTGTTTCTGTGAGGCCGAGCTTGCGCAGCTGGCGCAGCTCATCCTGGAACAGACCGGCAGGAGCGCTCTCGCAGTGGTGCAGCGCAAACGCATCAGCGCCAACGCTGCCGTTGCCGGCCCCGGCGAAGAGCGAGGCGGCCGCCAGGTGGCTATTGTGGTCATCGGCCGCGCGGCCCCAGGGGTCCCGCTCGGAGGTGGCGAAGGGCGACTGCTGAGGCGGCTGCGGCTGCACCGCCTGTTGCATGTTGAGGCTGCCCATGCGCGAGGCCAGCTGCCACATCGCCAGCTCGGCTTCCGCCGCTGACGGCGACTGCGGCACCGAGTTGAACCCCTGCAAACCACACAGAGAATGACTCAGCACCACCACAGGTTCTTTGAGGTGCCGCTTGCCGAGAAGTTGCATCTGCGCCATGACATCCAAACAACGCTGATGTTGCCACTTGGCTATGGTTGGCTCACACTTGGCAGCAGAGTGGCTGACTGCAGGGGCAGGTTAGGATAGGCTGCAGCGACAAACATGGAGAACATGACAGGGAAAAGAAAGAAAAGAGATAGAGTGCGTTGAGTTGGGCGGACGTTGCTGCACCTGGAGGTTGGAGGAGCCATTGCCGTAGTGGAAGTGGGGGGACGCCAGGGGGTCCGTCTGGTGCGCCGGACCGAAGCTGCCGCGCGGGCTCTCCAGGTCAAAGCCGGCGGCAATTGGCGGCGGGTGCGGTGGCGCGCTGAACATCGACAGGTTTTGCGCCTGCTGCGCCGCCGTTGGAGAGAAGAGATCCTGCAGCCCCAGCGCCGACTCCGGCCGGCTCAGACTGGCCTGTGCGCACAGTACCGCCCTGTCAATTGCTGAGTAATACATAAGGAAACGCCTGTCCATGAAGCACCTGCCTCCCGGCAGGAGACTGGAAACTGAGCCAGCATGCCATTACATCTGATAGGTCGGTACTTTCTTAGTTTCTTTATGGTCTGATGGGTGATCCACATAGAGTGCCAGGCTACCCAGGGATCGTCATTTGATCTGAAATAATCACATCTGTCTATCTTCCCTTTCAAACACGCGTGGCCATGAGCCTGATGTTGGACACCACGAGAGAAAGTGATGAGTCAGAATGGCTGTTGGACTAAAGCCAACATTATGAAGCACCTGGTGCAGCTGGTTGAGGGCGAAGGACTGCTGGCGGTGGATGGAGGCGAGCGCCTGGCTGTACACCGACCGCGCAAACTCCTCGCTGCCCATTGGCGGGGGCGGCGCGGGGGCGTTGGCGCTGTGGTTGTTGGGGTGCGCGGAGAAGGACCATCGGCGGTGCGCCTGCTGCAGGGCGGCGGGCGAGTTTGGGTAGGTCAGCAGGTCCATGGAGGCAACGCCCCGGGAGCCCGCGCGGCCGCCGCCATTGGGCGAGTGCGCGGCCTGCGGAAGGGTGTTGCATGAGGAGTGTACGCGGCGGAAGGCGCCCGCGCTGCCCCCCGGCGAGTCCAGCGGGCCGCACGGCGAGCTGCTGCTCGCGCCGCCTGCGCGATCACAACAGGCACAATCCCTCAGCACTTGCTGCTGTGCATATCCACGTGCTGTTCCTTCCACAAACAATTGATTGCAATCCGGTACGTGCTGTATTTTACCCCGTTGCAATCTGTGTGGATTCAACGGTAAAGCTGCTGCCAAGTGTAGAAACTGAAAATGCAGGCGAGGCTGCTGCGAGCGCCTCCTGGTGTACCGCAAAGAGTGTGCAACTGTTCAGGAAAGGTTGGCTTTGCGGCCGTTGTGCCAGCAACACCGACGGCGGGTGGGGCAAGAATTTTGAGGGAGGGCACCGTTGGGGGCTGCGCTGAGGGAGCGGAAGAGGCCGAAGGAGGAGGCAGAGGAGAGGGATCCGCCAGGGGTGGCGTCGGAGATGCGCGGCGTGCACGGCCACGACTGCAGCTGAGCGGCAGCCGCCTCCAGCGAGCCCTTGGACGACGCGTCGTCCGCCGTCCAGCCGCCCGCGGCTCGTTCCTCGCTGCGCCGCCCGTTCTTCTGCTCCTCCCTCAACCTGCACGCAAACATCCCTCTCCCTTCAACACGCAAGCCCTTCTGTAAAGACTGCCACACGGGGTGCCACGCCCTGGCATTGAGGAGCACGCATTGCAGAAAGCGAGCATCTGTTGAAAACCACCCAAAAATGCCTGGCCGACCCAGAAGGGAATAGTGTGGCATTTTATTGGAGCTTATGTCACACTGCTGCACTCTGCCAAGAGTTGGTGCAGGTTTCCCGTGTCTTTATGGGAAGCATCATGTCCTCAATGACATTGAAGGTCATGAACATCGCAGGAATCCTGACGTATACTGTCCCTTTCTGTCGGGATGTACTACTCCTGACCCATGTCCCCAAGGCTTTTTGACACTCACCACTGCACGGCGGCGATGGCCGCAGCCAACTCAGAGGTGGCGGTGGGGGAGTAGCCGGAGAGGTGGGCGAGGCAGGAGGGCCACAGGGGCAGCTCCGCGCGCGCCAGGCGGTCGGCGTGCAGCACCGCGGCCGCCACCACCGACGGCCGGTAGTTGAGCAGCTCCGACTGAACCAGCGCCGCCCGCGCCAGCGCCTTCAGCGCCTGCTCACACACACACACCAGCGTATTCAATTCTCCAGGTTCAAAAAATACTATCTTCATATACACGTTCATCACGCCCCAGGCTTCGTGAGGTCAGTATTTTCCAAACAATAAACAAATTATGCAAATTGGCTCTCTCGTTGGCCACATTGCCACATGGGTAATGTCGAAGGCAGACAACCTTCTCCCTACAAGCTCGGGGTGCGAGTTCTCCTCAAGACACACAGGGACCCAGGCGGCAGAAGGTAGCAGGGAAAGAATGCAGTACTAAAAAGGGCAAAGGGGTTGAACGGGAGGTGCCTGGGTGATGCGGGGGCCGTCCTGGCCGGGCTCCAGGCGCTCGAGGTAGAGGCGCAGGCATCGTAGCGCGCTGATGGCAGCCGTGTCCTGCCGCAGTGCGGCCAGGATTGTCTCCTTCATCGACCCCAGCGCCCCCAGGGTGAACCCTGCGCAAACCCACAAACCCTTCAGATGCACATCTCAAAAATCAGCACGCTTGGCACACCAGACGACTGCAGCGAGAGACTCATTTTGCTCGATGCTGATGCACTGAATACACCTGTTAAGGAGCCCAGTCTGATGTGGCAACAAGTCTTTTGCCGGCAAGACTTTGGGAGAAAGGCCTTGTTACTCACTGCTAAGTTGGGTGGTTGCTGTAGCTCTGAAGCGCACGGTGTACCAAACCCAGTTTGACAAAGAGAAGCAGGTACTGTCTTGGCCAGTGAAAGACAACAAGGGTCTGTCCTCTTCTGCCATAAGGTGGAGGGCGGACCTGTGTGGGTGGCGATGCTGGAGAGGGCGGGCAGGGCGTCCTTGCTGTGGTTGATGTCCTGGCACAGCGCCAGCTGCAGGCACGCCGCCGCAGCCAGGGGCAGGCAGCCCTCCATGCCCCCACCCCCCACGCTCATCGCCCGGTCCAACAACAGCACCGCATCATGCGCTGCCTCCTCCTACGCCCAGCAGCCATCACACAGTCAGCACATATTCACACATAACGTGAATACACTAGAGGATGATGATGCAGACCATAGGACAAGCTTGCCGTCAAGTATGGGTGATATATGGCATGCAAGAGCAGCGACTCACCGAGAAGTTCAGGGCCTGTGCCGTGGCGAGCAGACTGCCTGCCACTTCTGGGCGCTCCTGCAGATAGCCGGCGCCCATCGCCTGTACACAAGCATGGTCATGATCAGGTTCAGAAGACGAATTTCTGCACGCAACGTCACAGTACATGTTCTTGTCCCATGCCTCAAAATGGGTGTCTGCATTTGGAAGATGTGGTGGAAGATTAGACTGACGCAAATGGAGTCACGCTCAGTCTGAGGATAAGGCACAAAAATAATGTACCTGGAGGTTGAGGTGGTGTGTGGCCTCAAAGTCAGCGACTGCTGCATAGGCGGAGGCGACGCGTGCAGCAGCGGCCTCGTCGGCGGTGGCCTCAGCGGCGACGTCCTCGGGGCGGCAGTCCTCTGGGGCTGCGCCGGCCGCCCAGCGCCAGGGCTCCAGGCCGCCGCAGCCGGCAGCCAGCCAATCGGCCACCTCTTTCCCGGTCGCCTCCAGCCGGCCAGTGCCCTCTCCAGACCCCTGCAGGTAACAGCACCAACAGTAAGTGCGCTGTTTGCCACTATTGTATTATTACAGGTCGGCAAACCCAAAGCCAAAGGCCATAGGGCATACACGCCGGGCGTCTGCAGCCAGATTTGCAGGCCATTAGAGAAGAAAGATGGAAGGCATACAAGGCAGTGCGAGCACCAAGTAAGGAGGTCTGCCTCGCAATGTATGTACAGTGCTTGCGACATATTGAAAGGGAGCAAAGACAGTCTGACGAAGCTCAAAGGTACCCACATGGACCCACAACCAGGCAGTGAGTCAGATCAGGTAAGGGACGCAGACGTGCCAGGCACTGCAGGAATCAGGCAGCAAGGTGAGCTCTCCAAAATCGACACAAAGAGGTCTGGTGCGGGGAGAGACAGCGGCGTGCCTGGAAGGGGGAGGAGCCGGCGGCAAGGATAGCGGCAACGGCTTCGCGGGCGGCGGAGGCACCGTCGTCGTCCTTGCCGCGGCCCTTGCCCGTCACAATGGCGATGCGTGTCGGCAGCGCGTCCGCACCCTCGGTCGCCACCTTCTGACTGTTATAACAGTAAGAACCTTCCTCATCAATCCCGCTTTTGCCAGATTGCGGCCATTTATAATACAGAAAGTGATAAAAGGTGGCCCCAAGCCCAGCTCATGTCAAGAGGGGAAAGGCATACAAATATATACAGCAGATCACTGCTGGCAGAAGCATGCAAGAGACTATTGAAGGAAATTGTCTGGAGTGGAGACATAGTCACAGGCAGAGTGACTATTTCATGCAGCAACTATTAATAGAGTTGCAGTGGCCTGCACAAATGTAGGAAATATAGTACTGCCAAGGACAGGGAACACAGAAAACAGGCCAGCACACCGCAGGTCGGAGAGCCAGGTGTAGAGGCTGAGCGCGGCGACGCCGGCGGTAAGGGTGTGGAGACAGAGCTCGAGGTAGCCCGGCGCAGCGTGCGCAGCGCGGCGCAGCAGGCCGCCGGCCGACGCGCGCCGGTGCAGCACGGCCGCCTGCCGCTGTGGCCAGGCACAGCCAGTGTCCCAGAGTGTGTCTATGATGGCGTTGTAGACTATGCTGTCCGGTTTGCACCCCTTCGCCTGCATCGCCTGGAACGCCTGCGCAACCCCACAACATGACTTTATCAGCCTGAGGCAGTGCTTGCAGCTGCTGCATAAAGGTGAGTAGCACGCTTGGCAGCCAATTTTGTAGTGAAAGCAGCAAATGGGGATGAGGGGGTGATGAGGGGGTGAGAAAAGGGTGTGACCTGCAGGGCGAGCTGCCATTTGCCGCCGCGCTCGTAGGCGGAGATGAGCGCAGTGTAGGTGACCACGTCGGGCGTGCAGCCCTGCTGCTGCATCAGCTCAAAAAGCTCCCGCGCCTTCTCCCACTGTGCACCTACACACACACATACACGTTCAGCCACATGCAGGATCACCCTTGTCCTGCCCCTTTACAGCCCCATGCAATGGTTTGTGAGTGCCACAGCTGGCCGTGCAAAAGGTTACTGAAGACTTTGCCAGTTACTGGGGTAGTAGGTTACTGCAAACTGCTGTAGAGTGGCGGGCTGAAGTGAGGGGAGGCCCTACCTTGGGCGCATGCGGTGATGAGGGAGTTGAAGGTGATGACGTTGGGGCGGCAGTTGTCCTTGAGGCACTCGTCGAAGAAGCGCAGCGCCAGTTGCCATTCCCCGCTCTTCTCGCACGCGCTGATCAGGCTGCTGTACGTTATCACGCTCCGCTCGCAGCCCTGAGCACACCAACACCATGCGACCCAGTCAGCCACCGCCTTCTCCTGCAGCTGTCCTACCAATGCCACTAATGCACCTAGAGTCTGAAAGGGAGTGTCTCAACAAGCACTCCAGAGGCTCACAAAAATAGCAAGCCATGCCCTGTCATACTTCAATGTTTCAACCATCAAGCACTCGACAAATTGGTTCTCAGGTATCAAGATACCCATTCCTACTGCTCATGTCTCAAGGGCAAGACAAACAGTTGCCTGCAGTCTAGCAAGCAGGTGGCATGCAGGGGAGGGAACGGGTGAGACCTGCTGCACCATCTGGCGGTAGGTGTCAAGGACCTGGGGGAGGTCGCCGGCCTTGGAATGCGCGGAGATGAGGGCGTTGTAGGAGGTGGTGTTGAGCGCGTGACCGGCCGCGCGCATCTCCTCGTACAGCTGCAGCGCCGTCTGCCACTGCCCGCTCGTGTTGCACGCTATCATCAGCGTGTTATACGTCCGCGTCACCGGCTCTATGCCCTGCGCGCCAGCCAGGGATCAGGTCAAGCTGAATGCATACAGAGAACGCCTGGACGATTTCCAAGGCAGCCCATTGAAGTTCTGAGTCAATGGTTGCCATATGCCCCAGCGCCCAAAACATGACGCTCATCTCCTTTGGCAAGGCCAGTACTCAGGGTCAGGCACTACATGTAAGTAAGGACGTTCAGGATGAAGTCTGGGGAATGAAGGTGCATGGGCCCACCTGAAACTTCATGCGGCGAAGGACCTGCAGGGCCTGCTCCCACTGCCCCAGCTTCCCGTATACATCGATGAGCGTGTTGTAGGTCACCTGCACATACCCCCCATAGCATTCAGCATGCTGGTTGTCATGCTCAGTGCTTTGCAAACTCAAGGAGGTGACGTGTCTCAAAAAGACAAGCATGCGGCGGTCAAGCATTGGGAGCGCAGACTGACCACATTGGGGACGATGCCGTCGCGCTGCATGTCCTCCCACACATCCAGCGCCAGCTTGAGCTGGCCGCACTTGATGCACACGTTCATGAGCGCCGAGTGCGTGTGCACGTTGCGCTGCACCCCGCGCCGCTGCATGTCCGCCGACAGCTCCAATGCCCGCTCCAACTGCGCAGCAATATCACTTGAGCCTCACCCTGCCTTGCCTGTCCTTGATTCTTCTTCTTCTTCTTCTCCTTGAGAAGAGCAAAGCATACTGCTGCATGCTGCAAGGATGTCGTTAAGGGCGCCAAGAGCCGAGAAGGGGGCAGCACCTGCTGGGCGCTGACGCAGATGGAGATGGCGGCGGTGTAGGTGTAAACGTCAGCCAGGCGGGCGGCCTCAGTGGAGTCGCCCAGGGCGAGTACGTGGTCGAAGAATTCCTGCGCGCGGTGCGCCAGCCCCGTGCGCGCCAGCTCCTTCAGCAGCGCAGCGCACGCGCGCGAGTCCAGCCCCGGCAGGCATGCCGCGGCCGTCGCGCCGATCGGCTCGCGCGCCGGCAGCCGCCGGATGCGCCACACCAGCTCCTCTACCGACACGCCGCCCCCCGCGCCCTTGTGCCCCCGGCCGCCACCCCCGGGCCCGCCCCTGTCCGATCGCAATGTTGCTAATGTCAGCCACCCTTCTCATGCCTCACAGCCGCCTGGATGCGCTCTGATCTTGGTGTTGATAACGGGTTTCGTCAGCACTCCAAGGTTGCTTCAGATAAAAAATAGCAGAAAATGTGGCTGAGGGGGCAGCGGAGCATGCCGGGAGTTGCGCCCGCGGCCGCCAGGGAAGCCGGGTGGGGAGCTGGGGGATGCAGCGTTGCTGATGCACTGGCCGCCCCAGCCGACCGCGGCCCGATCATGGGGGGATCCCGGGGAACCCGCCCAGCTGCCGGATCGGTGTATGTGACGGTTGCATGCAGGGTCCTGCACAGAAGCAGCTCTCACTCACTTGATGAGTCATGGAGGCGCCAGGGGGGCTGCCAGGCTGCAGCAGGGCTCTGTGGGGGGGGAGAGGGTGTGGTGGAATTCCATATGGAGGCTCTTGAGCAAATGCAGGATGGATTATCGCACAATCGCTGCATCAACACCCCCCCATGAGCAGTAACAATTCAGCGCTCCAGACAGCTTATGGCACGAGCGGGTTAAAGGATAGGCTCGAAGGCACACCTTGCTTCCAAAACCAGTGCTTGCTATCAAGACTGGGCCTTCCATGCAGGTTCAAGTCTATCTGGGCCTGATCGCCACTGAAGCGCTCGCAATGCCGACCAAGGTGAGTGAATCGCAGGATGTATCAGCAATGTGATCCTGCACAGACGTTGTCGATCGGGTTATGAAGACATTGAAAACGCTCTTTAGGGCCGCGAACTAGCTGCTTCCTTTCTGAATTTTGTACGACCGCGCGATAAGATCTGCCCCCACTCTCACGCAATCTAGTGGAACGGTACGGCGCGCTCCCAATCCTTCACATTTGAGGGATTTCAAGCCATTCTGATACAGAATATTGAAAGCTGAATTTTTCTGACCACCTTGTCAGTACAACCACTTGCAAAGATCCGTGTTATCGAGATCGATCTTGCACTTTCTGGGAACGCAGCCGGACGGGTGCGAGATAATGTGTGCTCATCATCTGGATCAGGCTGCTCAACTCGCATTCTACAGGGGACATCTGTTCCACCGCTTTACAATTATGTTGTAGAATAGAAGTTAACACGTTTGAAGAATGAAGCACATTCTGACTTGTCAGGGCCACACTTACTGTCAAAGACCGCTCCATGCCGAACGACGATTAGTAGTATGCTGCCAAGCAAGCAGGCAGCCCAGTCGCAATTTGGACAGTACACAACATTTATCAAGGAGAGCTTTAATAAGCACTATTTCTTTGCTTCCATCGCTCTCTTTGTGGGCCAGCGCACAAGCAGATGAAGAAAGCACCGCCACTGTAGTCGAATCCCTGGCGAGCCCTGCCAGTGCAGAGGTGTCACAATATACTTTTTTCCTCTTCAGTAGATTGCCTGAATTTTGCTGCCAAGACTGAGCACCATTCGGATCCAAAATGCCTGTCTAAACGATTGGAAATGAATCCACAATCAATGCGCTGCCTGCAATGCAGGTGTTTGGCACGCTGAAGGACGACATCCTAGCATACGAATTCCAGTACCCCACCAGAGTGGGTGGCAGGCAGCTGCCCATCATCCCATCTAGGAAGCCTGAGCGGTACTCCTCTGCTGCACCGCTGTCAGCCGATGCTCGGCAGCGCATTGTGTCAGAGCTCGTCAGCTTCACAGACAGAGTCACCATCAGCGTGACGGTGAGGCCCTGGACCATGTAAGATGCGAAAACTGCCAGCAGCACTTGGCATGCATGGAGCTGAGTCCTTATGCCCATGCACCGTGATGGTTGCAGGTCGGCCCTGCCTCTGGCAAGCTTGCAACAACGCCCCTCCAGGAGTGGACGGCCAGGGAGGTTGCCAACGCAGTGTTGCAAGACAGGTGAGCCACTCTGGTAGATTTGGTCCCTTGTCCTTACATTTAGCCATGTGTTGTAAACCTTGTGAGGCGTCCTTTTGATTGTTCTGCAATATTGCTGTGGCGTGCAGGTCCACTGCAAGGGTGACCACCGGGCAGAGAGTGGCACTGAACACCATTGAGGAGGCGGGTCAGGAGACCAGGGATGGCCACCCCTACTGGACATATGAGCACACCTCACAGGTATCAACAAGAGCTTTCGCCACAGCTTGTCTGTCCTCCACTGCTCGACTTCTTGACTCTTAGTTACATGGGCAACTGTGTCGCTGCAGGGCTCGCCGAGCCTGGCCAACAGGAGTAAGGAGACGTACCGGCACAGCTGGTCTGTCACCAGCTACAGGCCAGGCATGGATGGCGCACCTTACCTCTACACGCTCACGCTCTCATGCCCAGATGAGGAGTGGCCGCAACTGGGACCTCTCTACGCCCAAGCACAAGAGTCGTTCCGCCTAGTCGACACTACACAGGTGACTTTTCTGCTTCCTTGTGAGACTGTTAATTGTGAGAGTAGAAGTGGCCATGCTTGTGATGCTGTTGCAAGTCAGGTGGTGCTGCACTGACAAATGTCCTGTCAACTGTAGCTTGTTGTGCCTGCAGGAATATGTGCCACCCGACAAAGATCCGTGGCGCTTCTTCTAGGACGTCACTCCTGGAATTTCTAGCAGAAATGTAGATGCTTGGCAACTCAAATGGGACCATGCTTTTGTGAGGAAATTGCAACCCATGAGCCTTGCAAGCTCTGAGCGACACAGGCAGTGTCTGTGACATGGCATTCCATTGTTTTGGGACACGGGCACTGCAGTGCATCCTGTGCGGTTGAATTGTGTGACACGGTTTGCTGTATTCGCGTTGAATTTTGTCTTTGTAGACAGCCCATGGGCCACCGTGACGATCAAGTGCACACCTGCCAATCTTGCATGCAACCTATGATGATCAGGACACGGTGCCCATGACATCATGATGACACAGCGGACTTCTCGCGGGGACTCCGGCCAGGAATTGCGGATCTCATATCCGACTCGGATATAGATATCAGATATCTATATAACATACCATGATGGAGTCCAGCTGGGGCCCCGGGGGCTGGAACATCACTGATATACTTCTCAGAAGACACAGGAAGCTGAGCTGAGACTGGAATAAAGAAGCCAGGGAGACTTCCAGTATACTAGAATTCCAGAAGGAAGGAAGGAAGGAAGATCTTCCTTCCTTCCTTCCAGATCCCTCATCATCCATTTTTAGGCATTCCAATGTTTTAACCCCTTTGGCATTGGGCAATTTCGTATCTAGAAACCCTAGAGTTCAATTTGGAGCTGCAGCAGCTGGAAGCATATCGAGGTGGCCCATCTCCAACTGCAGAATCAAAAGGACAATAGCAGCATTGCGCAACCTACTTACCTTGCACAAAAACTCTTGTTCGAAAGGCACCAGATAGTTGCAAGGACTTGACTGACCGACAAGATGAAGCAATCCTCACAAACCTCGTTTCCCCATATAGGAGCATCAATACAACCATTTGGAGATCTCACAAACAATCCAAGCAGGTAAGATTGTCCATCTTTCAAAGTCACAACTTCACACTGTCTGAGAGTTGTCGCCTGAACGATTACTTCCTCACGCAGGGTGGGTCAGCAAGCCCAAGGTGCTGCCATAAAAACGCACATACAAGCATTGAGACAATCAGGCTTACCAGCTTCTGTTCTCGCTGCCTTCAAGAACCAAGTGAGAGCAGCACAAATCCTATTTTCTGCATATCTGGGATGCAGACATGCTTCTGCTAGCTTGCTGGAAACACGGCACAGTGAATGATGCAGATGCAGCGTCAATACGTCAAGAGACGTTACTTATGAATCTCTAAAATTATCTCGCGCAGGCAGGAAGCCATGCGCAATGTTCTCCGACCAATCCTTCTCAGTGCACCGGAAGCCACAACAGGTGTGAATTTTAAGAGGGCATTGTTGTCCAATTCAGTTCGACAAAAGCAAGTCAAATTCGCTGAAACGCCTTCAATGGCAATGGCATACACAGGTCACTTGGTTCTGATGAGGTTCACCCAGAGGAGCAGCAGTCAGATGTTGCCTTACTGCGAACCTGCGCATCTGCCACAGATCTGGAAGTGGCGTCTGTGCATTCCGCAAGCCACTCACAGATCAGCGCGACATGCTTTGCTCTCAAGGGATCAGGTGCGCTCCGAATTCGAGCCCCGGCTTGCTTTGCCGCACGCTTCCCTTTCTATGGAGGCGGGGTAGCTGACGGAAACCACACGACCTGATTAGCTCCCTGCGTGGCTGCAGGGCTGATGGGGGCCAAGAAAGCCACATGTGGGGACCCATCCGCTTCCTTCCCTGGATCAGCACAGGACTGTGCATCCGACGCCGGCGGCTCTGGATCCGGGATCTCAGCCGCGTGGACCCCCCGCAGCTGCATGGCTCGCCTGCACGGCACCGGCGCACCTGTCAAGGGCAGCAGCGCAGGCACACTCCCATCCTCTTGTCTTCATCGGCACCATCAGTACATTCAGTACTCTTCAAATTTTGCGGGATCAAGTTTAGCAGGAGCGTGGCTGTGTGGGGGCAGGTTCGTTGAGCCCGCGCAGCTGTGTGACGGCAGCGCCTGGGCCCATGGCGGCAGGCAGGAGGCGGCTGCCCCTGTGGGCGCGCAGCCTGGCAGCGGTGGGCAACAGCCGGCTGCAGGCGATGGCGCAGGACTGGAGCCAGCAGCAGAGCTTGCTCGCCAGCATGCACCTGCACCCGCACGAGGTCAGCACCCTCCCACCTGTCAGCCTGTTATCTGACTTTTGTGGCCACATGTTGCCTTCATGCTGCCTTTAACAAAGGAACCTCAGGCAATGATTGGGATAAGCATCCATTGTGCGATGCTCCAAATGGACATGTGGTGAACAGTCTGATTATGTGGATACCAGGAGGACCAAGAAGCAGAGCTGAGCAATGTGGAGGACAGCCTGAGCGCCTTTGCAGAGGAACTCCAGGGGCAGGATGGTGCCGAACCAGAGGAAGACTCACACCCACAGGCGAGCATGTATTACTCTTGTCTTTGAAGGGATTGGATCCATCTTTGAAGTGGCTCATTCAACATCATTTAACAGAGCCTTCAATGCTAAGGCCATATGAGTGGTCACCTCTGTGTCTTGCAGGGGCAGCGAGACAGTCAGATCAAGACAGAACCCAGCCGAGAGGGAGCAGTTGCAAGGGAGAATGATGTCAGCCTGCTCCCACGCGAGGGATCTGCGCTGTCAACACAGGCGCTCAATGCAGCAGACAGGGAGGAAGACAAGCCAGCCACCCTGGAGAGCTTGGCCAAAGCAAGGTCGACAGCCCCAAGCATGGCATCCCAGGGCCAAAGCGCCAAAGTGGTGCGTTCTACATGACTGCATGCTGGGGCAATTGTTGTTATTATTATTGCACGCTATTCCTGCCAGCGGCAAGGTGCGTCTGCAGACAAGCTGCATGTGCAGGCTGCCAAGATCCTTCCCTTTGTTGGACTTGTCTGATCCAAGCAAGGCCCAATCAACCGGAGGCAACACCTATCCAAAAAGCACAGTAATGTGTGCGACACATCTCTCCCAGCAGCTCTTTATACCTTCCACCGCATAACTGGTGAACTTTTGCACAACATGGCACTGTTCTGCCTGCAGGCTGACCTGGTGCGCATGTGGCAGCGCCAGCCAATGACAGTGCACTCTCTGCCCCAGCAGCGCTCTGTTTCACGTGTGGGCAGCTCTGGCCTGGAGCAGGGGCGAGGCAGGGCTGCCGGCGCACCCAGCCGGGGATACATGAGCCCCCTGGTACTGTCCAAGGTGCAGAGCTACCTGGACACAGCTGCCAGCCCCTCTGGCATGCAGGGCACACCAGACAGAGGTGCGCCGCAACCCTTGAGTGTCTTCAATGGCTCTGCAAAACTGGATACATGAAGCTCAGTGCTACTACCAGAGGATGATGAATTTGGGCCAATGCTGACTGGTGGGCAATGATGCACAGGTGCAGCGGGTGTACGATCAGTGCTGAACACTGCTAGGAGCATGACTGCTGCAGAGCAGGTAGGTCACAAACATGCCCCTGCATCATGCATGCATGCGAGTGCCCCAATTCTACTCTGCAGTACCTCAGGATTTGGATTGTGCACAGGCCAAGCGTACACAGTGGTGGGGCAAAGGAGGACTACTGTTCAGTGAGAAGTGATGATCTCTGTGCGCTGCTGCTATACTGCCGCGCAACAGAGGAGACTACTGTGTGCATCCGAGTACTGTCCGGACAGCAATGACTAGAATGGCAAGCCTCGCAGTGTTCTTACTTACTTTCTGTACATCAGTGTGCTCTTCATCTCCTGTAGATATTGATATAGCCACAACCCAACTACTTGTACATGACTGCAACTGTGTTCACCAGGCCCCTTGATATCGATGATGTCGACAGCTCACATTGCCATGGACAACGCTGATATCATGATATTGTACAATCAGTGTCAGGGGTTCATTTCATGGATTGTCTTGTACATAATTTAGAGGTTTCAAAGAATCCGGGCTTCCACAAAAGCCACAAGTGACTACGCATGTACAGGTTCCTGTTTCCCCAATCAAAGAAGAGCTTACGTCATGCTTACTTTTAATCTCCAGTTGAGCCTAAATGCGTAAACCCCGATATAAAGCTGAACTCACTTTTTACCGATATCTCTTTCCCCAAAAGTCACCAAGGTATGGTGATGTCAAAAAGACGGTGCAAAGGCAACAAAAAATCCGCAAAACAACAGGCAGGAGCAACACCATGGATCATCTATTGCTTTCAATTCATTGCATGCCTTGTCTGTTTACAATGATCAAATGTTGTTCAGGATGTCTTGCTGGTGTAATGCGCGACCATCTTCTCTAACCATTGCTCATCCTTTGCAGACAACATCAATCTGGCGGGTGCTTCCTCCTGAATTTCCTCAGGTTCTTCTTCGCTCCCCTCATCATCTGCATTGCAGGAGGGACATGGCTTGCACATCCACTGGTAGCTGATGCTCTGCATGGCAGTAAGACAAGGGGAAAGCGTGCTGCGCAGTTCAGATACAGTGTATGTGATTGCAACTCTGAAGCGTACCACTGGAAACTGCTGCAAGAGCGGGAAGCTGCTCTGGGAGTTGCTGCCTCCTGATGCCTTCAGCAACTAGCTCCCCAAATGTCGCGACTCTTTTCGGCTTGCAAGTCAAAGCTGCGGCTGCTGGTGATGCAGTGGGAAGGGGAGACTGCACTGCCTGGCTGCACGCTCCATTGGCAAAGAGGTCCCGCTGAGCTCTTGGGGCAGCTGTGTCTTGGTTGTTCAGCGCACGCTCTGGCTCAAGGCATGGGAAGCAGGCGATTGGGCTGAATCCCTCAGGCCTTTGTGCCTCGCTGTTTCTGGCCCCATGCTGGTCCTGTTTCTGGTAAGAGCTGGCCAACTGTGCGTCCGATGCTATAGAGGCTGTTGATCTGGCTCGCTTCGTTCGCACTGGGAATGGGGATGGCGTGGCAAACCTGTCACAGGACAGCACATTATTAATAAGGAAGCCCATGAAAGTCCTGCACTGAAGTTTGATTCACGCATAGACTGGTCTTAAGACAAGTCACTGCAGGACTATTTACAGAGGATGCAGTAGACTCACTGGATCTGTGACAACGATGCAGCATCCTCAGCAACTTCAACCTGCGATCCTGGGGCATCAATAGCACAGCCAGGTTCTTTCTGTGCGCTGCACACAGTCTTGCTGGTGAATATAGGAGAGGCAAAGAGCACAGGTTCTGCCTGAGGATTGGTTGACGGTTTGAGAGGCGCAGAAGAGTCTTTGCCCTGCAAAAAATTCAAATGAATGTGTGATCGTTCAAGGACCCAAAATTGCAAGGTGATCTTGATATCTTGTATACTTACCCATCACAATCTTCTCACCTGGACATTGCGCGCCGCCTTAAAAGGTGTCACAGGACCGTAGAAAGTGTCTGTGTGCTCTTCCATAGCTTGATCGACCGTACAACACTGAAATTCGGGCACTTGTGTTCCCGCCTGTGCCGATTGAGATGCGTGAAAGCAGAGTCGACACAAGGACGTGTCGATCAAAGGGGCGCAGTAGCAGAAGTTTTTCGCTTCTGATCAAAAGGGATCGGTGCAATTCAACATGCACTGTGCTTGCTGTGCGCATCTTGGGTCCTTCTCTCAAAACCCCCAGCAACAGTGACTCATCTTTACCGATCGACATCGCTGAAGTTGAGCTTTAAATGCCAGATCTTTTCAGGCATCAGAATTGTGTGCGTGATTCTCTGTCTGCCTTCTGCGTTGCATGAGAGAGTATGGCGGAGCGTGTGCAATATTTCTACTGATGGAGACCCATTGACTTGCTCCTTTGTTAAGTCGACCCAAAATGCTCATGTTAGGGCCAGATACGGCCACAATGTTATGAACGAAGATCTAAATCTGCCTCAGGAGGGTTCAGCACAGATCAATCTGTGCGACGGAACAAAGCTGCTTGTCAAGGCTGGTGTTCCCCTGCACCTTGGAAGACAGCACCACTCCTCACTGTCTGCTCGAATCAGCAGGTACTGCCCTTTCAGCTTCAGAAATTTGTACTGATGCACGGCATGCCGATATTCAGATTTTGTTCGAGAACTGGGCTTAAGGTCCACTGCTTGGTGTTCAACCTCAGGCACCATTGTGAGGTGAACCTGATCGGCGCCGAGAATCTCAGGCTCACAACTACAAGTACCAGCAACAGCACATTTGTAAGAAAAAGCGATGGTCAGATGCTCACTGTCCTCCCTGGTACCTTCCCTCGCCCCACTGTTTTGACTTTATTGGATGGTACTAGTCTGTGAGTTGCAGTGACCTGCTCTTTCTACATTCCCCATCACACCAATTCTATTGAGGTGCAGGACAAAGAGCAGATGTGACTGACGGCGACAGAGTCATCCTTCTTGCATCAGATCCATTGGAATTTGCAAAAGTTGTCTTGAATAGGGAAGCTGAGCAGCATAGAATGGAAGCGCAAGACAGAACAGCAAGGTCCGATGATGCTCAGTACCATTCACTGCCTGGCTTCTAGCATGATATCACTTCTCAGATGCACAGAGTTTTCGTGCCTTGACATGGCTTGTACTGCAGATCTTTGGGGCCTAGTTCTTCGGTACAGCCTGACGCCGGTATTTCTCATGCACACCCCAATGGAGCTCCACAGGCAGCAGTGCTGATCCTGGTAGGCCCACCTGGCTCTGGCAAGAGCACATTTGCAGAGGAGCTGAAGCAGAGGGCACCGGGACACTGGCAGCGCATCAACCAGGTCTGCGCAGTGTCTTTCAATCATCAATTGCACTGACAATGCACATTACAGTTTGTCATGCTCTTTACCGCCATTCAACCATTACTTTCCATGGCCTTTTAGAAAAGTACTATCTGCTTGGAAGAAGTTCTGCAATCGTGATACTGTCAGTGCTTCTTGCAGGACACGATAGGCGGTGGGAGCAAAAAGGGGACCCGGCAGCAATGCGCAGCCGCTGCTCGCAAGGCTCTGGACAAAGGCAGCAGCTGCGTTATAGACCGGTGCAACTTTGATGCTGCCCAGCGGAAAGATTTTGTCGCGCTGGCTCAGGACGCCGGCTGCCATGTAAGATCCTCAATACACACATGCATTTATCAATGAACCTGCATCATCCAGACATCTGTCATTGCCATGCATCCATGAGGGATTTGTATAACCTGTCTTCCAGCACGGGTGGAGGGAGTGCCAAAATGAAGCTGGTGTTGTGGTGGTGCAGGCGCATGCAGTGGTGCTGCAGCTGCCAGCGGCCCTGTGTGCAGCGAGGGCAGCCCAGCGCGTGGATCATGAGGGCGGCCTGCAGGGGGCTTCTGCCAAGAGCGTCGTCTACAGGATGGCTTCCCAGATGACCTCCGCCGGACTGCCCAACGCCACCACAGAGGGGCTGTCATCTGTCATGGTGCGCACTTACCCTTGCATTATGCTTGGCTTACAGATGTCTTTGATCTGCTGTGACGCCTTCTTGGGAACATATTGCTGCTTGATCCTTTCTTGCATGTCATGAATACATCACTGCCGGCGTTCAAAGATACGGACTAGTGCATAGATTCTTGCGTGGTGTGCACAGGTGTGCAGGACGGAGGGTGATGTCAAGCGGGCGCTGAATGCGTGGGGCGCATATGGGAGGTCCTCTGAGCGGCCGATCGACGCCTTCAACAAGGGGTTGCCGCGCAAGCACACCCTGCACGACCTGTGGGCCAAGCCTGCCAGCAAGGCAGGGAAGAGCGCCACAGCACCACCCAGATCAGGAGGACCCGGTGCAGAGACACGGCCGTCAGCCGCTGCTGTTCCCAGGCCTGGAGAGCAGGCAGGTACTGGCAGGGCAGCAGCCCAATCACCACTGCCTGCACCCTCTATGGATCTGAAAGGCACGACCAGGGATGACAGCAAACAGGCGGGGAGCAGTAGGCAAGGAGGCCCGCAGGCCAAAGGCTCTCAGGCCCCGGCCAATGCCTTCTCTGTGCTGCTCTCCTCTGCAAAAGCATCGGCGTGCACACCTCCACAGCAGCCGGCTCCGAGGCCGCCTGCGTCAAGACAGCCTGGCTTTGGGGCGTGGCAGGACATTCTGCACCAGATTGTTATGCAGCCTGAAAGGTGAGGTGCTGTTGAATGCACGATGTAAGGGACGGCAAGTGTTTCCTTATCATGCTGTAATTCTAGATCATTGTCAGGCTGAATTCACATGGTGTCCTGCTTCAGGGAGTGACTGAATCGACCGGTGGTGTGCAGGTATCGGGATGAGAAACCGGAAATGCGCGTAAACGAGCATTGCGTGCTCATACATGATGCATTCCCCAAGGCGCACCATCATGCGCTGGTGCTGCCTCGGTGCGCAGAACTTCACGACATGACCAGCCTTAGAGCAGAGCACGTGGCGCTCCTGAACCACATGGAGGTCCGTATCCTCATAAACTTGTTGGCGAACACCAAGCAGGCTGCATGCAGATGGGAATTCAGAGTGAAAGTAGGCTTGCAACTTCCTTGTCTTGCTTGCAGGCTGTGGCACAGGAGTGGATATCGCAACATGAGAGCAAAGCAGGCTATCTACTGGGCTTTCATGCCATACCCTCCATGAGCCACCTACATCTGCATGTCATCAGCAAGGTGATGTACGCTGCCTCTGATTACCTCACACCATTGTGAGAGTCTGGGCAATCTGTTGATATATCATGAAGCTTGCAGACTGCATCTGAAAAAGTGTGTGTGGTGCAGGACTTTGACTCGCCAAGGTTGAAGCACAAAAAGCACTGGAACTCGTTCACGACACCATTCTTCATGCAGCTGCGCGATGTTCGAGCACAGCTCCTGTCGCAAGGCAAGGTGACAGTGGATCGCACAACCGCCGAGCAGCATCTGAAGGATGACCTGCGATGCCAATGGTGTCAAACTCCCATGAGAAACATGCCAACCCTCAAGGCTCACATTGTTGAATGCAAGCAGATGTGCCGGACATGAAGCCCTTAGCATATGGGGAGTCACAGCACGAATGCAGCTACTATTTTACATGGAACTTGAGAACGCCTATTGATACAAATGATTATCTTGGATCTCTAAAAGGATGCCCGAATGAAAGGACTGCACAAGCATTGACCAAAATCCCTTGCCAGCACCTTATCCCACCACACTATTGTAACTATGTAATTGTTTAGTATTCTGTACAAACTTTTACAAGTTGCTTGATTGTAGCAATGCATTTGCTGCAACCCCCTAAGAATGTGTGCCATATTCCTGAGTCCACTGGTCAAAGCGGTGCAGCTGCTCCTGGTTGACAGAGGGCCTTATGGACTGCAGCGCCTCCCCAAAATCTCTCAGCTCCATGTGTCTGACCTGGTCTGCAGACACTGTGGTGACCGCCTGGCCCAACTCCCTGCACACACAGCCAGCAATCACCCCCCACGAACACTGCAAACCAAGAAATCCCCGCCGCGATTTCTCATTGCCGTGTCTTCTCATTGCAGTGCACAACACTCGCCGCAAATTTTTAGCGCCATGTCTTGTCAGACCAAAGCAAAAGGCTCGGTCAAAATTGAGGGAGGCGGGTGCTGACCTGATGGGGATGATGGCAGCCTCCCTGCAGAGGGCAGCCAGGTCGGAGGCGCTGTATTTGGATGTGGCAGTCACAACGCGCTCCATGTCCGCTCGGCTTAGCCGTACCGGCTGCCCGCGCAGCAGGTGCTTCAGCAGCTCCCGCCGAGCGTCCGCGTCCGGCATGGGAATGTAGATGCGCTTCACCAGCCGCCGCCTGCGGTACCCACCCCAACACCTCACCAACCTCTCCTTACTTGCATCGGCACTTTCAGGCTCCCCACCAATGCAATGACTGACTCAAAGTCCATGCAGAATATGTAGCCAAAAAATCAATGTGGCCCCCTTGGCACACCTCAAGATGGGTCTCCACATGGCATCTGACAATTGAGCAGCTCACTCGAGAGCGCATGTACAAATTTTTCAGAGCAGGTACAGGGAATGGGGAGCATACCTGACAGCGTCGTCGAGCTCCTGGGGTCTGTTGGTGGCGCCGATGACGACGATGCGCTCGGAGCCGTTCGCGACGCCGTCAAACTCGATGAGGAACTGGGTCTTGAGGCGGCGGCTGGCCTCATGCTCGCCGGCCGAACGCTCAGACAGGATGCTGTCGATCTCGTCTATGAAGATGATGGCAGGCTGCATCTCCGCCGCCACCCTGAACAGCATCCGCACCTGCAGCAGAGAATGGACCCAAACTCACACTGCATGCTATTCCATGACTCCACCCATCATTGGGCATGCAATGCTTTGAGCCAAGAGACAGGACACAAGTGCATGCCGCCCCCACCAGGAGGCCCTGCATTGATGTCCACTGCCTCTGGGACGGCAGCTGGCTAGTATGAGCAAGCAGCTCTGCATCGGTTCCATCCTTGACACAAGCCCCTTTGCCCGCTGCTGCCAGCTGCTCCGAGAGGCCCATGTATTGGTGCATACATGCAAGAGCAGACACTGGAGAGGGGACAGCAGCGAGGTCGAGGGTGAGAGTGAGGTTGAACGCGCCAGCTTCTCGGCCTCGCCGTGCCACTTGGAGGTGAGGGTGGAGGCGGAGATGTTGAAGAAGGTGGCCTGCGCCTCGGACGCCAGCGCCTTGGCCAGCAGCGTCTTGCCGTTGCCGGGCGGCCCGTACAGCAGCAGCCCCCGCGCCGGCGCCCGTAGCCCCTGGAACAGATCCGCTCGCTGCGCCGGCAGAATCACCATCTCCTGCAGCGCCTGCGCGGCACAGAAAGTGCTCCCCTCACATCCCTCCTTTCTCACAATCTGCCGGATCTGATGCACACATCCCTTGTGTCTGTCTTGCTAGTGTCCCTGTTCACAGAGCTGCACCTGCACCTTCAGGGGGGCACCACAACTCGGTTGGACCCATTCACACCCTAGCCCCATAAAAGTAGGAGGGTTGATCTGGTATCTTTGTACAATGGAGTTGACATGATGCATGGATCAGGGGCCAATGACATGAAGGGCAGGGCGTGCCTGCTTAGCGGCTGACAGGCCGGCGACGTCCTTCCAGCGCACGCTGGGTCGCGTGTCCAGCACCTCACCCTCTATCACCTCTCGCAGCCTCGCCTCCTCCTTGCCCCCAAGCCCAGCCCCTGCTCGCCACCAGCATCACCCTCAACACCAGAAACAGAAAGTACAGGAAAATCCAAATGGAGAAATACCTTGCGTCAACCATGATTGCAGAGAAATGAAGCTGCCACACGTTGCCCGTACCAGGACTCACCTGATCTTCCATCCTGCTTGCTTCCTGTCTGTGCAGGCTGGGCAGGTGCTGCTCTCACGGCACGAGTTGCAGGCACAGAGCTTTTGCTGCTGACGATCCGCTGCGGTGGACGGCGCGCTGATGTGCTTGCACCCCCAGACTCCAGGTCCCTCAACCTGAAATACCATCAGCATTGCTGTGGTGAGGAACATCAATTGGCGTCTGCATACCATCATCTTTTAGACCAAGCATAGGCAACAGACATGTTTATTCAGGCCACCAACCTGCTGAGGACATGCTGTTGCCAGGTGTTCATGTCATCCCGCCACTTGGCCACGTTGCTGTAACCTGCACCCAGCCCTGACGACTGCACTTGCAGGGACAGTCCCTCGTACACAATATTGAGCCCCATGCGGTACAGCTTGATGGCATCTGCCTGTGCGCCCTCCACGTCTCTGTTGTATGCACGGTCAAAGGCGTCCTGTTCCAGTGGAACAGTGTCAATAAACGTTCCCCTTGAGCAGCACTGCTGTACTGGGAGCAGCATCATCAACGCCAAGAACTCGCTTCAAGGTCACCAAGGCACAAAGAACAAATGTGGAAGTCTCGCCTTTGCCAACTCATGATATCCTCTGAGCTTCTCCAGATTTGTCTTCACAGTCTTTGTATCCGGTTGCAATGCTTTAGAGGAGCTTGACTTATGCACATGCTCGCCATCTTGTGAAGAGGATCTGAACAAGCCCCACATCAGATGAAGTCTCAAGCGAAGAACTGCCTTCTGCAGGATCTGCCTTATAATTTCTGACCAATGTGTCAGCCTTGTAACCATCGCATTTTTCTGATCGAGGCGATGGGCACCACGCTATGTGAAGTTGGCCTTGTGCAATTTGGACCACTTATGACAGATACGAAGGACAAAATCACTCCCAAGTTGACAACTTTGGTGCACCTCTGATCATAATGAACCAATCGACAAGGAAAGCATGGAAAAGTGAATGGATCTCCGGAGGTGCACATGCAAAAAATTTGACGCCGTCTTACAGCTGCGGCCTTGATCAAGAGAAGGAAGAGTTGGCTTGGACGAATTCCTGTTTCTTGCCGATCTAGAAGTGTGTATTGAGACATTGAAGCATTGTATACCGTGTCATGAGAGGGAATCGGTAAATGGCACGGTTGGGAGTGTGGCAACTGAGAAAGCTAACGTTGAACTACTGCAATATTTCAGGCAGCTCAAGGGGAGCAAGGTGAAAAGAGACTTCTGCAGTGCAGATCTTGTGTGCTGATCGCATTCTGTGGAGTTAAAATTAATTTTGACACGCTTCGCTGGAGATTAAGACGAGGACCAGATGACAGACCGATTGTTATAACAGGACCTTTGTGGAGGACTACCTGCCCACCTTCAAGCAGGAAAACCCCCATTTGCAGGTCCTCGAAGACTTGCAACCTGGAAGACACCCATATCTCAAAGCAGAATACCGTGAGTATCAAGGGCATCCTGCTGTGGGCCTCACCATGTTTCTCTGCCAAATGCTAAGTGATTTTGCTCATATAAATGCCTACACACCCTGTATCTTAGTGCATATTGGCATGCCCGCAGGGAATGGAAGGGTGAGGACGGTAGGGGTCAAGAATGAATTGCCAGATGGTGTTCTCCGGCATGCTGTAATGCTGAGAAGCGCAGCTGGCCGATCAACACATGTCAAAGTGAAAACTCGGCAGGTTCAGCCAGCCATACGGACTGAGGATGGCAAGCATCAGCGAGCATCCCCCAGTGTGCAAGGCATGTGGCAGCCAAGTGCTGCACTGTGAATTTCTCTGCAGACCTATTTAGACCTGCAGGCACAATGCTGATGGTCCCAGTCACTGTGAGATAGTATGGCAAAGAAAATCACAGTGGTTGTCATGTCTTTTGTCAAGGTCGCTTTTACATGGCCAGAGCACCTTGCACCCTTCTGTGCATGAGTGCAACACCAAGTCAGTCTTAAGGTTGCAGTGTATTGTACGGTACAACGGCATCAATTGCCAATTCAGTTAATAGCATCCGGTGTTGACAGTGCTGGAAACTGATTATAGAAGAAAATAATCGTCGCCTGGCTGCGGTTCATGATGACCAACAACATTGCAACATCAGTATTCTGTTCTCAACATCTTTCTCTACGCATAGAAGTTACACCCTTCCAATGCCTGCGCGATTTCTTCCCTCATCTTTGCCAGTCCAGTATGCATGTCAGCGGCATGGCCATCCCATGCCACAGTGTTCTGAGCAACTGAGGGTTTGCTGCATGTCAACCTTCTTGAGACACACGTCAATCGTCCTCAGTAACAGAGATGAAGGCGATCACCGGACGCGTAGTCCCTGAAAGCAGCTGTGAGCTTCTGCCCATCACATCAATCACTGGTGCCCTCCCTGAAAATTTCATCGTCCTCCTGTGCATCTTTCTTGAGGTCATTGCTGAGCTGGGAAAGATTCTGCAGCAGTTGGAGCATGCTGTTCATATCCTTCTCACTGCTCTTTCCAGACGCTGCAGCCGAGGGTGCTGCTGCTTTTGGCTGCCTGGCTTCTGCTCTCCCTGCACCATTCTGAGTGCTGGTGGGCTCCTCTTCCACCACAGCCTGCAGCAGGTCCAGCAACATTTCAAAAGGGAGCCTGATGATGACAAAGCTTGAATGCTGGAAGGTAACACAGCAACACTGGAGATGAAGCACCTCAGGTTAAAATATGCATGCAAGTCTGTCTGCAGCTCCACACAGATTGGAGCGTGGTCGTTCCTCCCATCAACGACTTCCTGTTAATAAGTGCTTGAGTCAACATGGAAATGACTCATTTCAAATGAGTATTATTATTCCATATGGGCATGACAAAGCTCACCAGCTCTGCCAGCTCTGTCTGGAAACTGGCAATCTCGTGCGTCCAAGCATCCAGCTCTGCTGACGTGGCGGCAAGCTCGGTCTGTGTGCCAATGAGGGCAGCACGCACTGCCGAGCGCTGCTGACAGGCCTCTGTCAGTCGATGGTATGCTGACACCAGCTCTTCGTCTTTCTCCTGGAGTTCCATGCGGGCATGAAGCAACTCCGCATTGTTGGCCTGCAGCCGCCCGTCCCTCTCCACCAGTGCTGCCCTCAACAGTGCAATCTCCTTATCCTTGCCCCTGCAATAGCGGCAAGTCTCTCAGGTCGATCGGTTGTTCTGACAATGGTACATCCCTCCAATGGTCTGCAGGAATGTCTGACACTGTCATGCCCGCCCACGATGGTCAGAATATTTCTCAGATGCATGGCAGCCGTTTATTACTCAGCGTATAAAAATATTGAAGCCGCACTTCATTGCCCGCTTAGTTTGCCCCAGCTCCGCAGTCTTGCTCTGAAGATTGGCCTTGGTGACCCCCAGCTCCTTTCTGAGAGCTCTGGACGCATCTGTTGGCATCAATTGCTGCACTGCATTTGCTGCCTCAGCATTCTCGTGCTGGGCCACTCTACGCTGGTGCCGTGGTGGCGCCACGCGCAACCGCTGCCTGCCCTCTGATACGGGCATTGTCTGCAGCTTGAGGGGAAGTGGCAGATCAGCCGAAGCAATGTACATCTCCACAGAGCCTTGTGGAGCCTCCTGCATGTAAACATTCTCTTAAGATCGGCATTTCAGAATGTGTCTGAACATAAAAAGCCCCTTCACCTAAGTTGTCAAGTGGGTGACGAGTGTGACCACCTCGTTGGTCTGCTGCGCAGAGGACGAAGCATCGTTGTTGGTAGATGCGGTATTAGCCATCCTACTCAAAGTTGGTGGCTGCAGCAAAGTTCTGCAGCTTCGCCTTGTCCTCAGTAACGACCCCATATCCCTTGAGGAGGGAAAAGGCAGGGCCTCTCTCTGTAGGCACACAAGAATACTGTCACAAATTTCTTTTCACATTAAGAGGTTTGATTGTGGATGCTTCGCACAGGTTCAGCGCACCAGCGAGATCTTCACTTGCAACATCGTTCTTTATAGGCTCAAGTCTCTCTACGCAGAATTTCAGACTCTTCTAGAGACACATTTATCTACACTCAACAAGTTCTCACAAATTGCAACTTGTCGTACTTGTTGCTTCGCATGGCTGAGGATTTGATGCTTTTGCAAGCATGAGTCATCATGCGTCACGTGATGAATTGGGACCTTCCCATCGAAGAGGGGGGCCGATCTGCGGAAGATGACATCAAATTTCCACGAGACACTATATAATACTCAAATGAACCATCTGGGATCCAGACACTGCGTGTGATACTCTGTCTCTAGTGCCCATGCATTGAGCCTGACAGAGCCAAAGCTGCTGCAGTCGCCCTCATTTAATATCATTTCTTCTGACAAAGAGCTGAAATAGTAAATCAGTCACGATGAATTCGATCCTCAGCAACTGTGGCACGACCACCGTGCATATGACGAGTAGATCGTCAGTGCCTTGCAGGCTGCACCATTGTGGTGTGGCGCAAATTAGACAATATATGACCCAAAAACATGCTTTTCAAATAGATTTGGAGCACTGTTGGAAGAGGGTGCGATGTCTTGCGGCCAGCGCAGAGACAAAGGGACTGGAAGGTTGCGCTCAGGGAGAGCAGGTGGAGGGGATGACTTCATTTTTGGACAGCCTGAAATGGAACTTTGATGGTCTTGTGGCTGTGATCGTTCAGGTGAGTGGAATGCGACAATGTGTTCTATGATCATCTGTGCGTTGGACCTTTCAGGCTGTTTTACTGAGGCATACTGAGGCACTCTGTGGGGCCTTGCAGCATGTGGACACCGGCGAAGTGCTCATGCAGGCATTTGCAGATCGTGCAGCTGTGTCTGAGACGCTTCAGACAAGGTGTGGCTTCCAGAAATGCAAGACTTTTCGTAAATACGAGTCAATTGATTCAAGGCGGTGTAGAAGAGCGCCAGTGCCAATGTGCTTCCTGCAATCACATTGCAGGCTGGCCACCTTCTACAGCCGATCACGTAGAGAGCGCTGGTGCAAGGGGGAGACATCCGGACACTTCATTCACGTGACCAGTGTGCACCCCGACTGCGATCGAGACTCCATAATCTACATGGGAGATCCCATCGGGCCTGCCTGCCACACAGTACGTGCATAGTATCTCGCTGGCACGTCATTGATGCAATACACATTGGCAGGGATACTCACAACTCTGCAGTGGTCCAAGACAGCGCAATGACAAGAAACAAGAGCATGTTCTCTCCTTGAAGGTAGCTGGCACATGTTGCGCAGGGTTCACCATCATGCTGGTTCTCCGCTGTAGGGATCGACAGTGATGGAGGCGTCAGTGAGGTGAGAAATAATAAGTCACGAGACGAGGCTCCCCTGAGCACACTGCTAGCCCTGGAGCGCACCATACAGCAGCGGCGAGCTGAAGCCGGCTCAGGTACATCTCAAGGTTTCTGGATGGAAAGCCCTGGAGAGATGAATGATTTGATCATGCCTACAGAAGCTCACCTGAAGGTCGTTGAAGCAATGACTTTACATGCTGTTTTGGAGGAAACTTTGTTTGATTGAGAAAGCTGTGCTGTTGGGTTCAGCTTGTTGCCTGCCCTGACAGCGATCTTCCATGGGATGTCAGGTGCGAAGTCTTCGTGGACAGCCAAGCTCTTGGCAAATCCAGAGCTGCTGTGCTCAAAGGTCAGGGAAGAGGCTGGCGAGCTGTGTCAGACGTTGGAAGCTAATGAAGGGAGCGAGCGTGCCGCTTCAGAAGCTGCTGACCTCCTGTACCACAGCCTTGTGCTCCTCAATGTTCAGGTACCGCTGCCGCAAGCCTGCCTGTATTGGGAGCGCGCATGACAGTCTACTCAATCCCTGGCGCACGTGTGTTTTTGCCATGTCAATCAGGCTTCGCTGAGACACAACTTTGGTGCTGTGCAGGGAGTGCCAGTGTCAGATGTCCTCAAAGTTTTGCGGGGACGTTTCGGAGTTTCTGGGGTTTCAGAGAAGGCATCCAGAACACCAAAATAGTATATGTTGCGAGCCCGTTGTGGCATCTGCTAGAGGTCGGGTTGCAGAAAATCCTGAAGCCTGTCCTTAGAGAATTATATTCAGATGTGGTGAAAAGGTGGATATATTTTGATCTCACCAATCTCATGATATCATATGATTGTGCATGAGCATGACATGATGTAAGTAGGTCAATACACTGGTCTGTGAATAAGAAATCACCTGCTTAGGTGGTTTGCAAGGAATTTCCTTAAGTACATTTATACATAAATGTGGGATTTAGTATCATGCAGGATATGTACCTAGCAGTCTGCCAGGTTAAGACATCATTTCGGTCCCACAATCTCACAGAAGGTCAAACTCTCTGCACGTGTACAAGTACTTGCAATGCAACGTGCCAACATGATTGCAAATGCTGAGCACTGATCACTCCGATCTCCCTCGACGGTAACAGACAGGGTGACTTCAAAAGTTTAATTTCAAATGACCAAAAATTCTCTCAGTCACACTTCACTTCAGCGCATAGTGTACAGCAACTCTAGGTGCTGCTCCAACAAAAAAAGGAATCATAGTAGCACACAAAATCTCATCATCAATCACAATGACCGACCATCATCTCATAGGATTCTGTGGACTGACTGCACGTCAAGGAAGGCATCTGTGCTGACTGCAGCATCCAGATTGTACCACCACTCCTCCAGGAAGTTTGCAGCAATGATCCGGAACCAAGGCGACCATCGCAGCTCACTGCTGGGAACCATCATCTCCTTGAGCTCAGGCAGTGTCACATACTTGGTCGCCTCCACCTCATCAGGATTGGGCTTCAAGTCCACTGCTGCCTTGATGAAAAGGATGTAATCCACCTGGTTAGACAGGCACAGCAAGCTCAGGGGGCGTGTTGCTATCATCATTGCACTCTTTGGATTTACTTATCTTATCTGTCTTATCTGTCTTACTTATCTTCCCTGTAAGCAGCGCACAGCCATCCTGGGTAAACTTTATTTGAAGGTGGATTCACCTCGTGCTCTCCCCACTCTGCATCTGGACCATAAGTGTCTGTGTCCGCTGCGCAATAGTGCAGCCTCGTCAAGAATTTGAAGTCGCTCAAGGGGACCTGCTGTGGCGCTATGCCCAGCTCATGCTCCAGCTTGCGCACTGCCGCACGCTGCACGCAGCCACACAATCAGCCACTCTCCCATGTGGCTGACATCTGTAGGATTGATGTGCAACCATAGGTACAGGTTGCATGCTAGGACACACAGGAACAAGCAGGATTAAGCCGGGGATCAGAGTAAGGGTACCTTTGCACCCATCACAGATCCGTTTGCAACGTCCTCTGGCTGATCCACTTCAGTCGGCGAGTAGCCATGCAGAGGGTGAGAACAACACGTGTTTGTCCAGACGCCTGGGAAGGTGATCTTTGACAGAGCACGTTGCTGCAGCAACAGCTTGTTGTCCTGGTTGAACAGGAACACGCTGAACGCACGATGCAGCAAGCCCTGCGGCTGCTCTTTCGTGAACATATGTGAGGTGTACTTGTTCGCACTGCCGATGATGCTGTCCTGCTCATCCACTAGGATGCATTCATCCTTCTGCATGAGGTCTGCCTGAGATCCGCTGCCTGGGCATGCGGCACAGCAGCATGGATACCCATAGAACAGGCATGTGAGAGTCCGTCAGATACGTGATGCCCAAATATGGATCAGACATACCGTCCCATCTGCCGTTCTGCTGGAGGACAGCCACCATGGAATGAAAGCACCGCTGTGGAGCTGCAGGAGCAGCAGTCTTAGACAGGAAGGCTTTCTGCGCAGAAGATGAAAGCAAACTCCGCCAAGTCCCTGCATACAGCCATACTTTTCAATGCAAGGATCAAAATTAGGGATTCAAAAAAATTATAATGGGTGCTATCAGAGCACTGCTGTCCCCTTTGGATCTCTCACCTCTCAGCATTGGTGTGCCTCGGTGGCACCCAAGATAGCAGCGCACATGGACTGCTCTATTGACGATCTCCAGGACCAGATTCTGATACTTAATCAATTTGATATCCTAAGAGTCTCCGACAGACGCGATGTGTCGGAAGCGTCACTGATCCTGATCACTGATGGCCCAGGAGTCTTGCATGCCCTCGATGACTGCGATTGCCACTGCCGGAGAGATTTTCTGGGGAATTATCAGTATGAATTTCGGCGTGAAAGAGCCCCAAACAAGAATTTCGTGGCAATCAACCTCTGTCTGTCGAGTTTCATGCAGACCAGGGCTCGACTCACAACCCCCTGCGCAGGGGAGATTATGTTCGAAACCCTAAAATCATAGTCAGATTGTGATCTTTCGTGGGCGACACAAGTTTCTCATCTGTGTCTCCCCACAAAAGCCGCACTCACAAATTGCAAACCGAGAAGGCAACGCCTGCGCTGAGATAAATTGCTCACGCCACAAGGCTGGCAACGGTTCTGCTTTCAGCCACCAGAGGCGAGAGCCCTAGCTGGCCTAAGCCCTTGAAGCCGAGCACGGCTTGCTATGACCACCCCTCCATCGCTCCTTCGCAGTCTCCTGAGGACATCGTCCCTTGCCAGCCCGCGTGCTGACCGCAGCGAGGAGCAAACTTCTCCGCTCTCCCTCCGGGCATCTCCAAGTTTCAGCGACTTTTCATGCGGCATCCAAGCCGACGCTGAAGGTGGGGCTTCTGTGACGCCCTCTGCATCTTTTGTTTTCATCGCTTACGTGCTCGATGCAGTGCCGGCACTAGAGAATTGGCTTGATTGCTATCCTGAATAGAGAAGAAAATTTGCAGATGAGCCTGCGACTCCGAGCGCAGCGGGATCCTTCTCGCCCCTCTCCAGGCACAGCATGGATAGCTCTGGCAGTCCGAGCAGTTTCACGCCCGGTTTCCTCGCGAGGAGGAGTATGGACCTGCGGGCTGACCTGAAGTCCCTCTTCAGCAACGGAACGTCGCCCGGTACGACCGATGCTCAATTGAAGATCGCAGTATGCAATGTCATAGCCTTTGTGAATGTATCGCGAACAGCTATGGTCAGCAGGCCGTGCCGTCTGGCACCCTTGCAGTGAAATTCCAGGAATCTGCACAGTCAGCTCGGCTTGACCAAGCGTGTAGGGCGGTCTGTCTGAATCAGTGGCGGCAACGGGTCAATGTAGATGCGATCGGTGTTTCCCTGCTCGTGTACATTGCTGTAGGAGGTTGGGAGCGTGTATTCAGTAAAGTGGGATAGACGCTAGGGTTTACCACTGGACCGTCGACGGTTTTGACCACTTGTTGGAGCGTCGCTAGCGTGCTGCAGTCTCCCTTCATGACGAAGTAAAGAGTCTGATGGAAAGGGGCACTTTAAGGCTCGTTGGCAGCCGTAGTCCAGTCCTGACGTTATGGAAACTCCCTCTTCCCTTCCGATCAACAAGAGTTGATGGGTGGTAGCTGTGCTGCAGGACCAGCGACAATGAAGAGCAGCCCTTCCATGCCAATCCCCCCAGCACACCAGCACAACGACAGGGCTAAGCCTGCAGACCAGGCAGAACAGCGGAAGAGATGTGCACGCCAGAAGAAGATTGACGGCATGGTGCGTCTGGGAGCCTTTCCAGCAATTGATGGGGCAACATGGACTCAGACTTGTGCCCTCCACACCGCACTGTGCATGCTGTCATGAAGCATGGACTGTATCGCTTGCAAGCTAGCTCATGGAAGGGGTCTGACAGTGAGTGTCTGGTGTGTGCCCCAGGAGTTCTACGAGTGGGCTGAGCTCATCCGCAGCTCTTCACTGTGAGAACCACAAATGCAGAGAGAGAAGAGAGTGTGAGACAAACATTTCAGCCTTGCAAGGCTGGATTCAAGCATGTATAACTGCCCACCTCCCAAGGACAGCACACGGGACATCAGAGATTACCAATCTGTGCGACTTCACTGATCAGCCTTGTGCAACTTATAAGAAGTCTTTCCTTGATTCAAAAGGGGATCAGTTGCACCAGCAGCAGCTGCAAGCAAGCTTGAAGGGGCGCGCAGCAATGCCGCCTTTTTGGTAGATGGAGAGAATGCATGCCCCATATCTGTAGGCAAAATAGTCTGGGACGTTGATTCCAACGCTTGTACCAACGCAGACCAATGAGAGTGGGGAGCTGTATGCAGTCAAAGCTGGACAAGTTTTGCACAAGATTTGCAGGGTAGAGGGTTTTCTGGTTGTGAGCACAGCAACTGGCGACTGTGCAGTTTCAATGTGCTTGGCATGGTGAAGAAGAGTCGAGTTGTGCTGCAGGCAACGAGATATTCCGTGACTGCAGTGCGCATGTTCTGGCCGATTTCGTTGCTAAGGTTGAATGCAGCCAAGGCGTAATTGGAAAGTGCAGAATGCAAGTTTGTGGCGCAGAGCATCGTGGATGATCCCGTCCTGTAGTTGTAAGGTTGATGAGAGAGAAGAACGGAATATTTGCAGTTTTGTCAAGCCAGTTGAGCATGTTGCTGTGCAAGGGCTTGCACATGTTTGTTGATATATGGTGTGGATCAGCGATCACTCTGTTGTGATGAAGACTTCTGAACCTTGTTTTTGGCGGGAATATGATGACCCTGCGTGGATGTGTTGAGCGATGATCAATGCTTGCTGCCTGATGGTGCGCTGTGTACCATCAAAGTATTGGATGAAAGTTGCTCCTGAGCGTCACCGAGTGACCCTGAAGCTCTACTCTGTAAATGTTCACAGTCAACCTTGTCCCCATGCAGATGAAAATCGCATCCACATCATTTGACACTGACTTCTGTGGCATCTGAATCTGCTGTCCATCCCTGGGCTTTGAGCGAGGAGGTCAGGTTAATGATGCTACCAGATGCCTTTATTCTTTAAATTGATTCGGCTGCACATGATCATGATCAAAAAAAATGTTGAGCTTTGTTGACCGCTCTTTGGAAGACTGCGGACGTGTGTAGGCTAATATGATCTACTTTACATATAAAATTCAACTTTACGATGTCCAGAAAAACACCACAACATCATAGTACAGCAGCATGGGCATTGGCTGATACCGTACATACATTGCAGGCACGACTCACATCTACATCACATGAATGTACTGGTCTGCTGCAGGACCCACATATTTTCTCCATGAGCGCAACTTCTCCTTCAGCAAGCACAGAGCTTCCTGCAAACGCACAGCCTCCATCACCCCACAAAGCAGGAGACCAACAATGCTGCGGTTGACAATTCTTAGCCAATTGAGCAGCAGCGCTCACCTGTGGCACACTCGTGCGTGCCAGCTGGCCCAATCGAATGAGGCGCCGCTGGCCCTGCTGGCTGCTCAGATACAGGAGAGTGGCATCGAGGGCGGCATCTGACAAGTAGTCGCAGGCCTCGCTGCAGTCGCCCATAAACGTTGCATCCAAGCCCTCCAAGGCGCCAGGTATCTACATTTTCAACGTCCACATCAGAAGTTAACACAAAAATCTGTAGCATTACCTCCTTCCGACGTCTGTTCCACCAGAGGCGCACTGCACAACGCAGACTCCTGATGATCCAGAAGGAAGATATGCTGTTCTGATAGGCAGGGCACCCACCCGGCTGATGATGCAGTGCATGTCTGCATCCAGGGCAGGCACAGCGCGCTCCACAGGGACCCAGCACAGAGAGTGCATGCACAGCAGATCGCTCGGCTTGAAGTCCGCCTTGTACCTCATCTTGGGACAGCTGCACACCAACACGCACTATCACCCACCCAGCTGCTGCGGACAATCACTGCTTACCACACAGCATGGCACGTAAGCCATGGCATACGTGCATGGATAACTTCAGCTCCCAAAAACAACCAGTCATGCATTCTTGAGCAGTGATGAAGGTTGGTACCTGCTGATGAAGTAGCCCATGTAGTAGCAGTGGAGGGAGGGGCAGGTCATAGCGGCAGCTTGCACAAAGGCAATCTCCCGCAGGGCGCTGACTTTGCCGAGGCTGAGGAAGCTGAGCGAGGGCTCCCAGAAGAAGTAGACAGAGCTGATGCATTGCGGCAGCACATCCAGCACTGCCACAGCCACCAGCTCGCCTGCAGCACACCAACACCCCTCACTAACCAATCATGCGACATTTGTCCTGTAAGCGCATGGGGCATGTTGGTGAAAATGACGTGTTCTCCCACACATTGTAGCGACAAGAAAGAGACCAGCACACCCTGCACTCCTCGTAAAGATGCATGCACCTGTCTTGCTAGCGCATGGGGCAAGTGGGTTAGAATGACTTTCGCTCTGATGGAATAGGGCAACAGAAGAGAGCAACTACAGTGCTGAGCACTCACCGTCAATCCAGTACTGTTGGTGATAGGAGCCAAAGGACCAGTATGGCACTTGGCCATCTGGGCCCAGAGGAGCCCGCCTGCGCATCAAGGGGGAGTCCACCAGAAAACGCCTGAAGGAGCTTTCTTTCACCTGCACCCAAATCAGAGAAGTGAATCATGGGCCAGGTCATATGGCCGTACACCTGCCAGGAATCAATTATGTCCCCATTGGTATTGTTTGGCAACCCAGCAGAAGCCACCAACAATACAGCGGAGCCCAAAATTACATCTGACGGCTCACCTCCTGGGGGGACTCGTGGTGATGAATGGTTTGGTATCTCCTGTACAATGGGTACTCTGCTGCTATCTCGGCACGGCTGGCCGGCATTGGCACCAGCCGAACCTCAAAACGCCGTGATCTGCACATGCACATGCATCTCCCTCGATGCCCACTGCAAGACCACCCTATACATTTTTGCATACAGCAGACTGCAACATGATGCATGATCACGAAGCACAGGCAAGGTCCTAGTAATGCTCTTCAAGAGAGAAAAGAAGGTGTCATACCTTGTCTGAGTAGCAGCAGAGAGAGGCTCGGGGCCTGCACACGAGTCAGGACATCCACTGCTTCCGGTATCACTCCCTCGAAGCCGAGCTGCATCAGCCGTATGCGCTGCAGCTGCATAGCCGTACCCGGCATCCACATGTATCTCTCTCCTGCTGACCCCGCCCCACTGTGCGGACACCGTCGCGCCCTTGGTCATCCTTGACGCAGAGCTGGCATGCTCAGGAGCGTCCTCGGCTGTTTGGCTGGAGCCCCTGCTGCTGTGTTCTCTGGCACCCCCTGCATGCTGGCCTGCAGGTGCATCGCTCCCAGCTTGTCTGCCTACCGAGTGCTCACTTTGCCCATCTGCAGCTGCCTCACCCATCTGGACAGGGCCTGGGCACAGCAAGGGTCTTTGGATACCGCAGTCCCTGCTGTCTGTGCTCATGCTGCAGGTGGCCTCTTCGCCCCCAACTGCGGCTGAGTCATCACCGCTGCGCACATCACACAATGCTCCAGGCTGCATCATGAAGTTAAGATGTCCCCGCTTTGCCTGAACCGACAGCTGCAGCCCCGCTGCCCCCTCCAGGCGCACTGCCAGCAGGGCTGCCAGGTGTTCAGCCGATGGACTGCCAGGTCCTGAGACACACAAGAAAAGCAACAAGCTTAGACTTTGAAGAATGACTAGGCTGGAAGATAAGCTGCATTCTGATTTCTGGCAGCATTTTGATCGAAAATGATTAATGTTTGCACTGTTTGACTTTCATAGCACCGTGCAGGACAGCGAAATACCTGCAGCTCGGCGAGCAGCAGCAGCGATGGGAAAGGCAGCCGCTGTTGTGAGGAGAGCTTGCGGCCCCAGGAGGCGCCGCTGCTTAGAGGAGACCTCCTTGACGTCGGGGGAGTAGTAGCATGCCTCTGGCAGTGTGCCCTCCTCTGTCATGCGCCGCACTGCATGGCTGATGGCGCGACTCATCCTATCAGCCACACTGTCCACCTGCGTACACCCGATAATGCATGCATTAATGTCACAAAATCCACCTGAGAGACCTGTATCAAAAGCACCGAGGCAAACCTTCACGCACAGCGTAATTTCCAAGCACTGTTGTCTGAACTGACCAGTAGAAGTTTGTCAGGCATTCACCTGCGCGCTACATGGAGCAGCTACATCCCCCTGGACCGCAGCAGGGACAGCAGGAGAGGCAGGCGGGCTGGCAGAGATGAGGTGGGACTTGCGTTTCCGCTCCTCAGTGCTGCAGCTGTCCTGCTGCTGCTTCTTGCACACACCTTCTGGCTCCAAAGATGCTCTTACATCTGGTGCCGGAGAGGTTGCAACTTCCCACCCTGGAACATCATCTGACAGCGGAGGTGTTGAAGGAGCTGGAGGAAGGTCCAAATTGGTCTTTACTGGTGCTCCTGCCAGGTACTTCTCAAATCGCCGCATGACCTGCTTCTGCGCCTGCACACCATGCGTTGTGTCATCGACAGGGCATCCTGACCTGATCAAGCATGTGCACATGCACTTCCTTCGGATGCATTTTCGCCAGACTACAGCAGAACATACAGGGACCGCTCCTGCTTAATATGGACAGGCACGCTTCATGACTAGGAGCAAGACTGGGCGAGTGATGGCGGTCTCTTCTGGGGCAGAGAACACAATGGAAGTACATACGTACCCTGCTCGGTTCAAACTTGTGAACATCCAGACGGATTGTGTGTGGTACGCACGAACATTCAGACTGTTCGGCCAGCGACCTATACAGCCAAGTCCCACTGCGTCGCCAGCCCCGATTGAGGAGATCCTGGTATGCTTCACAGGTCATCTGGTTCGCCACCATGCCCTGCGAAGGACACTTTTTCTTCAATTCTTGACCACTGGACACCCATTTACGGATCCCTGCACGACTTTCATGTGCAGATAGCTAAGAAACATGCTCTGCCATTATCTCATTGTCAAGGAACAAGTAAAATCGTATGGGCTCAGGTTCCCTGAGTACTAGAGTCCAAACAAACGAGGGAGAGATTGAGCGCCTCAGAATTGCGCCTTACCAAGGATGAATTAGTTCCCAATCGACAGTAACCGCAAGGAGATTCGTAGTTGCCAATGTTCGCAACAAAGTTCTTTCTTGGCAAGTCGTTGGCATCCATGTCACACGAATTCTTGCAAACCCTTACAGACCCTGAATGTAAACAGTGCAGCAGATCCAACAAGATGGTGGATGCCTGGTCAATTTACATCGGCAGGCATCCGCCCATGGGTGGATGCAGCACTATTCTGTGTGGGTCCATAGTCACATGGGAAAAGTACACAAGTACAAATGCGCGTCCAGGCTAGAAATTGATAGCTGGGGCAGCCAAAGAGCTGGCATGTATCATTGCCATGATGAGGAGTATTTCTTCAGCCCTTTGGAGAACGTAACGAACATCTGCGAAAGTAACTTCCGGAAGGGTTTCCGCTGGCGGGGGGTCCCGTTGCAGCCCGTTGGCGATTTGCATGCACATTTTGCGGCATGCACGAAAACCATTTGCCCCATGGTAATGCCCACATTAAACGACATTGGACTCCAATTTGACCTTCGATATGAGCCCAATATCTGGTAATGCTGTGCCTGAGGAAGTCTTCGAGCGTGTGAATTGATTATCGTGATGGTCTAGAATTATCATCAGTCCAAGGTTCCGATCGGCCACAGATGTCGGCGGGCGCCTGGCTTCTAGGCCTAGAACACAGTAGCTCTTAAGGCGCGTGAGTCTACCAACATAGCAGCAGAACAAGAGGTAACACTCGACATTTGAGTCAATGTCCCCACGTCCTGTCAGCTTGTTCTTGCCCTGTGGCCCCTTATGATAGGTGGCTTGTGCCAGCAGCTGGCAGCCAGCTAGTCTGCAATGTACCTGCAGGATTGCAATGTAGCTTTTTCAGAACGATGAACTGACAACATGCAAAAAGAAGAGGCTATATGCAGTGTTCCATCCTTTCTGAGCTTTCTATTTATGGCCAGGATCGCCTAAAGGAATTGATTATTGTGCAAATGGATATCCCCAGAGCATCGATGCTCTGATCCAAAAAAGAGAACCACAAAACCACTCTCAGCCCTCAAATCACATTCCCCCAGCTGCAAGCCAGCAAGCGCGCAGCTGGATAATGATTACAGGGAACGAGGATCCTGAAATGGGGCGCACCATAGGAGCTCAGCATTGTCTGACCCTTGAAGACACACATGTGCAGCTCGTTGAAGAAGAGCCAATGGTCGACGGGCGCAGCGACGCACCTCTTGCTACAGGGCGCGCAAAGCATCGCAAAAGGGGAGATAAAAATTTTAGAAGGGCAGCTCCAATTGCTGAGCCGCAGCAGGGTGACAGCAGCGCTGCACGCAGAGAGCACTCGTCTAAAAACAGAGGGAAGTGGCCGTGGAGGATGTCTCTGACACCGCCGAACCGGCAGGACTTGACGGCTGAAGTGCCCTGGGCAGCACCAATGGGCCCGGATGTTCCCACCTGCGACACCACAGTGCTGTTGGTGAGCAGCCCAGGGAGGCAGATCTGGCCCTACATCAAGACAAAGGTGGGTTGTCTGATGGTTGATCCAGCAATGCTTCATCCCTGAACAGCTTTATTTTTGCAACTTAGGGAATGGTGTTTATGCAGCTAACATGCAGTATGCCACAAGGAACACGTACTCTCACCAGTTCTCAATTAGAACATGAAAAGCTCTGCATACAATAGGCCGGTACTGCTTCAGTTGTCAAGCTCCGGGCCCAAATAACACGTGCACGCGCAGGTGCGGTCCTTCCTGGGCAGCAGCATCGTGAAGGCGATCCACACTTTCTGGAGCCAGGGTCGGGGCACTGGGCGGCAGACCTGGCATTTGTGGAGTACCACGACAGGGCGTCCTGTGCAGAGGGCTTCTACAGGCGCAAGAACCCGCTCCTGCTAGAGGGCCTCGAGTTGAGCTTCTCCAGCAAGACCGCGATGGACAAGCGGCTGGCGCAGCTTCATGGCAGCTTCCAGCGCGGCAACGGTGCTGACAGGGCTGCAAATGCAGCGATGCGGGCTGATGGGCCGGTGCTGCCTGCTCTGCCGCGCCAGTCCACCTTGCTTGAGGGTGTCACCACTCCGGTGGAGACCCCGGCAGAGTGCTCAGCTGCAGCGCCTGTGAAAGGCGCCAGGCCCTCCCTCGACATCAACAGGGTGCGGCGGGAGCTCGGGTATCCCCCGCTGCAGGGAGTCGAGAGGCCCAACAGGCGGGGATCAGCCATGCATTCGCGGGGAAATGGGAGCCAGACAGCGGGGGGTGCCCCTAAGGAGGCGCATGGCACTGTCGATAGCGACGCGAGGACTTCAGTGGTGGTTGAGGGCGGACAGTCAGACAATTGCAAGACAGGAGCCAGGCGCAGGCCAGCAACTCCAGAGAGAGGAAGCGATGATGCGGCAGGGACTGTGGACCCCATTTCCTCCATTAGCCTGAAAACAGACGTGACAATGAGCAGTGATGCAGCTGGCAGCCAGCGTGAACGGGGCAGTAAGCCTGGTGCAGATGAGCCGGTACTTGAGAGGCGTTCCAGCATGCCACTTCATGGCATCTTCCAGGATCTTCTGCCATCAAGCCAGGTGCTCTCCCAAATTTCCAGAAGCTTGCTATAGTATGGCATTTGAAGTGCCTGCCAAGCATCGATGTCCTGAAGGACTGACAACGGCTATTTGATGTCCCGCGAGCATGTCTAACTAGACAATCTGTGATGATTGCAGAGCAAGCGGCAGGATGAGGATAGCACTGTCTCAAGATGCCCGGATGATGTGGGCACAGCGGACGTTCTCAGCACTGCAACCTCCCTGCAATCGCTGGGGCCGCCCACTCCAGCTGCCACACACCCACAGCAGGCACACTTTGAAGAGGCTGATGACAACAGCGGCCAGGGGCCCAGAGAGCAGTCAGGCACAGCTAATACTGTGGAGGAAGCGTTGGATTTCCTGCAGATGCAGCTGCAAGCCGAGCGTGCCTGCCAGAGCAGCCTGGGCAGCACAGGGAGATCTGCAGCGTCAGTGTCAGATAAAGCCAGCACAGCCACTGAGAGGGACAGTGATAGCTATACCAGCAGTGTGCTGCAACAGCCCGTTGCAGATGGAGAATCGGTTTTTCAGCAGCCCAATGCGGTGATGGCGGATGGACTCAGCGACCCTTCATCATCAGATGAGTTGAGCAATGACCTCGCGGAAATGCTGCAGCTGATCATGGGAGAATCTGACAAGTGTGTTGCCAAGGGAGGCAGCCCCGTGTAAAAAGCACCGTTCAAGGACCACATATGCACAGCAGGCAGGCACAGAGTGCAGCGGGGTGTGGATACTTTACAATTGAAATGTCCCATGCTGAGTTAGACTGAAGTCTGAAGTCTGAAGTCTGAATGTCTGCCAAACGATGCCCGATGAATGTGCTGGTGAAGCTATGCATGCCGCAGGAGCTGTGAGAATGATCCATTTGGTACATTTGATGTACGAACTTATATTTCATACTTGTTGCAATACTGCTGTATCATCCTCGACTTCTTGCCAAGCAGCACCAGCTCTGATTGGAGTGCAATGTAGCCTCCTGGAGGCTTCCTTCTTGTATTTGCTCATGGAGTGTGGCAAATGAGCTTGAGGATGTCCATGCAGCTATCCACAATGAGCTGAGTTTTATAGTTCGTTCTGCTCCTTTTAAGTCACAAACTTGTGCTGTGATAGATCTTGTGATCTTGTAAAAAGTCTTGTGTAAAAAAGGTTTTACATAGCAGACCATGGGGCCGTTGCATGTCACTTTCACAAGGTGACCCAACACAACATATTTTCTTCAAGCACGCCAGCGAAGTTTGAAACGCACGGCATCATGACAACACGAGCTGCTCTCATCGAAGATTTGCTACCGGGGCAACAGTGGTCAACTACGTGAACAGAATTATCAACATGCCTGCATTCTTTGCAAGAAATCAGATAATCGAGCTTCGTTAAGGTCTCTCCTGGTGTGACCAGCATGTTCACTTTCTGGCGGTGTCATAGTTCTCCTTGAACCACGCTGTCGTCTCACGGATTGCAGTGGCCATTGGGGTAAACTTGAAGTCTGGCAGGTATGCGCGCAGCTTAAGATTGGATGCTGTCTTCTTGTACTGGCCGTCTGCCTTAGTCTTGTCAAAAATAATCTCCCCCTGCATATCAGAAGGCACCGCTGTCAGCCACACTCAACCACACCTCTGCTCCAAGGATTTGATACATCTTCTGCCACCAATATTGTTTTCAGAAAGTAGACAACAAACGCACTTCTGTCGTAAAATCACAGGCCTGCAAGATTGCTAGCAGGCAGGGACGCCAATGATAAAGGTCTGGCAGTAGAATTCCCACCATAAAGCCCATTGAGTCAGCAATCATGTGGACAACATCACTGATGGGGACTTCATCCTCCTCGCCCACAGACAGGATGATGGGGTCTGCCTCCTTGTACTCGCGCAGCACCCAGATCATGAGACGTGCCAGGTCCAGGTTGTAGATGAACTGGCGCCTGCAGCATGACATGCACTTCAGTGATTGGTCCGCCCAATACTGGGGGGATGCTCGCCAACGTGAGGGCGCCAGGTTCTGGCCTGCCTAACCCAAATAGAGCTGCAGAAACAGGCTGAGGAGCTCATGCATGCATGCAGCTCCGAATTCACATGTACATAATAACAGACGTTTTTGAGTTATCAAGCAAGTACCTGCGTGTTCTCTAGGTTTGGGCAGCATCATTGCATTGGGAGGGATGCAGTGCAGGGGCTTCATCTAGATGGGGGTTTCACTCACAGGGGCTTGCCGCTGCCCCAGGCCGTGAAGGGGGTGCCATCTCGCTGGGCGATGTAGCACTTGTGGATGAGGTTGGGAACCACGTGTCCTGCATGGGCAATTTTTGCTGGTATGAGCACACCGCGACAAAGCTTTACTTCCAAAATATATGCTAAGTAACACACAATTGATATGAATTCGCTGTCTGCAGGAGGTATCTGATGCGCAGCACCTTGGTCGAGGTTGAAGTTGTCGTGCTTGCCAAAGATGTTGGTGGGGACAACGGATGTGAAGTTGCAGCCGTACTGCTCATTGTACATGCGGTTCTGAACATCCACGAGCCTCTTCGCATAGGCATAGCCCTACAACGCACATGCTTGTCGTGTGATCCCCGATTGCGTCGACAAGACAGAGAGTGTGCCACTCACTGGCATGAATGACTAGAAGCAGTGGTCAAGTTGAGATTCAGAGCCAAGGCGCAATGAACACAATGCCTTAGCAGCCTCACCTCGTTTGAGGAATGAGGTGGTCCCAAGTGGATCATGGTCTCATCGATGGGGTAGGTGGTCTTATCGGGGAAGATGCATGTGGACAGGCAGGACACCAGCTTCTTGACACCATACTCCTTGCTGAGCACCATGATGTTGTCCTGCATGAGGATGTTCTTCCGCCAGAACTCAACCTTGTATTTCTGATCACACGCATGCCAAGTCAGCTTTAGTCTTTAATTAACTGGGCCTTCGATCAAATGCAGTCGGCTCGATTATATGAAGAAATGAGGAAGTAATTCTTATGAATCAAGATGTTTGATGCCTCTGCAGAACTTACCATGTTGGCAAAAAGGCCACCCACGAATGCCGCTAGGTGAATGATCTGTGTTGGTTTCACCCTCTCAAATAGAGCTTTGGTCTCTTCATAGCTCGTGAGGTCAGCGTCCTTGCTGCCGATGAATACCCATGTTTCACCCTTGGGAGGGTCCTGCGCAATGATCTCCTGCACAGCTTTCCCAACAAGTCCAGTTCCTCCTGTGACGAGAATTACCTCGCCGTCCAAAGGCCCCATATTGCAATCTGCTGGTAGACTTGAACTCCACGTATCTTGAAATTATTCTTACCGGGACAAGTACCCAAGGATAGAACTCAAACTGATCACACACTTTGTCAAGGTATCTTACAGCATCGGGACGATCAACCGAAGCAGGTTAAGTGTGGGAAGCATCTTGATCAATCGCTGGGCGCAATAGGCGCGTCGGACACTGCACAACCTGATTTGGCTCTACCTCCATTCAAATATTCAAATTTTAGTGTGAGCAATTTTGGGAGCATTTTTAAAATTTAGTGTGAGCTCAACTGGTGAATTTCAACAGTGCTCTGATGAATCGTCAGTGATGATCCAGTCATTGAATGCTATGGCAACTAACCATTGGCATTGGCAAGCTGCTGCATGCATGCCATTGGAGCCGATCTGCCAGTGGCGAGCTGAGCCATGCGCTGCAGCGCTAGCTAGCTATAGCCTACGGTTTGCATGAAGGACCAAAGGTGGTTACAAAATACCCCTGACATCACCGTGCATGAGGGGATGCACTGGAATCTAAAGGGTGGAAGACAAGCCCACTGAGTTTCCCTCTCACTGAGAATAAGGAATTGCAATGCCCAACTGTCCTAATCGGAAAGATAAACAGCATTAATGCCATTGGATGGCAAAGCGTGAGCCTGCCCAGTCCAGTAGATCCCACAGTACCAGGCCACCTATACTGCTCGCAAGAAAACTCAAGATATCAGTCATCTTACAAATACTTTGGTGATCGGTTCGCAATCCAAGGATCATACTGCACCCATTCAATGTTATACCATCACTGATCATTGCATGATTACTGACAGATTCCACTCAGTCAATCCATGCCCTCCGCACACAAACCGCAATGGCATGCCACAAATCGCACAATGTACACTGGCATGGATATGCGTACAAGGCAACACTTACAATAGCATCATGCTGTGATTGCTTCAGCGCACTAAATCTCATCTCAAAAGTACTTGCATGTGAATCATAGTGATAGCAGTGCTGTTACTGTCGTCAGGCACAGGGTGATCAAGTTCAACAGCTCTGATCAGAGCATCATAGTACAACCCTCAAGGGCAGATGTAGGGCACAAGCCGTTCAAGTCCTAGCAGCAAACGCACGCTTTTCACACTTCAATTTCATGCTGCACTTGGCTTGCAAAACCCTGCAGATTGACAGCAATTGACAGCAAGTTCTCAGCAGATGAAGTATCATTGGATATGAGTTGCGTTGTTCAGATCCTCTGCCGTGCTGGCACAAGAATCTTGCGCACCGGCTGTCATCGGACGCCCACTCAGCAAACAGCTAATTGCGTATACTGTGATACAGACGAGCAACAGGAACGTGGTTTCTGCACGAGGGATGCATTTTGCACCATGTGCTGAGTGTCCTACAGAAGCTCCTTCTGCAGGTATACATACAAGGCCACCGCGGCAGCCGCAATGTCCTCGTCCGCAACGTACTCCAGAGGTGAGTGACTGATGCCTCGGCGGTCACGCACGAACAGCAGCCCCATCTGCAGCATATAGCACTGTCTGTTGAGGCCTGGGACTCGGACCCACTGAAAAGTGCCAACCATGACCAGAAAAGAAGGAGCGCTAATGACAGAAGAAGACAAGGCAGTGAGGACCGTCGCACTCACAAATATCCACCCCAGGCTGTGACACTGTCAACGAAAGATGGCTGTACTAGCGTGGAAGCCAGATGGACATGGCACCTTGGTGATTTCGGCCATGGGCAGGGCGTCATGGCCGGCACCGCTGACCAGGACAGGCGCCTTGCCCGGCTCCCAGCGGCTGCTCTTGCCGGTGCCGCCGCAGTTGGCGTGGTCCAGCAGCTCTCCAGCCACGTCCTGGGGCGTGGAGTTGGACACCTTGCTCAGCTCACTGTCACACTCCGCCTGGCACTGCTCATCTCTCTCCAGAATGTCCGCCGTCAGCTGCATTAGCCCAGCACCCACATCAGCATCTGCTGCATGCATGCAATAGTCCAGCATCTCCCAGACCCTCACCCTCTGCAAATGCTGCCAACTGGCATTTGCAGCACTGCTTGATGGAGTTTAAATACTGATCACAACACATCAGCCGTCCAGGGGGATATCCAAGTGACCAGGCTTCAGGACTTTGTAAGCCTAATTTCACACCAAGACTAGTGCTCACCTGCTCTGATTCGCGGCAGGCATCAATGAGGCCAGCAATAATGTCCGGGTGGCAGGCGGCCGCAGGAGCTTCGTGCTTTATCTCTACGCTGCAGTTGACATTGCGCCTCTGGCAGATGGTCTCCAGTTGGGCGATGACTTGCTTGGTAGTGGCTTTACGCACCTCGTCAGACCGGCACCTGCAGCAGTCACATATCTGAGTGAGCCTGCATATTGGCATGTCTTCCAGGTAGTTCTTCCAAGGATCCGTCCAGCTGAAGAGATTAATGTAAATGGTTCAGACACGTCCATGAACCACCAATTTAAGCAGAAAAGCAGGCCTTGTGATGCACGAACCACACCTGATGTCGACGCTGAAGTTTGCAGCGCCAGCAATGACATTGCTGGCCCCTGGCCAGAGGACCATTGAGCCGGTGGTGCACACCAGGCTGTCATCTGTTACGGCTTCTGCTGCATCTGCGGTCTTCTCATCTCCCCCTGCACCGCCCCCGCAGTGCTGCTCAATCCACACAACCGTCTCTGCTGCAGCGGCTGCCGCATCCTGCCTAAGCTTCATCGGCACTGTGCCGGCATGTCCCTGCGACACCAATGCACCGGTCTCAAGAGCTGATTCCAGAAGTAGTGATGCTTTCCAAGCACAGTCTTGTGAATTTTTCTTAACATGTGTCCTGATGAGAGTGCAGAGAGTTGCCGAGGGAGGGCACCTGCGTGCCAATGACAGAAGCGGCCAGGCGCGTCTGGCCAGCGATGGCCGCCACGGGGCCGAGCGCATAGCCGCGTGCCTGCAGCACCGGCCCCTGCTCCATGTGAACCTCCACATACCTGCAGCCACCACTCACTACCTTTCCATCTTGCCTGCTCGTATTTACTGTCCACTGCTGCGAAGTATGACACTGAGCGGCCCTTGTTTTAGCAGAAGCAAGGACTCCCATCGCGGCGCACCCTCGGACTTGCTCGGGGCTGTAGGCCGTGCGCGCCAGGGCTTCCTCGGAGCCCTGGAAGCCGTGCTTGTAGAGCACATCCGCCAGAGACTCGCCGTTTTGGTCCTCGTTGTCCAGCATGCCCAAGGGCACCAGCTGCCCCGTCACCGCCCGGCTGCCCAGAAACGTCGTCTGGAACCTGTTCCCCACACTGCCCTCTCAGCCGCCTGACCATTTTCCACATGCCATGCTGAGGCTAAGTACCGCGGATATAACTAATCGTCTGCACGCCTGAGCATGCTACTGAACTGGGGTGCGGTATGTTGGACGGCGAGAGCAGGGCTGTGTGATCACCTGACGCCCTCCTCGTCGCTGAAGGCGATGATTTCCATGGGCGTGGCAAACAGGTTGTGCGCCTTGGCTCCCAGCCACTGCCCCAAATCCGCCGACTCGCGTACCGCCGCCCTCACCTCCTCAGGCGTCATGATTCGCGTCGCCAACGCAGCCTGCCACAGACCATATTAATCCCCTCAGAAGCTCCATGGTCGCTTCAATTCAGGCCCATGTGTGACCCAGGAGTTGATTAGAATATTTTGTACTTTTGTCCCTAAGAAGCATTCGATTAGGACAGGAATCGAGACGGCACAAGGTCTGTGGCAGCACACCTGCAGGATGGTGGCTTTGACAGAGGCAATGGCCACGATAATGCCCAGAGCGCCGTCGTACTTTCCAGCGTCCATGACCGTGTCGTAGTGGGAGCCGGAGATCAGGGCAGGGGCGTCGCGCGCACGCCCATCTATGCGGCCGTGCACGTTGCCCACGCCATCCTGCCAGGTGCGCATCCCAGCATCCTTCATCCAGCGACGGATCTGTCACGCCACGTACTCATTGCATCAGTCTTCAGGTGCTGCTAGGCTGCAGAAAGAATTGGAGGTGCTGACCGTGCGAGCAGCCTCCTTCGCAAGGACAGCAGCGCCAATGACTGACAAAGCGCAGCTGAGCACAGAGCAGAGCACTCACTTGGGAGGCTGCGCGGATGTGGGCAGGACTGAAGAACCTGCGATAGAGGCTGCCTTCTGCATCGCTGATCTTGCCCAACAGCTGGATGCGCTCAGCTGGCTCTCTGTACAGCACGTCCTGGAGCAAGGGTAAGGGCAGTGGTCCTGCGTGATTTGGTGCTTGTCAGCCACTCTTTGGAATGCTCAAGGCTAAAGATTGCGACGTTGAATCGGAATTGCTTGAATAAAACAGAAGAGGTGTCGGTGGAGCAGCACAGATCAGGTGAGGTCAGCAGAATAGGGCTTGCAGGCCACTCGCCTTCTTCGGCAATAGCAATTTGCGCCCAGGCCTCCTGATGATCTAAAAATGCCTGGAATAAGCAAAACGCGAGAAATAGTCTTTGAAGGGACCAGGGCTTTGCTTTCGTTGCCATAGTTCGATACCCTTCAGTGAGCCTCAGAACGCTACTTATTCTCAATCATGTACTGACGGAGGTGCTTGAATGTCTCTCTTTAATTTTTATCGTCCGAAGGACGATTTCTCATGCTTCTGGAAAGATGACGAAGGAACACATGAGTCCACGTGAAGTTCTAACGTGAGGTAGGCCAACTTCAAGGACGGATCATGCACTTCCAGTGATCCAGGTAAATGCTGCGATCACCAATCTTGCCTGACTCAGTGTCATACTCGTCTTCGTTCTTTATTGCGTCGAAGCGCATCGATATCGAGCGCCCAATTTCGCCCTCGCCTCTTGCTCGCCTGTATCTGTTGCCGCGCCAAATTTGGCGCCAAGCCACACGCCGCATGCACACTTTGACTTCGAAGAGTTGAAGCTGTTGATCACGATCAATTCTACAATGCGGTACTGCATGGATGCTACACCCCATCAACTTTAAAAGGTAGTCTCCAGAATAAACCATCCCTATAGTGCCCATTTTGGCCCCGGCTGGCGGGGGGCGATATAAATACTGAGCACCGTGCCCATGGTTGATTGGGTCTTGCTTGGATCTGGCGAGTCCAACAATGGGTAGGATTATGGCAGCCTTCAACAGCAGCTTGTCTGCAGGACGCACCTTGCCTCTTGGCAGGAAAAGCGTGTAATAATAATAATAATAGTAGTGCCCATCGGTCCCGCCACGCGGCTGCCGGCGCAGGCAGTCCTTTTTGACAGGGCCGGGCCTCTTCAAGATCTTGAAGACAATCTAGATGACAATTGAAGCCAATCTCTCATTTTGACCTCGCATTACTGCAAAACCTTTTTGAGACCTCGCATTACTGCCGCCCCAGTGGCTGGGCATCAATATATCATAAGATTAATTTACACACTGTGGCATCATGATGTCAGCACCGGGGCCGCTCGGCAGCCGGTGCCCGGGCCCAGGTCCGAACCAAAGGCCTTAGGTGATAACATGATGACCATTCTGCAGCGCACTGTAGCAATGAAGTTCAGGTCGCTACCAGAAGGGCCAAAGTACTGGCTAGCAGCCACAAGTGCTCTATGCCAGACAATAGCGGCAAATGCGGCATTGCCAATCTTCTGTCAGACGGCGAAAAGGTTCACTCAGGGGCGCTCGCCGCACTGCATACCCCACTCATCATCATGGTACACAGACTCGCTGGCATTCAAGTTGTGGATAGCAAAGTTATCGATTTAACAGCCTCGAGGCTGCCAGAGAGTTTAAAATTTTCCCATTATATGATGGACCGTTCCGATTCTTCAGTTTCCTGCTGGCATTTCTGTAGCAACTCAAAGCTAGCTCAACAGATGTCTCTTTTGCCTGGAGCTCAAGCACCGGTGACTGCCGACTAATTGTTCCAGCCTTTCAATTGCAAAGCCTACCCCAATGGCAGTCCCCTTGTATTACGCACAGCAAGGAGACCTGCCAATTTTTGGTTCAGCAGTGAAGGTACGGATCTGCGATATATCTGGTGCTTGCAGTGCACCATCTACCCTCATCTCCCCATCTTCTGGTCTGGGACTAAAGGACAATCTGGGCAAGGAGGAGACAATAGAAGTCATTCACCGCTTTGAGATCCCAGGAAATTCTTCCCCTCAAGACAGCTCAAGGTATGAATCGAATGCCGGGACAGGTCTAGAGTCTCAATGTAGCTAATGTAGCTACCGCGAAAGCTGACTCTTGGGGACCTCCAAGTCCTGTGTGGCAGCTCAAGCTGCCTGCTGATTGGCTCCTGGACCTCCTTCAGCTGTTGCAGCAGCCTTAAACTCCCAGTTGCGTCGGCAGAATGGACACCGCTGCTCTGTCTGTGCTGACAACCATTTGGTTATGCACTGCAGGTGAAAGGCATGCCCGCACACACCCCACACGACAGGACTGTCCTCCCCTGGGTACTTGCCATCAGGGGGACATCCGTCAAATGGCATACGGCATATCCCACAAACATCATCGCCTGCATCCCAGGTCCATGCCGCAACAGCGTGCCAGTTTTTGATCTCAATGTTCCAGGTCATGCCCTTGGACAGCAGCACAGATGAGGTCTGCTGTGTGTTTAAATGCTCAAAACCTGCGACATCAATTCAAATTTCTCTAACAAATGTTCTGGAAAGGTATCAAGTACTCAACAATGCGCCCTTCAAGTGGTTGATGGAGAAGGTGTGAGCTTACCGGGCAAATCACGCCATGAAAGATTGCAGATAAAGAGGGAAATATCAACATTCGCCTGTATCAATACAGACCTACTTTTGCAGATAGAAGACTGGAATCACGCCATGCCCGTTATGGCATTGTTTATTATCCCATGCCCACTGAGGCACTGCACAGCAGCTAGCAGATGTGTGCACCAAACGTCCAGGAAATTACAGGGGTGAATCTGTGGTGCAGAATAAGTAATTAAAATCTTCCAGAAGTCTTCTATTAAATCCTTTTTTTGGTAGAAAGAGGACATCCAACTGCTGCAAGTGATCTGGGCGACCATATCTTACAGGCGTGGCCTTGCAAGAAGATCCTGGAACTGCTCTGTGTTCATATGTAAACTTGAAGATGGGTAATTCCCGCCTTACACTCATTCACAAGAAGGAGGACGCGCACGACGATGCCATCTGGTGTTCGACATGGGTGCCCAACAGCAGCGCTCTGATATCTGGATCGGTGGATGAGAGTGTCAAAATATGGACTATCTTAGATGAACAACAGCCGGAGGTGATGGAGGAGTCTCACACATACGTGGGGCATACTCTGGGAGTGGTGTCTGTGGCGATTGATGTCACGGGCACATACGCTGCCTCAAGCGCTCTGGATAGCTTCATTCGCATTTGGAACCTCCAGGTGAGTAGTGGGCTGGAAAGCTTGGCAACCGTAGCAGAGGAATGGGCACACGCCCTTGCCAGGGAACTCATCTTTCGCTTGTTCGCATGGCACCAATAATTGGGGTGTACTGCAGGACAACAGCACAAAGGCGGTCATTGAGACTCCGCCGTCAGAGACCTGGCAGATAAAATTCCACCCTGCTAGCGACACGCTCATCGTCGCTGCAGCCGGGGGCAGCAGCAGTAAGGTGGCACTGTGGAGTGCTGAGGATGCAGAGCCCAAGGGTCACTTGGGCATCCCAGTGGTGAGGAATTTCCATTGAGGGCATATCTCAGGAAAGCACAGAAATGGAAAGTGTGTCAGGGTGACTGTGAGCAAGCCGACACTTGTGGTGAAGCCTCTGCTATGATCTGGCACAGGCGGATGAGAAGTTCAAGAAGGACAAGTTTGTTCTGAGCGTGGCGTTCAGCCCCGACGGGAGGAGACTGGCATGCGGTGTCATGGATGGCACCATCGCTGTCTTTGATGTCCCGGCCGGGAAACTCCTCAACACTCTCACAGGGCATCACAAGCCTGTACGAGACGTATGCTTCACACCAGGTGCAGCTCAGATGAGCTTGCTGGGCAGGATCAAGCTGGGGAATGCATCAATTGCAGCAGATGATGTGGAGCTTTGTTGTAAGCAACTTGAGCTAAGAAGATGCACCTAAGAGAAATGTGCTTCTGCCGCAGATTCTCAGATGCTTCTGACAGCTTGCGATGACATGCACACTCACCTGTACGATGTGGAAAATGCTGCACTCATAGAAGCCTTCTCAGGTGTGTTTACGCCCCTAGATGTACTGTTTAAACAGGACTTTGTGTGCATCCTTGTTTTCACCCACCTCCAGCGGCTCTTCCCTCAGTGTAATGAAGGATCACTACCCATGCAGGGCATGAGTCCTGGGTGCTCAGCGTGGATTGCCATCCCTCCGGCACTGCCTTTGCTACTGGTTCCAGCGATGCCAAAGTGAAGCTATGGGATCTACAAACGCGCACATGCTCCCAAACCGTGACAGAGCATTCCGATCAGGTAAGAGTGCGGACCGTCCTGGAAATCCTGCAAAGTGCTTTTTGAGCCGCATTAAACTTTCCAAGGAGACTTTTTAGGGCGTGACATAATTTGCTCATGCTGTAGGTGTGGAGCGTCGCCTGGCAGCAGGATGGGAGGAGGCTTGCATCAGCATCAGATGATAAAAGCATTGGCTTCTACAACTATATTTAGGAGGTAGCTCATCAGATGGACAGTCTTGCAATGAGGACTCCACAGAAAGAGAACAATCTGTTGCGACTGGGCTTCGGAGTGTTTGGGCAGTGGCGCAGACACTAAATTGGACTGCTTCAAAGAGGGCCATGAAATGAGAGGTCTTAGTTCAATTTGATCCTGCCCTCCAACATCGAGAACAGCATAGAAATGTTGAAGTGGTTGGAGATAATCCTTAGCTAAGAGGCTATGGTATCTGAGTCAAGTAATTGACACGGCCAATTGCATCCTGGACATGTACATCTCCACAGCTCAGGATTGGTATTGATTCTGCAGATGCAGATGCAGTGGTTTCCAGATGATTTACCATGTGGAATTTCAAGGATTGCACATACTTCACCTAAACAATGTGGCATCTGTGCTAATTATGATTTCCGACATCCTCACTATCACCCCCAAAGCACACCAAATATCTGCAAAGGAAAAGAGTAGCATTCAGTCCAAATGTACAATTTCAAAAGAATATGCATACGACCTGCTGCGGGAGTAGTAATACTACAAAGCTGACTGACACCAAATTGTGCACCCAGCACATCATACCGGGTGCGCCAGTCCCCGAGCCACATGCAATGCTTGGGGTCTTTGTCTCAGTCAACTAACCCCATTCCCGAATGCCCTCACCCCTAATTAAAACTGCACTTCAAAACGAAAGTCATGTCCCAGTGAATCTAATAGTAAGTGACACGCTCGCCGGCAGAAAACAAGGCTGCTCAGGCGGCCGCCTTCAGAAATGCAAATTCAGGGTTGTCGCGCAGGTGCCGCGGCAGCTGCACGTCCGAGCGGCAGCACATTTCGATGCGGTCCAGCAGGCTGACTCCCGGAGCCGCGCTGTGGTAAGCCCTGGGCGCTTGCACAAAGTAGCGCGCCGCGTCGGTCAGCAGCTTGCGCGGCAGCACAAACGCCGCCTGCACACCAGCGCCACACAGTCTCAGCCAAGAGCTGATCATGTAGTGCCAGCACACATGGGTAGGCAAGGACCAAATAAGGCATATGGGTAGACACCACTCTCTTTTTCCTGGTAAATTGTACTCTTCAATCATAACGACACATGTGGTAGGATGCGATATCTCCTTCAGAGCGTCGGCACTGGAGACAAACGCATGCAAGAGGCATGGCAGGTGGAGCATGCGGCACCTGGGGGTCGAGCAGGAGGGTCTCCTCGTCCTCCAGGGAGTGGTGGGAGGTGACGCTGGCAGGCGTGGCAAAGGGGTTGCTGTTGCCCGGGCTGGCAAAGGGCCCGTTCGCGCTCGAGCTCTTCTGAGACGGCGACCCTGGCTGCGAGGGACCCTGCCGACACCACAACAGCCGCTGAGGAGAGATGAATGTCTATATTAAATGTGTTCCGAATGCTCCAGGAACAATAGAGAGATGCATTTCTTCATGCAAGTGTTTTAAGCCTCCAGGAGCAGTGAGCTGACCAAAGTGGGTGTTTCTTGTTGGAACAAGCAGCGCACCGTGTTGTCCACGATGCGCTTGAGGGTCTGCAGGAGGACCAGTATGTCAGTGGTCTGGCTGCCGGTGATCCAGTCATCGTGGTGGTGCTCTGTCAGCTTGTAGATCTGCTGTAGGGTCAGGCTGGGGCACATGCGCCGCAGGTCTGGAGTGATGTCGAAGCCCTGAGCCAGCACATCACCGACGTCAATCAGATGATTACCATGACCAAGCACTTCAAGATGTCAGGCAGGACACTCCTTGTCAGTAACATAACCGCAGACAAAGCCGAGTAAGTGCTGTCAATTAACAGCTAGCTACGGTATATATGTGTGAGCTGCAGGTGGAATGCAGTAGCCCTTCATGTCGTATCTGAGTGTGGGGCAGACCTTTGTGGCCTTCCTGACGCAGTCATCCTTGCCGACCAGCAGGTAGCGCACGGCCTGGCTGCTGTGCTCCAGTGCGGCCTCGGCATCCGCCACCTCGCCGCACCATGCTGCCCCCATGTAGGACACCCACGCTCGGATGTCTGCCAGGCCAGACTGTCCCCCGCACAAGACAGACTCAGGCCAATGCTAAAAATCTGCCCACCACTGGCTGTGCAGTCCATGCTGTGTGCCAGCAGATGCCAGAATTCATTGCCATGTAGGATTCTCGTTATTCGGGCTTAATTTATTCTCAACAGATGAAGATGAAGAAGTAAGATAATTGACAATGCATTACTGCACCTGCAGCGCCTTGACAGCTGAGATGGAGCAGGCATCGCGGCGCAGCATAAGCGCATTGAGCAGCTCTGCATCCACATAGCGCAGTGCGGCGTGCACCACCGCTCGGCAGGCCGGCGGAGGCGCACCCTCTCCCTTCAGCGTCTCCAGCACGTTGCTCAAGCCGCCCAGCAGCCCCTGCCCACACGCTCAATGCATTCACCAACAGCATTTTGATTGAACACACTACACGTTGCACCGATGCTCACCCACCACCAAATGCATAGTCAAAAGAATAAAGGAAAACCTAGATTTCATAATATCAAGTTTGAACAAGACGGACACCGCCAAGACAGCACACTGCTGAACGCACCTTCCATGGGGAGTTCATGAGGCCCTCGAAGGATTTGGTGGAGGCGGCCGCCATCTCATCATAGGCATGGATGCCCGAGCTGGACATCTTTGCAGTGGCCGCGCGCGCAAGGCGCTTGGCATCGTCGGACAGCAGGATGCTGACGTTGACCGGCAGCATGTCGGACACGCTGGCCGCCAGCAGGGCATGCAGGCCGCCGAATTGGATCATGTCATCACCCAGCTTGAATAGATTGCCGCAGTCGCGCTTGCCAATGGACCGCACCTGCAAGCACCACCACAGTGCGTATTGGAAGATGGCAGGTAAACAGCGAAAAGGATCACAGTATGCTGCGAAAGGTCTTGAATAAAAAGAGGTTGCATGGTTTTCCTTTCTTCCTCAGGAGCTCGCCTTCAGGAAGGCCCCCAAGGCGAGGGTGGTGGAGAGCCAGTAGCCCTGGTAGGTCAATCCTTCCGTTTCGGCGCTAGTCAGGATAGAGTCCCGCAGCCGCAGAGCTGCCACATCCACCTGCTCATGGCAGCATATGCATGTTCAGGGCAGGAAAATGGATATGCACGAAGGTGATCCAAGGTACCGTGTAAATATTAACCGAGAGCTTGGGTCACATGTCCTACTGAGCAGCTCATAGGCTTGCCTCAGCAGGTCGCCAGCGGACGGCCCAGTGCAGCAGGCACTCTCCCAGGAGCCAGGCGGCAACAGGCATGCCGATAGAGTCGCTGGCAGATGCACCATGCTGTATCTGCAGGATGGGCAGGCGACGTGCGATGGCGCCACCCTGGGCACAGTCAAAATTCTATTTAGTGGCAGAAACATACAAGAGGCCCCTTCTATCATAAGATTCATGAAGCATCTCAGGAGCATCAAGCAACAGAATACATGTAAGCAAAGGTATGGCAGAATGGCCTTGTCAGCACACCTGCAGGGCGGCCAGAAGTGCTTCTTGCTCGGGGGTGAGGCCGGCCCACTCGTTCAGCTGGCTGCCAGCTGAGCTGGTGGCCTGCATGTCTGCCCGCCAGCCCATCAACCTCTGCTTTGTCGGCGTCTCCATCTCCCTCTCGCGGCGGTTGCCTGCACACCCACAACCACCCACTCAAGCCAACCAGACCGGTCCAGCAACACAGCTGCTGTACATACTGTGTTTAGAAATTGTGCAGATGTAGTGGCTGCAAATGGCCGCAGCAGCAGCGGAGCTCACAACCCGGCTAGGAAGGAGGCCAACAGTTCCTTCTGCTCACCATTCTCGTGGGCGGGGTCTGCAGGGCGTGAGCGCAGCGAGCGCTGCTCCTCCAGCTCGGCGGTGAGGGAGGCGTTGATGGCGGCCAGGTTGCGCGCCTCCTTCTGCTGCTGCGCGACGCGAGCGTTCAGCGCGACCACGCGCGCACTGAAGTGCACGTTCTTCTCGCGCGCCTCGCGCAGACCGCTCGCCTTGGCCTCTGTCTCGGCCACCGCCTCCTCCACCCGCTTCTGCATCGCGGCCTTCACTGCCGCCACCTCCGCCTGTTCAATGCTCAACACCGTGAGCCACGCAGACTACAGCAGATGTATGAGTCTGAATGGACAAATGTTCAGCGCTGACTTTAGATGTTACCAAGAAGTGATTAGAGGTGACATTTAAGGGTCCAAGGGTCCCAAGCCCCTGACATGACAGTGGCAGGCACCAGTAGTAGTGTGATTTTGAGTGACAAGTGGCATTGCTGAACAGACGGTAGTACCAAGAGAAAGTTCAAATGACAATTGAATGAGTGCCCACCTCCATCTCGGACCGGAGTTTGTCGATCTCCGCCTGCATGTGTGAGCGCGCAGCCTCAGCTTCTGCAGTCAAGGAGGCTATGGTGGCCTCCTTGGCGGCGAACTCTGCATGATACTCCTCCGCAGCGCTCCTCACCTACACGCAGTTCCAGTTTGTCATGAAGTACATGCCATGACTTTCGCACACTTTTCCAGGTGCGCGTCTAAGAATTGCGTAGAAGAGGACTTAAACGCACCTGCTCCCACAGTTGGCTGTTCTCGCGGTCCTTGGCAGTTGCAGCTGCCACCTGTGCGGCAACCTCCTCCCTGCTTGCTCTGAGGGCAGACGCCAACTCGCCAAGCTGCACAACAGCGGAAACAATTTCAGACCTGACTTTCTGCCTTCATACTGCTGTTTTGGAGATCAGGAAGATACCGTGAGTGACAACTGATTGAAGGCAATATGCTCATGCATAAGGAATTTGGTGCGAAGGGGCCCTTGCCTGTGTCTCCAGTCGTCGGGCCTGCTCTTCGGCAGCAGCCTTCTGCCGCCGCAGCAGGTCCATCTCTGCCAGCAGAGCAGCTTGCGCCGCAGCCTGCGCAGCCTCCAGCTCTGCCACCTTGCCAGCCTCCACCACCGTCCTCGAGGACTGACATGACACAAGCACATAACTTTCGCTCTCCTCCCAGAGCTGCCAAAATGAATCATGCACTGCCTCTTTAACATGCCAACAATAAGTCCATAGAGGGGGGTCTTCAAGCAGCTTACAGGAGCCTCGATGGCGGCCAGCGCAGCCTGCTCGCGGGCGGTCTGGACGTCCAGCTTGGCAGCTGCGAGTTGGCTCTGCAGCCGTGCAACCTGCGCGGCAAAGTCGTTGGCGCGCGCGGCTTCCTGCTGCTCGCGCGACCTGACCTGCGCCACCTGAGCCTCCAGGAAGTGCTTGCTCTCCTCCAGCTCCTGCCACTTTGCCGCCTCCTTGCGGATTGCTGCCACCTGGTCACCGCCACCCAGCACATGCTGTCATTCACATGGACAGCCAAGAGAAAGTCTGCTCTGTCCAAGACTGTTAAGGTGCCTCAATTCTTGAAGATAAGCCAAGCTGCCTGGAAACACACCCTCTTGGTGGCCGCCCGCCTGCGGACATGCTTCTGGATGACCACGGCAGCGCCATTCCGCTTGGCTTGCAGGGCAGCCCGGGCCGCCTGCCGCTTGCCCAGCTCTGTCGCTTTCCTGAAGCTGCTGCGGGTGAGGTAGCCGCGCACGGCTGCCTGGATGATGACTGCTCTCCGATTGGCCTGCGCACCACGCAAATTTGACAGGAGCACACCATGATCCCAATGATACACTCCTTGCTCTAAAGAAATGACACGCCCACATTTGTTTATGTCTGGCACAGGCAGAGCTGCAGCAGACCTGGTGGGCCTTGAAGGCCTTCCGGGCCCTGTGGCATCGCCAGACAGCGGCGATCCGGGTGGCGGCGTTGTCGCGGCGCTGCTGGCGTGCCATCCGCCTGCCCACGTAGCCGCGCCATGTAGCCGCAATGAGAGTGGCCGCCTTCCGAGCATCACGCAGCGCCCGCCTCGCCATGAGACCCCTGCAAGTGCATGAAAGCATTTCACGATACCTCCATCAATACATTTGGCACATCATGATGGTCACAGCCATATTGTGAGGTTGTTCTCAGGAAAAAGCAGACACAAAAATGCACCTGAAAGCGGCCTGTATGGTGAGAGCGGATGCAGTCAGCCGCCGACCTCGAGCGCCCTCCAGCTGCGCAAGCTGCCCCGCTCGCAGGAACACCCTTGTTTTTCCAATCTGCACCCATGAAACCGTCATCATGATGCGGCAAGCTTATGTCTGCCCAGAAAACGACCAGAATGTCCTGGCACTGAGAAGTGTGAGTCATTGCCCAGAACAGCATGACAACAATGAAGAGGTGTAAGTTCAAGAGGGCACCTGCCAGCCGTCCACCCTTGCAGCCTGCAGGATTTTCCGCACACATTCTCCTGCCTGCGCTTGATCCATGTTTTCGACATCCATGGGATGATATGCGCCCCGCCCGTTGGCCACCAGGATCATATACCGCTGCACAAATGGCCTGCAACAAACACATGAGCTCGATCTTGTGAGGATAAAAAATTTCACGTGACACTCTTGGCGACGCTGCAAGCCCAACTCCTTCTAGTGTGACTGAGAGCTGAACCGTGCACTTGCACTCACCTGAAGAACTTCCGGGTGGGGAAGCCAGCGCATGCAATCCGCACAGCCTCCAAGACGCCTCCTGCTCTGAGCTGCTCCAGGACATACTGTGGCGCCAGCTGACCTGGCTTCGACTGGGGGTTGGGCTTGATGCAGCGGATGAAGTGTGGCTGACACTGCTTCAGCGTGCCCATCAGACCCTGCAAGCACAATCCATTCCTCACAGTAAGCTATGGCTTCCAGATGCATGACGTAAGAAGCCTGCCTTAGGCTGCACACAATCAACGAGCACAATAGGATCAGTGATGCGAGAAACGGGCACCTGCAACTGCTTGCGGAACTGAGCGCCAACGCTGTTGAGCTTGAAGGCGCTCTTTGTCCCTCGCCGCATCACCTTGCCACCAGCGATGGCTGCGGCCTCTGCAAGCTCGGCATTGCTCTCTGCAAAGAGCTCCTGGATGAAATCCGACTTTGAAGACCGCAGCAGACCCACATGTTCTGCCACCACAAAGTCCTGCACACAAGAGTCACAATTACTTGGGAGAAGATTTGATAAAGGTACCAAAAGTAAAGCTGAGAATAAGCCTTGGACACTGTGAAGCACTTGAATATTTCAAAGTAAGGTACCTTGTTCTTGTCCAGAAGGAGCTCTGAAGAGTATGTGACCCGCCCAGCATAATGCTCGACCGCAAAAGCATGCTGTGGCCGTTTTGGTGCAACAAACCGCCCATGGTCAGCCAGCCTTGTTCGCAGCGTGTGCGCCAGGTCCTGCATGAGGCAATAAGACCGACATTAGGTAGTCAAAGAGGTGCACAGGGCACCAGGGTAATGGGGTATCCATGCATGCTGCTGTTGATAGTAATTCTTGAAATGGCAGCAAGATGCGTGATGTGTACACAGCACACCTGGTATGTGGCTCGGGGGAGCCTGCAGGCCTCGTCGATGAGGGGAAACACAGCCAGAGATGGCGCATCCTGAGACCCCTCCAGCACGTCCAGGCAGTCCTGGTTGTCGATGAACTCCACATAGCTCCAGTCAATGCCCTCTCGCGCATACTCCTCCTGCGGCACCAACAGTCGACATGACTCTCCAATGCTTTAAAATTCTGGCATTTAGCAAAAAAAGTAGGAAGGGGAAGCCAAAAAATAAATCTAGAATCCTTCTCGCCTTTCCTCCCAGCAACACACACGCACCTGCTCTCCCTTGAAGACATGCTGGTTGAACTGCTGCTGCAGGCGCTCATTGGCCAGGTTGATGCAGAGCTGCTCGAAGCTGTTGTCCTTGAAGGACTCGAAGCCGTAGATGTCCAGGATGCCGATAGAGCGCTTGCTGCGCTGCCCGGTGCCGAGCGCGCTGATCTTGCGGTTGATGGCCGCCACCAGCCAGTCAAATAGGCGCGCATACAGGTTCTTCGCCAGCGCATCCCGAGAGGCGTTGGCGGCCGCTGCGTCCAGACGCTTCACGATGCGCTCGCCTACCGTCTCAATCGCGCGCGACGTCAGCGCCTGCAGCAGTGTCTCTTCCTCCACCTGATATGCCAAGAAGCAGTGGTGGTCAGAGCACTGCAGTTTCAGATAACACCAAAACCACCCGTCTGCAGGGCAAAGCTATGGGGACATGCAGAATGACATGGCAAGTCACACGCTTCTGGAAAATAACATGTTGTGAAGCACGGCGAGGCAGACATGCGCATCTTTTGGAGCACACCTGCAGGAGGTCGGCGACAGCGGCAAGCGCAGCCTCTGCTGAGCTGTCGCGCGGTGCTGCACCCTCGTCTGCAGCACCCACAAAGGTGATATTGCCCAGGTGCAGGACGGCTGCCACAGTGCGCAGCACTGCCTCGCGCTCAGCCTCACCTGTCCAGCAACAAGCATAGCTTAGTCCTTCAGCCACATAGGCACAGGCAAGACTCAAATCACACATTGCCATGATGGCAAAAGCCTGAGTCCTGATGCAATGTAGTGTCCTTACCTATGCCCACGATCTGCATGGCATCAAGTGTGGTGCGCAGGGCTTCGCCATCGTCCACATCTTCCAAGGAGAAGCAAGGTGCCGCGTCGCTCTGGCTCTCACTCAGGTACCTGAACCCTTGTGCGCCTTGCTCCAGCCTGAATTGAAGGCACGTCATCATCAAAGTAGCTCCCACCAACCTCATGGAGATATCATCCTTCAAGACAGCCCGACTCCAATGCCAAGTTGTCATGACAATATTGGTGGTGAAGAAAGCACCCCTGTGCAGAAGTGTGCTGCACACCTGTACATTTCTCTCTGGGTGGGAGTGGCCCCTGCGCAGAGCTGGTAGAAGATGTGGTATGACCGCTCTGGGGCATTCACAGACACCACACGCGACCTTTCCAGCAGGTACGTGTTGATGCTGGCTCCCGACACCCTCCCCGCGCCGTCAAAATCAATTTCCACAAACTTGCCAAATCTGGAGGAGTTGTCATTGCGCACTGTCTTTGCATTCCCAAAAGCTTCCAACAGCGGGTTGGACTCGAGCACCTACAGTGAAATGGAAGGCATCGTCATCATGTAAGGCAGCATCCAGCACATTGACTCATTTGATTCATGCATGCATTGCACCACCAAACGCAGCTTTCATTCAAACTTAGCAGACCTGCTCCTCAATGGGTGCCTGCTTGCTCATGTCCTCCAACTGGAACTGTTGGGAATGCTGAGACTTGATTTGAGGCTTCTGCCCAGGCTTTTGAGGTGACTGCAGCGGTGCAGTTCTGTGCGCAAGATACTGCATGACCATCTTTGCACTCTCTGTCTTGCCAGCGCCACTCTCGCCACTGATGAGGATAGCTTGCTTCTGCTCGTCTATCATCATAGCATTGAATGCCTGCAAGCAAACAGCAGTCAGACAGAGCATCAAGCTAGCCTTTTATCAACTGTTGTTCTGCAGATGTGGCTCCAACAGGTGTGCAGCGTGTGTGACTTTTGAACAGGCGTCATGACCAGCCAGCATGCGCTTGTGTAGCCACAGGAGCCCACCTGCTCGGCTATGGCATACACATGGGGGCTCAGCTCTCCAAGCGGGATGCCTCGGTACTGCGTCATCATTCTGGCCCCATACAGGTGCCGCAAGCGCTTGTGCGGATTCGCCTGGATGCCAAATCAATCGTGAGGTCAGCATTGGTGCACATCAGTGTCATGTTGCGATATGCAGAAGTTGTGTTGATTGCAAGTCTTGCAGCAAAGCTCCATACCGCAATGAGAATGTTGCCGCTGTAGGTGTATATCATGTCCAAGGTGTAGCGCACGCGCAGAGTGTGCAGGATCCTGCGCATGCATGATGGAATGAACGAGACCAGTAATGAAGCTGAGCCGGCACTAACAAGCCAAATATGCAAATATTGCGTGTATTGAAGTGCAGCTGGTGGTTGACGAGATGCATGACAGGTGGAGCAAGTACCCTGGTTCATGCAGAAAATCGCTCTTCACAAGGTCATCCACAGTGTCGTCCCTCTCGTTCTGCAATGGACATTCCGCAGGAGCAAGCGTCTGAATTCCCGCGTCTGTCTGGACCTCCAGTAGAGTCTCCCCTGCTTTCTTCTTCTCTGCCACCACGCGGCCCTTAATCCATCCTGCCGCCTTCTTATGCCCTTGAGCATCCAAAGCGTTGCGTTCAGGCACCCAGACCAAGGATCCAACATGATGGGCCTGTGTAGGTGCTCCTAAAGAGCGCTGCATCGCTTGGTGCCTTTTCTCTGCAGCCCAGGCAAAGGGGCTCTAGCGATGGCTTTTGCGCGTGCTCTCGCGTAATTCAACCCATACTTGCTATTTTGAAGAGTCCGTCATTCTAATGCCCCCGATATCTCGGTATATTGACTCAAGAGTCAACACTTCACTTTGGCAAGTCGAGATATGCAGCAGACCATGCTCATATATAAGAGCAAGGGATTGCGAGTTTAACACTCAACGACACTGTCTTGTGCAGGACATCCGGCTATTATGAATATAGAGGAGCTTTCAGCAAGTCATTGAGCTGGACTGTCAAGACGTGCCGGACGGGGTGGACCACTCGGTGGCAGCTTCCTGCTCACAGAGTCTGAATGTGGCTTCATTCTGTGGGAACAGCTCTTGTGTACAACTCTTCAACCTGTGCGGTGCTGTAGTGGAGATTGTTATCACTGATCGATTTTCCACCAACGCCAAGAACCAGTGAGTGATCGAGAGCAACCTCCAGATCTGGTCAAGCCTTAGCTACAGGGAACTTAAGACGCCGCTTTTAGAACCACTTGCAAAATGAACAGAAGTGATGTGTTATTGGAACGGATATATGAGTTCTGGTGAGTGTGTCGCACATGTAAGAAATTTTGTCTACTTTTCAATGGTGCAATGCAGTGATCTAGAATCAAAGTTTTTAACGCCGTGCAGGGATTCCAATGAACTTTCTGACAAGGATATCAGATCTTCAGAGCCCACCGACAATCTTCGAGATTTGTGCACATTGCTGTGTAGTGCCATACTGCAGCACGGGGACCGTATGCCAGGATACAGCTCAGGAAAAGTGAAGGTGAGATGCTTCTTTTCTATTTCATTTCCTACATCCTCAGTAGTTTTGCCGTGAATTATCAGAGGAAGACCGTGAAGTCATGCTATCAGTCAAATGCATGCAGGCCGCCGTGAAAGCTGTGCTCTGCTGTGCACGCTCTGAGAGAGACTCCAAGAAGTGTCAGCTTGACCGCGCCTTGACGTCCTTGGATGGGGTTCTGGACCCAGCGAGGTCAGCTGAGCTTGCACACTCAATGAAGCTACATTGTTGCTTTTCATCATTGAATATCCGGTGGCTTCCTTATTATATGCAGTGTCCTTGTGTCATGCAGCAATGCCCAAGCCCGTATCGACATTTTAGAGCGACTTGTGGCAGCGGTGCAAGCTCTTCGATTGCTGTCTGTCTCAGCCAAGCCGATCACGGCTGAGGGGAAGTTTGAAGATGGGAAGGACAACTCAGGTAAGGTTTTGCATGCATGCACTTCGTCTGAGGCATTGCTGGTTTTATCATTAGAATGCTACGTGTGAACACCCTTTATGTGTTTCTCTGGTTGCAGAACGTGTTGAGGCATCAGTCTCGCCGGATGTGGCTGAGGTGTCGCAGCAGTTGTGCAAGATTGCATGCCTGCTCGAGGTGAACAGCGATGGTGAGCTTGCAAGGCCACTCCTTTCAGCTGCCAATGAGCGGCTGCCACGAATACTTCAGACCCTTCCAGAGTCTTTCTTTTCCCCTCTGCTGCCACAGGGGTGCCTCTCTACAGAACAGGTTGGCATGCGCTTTACAGGACACAATTGCTCAGATTGCTCTTACAATTTAGTTTGGATGGTGGTCCGAGGGCAATGCCTTCGATTACTGTATAATTTCATGTAAGGATGTTGATTATTGGGAGGGATCTGTGGCTAATCAGATGGCAGCTATGGCGGAAGTTGACACCGACCTGAGGCAGGAGTACAGCGTGCGCAGACAGATGCTGATTGAGCGCGCCAAGGTCCTTCCCTGAAATATTTATGAAATTGTAATCATTTTCCTGACCATCTCTTTCATCTCTTTCATATTCTTTTTAAGGTAGCAGCTCAATTGAAAATGTGTGTGCAGGTGCTCATGCATTCCTTCATGCGGGCTGACCGCCTGAAAGATGAGGGCCTTGCACAAGAAGCCGAGTCTCTGGTGGACAAGTATGCAGAATCAATGAGTGCAGAGCCTGCGGTGTCTCTGTCAGACATTTTCACAGCACGGCAAGGTGAGAATGACTGGTGCAGGGTCTGCTTTTCATACCGGTATAAATTTGGTGTGGAGAGCATGAGTTTAACTTTGCCCTGTTTGTGGGGCAGCGGACCTGGTTGCCATGAGCAGCAAATCGACCAGCGGGAACAAATTTGTGGCCAGCGTGAAGCAGCTGAACATTGGTGCGGTGCCCAATCGTGGTGGGATTCCAAGCAATCGTCTGCCTAGCCATGGCCCGCCTGGAAGCTCCGCGCCTGGAAGGGAGTTCCACAAGAAATGTAGGCTAAAATGAAAAGAGACAAGAGAGGTGAAAAGTACAATTGAGATAACACATCATACGAGCTCAGCTAGGCTAGGCTACAACCTTCTGTAGCACGCGTTTGGCAATGGAATAGAAAACAACACCCTCAGGAACACGCATGCAGGAATCTAACAGGTTTCAAACAAGTCGTGAACTTCCCTTTAAATGTGGCACCCTCCTTGTGACATGCATGTTGTGATTCAACATGTCATGACTTATCAGTACTCCTGGCTGAATGAAGCCCAGAGGACAAGCCGATGAGCTGTCCAGTAGTTGCCTGCCTGCAGTGCAGCCTCTACAACATAACTGAGTCATGCCTTAAGTCACTAATCTAGTACTACTAGCTGGTAGTAGTTCTATAGTAGCTCTACAGGCGCCTCACATGAGCCTGCCTGCCAGGCATATATAGGCAGTACCTGGCATGCATGCGCATCACTTGAAAGGATCTTTCCTGTCACATGTGTTGCGGTCATAGTACGGGATGTATACATGATTGACAGGAGGACATTGTGGAGAAGGATGTCCTGTGTGCCCTCAGTCCTACCATGAAACTCGAACCCACTCAGTGGGTCAAGGAGATAGCTTCCCCCTGATCGGAAGCTACAAATCATCATCCTGATCTGTCCCACCCTGTTCAAGCCAGAGCTCCTTGAGTTGGTCAGGAATGGGCAATTTTTCAGCATGTCTTTGACGGCTCCTGTTGGCCGGACAATTCTTACGCTGGGCAGGAGATCTTGTCCCTGCACTTTTACACCAAAGCGTGCACATAGGAGTCTTGGACTGTATTGCTCTCCGTCACTGGCACCCTTTCGCCCAAAAAGATTTCGGGAGGTGTTTGCAGGTACTGAGGATTTGCTGGATGTTGTGATTTTTGATGTGCTTGAGCCAGTCCATGTCACCACCAATGGTGGCACTCCAGGTTCACGACTACGGATGCACCTTAGGAAAGCATCAACCATCATGAGTGCAGCTTCATCTACAGAGATAGCAATTATCACAACCGTTGGATGCCCATACTGCAAGAAAAGCAAGGAGGCACTGCGCAACGCTGGACTGGCTTACAAGGAATTTGAGTTGTCCACTGACCTTGAAGCGTTGAGGAAGGTCAAAGAAATCACTAAAAGAGCAACCGTTCCTCAGGTATACAGTAGTTTGTGCTGGCCCACTGCATGCTGGCCTAATGCTCTTCACAGAACAATCAGCTTTGGACCTGGGTCTACTGTGCGACAGGTCTTCATTGGAGGAACATTCATTGGAGGCTCGGAGGAGCTTATATCTCTTATAGACCAAGGAAAGATACAGCAGGTCTTGGAAGAAAATTTGGACCGACCAGGACTTCCAGACTCCCTGAGAGGCATTGAGTCACAGGTGTGCTTTTTCAGTAGATGGCAGTCTCACGTGCCAGGTGTGATTCGGAACTGTAGATCCAACATCATAGGGTGCCATGACCATCACACAATCAGACCAGCCCTAATGCTCTGTGATGGACATGCAGGGACAAAGCAGAGCATTGGTTCCTGGAGGACTGGACAAGGAAGAATATGACAGACTGCGACAACTGGCGCAGATCCTGCGTCAGAAGCACAAAGATGAATTGAAACAATCAAGGTCTGCATCTCCTGTACTTCTTCAAGTGGGATTGAGTGGAAACCATCCCACTTTCTACCATTGTGCTTTTTCAGGCGGCTTCTCAATTTGCATATGGATTGATGAGTGCTTCTGTCGGGCCAGGACTTTCACCCTGGCTGAAATGTCACGCTGGTTGGCATTGGAGAAGCAGGCTGAGACCCCGGAAGATGCCAAGCATACTGTGCATAAACTTCTTTCGGCACAGATCATCACCCTCGCAAATGGAGCTGCATGGGACAGCTGGTCAGGGTAAGACAATGGGGTAATTCGCCAGATTCCCTTCATTGCAAAAATGGAAGAGCATTCTCAAGTATTGATGTTACTATTGAGTGCTGGCAGGGCAGGGGAAGAACAAGAATTTGCATTTGTGGCTGACGCCCGGAAACCAACCCTGGGGGAGCCACTCAATGCTCACTTCCAGTGGTATGGAGATGCTCGGAGCCCCTCTGAGGTGAGAGCATCCACATGCAACTTGCAAAGCAGGGCCCTCAAAAATGGATAGGAGCACGAGAGAAACAAAGGATGTATGGCCCAGGTTGGAGAAAACCTGCGGATGAGGATGCTGGCCTTGTATGACAAGCATCTTGCACCCGATGGCCGCGCAGTGGACTACAAGGGCCTCGGGGCAGATCCAGAGTTCACAGATTTCATTGATGCCACTGCTGAGCTCCAGAAGGTCGATGTGTCCCCATTGAGCCGGGAGGAGAGAATGGCGTTCTGGATAAATGTCTACAACATTCTTGTGGTAGCCGTCTTTGCACTTGCCTCCACATATGAGTGTTAGTTCATATGCTTGCACCATCTCTTATCAGCTTCCTCGTGCTGTAGATCTCAGGCCAATTGGTGAATGTCACAGGTGCATGCAATGGTGGAGTTTGGGCCCGCCACAGGGACACTGCAACGCCTGGCATGGTTTGCCAAGATCAATTACGTAGTGTGCGGCCTGCAGTACTCCTCAAATGACATTGAACACGGCGTCCTGCGAGGGAACAAACCAAGCCCGGCCAACCTTCTGTCCCTGCTTGGACTCTCACAGCTGGCTCCGCTGACCTTCAAAAGCAGTGACCCACGTCTTGCACAGGTGTGGCGCCAGTTATTTTGATTAGCAATGCACCATTGCGTGCAGCTTGAAAGCACCCTGCCTTGGTGACAAGATGAAGGCTTGTAGATCCCTTTGACTGGAAAAACGAGGTCAAACTTGTGGATGTGATCAGGTCATTGACCCTCCAGACCCCAGGATACACTTCAGCCTTGTGTGTGGCGCGAAGAGCTGCCCTCCAATAAAGGTGAAGTATTGACGTTGATGCCGGCCTGCAAGAGAATATTTGAGAATGTGGACCACCCTACATTAAGAATCATGGAATACTCCTTGGTATTGTTTCATTCATGAGGGCTGACGACATATCCCTTTTGCAGGTGTACACCCCGGAAGCCTTGGATGATGGCCTTGAGTCTGCGGCCGCATCCTTCATTGAGAGTGAGGGTCTGCCGCTGTATAAGCCCATTGGTCCATGCAGAGTGCACAGCATGCTGCTTATCTGCCACTTGGAACAATGAGCAAATGAGAGATGGGGGGATGAAAATGGTGTGGGGTTGTGCAGGTGAGGTACAGGTGAATGTTGAGGCGCGCAAGCTCGTCCTTAGCAAGATATTCCAATGGTATGGCAAGGACTTTGGCTCAAAAGCAGATCTTGTGGCGCTCCTTGTGCGCCATATGCCCACAGAGCAAAAGAAGCAGCTGGAGGGTCTCCTTGCAAGTGCATCAGCTGAAGAGCTGAAGTTTGAATTCAAGCCTTATGACTGGAGCCAAAATTCCAAGTAGGACATGTACCGTATCAATGCCATTGTGGTAAGCTCGCTGATGCAGGACATCTTGCCAAGTTTTCGGGTCAGCAGCAATCTATCATAGAATGCGCTCAGCAGCTACAGCGCAGCTAAAGCACAACTCAGCGCATGTAAGCAATCTGTGCTGGGTGGCAAGATTCTGTACAAAACTACGCATGATGCGTCTTACAGAACATGAGCTTGGTACAATTATTCACTGCGCGGCTGTATTAAAGTCTGTTCAGAAGATGATCGCTGTCCCATCATCCGTGTTAGACATCGCTGTCCCCGCACACTGGCAATCAGGAAGATGCAGTTGGGATCTCTCCACTGTCAGCAATGATCACTCTCGTTTTGGGCTTGCCGTCCTGGCTGCCCAGAGCCTCAATCTTCTTGACAATGTCATATCCCTCCACCACTGCTCCAAAGCAGGACAGACTTTCAACACATGGGCATGGCAGGTCGATATGAGAGCATTGCAGAAAGCATGCCTGATGCTGACTCGTAAGCAGTGCAAGCACCAAAAAGTTCAATTATAATCGTACATGCAATTGTCTGGAGAATTGTACGAATTTCACACCTTTGCCGAAGACAACGTGGCGCCCATCCAACCAGGATGTTGTAACAGTGGTGATGAAGAACCTGCATTTGCCAAGTATCTGTGAGAGGAGGTTTTCTGGAAAGTGGCCAACAGTGATTGAACATGCAAGGGCTCAGGACTTACTGAGATCCATTAGAGTTGGGCCCCGAATTTGCCATTGAGAGGATCCCAGGGCCCGTGTGCTTCAGGGAGAAGTTCTCATCCTGCAGGGCACATTAAGATATGGAGAACTGCTGATTACAACATGACAAGCAGCCCAGGCGTTGCTCCTGACAATCAAAGAATTTGTGGGTGGTGTTGCCTAGCATCAGTAAGGCCAAGGAAGCATTTCTGCTATGAAAGCTTTCAAGTGGTGCTGCAGTGTGATCTTCACAGCTTTGCAAAGCATTGCATATCAGTACAGGTTGATGTTGAATCACACCTCAAACTTGTTTCCATAGATCGATTCTCCGCCCATGCCATTGCCGTCTGTCAGGTCGCCACCCTGCAGTGGCAATCCAGTCGACATTGAGCAAGGAGGGTGGATCCGTTGGTGGCCATAGGAGCAGTATGGGCACATTTGGATCTGTCCGTCACATGAATTTGCCCACCTGGATCATGAAATTGGGAATAATCCTATGGAAGGAGACACCTGCACAAGACAATCACAAGCTTGTTGCAGGTCTCTGAGCACGAAGATGAGATTCAACAGATCAGACTTTGTGAAAGGGCGTTGCCTTTGTAATGCAGGGGCTTCCCCTTCTTGCCAATTCCCTTGTCTCCAACGCACAGGCTCCTGAAGTTCTCTGCAGTTTTTGGGACGGCGTTGCCAAAGAGGCCGATCACAATGCGGCCGGCAGGTTCGTCACCAATTTGAATGTCGAAGTACACCTATCACGCAGCGCACAACTTGGTGTACATTTTTGATGGTGATCTGCATGTCTGATCAGAAAGGAATTTATCAATAAGATATGGTGACGCATTCACATTGGACACCAATAATAATTTAGAAAAGATTTCCACGATTCAAAAGTCAAAGCAGGCAGGAAATCGCAATTTCGCTTTGCCTTGATCATCACATCTTATAAACTTGCCTTGCTGGTAATTGTCTCCAGATCTTTCTTCTTCTTTGCTTCCACGCAGAAAGCAAGCAAAACGATAGCGCACAGCGCTAAGAAAGCCAGGCGAGCCATGCCTATCCTGTAAAACATATCTTTGTCAAATTAAAAATACTATTCAGGCGCAGCAGTGGACAACAGATCTAGGTATCTAGTATGATCACTGTGAACGTACCCCTTTCTCTCTCTCTACAATTTGATGACTTCCTTCGAAGAGAATATAATCCTTTGATCGTTTAGAATGGAGAAATTCGGCGTGCGAGTCTGGACCGCAGCAGCGGCCGTCGGTGAGAGGGGGGCCTCATGTCAGACCCAGAAGTTCTTTTGCGTCAATTTTGGGGGAATGGAAGCACTATAGTATTGAATGCCAATATTTACATCTCTAATTGAACACCACCAGCACAATTTCAATACCAATACTTGGCAGCCATGTTCCTAGACCACGTGGGTGCACCGACTGCATGCATGCGCACTGCAATTGGTAGTGGCTCGGTGTAGCATGTGCCGCTCACGCTGCTACAGAAGACATGTACAACGCGCATGTAGAATAGAAGATGCCAATGGTCAATGCTTGACAATAACTTTATGCCAATGACACAGTCCCTGCAGGCGAAAACGTCCTCTTGACAGCCAGCCCTTTGACTGCTACTATGACTGATCACCACAATTTTTTAGACCATTATGCCCCAAGGACAAAACTCTGCTTGATTTGACATGATAGCATGCAGCACTTGCCAGGGCCACGCAAGAAAGCATTCCAAACCTTAATGCACGAATGTCAAGTACTTGCAGACAATGACGAACCTGAATTCAAATGCAGTAAGAAATTGCAGAAATTACATACATTAACTCACAACTGAATGTTGACAGGTGCAGGATCCTGTTCAAAAAGAATATGGGCTGCGGCTGCGAGGCTGGAGCTTGGGTTCGGCCGGACAAATGAAGCTTCCTTGAGGCCTGTGGACCACATGCAGTGGCATCATGAGGACGCGCCTTGGCCCTGGACCCGTCTGGCCCTGGTGCGCATGCTGACCCACTCTTCTGCTGCAGTGGGATGGATGCCAACTGTCGAGTCAAAGTGGGACTTCTTGGCACCCGCCTTAAGCGCAATGGCAATGCCCTGCATGATCTCTGCCGAGTCGGGGCCGACCATGTGTGCTCCCAACACCTGCAGACCATCCAAGGACCTCAGACTGTTGCAGCAGACTCACAAGTAGCACGGCAAAATGTGTGCTGACTGGGAGGGTCCTGGGAAGGAAGCCCACCTGGTCTGTCTGCGCATGGACAATGAGCTTCATGAAGGTCCGCTCATCCCTCAAAGAGATGGTGTTCTTCATGGGCTTAAACTTGGACACGTACACATCAATGTCCCCGGAGCATTTTGCAACAGCCTCCTCCTCCGTATAGCCAACGTATGCCAGCGGTGGCTGCACGAAGCAGGCTGAGGGGACCTGCCACAGGCACGCATGCTTCAGGCATGCAGATCTGCATCAATTGTCTCTTTTCTTCTGAAGACAATGCGGGGTTTTTGCATGCCACGAGTTCTCAGTGCCAGGATCAAGAACGAGCACCGTGCGGTAGTCTGGAGGCGTCGGCTTGTTTCCAAAGACAGTCGCTGCAAAGGCCATGCCTTCCATGATTGCCACAGGCGTCAAGGCAAGCCTGTTTGTCACGTCTCCAATGGCGTAGATGTTGGGGATGTTTGTGCGCGAGTATTCATCCACCTGAATCCCTTCCCTGGCATCCAGCTTTACACCAACTCCCTAGGTGCACAGACGAGCCTCACAACTTGCTGTTTACATTACCTGACACTTTATGCATGCGCGGTATAGATTTGACATGAGCATCTGAGCATTGGAGCTCGTCCAATGGCTCGCACCTCCAACCCGATGCCGTGCGTGTTTGGTTTGCGTCCAGTGCCAAACATGACCAGCCCAGTCTTGATTGAGGACTCTGTGTCTCCAGACTTGTAGTGTACAGTGAAGGTCCCGTCCTCGTTCTTCTCAATCCTGTGGACGCCAACTGATTTGAGAGATCGCGCCAGATATTGAGTGTTTGATAAGACACTGCAGGTCAGGACAGGACTGTCAGGACAGGAATGATACACCCCTGGAATTGACATACCTTGTGGGACTTGTGTTGGGGTACAGATGCATGCCGCGGCCCTTCAGATCCTCTGCCACTTGACCTCTGCACTCCTCATCAAATCTGTGCCCCAGGCACACCACAGTGAGAGATTCAGCCATAACAAAAAAAAAGACGCATCACCATCCCATGCCGAGTGACACAAAGGGATGAGCATGACTCTCACCCTGTCAGTGGCAGTGGCTTCCTGTACATGAGGTGCACATCCGCCCCAAAGCCCCTGTAGATGCTGGAGAACTCCACAGAGATGTACCCGGCACCCACGATCACGATGCTGTTCTTTGGGATCTCATCCAGCACGAGGGCATCATCAGATGTGATGGCATGCTCCTGCATCGGCATTGCCACAGTGTCAGCACAAGATTGCGTGGCAGACATCGTGTTGAAACAGTCCAGTGTCTCAGTTCAGAAGGCTCTGCAAAGGGTTGTCACCGAGCCGGGGATAGGTGCCTTCACAGGCTTCCCTCCTGTGGCCATCAGGATGTGCTTGGTGCGGAGCGTACGCTTTCCGCCATTGGCCAGCTCCACCTCAACCGTGTTGGCATTTAGCAGCTTCCCACGCCCCTCTATTGTCAGCATAGCATCATGATGTTACAAAGGAAGCTTTAATGATGACTTGCACGACTTTCCAGCATCTGCTCTTCAATTTGCTTCACTGCTCTACTAAGATGATAGCTGAGGGATTTGTACCAATGAGCTCCACTCCAGCATTCTTCAGAAGCTTGTTGTAGACGCCATTCAGACGCTGCACCTCCTTTCCCTGTTGCAGTTTTGAAAGAGCATGAACGGCAGAAAGGTTTTCTGCATGAGCTTGGGAGAGGAGCAGTCTTCAACAAGACCATGCAACCGCCAAGGAGCACTGAGACACTCCTTACCTTCTTTTCAATCAGGGACTTTAAGTCATGTGAAGGCATTCCGTCGATTGCCCAACCAAAGCCAGCAGCATCGCGAAACTCTTCTGAAAAGGACGACCTGGACAAGAGAGTGCAATTCCGAATAGGTCAGCACGTCCGTAGCTGGATGGTGCACAGTCTCGCGCTGATGAGGTGAAATAAGCACTCACCCGTACACAAGGAGCTTCTTTGGCACACATCCCCTGATCACGCACCTACGCGACACACACAAGCTTAATCAATAAACTTCTTGAGATATTACGACACAATCACAGGAATGGACATTGGGACTCCAACTTACGTTCCTCCAGCCCCTCCCACGAAATCACTGGACACGAAACCAAAGGGAAGCTCAACACATGCAACTTTGGCCCCGTAGTGCTGAGCACTGATCCTACTGGCTCGTACTCCACCAGACCCTGCCCCAATTGTCACGAGATCATACTCGAAATCAGCTGGAGGAGCTGTCATCTTGTGGCAACAAGGGTAAAATCTGATTCCTCAGAAGGCGCAGTCCTGCAAATCTGAGAAGGTGCAGAGATAATCGGAAGTGCATGCTTCTCCATCCTCCTCGTTGCCCAAATGTCCTGCCCACCTGCCTTCGAAGGAATTCCTGGGCTGCCCAACTGGCAGCCGGATTCCGACACTGTTCCTCAACGATTCAGCCATTGTACTTCAGCATTTCTTCAGTGAAGGCCACAACACCCACAACAATCTTTTGAGAGTTAGCTAAAGAGAGCAAAGGTTATTACCACCGAAGGGCAGACGCGACACCCGTAATTGCAGTGGCTGCTGTTTACTAGATTCCTGTGAAGGGCACAGCGAATCCACAAATCAGACAGGATGCCCAAGAGCAAAAGAAACAAGATCGGTGCGCAAATGCAATTTTATTTGTCCTGGGGTATTGTCCGGGATCTGAAACTAACACCCCTGTTTGGCACCTGCAGTCCCTCTCACAAAGGTGAAGAAGAAAACGAAGGAGTGGAAAGAGGGCATCATTACAAGCGTCAGGAACTTCGTAGACCAGTACGTCTCGTTCATGCAATGGAATGGGATCTGTGCCTATACCAATCAAACAGCTTGACTTAAGTGTACAGCGTGCTCTGTAGGTACCCTAGCATCTACTTGATAAAATATGAAAACATGAGAAATGACAAATTCAAGGAATTGAGGGAGGAGAAACTTGATACCAGCAGGTGTGCGCTGACCCATGACCAGGCGCTTTCTTTTGCTCCTACCTGAAGTAACAGAAACAACAGCAACGGGTGAGTGTGTGCAGGTTTTGCCTGGCTTCCAACAAGGTCTTGAGGGTGGCGTTGGGCCATGATGAGACAGATGAGTATCGCAAGAACCTTGCCCTACTCTCCGACGAAATTACTGGGAGTGTTGGGCTCTTCTTCACACAGCTGCCTCATGACCAGGTAGAGGAGTTCCTCCTGCTGCTCCCAAGACACATCCCATACAAACCCCTGAGAGGACGCAGTGCCTCAAAAAGCTACATTCATGGTTGCACACCTCTCTACTGCTCTCTACTACATGGTGTGTAGTTCCTCTGAAATCTCAAATGTCTTATTTCTCTGACGGCTTGGTGCGGCAGGTGCTGACACTCTTCGAGGAGTTTGAAGAGCTGGACTATGCGCGGGCGGGAAGCAGGGCAACAGAGGACTTTGAGCTGGTGGCTGGGCCGCTGAATGGGCCATTGGGACCTCTGCCACACACTGTGGAACCTCTGCTGCGCAAGTATGGCCTGCCCACCAAGCTGAACAAGGTACAGCGGAGGCTGCACTCTGGTCTGATGAGTGTGAACATCTTTTTGCGCTCAAGAATTCAGTCTGCCATTTGAGCTGCCTGCCTCTCATCCTGCGCTGCATCTCTCTGCCCCAAGCTGTGGTTGGATCCTAATTGATACCTCTCCTTACCCCTTCAGGGTGTGGTCGAACTCGTCTCAGACGTCACTGTCTGCAGAGCTGGTGACATGCTGACGCCCAACCAAGCTGCCTTGCTGCGTGTCTTCGAGATCAAGATGGCAGCCTTCCGCATGTACCCAATTGGCCACTGGCACGCTGAAGGTAAGCAGCGACGCATGCTGCCTTATCAAGTTTGCTTAGTACATTTGCCCTTGTTTGGATCGTCAATTTGGAAAAGGTAAAAAGCGTGCCTGAAGCTGTGTGCTCTCTCCTGCAGACCAGATGTATCACGAGATACCCCAACCAGCTCAGGAGCATCCGATAGGCATTGAAGGGGAGGAAGAGCATTTTTCTGATTGAGAAGTGGTGAAGAGCTCTTCCCTTCAGGCATTTTCTTGCAGCTTGGTGGGGTGGGAAAGAGGTCACTTCTTGTTGTTTTGTGAGGGGTTCCTCCCCAACTTCATGAATATCTAGAAAAGCATGATTGCCTGTTGTTGAGTCTGGGGCCAGCCCTAGGGGCTGTTCAGCACCACTAGGTGTCACACAACCAACTTCATGTGTTCATGAGCAGCTCTACCTCACTTGTGGGTGTCCATGCTGGTGCCGATGGATCAGATATCGATATCCTGGAGTTGCACTTGTTCACGCAATCCTGACTGATTTTGCTATCTTCTTGTCAACGGTTGCATATGTGATGATTTGTTTGAGGCCACATGGAGTAGCCATGGATCTTTGGTTCTTCTCAGAAATAAAGTGCATCTCTCCGCACCCCTCAGGCTGAAGCACCATGACGATGGAGTGTAGATCAAAGTAGATCGCCTGGGTTATCATGACGGAGGTGCTGATCAGCGCCTAAAAGGATGACAAGCAAGCTTGCAGCTCCTGAAATGGACTGTGTTGTAAGCCCTCTTTGGCGTCGTCACAGATCAAGGCATGCAGGAGTCAAGTGTATTTGTGTTGATTTGTGCCAGCAGCAGTCCCATTGATGAGAGCACTAAAACCATATTATTTCATATACAATATGCAGGAAAATCCCAATGTTTGCTTGGCAATCTGTCGGGTATTGGTAAGCTCAAGGCGATGACATTGAAAGTAACAGTAACACTGATGGTGGTTCTTGAGAGCCTCAAGATATTCCATCTCCTATACAATGTGGTACTGCTGAAACTCAACTTGGGGATTCTCAAACTTGATTGAATCGACCCACCAGCAAAATACAAAGAGTCTCCTCACAGATCAGCTTCACCACCCTCTGAAAGTCGTGACATGATATCAGGAATAATATACAAGTACAGCACAACTCATATTGGCAGTAAACAAGCACTCTGCCAAGATACCTATTGCTGCAGGTTTGCACGTGCTGCTAGCCTCTTTGGACAAGGTCTGAGTCAAAAATGTACAGAAGGTTCTTCAGAAGATGCATGCTCACTCTCTCACAGACCTTTCTTCTCCTAGCTGAATAGCTTAAGGAGGCAGATAGCCCAGACCTGCGTCCCTCTCTTCAAGCATCATGCTTTGCTCCATGTCAAACCGAACCTCCAGTGTCCGCAGCCCATATCCAACACACATGAGCCTGCAAAGTGCATGATTCTCAGAAAAGGGTGCAACCTTCATAAGAGCTCTGCCCCGCTCCATTTGACAGGCTACAAACAGTGAGTGAATTCCTGCAATGCGTCCAGAAAGGTGCATTCTCACTGCACTATCCAGGAGCATCCACAACCACACGTGGAAAATAGAAAGTGTGGGGGGTCCACCACAGCAGACCGGGACACACCAGAACAACAGCCGAGCGAGCTCCACTGCATTGCTCTGGCTGGGGATGCGGCGCAGCTCCTCGTCATCGGAGGACCCCAGCAGGCGGTGTATGAAGGCATTCATGGCCTCCATGATGTCCTCTCCTGCACATGCTGTCAGCTGCCCCAGCGCCTTGGTGTCCAGGCACTTGAGGTAGTCCAACAGCTCGTTGGTTGTCGTCCCCTGATATTGCCGCATCATTACCTGCAGGAAGAGCCAGAAACATCTTTCCATCATGGATCCCCACAATCACGATGCTTCTGGTGTGTCACAGCACCCTCCACTATTTATTGGACGTCAATTTGCACACGCATCGCACTTTTTTCTCATGTTACCTGTTTTCGTAGAGCTGCGACCTCGTTCTCTAGCATTGTTATGTATTCAGCCGCCGGCACGGATGTGGCTCCATGCTCATTGTGCCACCTCAACACTTCCCCCTGCACCTTCGTCTTCTGACTGCCCTCTGCGAATCCATCCCACAAGGGAGAACCACCTGGTGTGGAGGCACTCTCAGACACAGATGGGAGTATTGTTCCATCCGCATCGTCCATGCTCCTCTGCAGATCCAGTCTGTACTGTGCATTCCTGAAGAGATAGCCTGCGCTCCACACATGTAGCCCCAAATGAAACAATGTAGCAGCAGGTAGTCTGTGCTGTACATCAGCAAGGACAAACATGATTATGTGTGGGCAGCAAGAGCGCACCCGTCATGATGACACTGAACATCAGCTGCGCCAAAGACTCTCCCACAGTGGACACAGTGACGTCGAACAAATGTGGAGGTAGCACCCCAACCATGTTTGAAATGGTTGTCCTCATGGCATCCACAACCTGCGAAGGGCACGATCCATGCCTCATGCAGTTTGTCTCGCAGCTCAGAGTGCAAGGACAAATCTGCTTGCCAAAGAGGAGCGATGTACCACTATCTGAGAGGTCGCACCTGAGCAGGTGCGTGCTCTGCAAACTGTTCCATGATCTGAGGCTCAACTTTCTGCACATAATTCAAGAGGAAACGCCTCCTGTCTTCAGATACCTGCAATGCGAAATGCAGCTCAAACTAGTGCTCCTCTTTGCTTGATATGACCGGGTCTTCCCCAGCTGGCTCATAGTAAATACATGCATGCACTGTTCTCCCACTCACAAAGTATGTTCGGCAATGTCGATTTGTGACACTGATCTGAATCCAGCTATTAAAGACTAGATCGGCTAAGTGCCTGAAAGCAGTGCCAGACCTGGCAGTCCACTGAACATTGCGCGTGTACTCGCAGGGACCGGCGCCTTTTGAGCGCTCTCTGTGCACGTAATTGAGCTGCTGCAACTAGGATCCTTTCTTGAAGAGTTGCAGGCAGGACACTCCTGCAGAACTGCCCCACGCTCAAGGCCTTGGATGTGAAGCCTGTCATCTCCGGGGAACACCAGCACCACCCGTACACACCGCTGCTGGATCACTAGTAATCGAGGAAACCGTCAGCATAGCATGGGGTCCCTCGAAGTCACGAGGAGAAGGTGGATAGCGTGTGAGGTCGCTTCCAGAGCCTGTAGGGTTTCTAGCCTCAGAGGGTTCAGGAAAAGGGATATGGGCAAGGCCATGTCAAGAATTGCGAAGACATTAAGCTGTACCGTTGCGAGAGCTCGCATCCCTTTTGCTTGATGTGTCCTGTATAACCATTGTGAGCTCTTAATACATTGTGGCATGGCCCTTGTGAAGTTCTTGAAGGAAACTTACAAACGCGACTCAGTGCTCGATGCTTTGAAGGCTGGAGGCTGGAAGGCCTTCTTGGATGGCACATTAGCGTAAGGAATTGGCTGTTGTGCTCCTCCATTGGAATCTTGTTGTGGCTCCGTCTGTATTTTGTTGAGGTCTGGTCTGCCACTGTGCAGGCAGGCAACTTTTGTGCACGGACCCAACGCCACTCTTGTGGGGTCTGATCAGTTTGGAAACAAGTGAGTTGTGACTTATCCTACTTTTTTTATAATTTGCAACATGATCACGTCGTTTTGATTTTAATCAGTCAGGGACACACTGTCTTGGTTTTGAGACCTAACTGTAAGTTGTCTCTTCAGGTATTATGAGCGTATGACAGAGCAATACGGTAAGTGATCATTTGCTGCTGCTGCATCTCTTGCGACAACATCTGTATAAAGAGGCCCGCTATGCTCATGTGCAGCAACTTTGTCTACAGGCCGGCATCGCTGGGTCGTTTTTGGAGATCTCAACTGGCCATCTGGCCAGGAACCCAGCAGTGTCCCACCAGAATGGCATGGTGAGTAAATGGATCCTCTCCTGACAGATCCCATTATGTAAATACACCAGCCTTCTGAATGATCCGCTGCTGGTGCAGGTTGGCTACATTGTATCAGAGACTCCTCGCCCGCCACGGTGTGTACAGCAACAAGCGCAGGGCTTTTGCATCCGCTTACTTTCCCATTAAGCCGTAGTACTGCAAATGCGACGCATGCACTAATGTGAGGTTGATTTGCCTGATTGCAGATGGACGTGGCTTATCCAATATACCATGTACCACACCATGCCAACAAAACTGGCACTCCTTTGTCTTATGCTCCAAAGGGCGCATGGCAGAACTCGAGCAAACGCAACTGGAAGAAGGTGAGTGCGATTGTGGGAGAATTGCATACTTATTGTGCACCCTTCTAGAGAGAATGCATAAGTTCAGCATTGTTTCCAGGTCCTGTGCTTGTCCAGCTTTCGCCTCAGGTAGTCCCCTTGTCCTTGCTCATCATCGACTTGACTGTTTGCTACAGGTACACGTATGGGATCCTGCATCTGCGGCCACATCTGCTTAGCTCACGCGCCCGCCTGCTTCAGTGAAGCCCATGAGATCAAATGAAGTGGCACAGTGTGCCGCACACCATGAGTGCAGCTATCTGTTTCAGCCCAGCGTTTACGAATGTCGCTGTGTTCAAATTTTACCTAGACCTGAGCTGTTGTGCCCCTGAAACGCTCAGAAGCACCAAGCACCAATGCTACGGAGAGCCTATCTTTGACCAAAAGTTTTTCAAGTTGGAGTCATGTAGGAGCTACTCAGCCACTCATCAACCTTGCAATGATGATGATGCCCATTTAGCCTTTCTTGACAATGATGTGAAGGTCTGCTAGCGACTGGTAATTGCAGATGGAACTCAAGATGGAGGTCACTATCTAATGGCCATGGCATTAATTCCTGTGCTGAACAAGGGCCATGGCAGTGGTGCCTGCGCTGAATTTACTGGTTCCGGTACCAGTGCACTAAGGCCGGCCGGCATCATCTTGATTCGTCAGATGTGCATGCTCCCTCTGAGCACGCGCGCGCGCCTTGCATCAAACTGCATGGACTCCAGGTTTCGGAATTCTGCCCATTTATGCTGAGCAGTACATACTGTCACAATCGCAAAGTAGTCTTGCTGTCGAGCGTAGGCTTCAGCCCAGGATCAGCCTACGCCTCAGGCGCCTGAGGACATGATAATGGCCAGTCCCTAGGTGAAAGCAAATCTGCTGGTCATCTAGATTGCCATGCATCATCTGACGTTTCCAAATGTCATAATGATGCATGATGCTGGGCATAGAGCCTACATAGAGCCAACGGTCCAGATGTAGCCTACTCCCTGAGGTCCGATGAGTGAGTCGACTGACCGGCTCAGCAGGCTGCAGCTGCCGCGGGAGCGGCTGCTTGACTCGGGGGCGCTGTTTACAGATCTAGATCCTGGCCCAGCTTAAGCTTATTGACAGTCATTGGAAGATTCTCAGCGATGTCTAGGCATGTTTGATCTTGAAAGTGTCACAGGTTGAAGGGCCTGCATGCTTGGTGCCTCTGCAGGTGTAGGCCTATCTAGGCTTCTGCGCATTTTCATGCAATTCTTGGTAGAAACAACGATGCTACGTTGGTAACCAGATTCAGCTCAGCGCAAAAGCCAACAGCGACAGCTTCCCCGAACAATTTAGGAGCCTTTATATGTTGTGGGAAAAGGAAGGAAGAGTCTTGCCAAGAGTGTTGATTAATAGTATTGCAAAGGCCAAGGGTGACCTGCAATTTGCTTCGTTATAAACAGTCAGGACATACTAAAAATCTGGATGCATGTCGATGAGGTATCTTACATTTGGTCGACACCAGAGAAAGGACACCACCCTTTGATCTGTGCAATTAATCTGTAGATCAATATACATTCGAAGGACGCTCTTTCCAGTTTGCAGAGGTTGGTCTGCATGTTGTCAAATACGCTTCGACAAGTGGCGGCAAATCTGGTACATTGGGGGCGCATTCATCAAAATTTACTTCATCAGCAGTGCAGCAGCACGTCAAGTCTAGCTCGGCGTTTGCCTGCTGACACTCTCCCATTCGATTCCTTTCTTCGCAAAAGCTCTGAAAGAGATCTCCCAGGACATGCAGTGGCACCTGCCATACAGAAGTCAGGGGAGCAGAAGGCAGTGTACATTGAGACCTATGGTAATTTCCTGCCTTTTGCGTCTATCATCAGATGATCACCTTCTGTTGATCTACCTACTGTTTGGCACCTGCCCAACCTCAATCAAGACGTGCAACACCCCCTGTCTCAAGTGTGAATATGGCCCGCTGCAGGTTGCCAGATGAACAGCAGTGACACAGGTACGGTCCATTATATTCGCATCTTCTGCAGGCCCGCTGGCAACCACAGCGCACGTGACATCTTCCCTGTGTCCTGCAGAGATACTTCGGGGCATCTTGGCGCAGCATGGCTTCACACGCGCAGATGACCCTGCTGGTGCAGACGTCATCCTGCTCAACACCTGTGCAATCAGGGAGAAAGCTGAGCAGAAGATCTTCTCCCGCCTGGGAGAAATCAAGGCCCTCAAGAAGACCAGAGACAGCGAGCGGTACATGCCTACACCATCTCACAGCAACATCCTGGCAGTTGCTCTTGAAGGCGGCAATCATGCACAGAATATCGCCAAGCATATTCTTGAGCTCTTAAGTCTTTGCAGGATGCCGGTGTGTGTGGGCGTCATTGGGTGCATGGCGGAGAGGCTGAAGGACCAGTTGTTTGAGCAGAAAGTTGTGGATATTGTTGCGGGCCCTGATGCGTTCCGCAGCCTCCCGGGGTTGATACATCTATTCACCCAGGTCACGCTCCCCAAAAAATCTGTCTTGATCTGCATCAGTGGGCCGTTTTGGGTTGGGCGCGGCCATAAATCTGTGTGTTATTTGCAGAGACACATTGAGGGTAGGGATGGAGAAGACAACGACTTGATCAATGTGCAATTGAGCACAGAGGAAACTTATGCGGACGTGAGACCAGTCAGAGAAGTGGGTGCAGTCAGTGCAGCGGTGTCGATCATGAGAGGATGCAACAACATGTGCAGCTTCTGTATTGTGCCCTTCACTCGCGGCCGCGAACGCTCCCGCCCTGCTGCATCCATCCTGGCAGAGGTGCAATCCTCCCGGCAATGTCTGAAATCCATGCCTGGTGTTTTGCAACATGCTGCTAAAAGCTTGCAACAACATCCGAGGCTGATTTCCTTCTGTCCAAAATAGGTGAAGCAGCTGCATGAGGAAGGCTGCAAAGAGGTTCTGTTGCTGGGACAGAATGTGAATTCATATGCAGACCTGAGTGGCAGTGAACGGGCGTCCACTGGCAATGAGGCAAGCACGTCATACTATGCAGAGGTGGGCACTTGCAGTCAGTACCCTTGTTGTACTCCTTATAGTGGGTTCTTGATGGACATGCTCAGCTTACTCATGATTGCCATCAAAGAAAGTGCAGAAGTAGAAGAACTTGAGGACTGAGCGTGTCACCATGCATCAGTGCTTGCTACCAATGATTTCGACTTACACAAAGGTGTGGATGATGCAGGGTTTCAGCTCGGTTTATAAGCCACGCCGTGAAGGTGCTATTCCATTTGGTGAGCTACTGGAAGCAGTTGCCAAAGCTGTTCCTGAGATGCGCATCCGCTTCACCTCTCCACACCCAAAGGACTTCTCGGATGAGGTCCTTCAGGTAATGGCGTCCCATCATTCTCATCTGATAAGAAAATAATGTTCTTGCAATTTCCATCAGCTATGGTCAACAGGAATGAACTCCCCAACGCAGCATTTGTATGAGGATTTTGATGGGTAGTCAGAGAGAGCCTCTGTTGATGCACAGGTTATTGCAAAGCACAGCAACATATGCAAGAACCTCCACATGCCTGCACAATCGGGCAGCACAAGGGTTCTCTCAGGAATGAAGCGAGGGTACACAAGAGAAGCCTATGATGCTCTGGTAGAACGAGCAAGGGCCTTAATGCCAGAGGTCAGGCTCAAGCTCCCTGCTGGAGATCCTGTTGTTGTGCTGCACATCTTGCTCCTGGTATTACATGTTCGAGAACAAATCTTGTTCCATATTGCGCGATCAGATTGCGCTGTCCACGGACATCATAGTGGGCTTCTGTGGAGAGGAGGAAGAGGACCACCAGGGCACCTTGGATCTGCTGCGCACCGCGGGCTATGATCAAGCCTTCCTTTTTGCTTACTCAAAGCGCGACAAGACACACGCAGCGCGCCATCTGCAGGTACTGCACCGCATTGCAAGACAGAATGATGAAGGCTTCTGAGGCGTCTTTCAATTCTTGCCTCTCTATTGCTAGTTGTCGATCGTGCTCTAACAAGATCTTGCGAAATGACAACCCCTCAATTGGACATGCAGGATGACGTTCCCCAGGATGTGAAGATGAGGAGGCTGAACGAGGCCATTCATGTGTACAAGGAAGTGCTGACTGCCCGCAATCAGGCCGAGGTGTCATGCCGGCACCTTGTCTTGGTTGAGGGACCGTCGCGGCGCTCTCCAAGCATCCTCACGGGGCGGACGTGCACGGGCAAGCGGGTGTTCATGTGCGACGAGGAAGTTTCCTCGTCATATGGGCCATCACAACCCAGGAGGTCAGCTGCGCGCATGCAGCCGGGCGACTATGTGGCGGTGGACATCATCTCAGCCACCGGCTCCGCTTTGCAGGCAAAAGCCCTGGGTGTGACCAGTATTGCTGAGTTTGTGGACCTGCATGGGAGCACTGTCGTGAGTGCTCAAGATGCGGCATGCCAGCCGCCGGGGCTTGCTGTTGCTGCTTATGCCGAATGCTAGCATCTGGGTTGTGACCACCATGGTGGCTTGAGAACTTTGATTGAATCGCTGCTTCCACATCTGAAGCAACTGCCGTTTATGTTACAAAAGGGAGTCTGTCTTGGATGTGACTTTGAGGCTGTCACAGTCATGAGATTGTACATGCATTTGTCATGACAGGCAAATCAACTTGATCAAAGCTTAAGTAAAGTTTCTGCAGTGTGAAGCATGAACAACAATTGCCTATGGTGACTTCTCTGGCTCTGGTCCAGCTGGCCATGGCCTGACTAGCCTTCAAAATAGCAAGACACTGAGCCGAGCTTGACGCTGGTGTCTGGCTGACTGCATCATGCTGTTCATTAGCAAATCAAATCAAGGTTGAACCGAGCCCAGGAACATCATTTGAACAGGAGGTCTGTTCCTGCTGACTCTGGGCGAGATTCATGGCCATAATGTATTGCCAATGTGTAATGCCATGATCACCGTTATGATCAGCATTACTCCGAGTTCTTTCATGCGCACGTCGCCGGCCGCAGCTGGCGCAGCACGTGTGCACACTAGGCGCACTCGCGACTCCCTGACTTGGAGTCAGGGCTGTGGGCGCGCCTGACATCCGCCTCGACAGTACTGCGGCAGCGCTGTGTGCGCGCACATCGTGGCAGTGCTCTCAACATGGCAGGCACAGCCTTGAACCTCGGGACTTGGTGGAGCCTTCGGTCCTCATCTTCTGCCAAGCTGGCAAGTCCCCCCGGGGTCCCCCCCTTCATGGGACCTATTCTGGCTTTGCGCCTGGCCCTCTTGGAATTTAACAATCGTGGTGAACATTTCGAGAGACGGTCACCGTTTCCCCGCTCTTGTGAATATTTGTGTTATTTTCGACCTTGTATCACCTGCTGTCCACTGCTTAAAGCACAGCTACGCAGAAGTGCAGGCCGGTGGACCTCGTGGGCGGGGTTTTCGGAGTGACAGCACAGGTATCGTCCTCGTATCTTCGGCATTATCATGAGGATGGACTTGATAGATGCATGATAGTGACAAGATGTATCAATCTAAGCTTCTTATGGGCAAATCGTGTTAGGTCTGTCAAAGAATGGGCCGTTCCTTTTTGAACTCATACAGATTTGGAGTGAGTTTATGTTGAGGCTCTCCTTAGATTCTTGGATGACAAGATGAATTTTGGAGTCGTAACAACGATTATGGTGTTGTTTCTGGCGATGTCGGCGTATTTGCCACCTTCACAGACCTGTGGAAGTGTACACTCTGTTTGCAGGATGAGCGAGCCAACCGTTGCCCCGTTGGACCCTGCAAAGCGCAAAACCAAAACATTCAGCAAGCAAATGTCAAAGACTTTCCAGAAAGGCAAGGATGCCATGAAGAGAGGTCTTCTCACCCCCCGTGGCGCCAGGGCTCAAGAGAAGAGTTCTGCAGAAGGGCCAGTGGGAAAGTCAGCTGTGGCTACTCCCAGCATCCCGAAGGCACCAGTGCCTAGCACAGATCCGGTGAGCCGTGTGCTGTATGAATACCTTTTCAGGTCTTCATGGCCTCTTCTGTATTCACATCGTCCTGCCAGTTCTGCTCCCCCTTTTCAGACTCACAGTCTCACATCATAGATGGCGGGTGTCTCCATGCAGGTGAGCAAATTGAACGATGCTCTTCCTGCCAGCGATCCTGTGGATACCGAGGTAGACTACGTGAAAGCCACAGTCAAGGCAAAGGAAGACAGCTCAACACCAGCAACTGTGGTAGTGGAGCCTGTCAATGATGCTGCTACGCCTGAGCTGACAGGCCCAGCCACTCCAGCACCCATGCCATCTGACAAGGCTGTGCCAGGAGACAAGGACTCCCTGGACTTGGTGCAGGCAGAGCCAGAGTTGGTAAGAAACCAGCCGCTGCCATTCTTGCACACGCGAATGGATACTTTTGTACGTGCTCCATCTTTGATTCCAAAAATGCCATTCTCTTTCCACTTACAACCTTGGTGCAAGCCTGAACGTGCTGATCGCGCCACAGGTCGCGGAGAAGGTACAGCCTGGTTTGGTGGAGGAGAAAGATGCACCTGGAGAGGAGCTCGGTCTTGAGCCGCCCAATGTCAGGGTGACCGTCATGGGCGTGCCCACCGACGATTCCAAGGCTTTTCTGGGGCTGGAGGCCAACAAGGCAGTGTCCTACAAATCGGTGTGACTCGTGCTCTTGTGCCCAAGATCAGGATCCGGAACAACAGTAGGAGATGTGCTGCAGAGCCAAATGGTTATGGGCATCCAAAGCAAAGCAACTGCTTGGCTTACCTCGGATGAAACTTGGTGCTCACTGATGGCACATGCATTTCGTTGTGCAGGAGAAGAACAACCGTGGGGGAGGAAAGAAGGCTATTCTTGGCGCCATCTGCCTTGTCTCTGCGAGCGCGGTTGGCTTTGCAGTGAAAAGTGAGGCCAATGCTCAGGGTCATAGCAATTGACATGAGGAATGCTAATTAGCATGAATCAGTGTTCACACCGATCAGCTGACCCTACCCTGATAAGCTGCTGTGCTTCGTAGGTGCCCTTGCCCGCTGACTTTGGGCGACTTTGGGCTGCTTCTTTGCTGCAGGAGGTGGACAAGCTTCAAAGTCCAGCTGCTTTTGTTGTGTAGGAAATGCATGTGATCTCTATGTTGCCGCATTGTTCTTTCTTTTTGCTATCCCAAAATTTGCTGCGGAGATTTTGGCCAATATTTATCGCCGGGTGATTTTCAAGTGGTGTCCTCTACAGAAGAGGATGTTGATTGAGTACAGCGGCTGTAGCAAGCGCATCATGCAGTATCCGAGATGCAATCAGACGGTGCAAAGTTCTGGCTCCTTCCTAGATGGTACTACCGTAGGTGACCTAGTAGAGCATTGAGCATCTCAGATCCAGGCTGGGTCACACGGCATTGCCAGTTCGTCCACCTTGGATAAGTTTACAGTAGTACTCCCAGGTGGCTGCCATCCAGTTGAGGGATGTAGCATTCCCCTTTTGCCTGTTATTTTTGAAAAGGAACATATGTAACTTACTCTTGAAGAGTGTCCAATTGAATGTGGTTGTACATTCAGCCTGAGTGCTCAGTGCCACTCAGTGAGTGACAACACACCGTGTGACACATACTGTGACAGCTGGCCGCCGGGCCGCCCGGGGTTGGCAACCAGTTGTTGACATGATAATGATGATGGAGCCACTGGCAGCTGGCAGCGCTGGCCCAGCAGCACCGGGTGCTGGTGCTGATGGAGCTACTAGCTAGTAGCTATCACTGTGCGCACTGTGAAAGCACTGCAGGGCAATTAAACAGCAGTGCTATGACTGTTGCCACCAAAACAGAGCATGCTTTTCTGCATCAGTTTTCCTTCATCAAGCCTGACCAGGGTGTCCCAGGTCCCAGCTAGGCTGCCCTGGCCCTACCTATAGGCTGCCCACAGGAATAGCCCTAAAAGGCCCTGGCCCTAAGTAGGGTCCTGCTCCTATGGGAGCTTCCTGTTCATAGAAGAATGGTAGCTTACGTTGCTGTGCAACCTTACATACAATAGGTATTTCCGTGACAAGTGTCCTTTTATGCATGTCCTATGTGCCCCTTAGAGCCACTCACAGAGAGGCACCTGTTGACTGGAGTTCATGTTCCAGAGAGTCCGGATAGACTATCCCTTCTTCTGAAAATATATCAAGCCCAGTGCCTTACTTTAGTCGAGATATGAAGCTGATTCAGGCGCTCTGCAAGATTTGCAGCAGGACATCCTGTGCAAGATTAGACAATATAGGTATCTATTGGAGCGGTGTGCCGATTAGATCTTACGTTACAGAGCGAAAACATCCTTCGCGCTGTTGGAAATGTGGGCACGAAAAGGCAGGACAAGCCCAATTCTTCTGCGCTGAATGCAACAGCATACAGGATCTACCAGATGATCTGGACTCCTTCCGTTTGATGGGCTTGTAAGCAAGCAGTCATGCCCAGAGATGAATGCAAGAAACAGTCTGCATTCTCCAATTTCGACGTCCCTGGCGGAGTAATCTCGTGGCATATGCTTTCACACCTGACAGTGTTGAAAAAGAGACTGTTTTCAGGGAGCACCCCAAGTTCGACGTTGATGCTCGTCAACTTGAGCAGAGATTTAGAGCTCTTCAGTCCAAGCTGCACCCAGACAAATTTGGCATGGCATCTGAGGTAAGAATTCACGGTGCCCTAGCAAGGCATCACATTGCCGCACAGACTGTCCAGCTTGACTTTCTGTTGGCATTACGTGCCCCTGCGCGCAACTGCTTGCTGCACAGAACTCTGTTGAACAGCGGTACAATCCTTCTTCCAGATTATCTGCCATGCTGCACAGGAGGAGAGGCTGTATTCCGAGAAGGCGTCATCCTTGATCAACAAGGCTTACACTACTCTCCGCTCGCCTCTGCTCCGAGCTTCCTATATGGTGAGAGTCCGATGGCGGATGTGTCCACTTTCACACCCGTGATCAAGACTTTTCTTTCAAATATTGGTGGCACAGCCATGTCAGCAGAGCTTGGCTAAGCTGCGTTGCTGTTCTTTGGCGCACAGCTGTCACAGCAGGGTCCTGATGCCAATGAAGAGGAAGCAACGATCGCAGATCCAGAATACCTCATGGAAGTGATGGAGGCTAGGGAGACGGTTGATGCAGCAGATGAAGCCTCCCTGCAAAATCTTCAACAGGACTACATTCAGAAGGAAAGGGACTGTGTTGAGGTGTGGGGAGCCCTCATTCCATTAAACTTGCTTTGACGGTGGCGTCAGTAGACCACACGCAGCATTGCAGAACATAACATTGTGCCAACTGCCTGCAGGATCTTGCAAAGGCATTTGCACAAGGGGATTATGATGCTGCAAGGAGCTCGCTGATCCGGTCGAGATATGTGAGACGGATACTTGATGCCATACAGGACAAGATGTAAGGCCTGCCAGTCACTACTTTCAAGTGTCTGCGCAGACTGCCTGAGTATTCTCTGAAGTGCTGATGCAGTGTAAGCAGGGACTCCAGGTGACCTGAACCAGGTCCGGGTCATTTTGCTGGAGCGTCGTTGAATCTTTGGAGAGAGCGTGAAAGTGAATATTTAGGAACAGTTAGCCATCGGTGACAGTGCTGCTGACCTTGTACTAGTGATTGAGAATCGTTCTCCGGCCCCGCCATGGCCAGTCTATTCTGACTCCAAGTCATAAGTCAGGGCTCAGCCTGTATTGACTCACAGGTACAATATCGCCAAATGCCCAATCTGTTTTATAAGTTGTAATAATCATTACAACTTGAAAAATTTTTCATGGCCAGTGTGGCCCTCAAAACAAAGTTGAGGCACCACAGCATGCACTGCATGCATGACCATGATTGTCATGATTGGAAAGACAACAATTTCATTATGATGCATTAATGAATCTATAGTGGCAGCCAGTCATGCAGGGATGGAAGCGACGCTGATAAGTGATGTTCATACGTTGCGGCTAGCTGCCTGTAGTCGAAGTGAACTCCACTTAGTGAAGGATTTTAATACCTGCACTTGCTGCTGGCTTCAGTAGCCATCTCCATGTGTTCCCAAGGAAACGTTACTCGCAAAACTCAACAAATAATTTAAATGCCCTGTGAGATGAGCACCGGCTCGTCACCAGGTGCTGGCTTCGACTAGTTCTCATGGGATTTGAAAAAGGGGTCTGCAGGCAACAATCATGAAGTCAATGAACAAAAAATTAAGATCGAGTTGGGTCATTGTATTCCTCCTCAGAAGCAAGAATCCTGGTGCAGAACCTCAAACGGGCTGGACCCGAGTGGAACTCTCTAGATGGCTGCACGCGGGCGACCTTCCGCATAGACAAATGTTCGCTGCCATTCAGTGCGATGTCAAAACGATAGAGCTTGTTGCTCCAAGGAGCTGCTGCCTTGGATCCCTCCCTCTTCCTTATGTGCGACACCCCGACCTTATTCTTCATCCACTCCAGCTTAGGGTTTAGGGAATATGAATTGCCGACACCTCTTCCGGAGATCGTACGGAACTTTAAGGCGTCTTACGGCGTTTTACGGGCCATTATCTGTAATCTTCTCAGCCGTGCTGACTTGTCTCTGCCAAACTTTGCAATTGTTTGATAGTTCTGCCATCATTCGATCTCGCAACCTTTGTAGTGTCTGGATGCGATGCAACAATGAAAGGAAGCTTGATTGACTAGGAAGGGCTCAAGCCACTGAGCAGGATGGCCTTTGGCGTGACTACTGACAATATCTTCAGTCTCCTTGATGAGGAGAATGAAGATCCTCAGGCACTGGCTTCCAAAGCCATAGCTGCGCAGGAGCCAAAGGCTAAGAAGGATGCTGCCGCAAAGCCAAAGGATGCTGCCAAGCCAGCAGGTTGGCTATCAGGCTCTTTGTGGACATATGTTGATGGATTTTGCGTGATGTGGATTGTGACCGATATCGGAATGTTTCCAACCATCTTCCTCTCTCGATCTCGAGTCTGTCCGTCTTGCAGTGGCGACTGGAGTGGAGGCTCGCATGAGAGGGTTGGCAACAAGCGATGGAGGTGCTCGGGGCCGCGGCAGAGGTCCTTCTAGAGGCGGCCCTGGTGGCAGAGGTCGTGGGCAGTATGACAGGCCCGCCGGAGATGGTGACGCCTTCGATGCAGGCTCCACCCCGGCGGCCAACCGGGGGAGGAGCGGCCGTGGCGGCCGCGAGAATGGGCGAGGAGGTCGCGGTGGCCGTGGCCCCCGTGAGGGGCAGGAGGGTCGTCCTCCTAGGCGACAGTACGATCGCAAGGACGGCACCGGACGCGGGTGGGGTTCTGCTCTGGGGCGATCCTGGTGTCGAGGCTAGTTGATACAGTACATTCGATGGCGTTGAAGTGAGTCGCCACATCCCCACTGAGCTGATTTTGCTTAATTCTGTATTGACAGGAGCGAAATGGAGAAGCGAGGCGGTGCTGGAAGAGGGAACTGGGGTGCTGAGTCTGAGGAGATCAAGGAGTGAGCATTCTCTCTCAATTCCCAATGCAGGCGATAATTTGTCATCTGAAAAGAAGTCTGTGGGGAATCACTTTTGCACCAAGTCAGTGACCTCGCCACTCCTTTTTTGGGTGACTGAATGGAGTGGGGGTGACTGCAGGGAAGCTGACAAGGTCATCAGCTCAGAGGAGGCCAAGCCTGAAGAGGAGGCAGCAGCTGATGAGCCTGTTGCACAGGCTACCGCGCCACCTCAGGAAGAAGAGGAAAAGGTGTGCTGCAATCTACTGCTGGGCAGTACTTTGTTTCTGGAAGCACCCTTGGACTCAACGTTGGCTTGCTGCTGCTGCTGCTCCTGCACATCATATTGTGTGCCAGACATGCCAAAAGATGACGGGCAGTTGCTTGCGTATTGAAGGCTGTCTCACCCCACACATTTCGCTGATGTGTGAGCATGGTCCAGGAAATGACTCTGGACGAGTACGAAAAGATGATGGAGGAGAAGCGCGCCAACCTCAACAAGCCTGCAGCTCCAAAGGCAGCTGCGGCTGATGCGAAGGCATTCGAGGGCATGAAGGCGTACACTCGCAAGGTATGACGCAAGCAAGGATTGCCAGCTTCTAAAAAACCAGTAAATGAACTGCAACGAGATTGGGGCCATTTTACAGTGTCTGAGAATGGGCTGAACATGCAGGATCTGGATGAGGCTGATGACCTGGAGAATGAGCTGGAGCTGAAGAACAAGAAACAGATTGGCGTGCGGAAGTCCGGAACCATCGCCAAGGAGATCAAGCCCAAGGAGACCATCAAGGCCAACTTCCGCGTCGGCGACGATGGCGGCAACTCCGGCTTCGGCAGCCGCCCGCGCGGGAGGGGTGGGCGCATGGGTGGCGGCCGTGGCGGCCGCGACGGGCCCGAGCGCCGTGAGAGGCCAGACCGCGAGGACCGCGCTTCTCGGGAGGACCGCGCCCCGCGCGAAGAGCGCGCTCCCCGCGAGGAGCGGCCCCAGCGCTCCTACAATGGCCCTCGCAGTGCGGGAGGGCGCACCGGCCCGGCACCCTCCATCAACGATGCCAGCGCCTTCCCCACGCTGTCCTAGATGGACAAAGGAGAAGCTCTTTGGGCCCTCCCCATGCGCAAAGTGGTAGCCTCTGTGGTCCTTGAAGTGCTCTAGTTGGCCTGCGATACGTGCACCACGGGGTTCTGAGCTCTCTTATTGTCCACAGAGACAGCGCTGTGTTGATCCGTATTTTGCTGTCAATGCAGTGCTGCTGTTTTAACTACTCGCACAGCCACCAGAGAGCAGAGACTCTCCTACGAGACAATGAGTAGATTGTGAGCGCATGTGCTCAAGTTAGCCTGAGGCTTTCCTGTGGGATGTGGGCAGTTTGATATGCCGCCCTTCACTGGACTAGTCCTCGGAGTATTCATATCAAAGTGTGTGGGGATCGTTTTCTTGCCGTCTTTCTGCCATCGTTGTGCTTATCAGAGAGGGGCACCAGCCTGACAAACCTGAAAGAAATATGCGATGTCTCAGCACCTGCTGTCTGAGTGCTCACTAGTGCTGAGGGGGCTGGCAGTGTAAAGCATGCGCATATGGTCGTTGAGATACCTGTATCAGGCTGATTATGACACATATCTTTCGTGTATTACCACACACAATTGCATATAGGACTGTTGAAATCAATGTACCTCTACACTACTCTACATGTAGCTGCAGAGACAGCACCACGATCCCTCTTACAGGGCACATTGCCAGAATCACCCGCTATTTGCTTTGTGCCTTATGCATTTTGGCTTTGTTCGTAAGAAGAACATCAACACATAAGAAATGGGGTAGCAGAAACAACTGCCTGGAATACACCGAAGAAGTTCATGCATTCAGGAAAGTGATTCACCAACTGATCACTTCTTCTCGTCCTTGACATCTGCATCGTAGGTCCCACTGGCGCTGGCACCTTCGCCGCCACCAGCACTGCTGCCTGAATCTGCTTGGCTTGACTGTGCAAGGCTCTCACCAATCTTCATGAGCGCCTTTTGAAGATCAGACACCTTGCTCTTGATGTCCTCCGCTGAGCCGCTCTCCAAGACAGCGCGAACATTGCCGACCTCAGCATTCACAGCGTCAATGACTGCCTGGGGGACCTGGATGCACACAAGTACAGCGGTGATCAGAAATTAAAATCGGCACGGGTATTTTCAACACTTGAGAGGGTGCAGATGTCCAGATGGCAAATCCCTGTGCTTGATCAAACGGAGTGAGGCGTAGTGCACCTTGTCCTTGTAATCCTCAATGCTCTTCTCCGCACTGTAGATTGATGTCTCAGCCTCGTTCTTGGCCTCGATCTGTGCCTTCCTCTCCTTGTCCTTCGAAGCATGCGATTCTGCATCCCTGACCATCTGCTGGATCTGGTCCTCTGACAGGCCGCCGCTGCTCTGAATCCGGATGGATTGCTCCTTCTGTGTTGACTGTTTCACACCCAGGAAGAGATGTCAGCCCTTCATGCCATCATTGTATGCCCGTGCACGAGCTATGTATGTGCTCAAGCAGGCACAACGTATATTACGAAATCCCACATTCAGGGAGCTCATGGAGAAATCCAGGTACGACTCACCTTGTCCTTGGCAGACACATGGACGATGCCGTTGGCATCGATGTCAAAGGTGACCTCGATCTGTGGCAGACCACGCGGTGCCGGCGGAAGACCCTCTAGCTCAAATTGACCCAGCATCTTGTTGTCTGCCGCCATCTCACGCTCGCCCTGCAGGACCTTAATGCCCACCTGCGTAATGGGTAGAAGATAGTGAAGATCCGAACATTACATTCCGCTGCTGGGCGTAGCCTACCAGGCAATTCCAACCTGGTCGTATGTCAACAATCACACTGCAGATCCTGCCTGCGAGCCAAAAGACAGCACATCTAATGCTGTAACATGCACCCAACCCTTGCAACTCTGAGCAACATGTTCATAATGAAAACAGGAATTCAGAAAGAGAGACAAGAGGCGTGAAAACAGGGCCCACCTGAGTCTGGTTGTCAGCGGCGGTGCTGAAGACCTGGGCCTTCTTCGTTGGGATGGTGGTGTTGCGGTTGATGAGGCGGGTGAAGACGCCGCCCAGCGTCTCAATGCCCAGCGACAGCGGTGTCACATCCAGCAGCAGCAAGTCCTTGACGTCCCCGCGCAGCACACCACCCTGGATAGCCGCGCCCAGCGCCACCACCTCGTCCGGATTGACACCGCGCGAAGGGTCCTTCTGGAACACCTCCTTCACAATCTCGCCCACCTGCGCGCACCGCATGATGTAAGATCACCACCCTACACCTTTGAAGCCTGCCCCACAGTGACGAGTGATTCACCAGGCCTGCAGCGACCAAAAGAAGGAATGCCTAATCAGGGGTGCACGGCGCGAGGGGAGCGCACCTTGGGCATGCGCGTCATGCCTCCCACCAGCAGCACTTCCTTGATCTCGGATGCTGACACGCCAGCGTCCTTCATGCAGTCGCGGCAGGGCGGCTTGGTGCGCTCGAGGAGCGGGTGCACCAGCGACTCAAACTTGGCGCGAGTGATAGTCATGCTCAGGTGCTTGGCGCCCGAGGCGTCGGCGGTGATGAAGGGGAGGTTGATATCGGTCTGGGTGGCGGACGACAGCTCGCACTTGGCCTTCTCTGCCGCCTCCCGCAGCCGCTGGATGGCCAGCTTGTCCTTCGACAGGTCGATGCCCTGTCCAAACACGGACAGTCAGCATATGCAACCAGCATTCCAGTGAAGGCCCTGGCAAGCGACAAGGAGGGGACAAGCAATGTCACTCACCGACTCCTTCTTAAATTCGTTGACCAGGTACTGCAGCAGAGTGTTGTCAAAGTCCTCGCCGCCCAGGAAGGTGTCACCGTTGGTGGCCTTCACCTCAAACACGCCGCCGCTCATCTCCAAGATGGAGATATCAAAGGTGCCACCGCCCAGGTCAAACACCGCAAACATGCCCTCCTTCTTGTCTGCGCCGTAGCTGAGAGCCGCCGCAGTGGGTTCATTGATGATGCGCTTCACATCCAGCCCAGCAATGCGACCAGCATCCTTGGTTGCTTGCCGCTGGCTGTCATTGAAGTAAGCTGCAAATCACACCATCAGCATGGTTGACATTTTAATTCTTTGATCAGCACAATAAGGATTCATCGCTATTGCAAGTATTGGTCATTTTGGAACCATGATACTCCGTGCAATCAGACCAGCTGTCATAAAAATTATATAGCACATGGGGGTGTGTCTCACCTGGCACTGTGATGACGGCCTCTGACACAGACCTGCCAAGGTACGATTCTGTAAAGCACAACGCACATCCATCAAGAACTCCCAGAGGACACAATTTATAAGAGCCAAAGAGCAACCTCAACGTCATGCGCACCGGCTGTCTCCTTCATCTTTGCCAGGATGAAACCGCTGATTTGGCTAGGGGAATACGTCTTTCCTCCAGCCTGCGCCAGAGCTTGCATCAGGCAATGATGAGGCACATATGTCAACCTGCCGACACCGCCAAGGGGACAAAGTATGTGGATTGCAAGTGGCAACTCACCTCGACCCAAGCGTCTCCATTGTCTGCTTTGACGATCTTGTACGACACCATCTGTGGACACGCAACCCAATGATCACACTATTTGTTCCAGAAGCCTGAAGGTGCGCAGGACAGAAACCAATGGAGCTGTTGCACACTCAAGATACACACCTTCATCTCCTTCTGGACCAGCGGGTCATCAAATTTCCTGCCAATCAAGCGCTTCACAGCGTAGACTGTGTTTTCAGGATTTGTGATGGCCTGTACCAGACGGAGTAGACAGCCTCAGATGCATGAAAGTATTTGTGCTAATGACTGGTGTCATCTGAGAATGCACTATAACATGCAACAGCATGAGCAACATGTGGGCACCTGTCGCTTGGCTGGCAGCCCAACAAGACGTTCCCCCTTGTCAGTGAAGGCCACCACTGAGGGTGTAGTCCGCTGACCCTCTGCATTCTCAATGACTCTAGGCGCCTGTGGTGAGACACAACTTTTATACACACCAAAAGACAGCTAAATGAGTTGACTTTACTGCAAGTTGTGGATGTGGCCAAATTTCAGACGGAAAGGTCAGAAGAACCGCCGCACCTTGCCTTCCATCACTGCAACACAGGAGTTTGTGGTGCCTAGATCGATCCCAATAATTTCGTTCCCAGCCGCTCCATTGACAGCGCTCCGACTGCGAATCGTGACAGATTAGTTCTGCAGCCTTTCTCGGTAGAAAAGATTACGACCTTGTGCATGTGCAAACCTTGACGACATCACCTAGCTTCACTCACCTGAAGGGCCTGAACGCATGAAGACCGACACTGGCGGAGGTGGAGGGGCCAGCACAGGATGCAGCAACCTGCTGTAATTTACACGCACATCATGATTGAGCTCATACGCATAAAATCACACAACAACAATGCAGAGAGACACACTTGCAAAATGCAGTGATCTGGCACCTTGCTAGCAGGCAGTGTTTCGAGCGCGCAGCTATAGAGCTGCCTGCCGAGCAGCGCTCCGCATTTGCGCAACATCCTCGGCGTTCGCCACAACAACCTTAGACCAAATTTTGTTCTTTCGCAGTAACATTCAGAAGCTTCTGGTGCCGTCATGTCGTGGCTTTCTGGGGCAGCCCATGCACGCCCTGGGCAGGCAGGCTTGGGCAGACCTCTCTGCATGTGTTGCGACGATTCTTTTCATTCTTTTCGTCTTAGATCCAGCGTTGGCCAGTGGGGCGAATCATTAGATGCATACTCTTAAAGGTATTGTGAGATTTCCAGGTTGGAAATAACAGCACTGCGCTTCGACTTCTTCGCCTCCCTCAATGGCGCCCCACGTCCCTGCGGACACTCTTGCGATTACTAGCAACATATATTTTATCGTACTATTTGCTGTTCTCCTCGTTATCATCGGTAAGTTCAAGATCTCACTTTGCACAGTCGCCAGGAGGTGTAGAGGGTGGTGAGAGTATATGATCAAGCTTTCCCTGTTGCATCTGCAGGTATTATATACCAGCGCAGCGGAAAGGAAGGCGACACAGTGTTGCTTGTGGGTCCCTGTGGGGCCGGCAAAACAGCATTGTTCTTGCAGGTAGATTTGTGGCCGTGTTTTTCCCCCATAAAATGACCTCCCTTGGAAGCTTCTGACACAGGCACTTTTCGCAGTTGGAGAGGGGGGAGGCCGGAAAAGGCACAGTGGCGTCCATGCAGGAAAATGTGGGTTTGGCCAAGCTGCCCTTCGGAAAGGTCCGTGAGACACTCATTCAGGAGCAGGCTGAACATTGCCCTCTCAATGGGGCAAATTGTGACTGGGACAAGAAGCCTTGGCGGATAGCTGGGACGGCTAAAATGTAACTGTGTTGGTGACAGGAGGGCAAGTACAGGGAGGTGCGCGTGGTGGACATTCCTGGCCACCCGCGCATGTTCAGCAGGCTGCTGTCTGAGCATGCGGACAGGACGCGGGGGATCATCTTCGTGGTGGACTCTGTGGATTTCATGCCGCAGAAGGAGCAGATAGCGGAGCAGCTGTATGACGTGCTGGCGCACCCTGTCATCAGCGGGCGCCGCCTCCCAGTGCTGCTGGCATGCAACAAGTCAGACTGTGGCACTAAGGCGCACACAATGAAGTTCATCAGGAAGCGGCTGGAGAAGGCCATCGATCAGCTCCGCAGCTCTCGCAGCGCCATGAGCGACGACAGCAAGAGGAATGAGGTGTTGGGCAGAGCAGATGAGGCCTTCAGCTTTGCGGGCTTGGCGAAGGCGCATGGGGCCAGGTTGTCAGTGACGGACCTGTCTGCTTTAGAGGGGCAGATTCAGTCTGTGCAGCAGTTCTTATTTGGCATGGCAGCAAATTAAAACTGATCTGTAAAATCTGTCAGACAATCTAGCATGTGGCATGTTCATAATAACTCAGACCTCGCGAAGCACCACAAGCCGGACTGCCAGTGCTCTGCAGGGAGACATTGCGAGGCGTACATCTCACATCAAATTTCAAGTCTTTATAAGTTATAAATCACCAAAGTTATAAATCAATAAACCATAAGTTATAAATTTAAATCATAAATTATAACAACAGCTGGAGCAAAGATAACCCCAAAGCCCAAGGAAGCACAAAGAATAATATTGCATTAGTCATGCATCATCTGCAACAAATTAGCCCAGCACTGCCCAAATCACAACAATGCAGTCACATGGTGAAAGGATATAGGTTGGCCCATCCATTGGCACGCACGAGGGTTGCATCTCGAGACATACCGTATGATACTGCATTTGCAAGTCTGCCACCGTACATGCACTACAAGAACTACATAGTATACAGTACATATGGCAATGATACAATTCAAGAAAGAGGTTGTGAGGAGTTTTTGGTACATATTGATGTAGTTCACATCATGTGAAATGATTTGGCTATCTGCGTCTGCCAAAAAAGGAACTTTGTATTCAACGTGACTTCGGTTTGGATTCTTCACACCTTCTTGGCAATGAGATTTGCCGGCAAGCTGCCCAAGGACAATTCAGGAAGAAAACTACAGCCTTTGCTCTGCAGGTGGCTCATACGCATGGGTAGAGTCCACCACGCCAAGGGACACATAGCCCCCATCATTTGTGGCAGAGCGGCCCCGCATGAATGTGCTGCCATATCTGTACCAGATCAACACACATGCTGCCAACAAGACAAGGCATGCGACCGTTAGGAGTAGCACCAGCGCCACATGCGAACCTCCGTGCTGCTTCTTTGCACCTGAAGGATGGCCACAAGCCAATTGAAATCAAGACCATCTGCGTCTTTGCTGGGTGAGGCTGTTGTACAATTACACACAATAGCACATGTGAGGCTCGCCCCGAGGCGGCTGACCTACCTGGAGTGTAGTCAGACAAGAGGTTCTTGACACCCTCATCATCAGCGGCGTCCAGCATCTGCTGTTGATCCGTGAACAGGCCGCCAGCCCAGCCGAACAGAGAGGTGGCGAGCTGACCCGCCATCAGCTCTTGCACAACCATCGCCCCATTGTTCTGATCTCCATCGCCATGGCACCACTGCTGCGGATCTGAGCATGTCTTGGGAAGGGCTTCACAATGTCCGCTGAAACCACGCGCCGTCGATGGAGAGAACAGCGAGCACAACGGCATGTCATAGAGCTTGCTGAAGGCGCCAGCTGTGAATCCTGCTGGCAGCGCGTTTCTGCGATCCGAAAGTTTGCTTCCCTTTGTCATCCAAGCATCTAGCAGCTTGCCTGCATGCAATATTGCCCAACTTGAGGTCCGGAATCTTTCAGCAACACTACATTCTAAACCCACTAGCATAACCAGCCTTACCGAAGCTGTAATCATTGTTGCAGCCGCACGTGGCCACAACTGCCTCACACATTTCTCGACACGGCATCGTGAGGCTGGATGCATTGAGGAGCAGGGGAACAGCCTCGGAGAGAGCATCCAGCTGCGTCTTCCCATAGTCCCTTGCGTTGTCAATAGCCGCGATTGCAGGGAGAAGGGCCCGCTCGATGCTCGCAGAAAAGCTGCCACACTTTGGCACCTGCTTGCCAGCAAGTGCCATCAGGCACAGAGCAACGATTCTGAGACAGCTGAATGACTTTGCAGGGAGTGCTAGTCACTCCTTTGCCTTGGTTCCTTAGGTTTTTATAAATGCATCGGTTCCACTCTAATCCATCACCTAACAAAAAGCAGAAGAATTGGACTCACCGTCTGCGCGCACCAGAAGCTGCGCTGGTTTTCGAAGCATTGCTCACACGCGTCTTTGAGGTTCCCCACACCTCTGTACCGTGCCACAATAGACAGGTTCAATATGTCCAGCACAGATGACACGACAGGAACAGCATGGTACAGATTTGTAAGCAGGTAAACTGCCCAGTTGGTACCTTTCTTTCATGGCTTTGGCCAAATCATCCGTGGGATCATCGTCCACATCCAATTCTTCCTCAGACATATATATGCAGTCGACCTGCGGCACCACCAAAGAGGCTGCTTACTAGTGACTTGCAGAGGGGCGCCTGGCCGGCAGATCATCTTTAGTCTGCCTCGCCAACGGGCATGGGACAGTGGCAAGCGCACGCACCTTGAGCTCATAGTCATGGCACAAACCAGCAAACTTGGAAGAGGCATTAACGGGCACGCAGGCATCCGCGCCTCCAAAGGGGTTGCAAGCCTGCAGGATACTCGTGTGTCATGTTGCAATTTTCATTTGGTGGCGCCCTCTTCAATAGAAATCAACCAGACAGACCAAGGCAGGTACCAGCTCCTCACCAGGTCTTGACGATTCTTGAGACCCTCGCCAATGATCATGAGATAGAGGCGTTGTTGCTGCACAACACAGAACGTTCAGGCACGCTCCTACAAGCTGGATCTGTCTGAAAATAGAAGAAGCACGGTCATGATGACTCACCTGCAGAGGCAGGTGGGACAACTCTCTGACAAAATCGAGAGGATTGACCCGAGCAGCTTGCCCAAAAGTCAGGGGATACTGGAATTGTGCGTAATATTCTTGTGGCAGCACGAACAAGAATACGGTTAGTACAAGAGACAGCCTCATATTCAGGTCTGTCTGAAGCTGGACTGATCACGGTATATTCTTGATTTGACTCAATACTGGAGAACACGGACGAAAAGGTACATCGAGCATCTATCTATCTTCGTTTTGTTCTGATCTCAACAGAAAAATGGCCTGAAGGCTTGCGATGATGGAAAAAACTTGCTGCACAAGAACCTGGAAGCAGGGAACGCCCGGCGTGGGTTAGAAGCATGGAGAGAAACAACGACACAAATTCTACCAAATTTACCTTGCTATGCTCATTGCGGAATAAAGTACGGCATGCGCCATGAGTATCAGGGCTGCACAGCGGCAACGCGCCCTGCATTTGTACAGGCACGGCCTTAAGAACTTGTTGAGCTGGGCAATTCGAAGGGATCTTTTCGCACAGGAGGTAAGCATGATCAGGTGCTGGTACGCTTTTTAATTTTCGATTTGTTCCTTAATCAAGGATGTGTACTATTGAGCTGCTTCACTATTTATTGCAGGCTGGGCGGTTGAGAGCTGAGTTCGACCTGAACAAGGACGTGGTGAGAGCAATCGTTCCGCATTGGAGATAAAGCTGTGTATACTGTCTTCTTTCAGGACGCTGCGAAATGCGGGTCTGCAACGGCAGGTGACACTCTGTGGTACTGATCATGACTGTGGACATGGCAGGACAACGTCGCTCAGGCTGCGCGACTCCTTGAGAAGGGGGAGGCGAAACTGAAGGAATACGAACATCCCGACCCCTACATTGGTGATCTCCTGATCTCAGCCTTTTAAGAACCCATTCCTATCTCCTCTGTAACATATTTTCTGCCCTAGTCTGAAGAAGGGTTCACCGTTGAATTTGCCTGTGTTTGAATGCAGTGCCATACCATCCTGGAGGATCTCTCTATGCGCGGAACCCTCCCTTCCCAAAGGAGCTCAAACAACAGCTAGACTTTGGCCGGGAAACAGCGTGATCTCAACTGTTGCACCATGAATTGCACAAAGAAGTGGGGCACTGATGTGCTGCTATGGCGGTGCTGGCCTGGAGTAAGATGCATTTGTTTGCATGAAAGAAAAGAGCATCGTGAGCTAACGGTTTGACACAACGTATGTTGTTGAAGTGGCATGTAGCTGATGCTAGAATCCTCACAGAAGTCCTTGAAGAGTGTGTGGCATTACATGATGTGCTGCTGCTGCATCAATTATGCAGGGCTGTATGCCAATTTTGTGCCCGCATGATGTGGGAATGCTCTGCGACCATCATAGATACAACCAAAGTCAGGCCAGTCTAATTAAAACAGGAAAAATGCTGACGTGGCGACAGAGCGAGCGCCACCTGTATAGGACTACGGGCTGCCTTGCAGGTGTAAATCGTGTGAGAGAGTGCATTAGGAATAATACCAAAGAGGGCAGTGCGAGGGCCAAGAAGGGAGGAACGGCCGCGGTGTAATCAGTGTGCATCGACGAGACATACATTTCCCATCCGAGGGGCACTACAGATTACATTGCACCATGTGCAAATGATTTGCTTATATACTACAGTAGGATTAAGAACAGCACACCTAAATTTGGACATACTCGAGGTCACTGACAGCTGGCAGCCAGAGCTCAAGTGACAGGAACAGATCTGTCTAGAGTCCGGACACAGTGAAGATGCCGCCCTGACATCCAGGGCCGGGGTACCTCTGCAAGACAGGTAATGCAGGGCCAATCGTAGGCCAAAGCAGAGAAGTGGATCTGCAGCTGCAAGGAAAAACAGCTCAGTGTGATGCATGAGGGCAGATCCTGATAACAGAAGCAGCATGCCAGGTGCACCTATCAAAGCAGAAGAAATCATACAAAGTTTATGGTAAGGAGCAAATTTAGTACTTGGCGCTTAAAGTATATAAGCAAGCTGAGCATTGAATTCTGAATTGGAGACGGTGAAACAAGGCAGTCCTCAACTAGTTGTGGCACATAATCATGCTTGGGCATGCCGACGCCACATCATACTAGGCCGAGCGCATCAACAATGGCGATTTTCCAAGGACTGTGCCATACTTTGATACGTAAATCCTGGCATCTTTTATCTTGCCACAGCCATTCTTGCACCGAATGTGTCCATAGTGCGCACTGCGTGGCATGTGCAGGCGGTTCAGCCCTCCCATAGTGAAGAAGGGCTATCCGTCTAAAGTGAAGGCTTGTGCCATGATCTGACGGGCAATATGGTGACCTGTCATCTGAAAGTTGACAACTCCTCGGCATTTGGCGCCAAGTCTTTGCGGCCCCACCTGCTGAGATCAAAGAAGGTTGCCTGGACCGTGCGGCCACCAAAGAATCGGCCCCCCAGGTCCACCACTGCCTTGGTGGCCCCTTCTTCCCTGTCAAACTCCACAAATATCCGCACAGACTGTTCTGCAGGAAATCCGGGCTCGGTCACCTCAAAAATCATGACACTCTGCACATTTCCAAACTTGGAGCACTCCAGCCCAATTTCATCCTCCAGCTCTTCGTCCACCTCCCCGGGTCCCACCTTCAAAAGTGCATAGTAAGTTGGTGTGGGTATCAGGCTCACCTGAGCCTTCCATTGGAAGAACAAGCCAAGTTGTCATGACAATAAAGGGCATACCATGTTGCGCAATAGGACCACACGGCTGGGTGGACCTTGGAAGGAGGTTCCGACGCGAGGCCGCTTGTCTTGATGAGCTGCACTGCTCGAGGCATTTACAATGACACCGCTGCGTGAATCTGTCTTCTGCGCAATGAGAGGCGTGACAATGCCCTGCTTGGATTTCCCCAGACCCTGACCCTCCTTCCAACCCATTTTTTCCATCATCCGCTCAGCAAAGCTAAGACCTTTGGAATCCTTAGAATCTCTGCCTGTGACCCCTGATGTGCCTCCCCTGTTGCTAATCCTGTACATCAGCACCATGAACGTAGATGTTTGGTGTGATCTTGTTTATGCGTGACAAACAGACCATGGTCAGATTGATTCAATCGGAAGCTAACCGTGCCCTCTGGAGGAAGGCTTCTTCTCCACTTATGTTCAGATTTATCTGGGGGCCGCCACCGGCCGATGGTGTTGCATCGTAGCCTCTCTCAATTACGTCCTGAGACACCATGACGTGCTGTGTGATATGATGCGCTGTGATGGGGTTATGGCGGGCAGGTAATCAGCGACCCGTACAAGATCTCTGCCCACCTGTTGTTGAAGAGCCTCCAATCTCAGACGCTCCTGCCTCCCCACTTCAAGCTCTGCTTCCTTGCGCTGTACCTCGCGGGACCTCCGCACTTCCTCAAAATCATTAGGACGGCCTGGGTCATACTCATCTGCATCCTCTCTGACTACAACAACGCTAGATGAGCTCGGGCCCTGACCTCGGTCACCTGCAACTGTACACATGTTAGCTCGTGTAAATCATGAGACGATCATTAATCAGCCCGTTGAAGCAACAGGAGGCTATTAAAGATCGTTTTTGAGGATCAAGAAGGGGAGTGCAACGCACTTTGATGACTTCCTAAATTGCTCTGAACACGGGGCACTGGTTTCAACTCTGCTGGTGCACTGTTAGAAGGAAGAGGTCGCTTCAATGCTGGTTTCAACTTGGATGGGAACCAAACGGAGGATGGGGCGTCTGCTTCCGCGACCTTGCCCTTAGCCTGGGGCAGATCGCCATACAAGCCAAACATCGATGTTCTGCGTGTCAGCTCAAGTATTGCAATGCCTTGTTTACCATCAGTGTGATGGAACTGAATCTGATGCCTGGAATACAGGTCCAACAGCTGCCCAAACTGCCCCAATTGGGCAGCCATATGACAAGTGCACAGATTGGCACTCAGCGAGCGCTAAAAACCTGGAATTGAAGACTACCGCTGCAGATTGTCCAACATATTGCTTAGCTTCACATTATCATGCGACGTATTGCTTGATCTAAAGAAATTAGCATTTGGAGCAGAGGCCTCTGGGATGAGTACGATCAATCCTTCGAGCTCGGGCCTTCAGTTCCACATTCATCCGGTTAGTGATATACCGAATTTTTAATGATTATCTGCTGTCAGAGGTCCTTCTCTCCTGTGACTTCATTTTTATTAAGCTGATGGTGTTACTATGCGATGCAGCTGGTCCTGATTAATATAAGTGACCATGCAACACGCATGAGGGCGAATAAGCTAGGAGAAGAGAACAACTATCGCGTCCTGGGATGCCTCCTGGGCCAGCAATCTGGGAGGGTGGTTGATATCAGCAATTCACTGGAGATCAACTACCACATCGGCGAGCTTGGCATCGACATTGATGAGGCCTACCTCACAAGGAAACAAGAGCAATGTAGGCATACTCGCCCAATCCACTGTCTCCCTTTTTGTCAGACCCGTGCATGATTTATAAGTTTGCTCTCCTGCTTGCAGACAAACAGACTTTCCCCAAGCTGGATACAGTGGGCTGGTATTCAACTGGATCCGAGGTGGAGGAAGCAGACATGCAGATCCACAAAATGGTGATTTGTTGCCTTCTGAAGAATCAGAAAGCCGAAGTACTGTAGCAATTTTGTGCTGAGCGCCCAATATTTAGCCACCCAGTGTCAAGGACGCTATGTGCAATCCACCCCGAGCTGATGCCTGAAGCTTGTGCAGATCACGCACTTCAACGAGTCCCCTGTTTATCTGCTGCTGGATCCAGACATGAATCGCACACATAAGGACCTCCCAGTCTCTCTGTATGAAAGCGGTATGGACCTTCTTCACCTTGCAAAAGGAAACTTCCCTTACAGATCTGTCAAGTGTCTCAGCCGACTGTGAGTCGCCTGCTGATAATTTTGAATGTGCATGGCAGAATTGCACTTGATTGATGGCGTGCCACAGTCCATTTTCGTGCAGTCTAAGTACACAATTGAGGTGTGCAACTGCCCGAGACTATTGCAAGGCTTGTATCAGCATGGTGATGTCTGGGTGCTGCCAAAAACTTGATCCGTTTGTTGTTTTGATAGACTTCAGAAGCAGAGAGGATCGGGATAAATCAGATTGCAAAGGTGCTCCCGCGCGGAAATGACAAGGGAACAGATCAATGTGCGCTGTTCTTAAGCTTTTTTGTGCTCAAAATGTAAGCTACTGCTCTTGAAGGGATTGCTTCTTCCTGTGAAGGTTTGCAACTGTTTGCGAACACCTGCTGCTTGCTATCCTTCATCGTAACAGGAAATGCCTTGTGCAGTGAGTGCTCACTACATGTCTCTGCATGCTGCCATTAAGATGCTGCATGGCCGCCTTTTAATCCTCCACGTGCTGCTGCGCAACATAGATTCAGGTCTGCTTCTGTGTCTACCTTAGAAGTGCAACATCGACAACATTGTTTGGGGCCTGAAGGCTGTCATGCTTGTTCACCAATCTTGCTATGGTACCGTTTTACGGGTTGCAAACTAATTGTCCTTGTCATGGCTGGCTGCAGGAGAAATCCCGTATGACCATGCTCTGATCAGGCAGGCAGCGAGCCTTGTGCGTCAGCTTCCCGCAATCCGAGCTGCAAGCTTCCATCAGAACTACCTTGTGGTATGCCCTGAACATTGACTGAGCTTGTTTATTAAGTGTCCACGCCATCAATGACGGAATTGCACATTCTGATGCCACTGGAATTGCCACCGCACACCAAATGTCTCACATCTTCTGCAGGAATTCAATGATGCTATGTTGACGGTGTACCTGTCCGGCATCACCAATGGCATTGAGGCTGTCAATGACATTGTCGAAAAGGTCTCAACCGCCTTTGACAGCAAATCCACCAGGCGCCGGGGAATGCTTTGAACCCTGCTCAGATGGGCAGCAGATCAGAGTAAATTACAGCGCCAGCATATACAGCCACCAGCCAGTAAGCAGAGAGACATTCGCTTTTGGTATTTTTTGCTCTTTGCGTTTGGTGAAGACGTAGTAGGCCTGCTGCTATTCCTCAACACAATGGGTTCTTGCCGATGTCAAGCGTCATCTATAGAAAACTCCGCAGAGGGTTGATCTGATCAACTAAATTACATTAGGCATATAAAAGCCCCAGCTGGTGTGTGTGTGTGGTGCTCATGTCTGCCAAGAGCATTGCCTTTTGAAAGAGTCCTTCCATAAAAGCACACCAAAGTTCTCTGACCAATTTCCTGTGGTTAGCCTTTTCAGCACATCCTGGACCGCTAGACAGAGGTGAGCCCACTGTCGTGGCACAGCTAAGAGCTTTTCAAGTTTGTCTAGCTAGCTTCAGTAGGGATGGGTACAGTGAGTTATGATGTCGATATCCCCAGACTCGAGATCTGTAATGCAGAGGTACACTTCCAAGTACTGCAGAATCGGGCTGTCAGATTGTGACCAATGTTTTATACATAAGCAAAATCGATGAGCAGCACCTATCTGGTGCTCCTCTTCTTGTCACTTGCCGAAATGTTGAGGACTGGAGAAATGGAGACATCTTATGAAATGCATGCATGCAAGAGCAGGCCACCGATGCTTGATACTCCTACGGAAACCCAAGCTTGCTGAGGTGTTCGGAGGCGAGACTTGCATATGTGAATACTGACGCGATGCAACCCTCACTGCGGATTCATGCTTATGGTCATACAATGGCGATTGATTGCTTTCGCGCTTTGCAGACAGCGCCACATTCGGAGGATTTGAAAGCGCGGCGGGGAATGCGCTTCGCCACTGCCACATTCCTATCTACAGAGAGCATCACATGTCGTGTTGTACAGAGATGAAGGTACTCAATGTAAAACGGTACACGCCGTCTGCAGGAGGCCTTCAGCAGCGGCGCCGGTCCAGCGCTGCCGCTATGGCTGCATCAGGGCCTCTCCATTCTCCTGTACAAGGGGATGGGACCAGACAAGGAGTCTCCAGCCAGTTATTATTTTTTTTTTTTTTTTTTTTACAACGGTACTATGCCTCCACATCAATTGCGTTCCAGCCGTCACTCTGAGCACTGGATTTTGGCAATGCTTTAGGCTCACGATCGTTCCCCTTTCTAGCCCCAATTCCAGTTGGAGTGGGAGCAGCAGCTGCCGGAGCCACCGCCACCACCGCCGCCCACACTATACTTCTTTGGCCTCTGGGGATCCCAGGTACAGGACCCTCAGGCTTGGGGGCTCGGCACGCGGCCGGCACATGAGTTTGTGGTGAGGGAGGCCACCGCGCGGCGACAGGTGCTTCACAGGATCAGCAAGGGGGAGGCCAGCCCGGCGGGCCCGCTGCGACCAGCCATCTGGGCTGATACCACAGATGACCAGCGCAGCGGCCTTCGGGCGCTCGAGGCGCGATGGGAGGCCAGGGCTGCAGCTGCTGGTACCGCGTCGCAGGTCTTAGGCAAGAGGCCTCGAGGGCAGCCTGATCCCTCCTCCTGGGCGATCTGGATGGCTGCGCCGCAACCCCGTCCGGTTCCGCTGCGGGACCGCGGCGGGCCTGCGGGCGCGCCAGCGGGCCCTTCACCAGTGCCACAGGGAGCAGATGTCACTGTTGATCCTGCTGCTGCTGTCACAGCAGACCCATCAGCACCTTGGGCTCATGTGTGGCAAGTGGTGCACGCTTCCCATCTGGACCGGCGGCAGCGCGTGACAGCGTGGAGGCTGCTGCATGGCCAGCTCTTCGTCGGCGGCTTCGCGCGTCACGTCCACCGCGCCGATCCCGCCGGTCACGTTTGCCCGCATCCGAGCTGTGCAGGTCAGCTGGCCACACTCACCCATGTCTTCATCATCTGCCCTCTCGCCGCCGGGGTGTGGGACTGGTTCGCAGCGACATGGGCCGCGGTGACCGGAGACGACGCGCCACCGCGCAGCGCCGACCTTCTTCTCGCCGATGACACCAGGATCTGGGGACCGCCGCGGCAGCTCAGGCAGCTCTGGGATCGCCTGCGGCTCGCTACAATCTGTCAGCTGTGGGCAGCATATCAGCGCGGCCGCCACCAGCCAGATGCGGCGGCGATCACCCCCGGAGCGGTTGCGGCTCGCATCCTGTCTTCCTGCAAGAAGGCCCTGCTTGCCGATTGGCGGCTCGCGACCGTCAACGTCCGGCAGACAGCAGGTGTGCTCAGCGACTGGCTTCGCGGACGCGACCCGATGATCACCAGGGAGCAGTTTGCGGCGCGATGGTGCCACCGCGCGGTCCTCTGCGCGCTGGAGGAGCTGCCGGGCGCGCAACCAGTCATCCACTGGAGTGCCCAGCATCCCGTGCCGCTTCCAGCGTGACGCTTCCGATCCACCATTCACTGTACCCAGCCGGCCACGGCTCTAACTTGGCTATCTGTATGACCATGCTCTCATTTGGCCTTCTGCCATGACACCCGCTCGTGTCGATTCTTGTGTTGAACTCACACCCTCTCTTAGGGGGGCCTTTGCGATAGGTGCTCTGGGCACATGGGCGCTAAGAGCCTTCGTCATACCATAGTCAGGCACGGATGACTAACCTTTCACCAGTCCCGATCCCACCCCGGCAAAGCCCGGCCTGTCGTTCCTTGTCTGAGACCCCTTTTGCCTTAGAGCCCTGGGACCACAGATTGCCTACCAGAAGCTTTGCGCCTCTCCTACCTCTAACCTTTGCCAGCGCGGAATGGGGCTCCGAGTCACGTGCTTCCACTGGTCGAGGGACCTGTCGAGCTCGGCCCAACACGGCCCCGGGGGTGCCTCCTTCACCCCTGGGGCACTGGCCTCGCCACCCAGTGCCGGTGGCCTCGCCCACCACCGGACGTGTTTGCGCGGCTCACCCCTTGGGTATCCCTCGGCCAGACGGATCCATCGTGCGCCCCGCTACCTGTGGAGTACCGTGCCGGAGAGCCAGAGCGTTGGCGCAAGCTTACAGAAGACCACCCTGCCCAGGGCTTTAGGCTATCAATAGTTTTCCAGTGATCCTCCGATGTTTCTGTCTCACCGGCAGCCCCAACAATCCCCTTGGCCTGTCATCCGTGGCCTTCTGCCTTAGTGTCTGTCCTCCTCACCATTCACAGTAGTTCATTGAAGGCTATCTGAAGGGTTTAGGGTTTCCAACCCCAGTATCCACCCTTGAACCTGAGCGGGTGTCTAGGACCTTGGACATGATGCCTCCTGCCTATCCCCGCCTCCAATGTGGTGGGTGTGTGTATCTGGTCGAGTTCTCACCAGCCTACCTGTTTTTCGCCTCATTTGCGGCTTCATATCTCCCATATGCCACCGTTTGCTTGTGCCCCACCTTGCTGGCAGATTGAGGCATAGTTTAGGGTCACATTGCCAGCCCCGAGCGGCACCTAGTGGTAATGGGTCCGAACGCGATCCTGTTCCATCCCTGTCGGCCAACCGTATAAACGTGCCTTTCATGTCTGTTCCACCACTGGTTGCCCGCACATCCATAATTGCCTGCCAGTGATTGATGATTGCCTGCTTTGCTGTGACCCCTGCCTCCAGCTGCAAGCCCTAGGCTTGCCCCGTGGGTCCTCCAACGTCACCTCAGCGGTGTTGCGTTGCCGGCGGGCTGGAGTGCGCCTCTGGGGATGAGGTTACCCTCTGGTGCTTGGGACATGTCCATCGCTAGGAGCCTTTCTGTTGCCTTTCTGTGGTATGCCTTCATGCTTGCGCTTCTCTTCAGTATCGCATTATCCTCCTGCGGGAGTGCTCTGCGTGCCCCAACTCTGACAGGTTTCCCCAAATATCCTATTGCATGCGTGCTGGGAAGCGTGCGACTGGCACCTGTGTAATAGCGGGGGCTTCCCCTTTTAAAAAAAAAAAAAAAAAAGGTTCAAAGGTGGATGCTGGGCTTGGAAACCCTAAACCCTTCAGATAGCCTTCAATGAACTACTGTGAATGGTGAGGAGGACAGACACTAAGGCAAAAGGCCACGGATGACAGGCCAAGGGGATTGTTGGGGCTGCTGGTGAGACAGAAACATCGGAGGATCATTGGAAAACTATTGATAATTGCAAAGAAAAGATTGCATCACATCGATTTCACACGATTTCTCCACCGATACACCAGCATCTTCAAGTTTCTCACTTGCATTGTGTAGAGAATGTTCACAGCTTTCGATCGATACCCCACTTGCCTACTTTTGTGCGTATTTACTCATTTCGACCACGACACAGTTGCCATCCCGCGAGCTCACACGTCCGGATAGCCTCCAATGTAGCTTATTTTCAGCCACTATCATCATCGACAATATATATACATATTTTACGCGAATGTTACCCGTCTCCACTGGACCAGATGCGCACAGCCACCTTCCTCACTCTACACTAGCGACTAACACTTTTCCACTATCCCCATGGTCACTCGCTGCGGGACATATATTATGGGATTCGATGTTGTTCTCCTGAATTCTTGAAACAGTTGTGCCTGTACTTTATGCATTTCAACCACAAAACCATTCCACATACTGACAACCAGTGGTAGCTAAACAGGGTTCAGGGGCAGGAGGGAAGTGTCACAAGGGAGGAAGAGTGCGGGGAGGAAATAGGGGCAGGGGAAAAGGTCACACGAGCCTCTTTTGTAGGCTTCCCGAGGGGTTTTCAAGGCCTTTAGTAGGGAGCTGCCACAGCTCTTGAACAAGGCCCCAAGACCTCCTCGGCGGACGGTGGACGCCCTAAAGAGCTAATCAGCAGGAGCAATCAGCACAGGGGAGCACAAGGTAGTAGAGAAGAGCACAGCAGCAGCAGCAGCAGTTGCCCAGCAACTTGGGTCCCCCACCTGGCCAGCCTGATCAGCACGATGCAGACTGTCAAGTCATGGCAGTTGGAGCCTCAGAGAGCCCTGGATGCCCATGCGTTGAGCACTCCCCGGCCAAGGCTTCTCCGGCCGCGGCCAGACCGGTGGGGGGACAGCGAGCCACTCCTACTGGCTGCCTTGGGCCAGCTTGAGCTGCAGGAGGAGGTTCCTTATGGCAGCCCGGAGCGCATGCAGCTGGAGCTAAAGGTCACCAGAGGAGTAATCGCTCACTTCGCGCCGCATGTCGGGGGAGTCAAGCAGCGAGGATCGCCCGGCGCAGCTGACAGCTGCGTGGAGCTCTGGTTTGACACGGTCCCGGCAGCAGCTGCGGCGCGGCATGCGGCAGCGGAGGACCAGCTTGTCCGGCTGCGTGCAGTGCCGGGCAGCGGAGACGTAGCGGTGCCGGTGCAACTCACTGCTGGGCGGTTCCACTGCCAGCACACCTGCATCATCATCCACGGGCTGCCGTACGAGTACTGCAGAAAGGGTCTCACTCAGACCCTTCTGGACTGTGCTGGCTGCCCCAGGGACACATACGTTGTTCGCGGCGAATTCCTCGGCGACCTGCCAGGACCGTTGGCAGTGGGCACCCATGGCGTCGGCAACGGGAATGCGTGCCTT